GAGGACATAGCAGAGTCTCAAACTGTGGGTGAGATAAGTGATCTACTTGCGAGGGACGAGTGTGAGGATAGTAAGATGCCTGCGAAGAGGGTGCGCGGTGAAAGGCGCTGCGGGCGATGTAAGGAGACTGGGCATAATACACGCACCTGCACGGCCGATATTGAGTTAGAGACTGATAGCGAGGCTTCTGAAGAATAGATTAGCTTATTAGGATTTTGATTTTACTGTGATAATAGACTGTAATAAGGTTGCGATGTTCATAAGCTTAGGAAAAGGTGCCAGCTCGCTTGGGGTGCCAGCTCGCTTATGAAACACGTTATTATATAAAGATAAGATATAATTATTAATGGCTACCAGGTAGTATGTATTATTGGCTAGCTTAAAATGATCTTAAAGGTTATGATAGATTATGATCAATTAACTATTATACTAACTACTAGTATACCTTCTTAATCTATTAAACACTATATAGTTCTGGATATTGCGCCTTGATTAAATCTGCTCCCTTCTCTGCTACCATGTAAACATCGTTCTGAATGCGGCAATCTGGAATTACAGGAAAGATAGCAGCATCAATGACACGTAAATTTTGGGTACCATGTACCTTGAGATTACTGTCAACAACACCCTGCTCAATAGTCTTAGATAATCTGCAGGTTCCACAGGGATCTTCAATAAATCAGTAATGTATCAAAAAAAATACGTATGGGAAACTTACGGAATCCGGTCTGAGATCGTTCCAAAATCATCTGATTCATGGCTTCGTCCGAGTTACGAGGCATGGCCCATGGGTAGTCCTCGCCAATGATGTCCTTCATCCCGCTTCCTGTCTTCAGAATATCGTCTACCCACCGAATACCTTCGCGTAATGCGACAATATCAAGCGGGTCCGAGAAAAACCGTCGATTTATTTCTGGCTGGTCTAGATGATTGCTCGATTGAAGTCTGACATATCCATCACGCGAAAGCGGCCGCATAAGATCGACAATGACAGTTAACCAGTCTCCTTCGGGAGGGGAAGGGAAATGCCACTGGAATGGGCCAGAAAACATGGGCTATCACTATCAGTGAGTGTTGTAAGGGCAAGAGATGTAGTACTTACAACGAAGTCAATCTCAAAGTGAGGCTGTCCATCTGGACCAAAGGGATCAACATCATTATGTTCCTTCAAATATTGTGTGTACTCTTTCGATGTTTTGAACTGGTCGTCGCACCGCGGAAACGCCACGAGTTCTAAGAGACCGCTACTCAGTGGGCCTTCCTTGGCTCGTCTATATGCCTGGATCGTGGCATCTTTCTGCAGGCCTGGGCGTAGCAAATGGCCATCGAGTCCATATCCATCTTTCAGACGGAAACAATGAGCCAGGATGGGATGGTCGAGCAGATTCTCCCCGACATGGTTGGATTTAACCCGTACGCCAATGTTGTGCTGTTTCAGTTGATCTTCTGGTCCAATACCGGAGAGGAGGAGTAACTTGGGGCTCTCGTATACACCAAGTGACACGATAACTTCGCGCCTGGCGTGGAAGGTATAATCGCGACCGCCGTGGGTAACAGTGACTCCCACGGCCTTCTTACCGTCAAATTCAATGACTTTCGAGTATGTCAGAGGCATGATCGTAACATTAGGTTTACCATCAACGCTGACCGATGCGTTTGATCGAACTCCCTTGTATACAGTGCTTACGCACTTGAACAGCCCACTTTGATGTCCGTTGTAGACATCGCTGGTTAGGTCCTGGCCTTTACTGACCCATGCCTCCTCCAAGGCATCGCGGAAAGGTTTTAGCTCAGGAATGAGGGGTGCGTGGGCAATATGAATAGGACCGTCGCGGCCCAAGCCTTTGATTTCCGGGTATAGCATTTCATCATCATGGTATGTGGAGCACTAAACCTGGTTTTAGTGCTGAATGAAGACTCTATCGTGCAATTATTTGCTTACCTTTTCAAAATATTCGCGACAATTGTCCCAGCTCCATGTCTCGCCGCCATACTCAACCCAATCATCGATTGTAGCTTTGCTACCTCTCACCCACGTGAAGTAGTTACCACAGCTGCTACCGCCTAGCATCTTTCCCCTTGTGTCAGGCTTTTCGACGCGAGTATATTCGGGGCGGTCAATCATGGTAGCTTTATAGCTCCAGTCGTATTGGCTACCGCGAAGCTCAAATGCCCGACCAGGTGTCGAAATCATCTCAATATCGTTGCTGTTGTGCGGACCGGCTTCGATGACGAGTACCTTTACATCGGGATTCTCAGCCAACCGACCTGCTATAGTACATCCAGCAGTGCCTCCTACACACGAGTTAAATCCGAATAGTAGATATCAATTGATATGGGCAAGCAAACCTCCGACGACAATGAAGTCAAAACTTGACTGGGCGTCCTTGGGTGAAGTAGGTGCGTGAACCATATTGAAGGCTGGGATTGAATTTATATTACTAGTCGATGAGAGTTTCAAGTCAAAAGGATGTTTTAAAGTATTGATGGGATGCGTTGCGATGAGTTATCAACAAGATTGATGTTCCTTTGCTGTTGTATAGTCTTGCACTTCGGGGGATGCTGCAATATATAGACTTCTCCTATCTCTTGCATCATATATGAACATGGCCTTTCTGTAAATTCGGCCTTGGCCGGCTATTGCGATTGTTTGTATGATGCAATTGAGCTGTCACCTATTTACTGTGTAATTTGCTCCGACGATTCCGTATGCTACGACTAGATCAGGAAGACTGTATGACAAGTCCACGTTATTTCCGAGATAGAAATAACCCCAATATTAGCCATTATACAAATACATTAAAAACATCAACACCTATAGTCATAATGATGCTACGCACAATTGTTAAGGATTATAAGTGGTTTCAACAATTTGTTGCTATGCTGCAACAAGGAAACTGCAACATGCTCACTCAGATATTGCAATATTATACACTATAGGCAATTTAAATGAATTTAATCGCAATGTACTCTGTACAGTATAGCCCTAAAGCAACTGAACTGATTCAAGTATAAATTGTTAAAACAGACTATTATTCCCGCGTGGCTCCGCATCTCGTATTGTAGCGAAAAAGAATTCCGGCGGCCTAGTACCCAAGTCATCGACTCAACAGTACATGTCAATGACTGAATAACAAGATCATAGTGTACGATCTTATGACGTCTAGACATGCTATATGATGGGCAGAAGGGTTTCACCTTGTTGGCGATGGTAGGTCTTTTCCTATTACTACAGGCCTATAACTCTTCTTACTCGCTACCGGGTCTGCGCGCAATGAATAATCAATTGGTTTCCGTTAGAAGCCGTTCGTAGAATCCAAACTAAGTTATATTTAGCAACACCATCAGGGGAGGGGGGGCAAAAACAACGATATGTGGAAAAATTGCACAGGGGAGAAAGTGAGGAAACTTCGTGTATCTACTGCAGTAGAGTAATATCTAATGCAAGAGCTAGCAATCGGGCATCATATTCTCTCCTTATACGAAGATTAAAAAATTAAAATTCTAGGAAATATTGCTATTATTGTTCCTCTTAGTTATACAATGACGGTGGTATATACCCCGGCATTGCTTGTCTACTACGCAGAACCGGCACGAGGTGCTGGTGAGCCTGAATACCCTGGGCCGGTGGTCGAATCGATCTAGTCGTATTCATTGCTCTGATTGTACTCCTGATGATCTAGAGCTATCCCAATTCTACGCCTTTGCTCCTGCTCCTGTAAAAGAACTGTGTTAATAACCTTCATTTCCTTCCAGATCCAAATCGCCATGACTATTGTCAAATGATCACAACCACCAAGACGATAGTTTGTGCGGAAGTATCCTTATTTTCCTCAACAAGAAGAACACCAAAATAGACCAGAAAGTTTTGTTTTAGTAGTGAGAGGAGGGTAGAGATAAGAAAGTGGTAGAACTTGACATCGTATGTGGAGAACACAACAACTCTGAAATGTGGCGGCATGGCTGAGATGCAGATTATGAGAATAATCCAGAAACCTCTATCGCGTACTACACGAGCCATCGCCCCAGAATTCAGGTTCGTTCGCTCCAGTTTGCGAATTATTTGAACAAAACCCAGTTGCCAACTATCATAAGTAATTCGAAGTACCTTCACTTCAGGAGGAGCTTACTTGCTCTCACCGATAAATGTTCCAACTGCGACAATTCCAAACTCAATCCAGAGCCCGTAGATGACACCGCATAATGTTTCGACAATTTCGTTACCGAATAGTGGTGGAATGAAAGAATAAATAGCAGTGCCGCGGACACGTTCAGAGGAAGGGCGGAGATACTCCATAACCACACGAGCCGCAACATCTGATATTTCCATTCCAAGAGGTTGGTTGCAGGTGTAAGCGATTACTATGAGCTTCAAGGTGCTAAACGATATTCCCATTCGCAGTCTATTGTGGATCCAATGTACGAACTTCTTCAGTAGTTTGTTGATGTCACTCATCGGGCTTTCCACCCCGCAGGCGTAGGTACAGACCTATAGCATGATGCCAATACCAAATATCAGAACGTGGTGACTTTACATACCTCGTAAGTGCACAGGTTTCGATTATATTATGGCAAGCAGCCAGCAGTTGAAGCATGGAATTTGATTCAATGCTGATGGATGTATTGTGATAGGCAATTTCCTGGCATATTGGAAAGCCAAACCTCAGAGAATATTTGGCTTACTAATTGTTGATCACCTAAAGCAAAGACAACCCACTATGACTTACTTCTAGATCACATGCGGGCAATTTGTGCCCAGCATGGTGAATTAATCTTGCATTATGCTAATTATCATCCTGAGGAGTGTAGGGAATACATGTATGCAATAATTCCAGTCGTATCCCCTTGCACTAACTACTCATTTTCAATGCATCGATATCTACCGGATCCCAATATTAAGAAATAAAATGTAGCCTGGGACCAAGAAAAGCAGATATGAATATTGAGCAGAGGAAGAAAAAAAGCTCCTGATGAACAAGTATATTGGAGAGGGTAAACTGAGCACATGAGATATCTACCCTATCGCTGCGCTCGTCATATACATTGTACATATTGTAGTTATGAAATTGTATATTCCAACTTGCAAGAAGGTAGGGTTGTGATTGAGCATACGTGACGCCCTTCTACTAGCTGAACATGTAATATAAACCCACTAAGACAAAACACCCCCATTCCTTGTGGGCGTGTATTCGAACGCCGACGCTATGCAAATGAAAGTAAAGAGAAACCGATAGAGATAAGGCGTTTTACAGCCTGGAAGAAATCTAAAAAGGTATACGAATCTTGAAGGAAGAACAAAGAGAAAGGGATATAAGAAGAGGAAAAAATGATACAGGTGTGGAAGGAAATATGTAGCGAAAGAGAAAAACGTGGAAGCCATGTGACTAAATGCTCCCAACATGTTGTTGTAGATCTGGTTCGACTTCGTTCAATATTCCGTCCAGTGTTGTCGCTCTCCGACCTTTTCGAAATCCATGGATCTCATGGCTCGTCGCCTAGCGCTCTCTTCGCGGCCAAAGCAGCAGAACAGCCTCGCTAGGCCGCTTCGCTTTCGAGGCACAAGTCCGTCATATGGTCCATGGTTGTTTTCGGAGAGAGGTGAAGTTGGGCTGAGTGGGATAGTAGCGTTCATAAAGATGAGAGAATCCTGTCTTCGCGGTCTGTTGCTGTTTGATGTCGCTGCATAACCCTTTTCTTGAGCGGGAGAGGAAGCTGTCTCGTTGTCCACCAAGTCCGTCTTTAGGCTAGGCAACGTTTGTCGCATTGGTCGCGGTGATGCTGGAAGGCTTAATCCGGGGCTGTTGGATGGAAGATGAAGTGCTGGCATCGTGTGCGAGTATAGGTAGTGTAGGAAAGAAAACCGAATGGACGTCGATTAGCGCAAGGTTGGCAATGAAGCGAGTGTACTTTTGATAGGGGATTAAAGGAGCCTGCAAGTGGTTTTCAAGTGATGACTTTGAGTAGAATAAAGACGAGCAGCGGAAACCCCTGGGATATAAGGAGCAAAGAACATGACGTGGGTCACCGTACAGTCAGCCAGGGTTAATGTCCCGGTTCGTGTTCCGGGGTTGTAGGATCTCCAGTTCATTTTACGGCCTTGTCAGAGGCGTGATTGAGAAGCACGGGCTGGCGCAATGCCTGCCTATATCTAGCGATAGGCCTGCAATCATAAAGCGATCAACATTCCTTTGTCTAAATATTGTACACTCGTTAAATCATCATTAAAGCATCATTATATCGTATTTGATGCACCGATGTCTATACGCTTGCAACTCCTCGTCCCCTCGTCCATCTTATGGTAGAAAGCGAAGGGTGTTGTCGGGCGATGTGTAATGCACGGTACGGAGTCCGCAGCTTGTTTGCCGGAAATGTTTATGCCCTGTCTTATAAACGAAACAACAGAAACGCAAGTTCCTCATTGCTAGTGTGCTAATGGTGTGGAACCTGTGGCTTGCCGTGGGATGGTGATACGGTCCTTTCCTGCAACCCCAGGACGCTGAAACGAACACGCCCGTCTCAGATGTAGTAAGGACCAATGGTTATCCTTGTTTTGGTATAGCAATTGGCAACGTTCCCAAATCCTCCAGTAGACACGACTGTAGACAAACGTTGGCGTGCTGTGCTGAGTTGCGCCAACTTACGAATGAAGTCCCTCGATAAATGCCAGTCTTGTACTCGTACAAAAAGGTGTCGATTATATATGTATATAGTAGTGGGAATAGGAAGAGGTAATGAGATAGGGCCGGGGTGGTGCAGACGACGGACCGGGGCGATCGGGGTTTAAAAAGAATGCTTTCATGATTCGTTGAAGCACGGGTTGGACAATACGTGTGAAGTTAGTCAAAACTCGCCTCTTCTATACCTCAATCTTGAATCCATGCATTTTTGCTTCTTATCACTGTTATTGAAAGCTTCCCTATCTTTCGTTTCGCGATGCTCTTGCCATTTCGCCTACACGATCATGAAGATTTAGAGTACGAAGAGGGCACTAGAAGAGCAGGTGAACACAGTGATACTCTGCTGGCATTCTGCTTTTCGTGAGTTCTTGACAAATAACCTGCCCTGCATTGGCTACATAGTTGTGATGTGTCGAGTAACTATGATTTGAGTATGGCATGGTAATGAATGCCATCATGGGACTGGCCGGATCATGGCCAGGTCAGTAGGGAGAAGATGGTATGTGAGGCCATGGTGCCTTTCTCTGGGATTGTGATTAAGTAATGAAATGCCGAATCAAAGAACATAAGTGGTAAGTAGTATGACGATGCTGAGTCGAATGCATGCATAGAGAGTTGTGAGTAGCATTAGGTAGCCATAAATGTCGGAAGAGAAGGATGAAAAAAAAGAGGACAAAGTATTATCAGATCATCTGATTAGCGAATAATCAGTGTCAATGCCTTGAAGTGTTCTAGTATTTCCATATCCAGTTTAGCTCTCCGAGGCCGGCCAAGCTAGCTCCTCGGAAAACTAACTCTCGTCAGTCGGATCATAATTCACTCACCTACTTTACCTACTCGACTCTACTAATTTCCATACCACCACCTCTTCGTCTCTCCGGCCACTTCATTCTCCATTCTCCATTCCAGCTCATTCCAATTCTTCCGCCACAATGTTCGCTGCTCGACAAGCTTTTGCTCAGGTCCAGCGCCGCACCTTTTCTGCATCTGCCCGCCAGGTACGTACTCTGCTGAACTCACCGTCTGGGTGGTGCCAGTATATTAATCCCATCTTCCACACCCTCTATCCATTGCTGGTGATTGACAATCTCTTTGTAGGCATCTAAGGTCACCGTTTTGGGTGCTGCCGGTGGCATTGGACAGCCATTGTCGCTCTTGCTCAAGCTTAACCCCAGAGTCAGCCAGCTCGCCCTCTATGATATCCGCCTAGCTCCCGGTGAGCATTCGCTGTCCCAAACACGTTATTGCATAAGAAGGCTCATATGATGAACAGGTGTTGCCGCCGATATTGGCCACATCAACACCAAGAGCGAGGTAGGAAGCTCAATTCTCCTGTTCTTCCCAACGTAAGGATTAACATGCTTCTAGGTTCGCGGCTACGACGCAACTCCCTCTGGCTTGGCCGAGGCTCTCAAGGGCTCTGAGATCGTCCTCATCCCCGCCGGTGTTCCCCGCAAGCCCGGCATGACTCGTGATGGTACAATTGACCGCGCACAACGAGAGATGAACAATCTGACCATGCGCTAGATCTCTTTAACACCAATGCCTCCATCGTTCGAGACTTGGCCAAGGCCGCTGCAGACCACGCCCCCGAGGCCAACATCTTGATCATCTCCAACCCTGTATGTTCTGCGCCACCATAAAATTGGGAATGATAGAGCCATTGAAAGTAACCGTCGCAGGTCAACTCTACCGTTCCCATCACTGCCGAGATCTTCAAGTCCAAGGGCGTTTACAACCCCAAGCGCATCTTTGGTGTCACTACTCTAGACGTTGTCCGCGCTTCTCGATTCATCTCTCAAATCAAGAACACCGACCCCGCCAACGAGAACATCACTGTTGTCGGTGGCCACTCCGGCGCGACCATCGTCCCTCTCTTGTCTCAGTCTGGATACAACCTCGAGGGCGAGCAGCTCGACCAATACGTCCACCGTGTGCAGTTCGGTGGTGATGAGGTCGTCCAGGCCAAGGATGGTGCTGGTTCTGCCACGCTCTCCATGGCCATGGCCGGAGCTCGCTTTGCCGAGTCTCTGCTCAAGGCTGCTCAGGGCCAGAAGAACGTCATCGAGCCCACCTTCATTGACTCGCCCCTCTACAAGGACCAAGGCTGCGAGTACTTCTCCTCGAACGTTGAGCTAGGCCCCAACGGTGTTGAGAAGATCCACCCCGTTGGTAAGATCACCGAGTACGAGCAGAAGCTCCTCGACGTCTGCATCAGCGACTTGAAGAAGAACATCACCAAGGGTGTCCAATTCGTCAAGGAGAACCCTGGCAACTAAGTCACACACTACCCAAGCAATGAGCTGCATACGACCATGAAAGGGGAAGGACGGTGAACGGTGTTGTGGACGGTCATTCATGTGCATCAAGCGATTGTATTTTGAGTCACCACCAGGACTGGATCGGACTGGCAATGAATTTATCGAATGAAGACGTTCGGCAATCTTGAAGGAGTTCACCATTACATGTGTAGATCTTTTTTTTGGAGCCGATAAGAAAATGAACTCTCTATTGTCATACCTTCCCTGAGGTGTATGATCTAGGAATGTGATGATTGACGTAAATATAGAAACTTCATCATTAGGTACATCTCCCAATTGGGGCTGATATGCGCACTTCAAATTTACACCATGCCTTGTCAGGTGACTCCCGGGCGAACGGAGACAGGTTGCTCATGTGTGTAGAAGTAGGACGGACGGTCGTGAGGGCAAAGGATCGAATCAACAGAATCCACTCCATATTTAGTGAGCTTCAAGGCGAGATTTGCGTAGGGGAGTCAGAGGCGACAGATAGATTCTATTTCGATCTACTTAAATTCTGCTGAAAACAGAACGTACAATGCTATCTTGTGACACTGTGAAATGTAACAATATAAACATGTTGGCACGTGTGCGATGCGGTTTCGCTTCGTGCAGGATACTTATATATACAAAACGTTCGAAGACGGTATCTTTACCTTCTTACAGACGACACAACCTATATCTTGGCTTTCGGTGCTTCGAGGGTGGGGAGCATCAGGTCTCTCATATCTCCTGCAGCCTCGTTGAGATAAAAGCTCATCTTTTCCTGTTTCGGGCGGTCAGTTCCAATTCGCCATGCTTGATCCAAAGTATGTTGCATGTACTTACCGAACCCAATCCTTTGGAGCATACATTGAACTGGATGCTGTTCTCATTGATCATGTACGCGATTCCCCAGCCATCGTCGACCACTTGGCTCCATCCATAGCCATTGAAGTACTCGGAGCTCAGTTGCGAGCTACTGATGAACCAGGTCGAGCTGTAGCTGTATGCAGGGTCCTGGTATAGTGCAGGCACCGGTTCACCCTCCTTTAGGCATTTCTTAAGACCGAAAAGATGTCGGTCTACGCCACGACCATCGGATGCGTCAGAAATATATTTAACGTGCGCATTTAGCGCGCTACGAAGAAGTTCTTGAGCCTTCTCAGGGGGAGTGTCATGGTCAGCCATGGCATTGCAGAAGGCTACAGACTCGTCGGAGACGGTTCGGCACGTCTCTGTGCGGCCCTGCTGGAAGCGACGAGTGGCGGCGGATTCGTATGTTGGGCGGTTCTTGCCATAGAACTTGTGGTATGCCAATTGTATGATCATCTGAACGTACGCATCTGGCGAGCACTTGAACTTCTTGATCAAACCCTTGCCATAACCTTGGTAAGCTTGGACCCGAAGTTCATGGGCACCGATTTGGCGACTGAAATGAGCTTGCGCATCACCAATGTCCTTTTGCAGTTCTGGTGTGATGTTGAAGCGCAATGGAGTTGGGTTGGGTAGGTCGGAGCGGACGTTAGGATCGTCAAACGGGAGCGCATTGGTGAAGATCATCTTGCTGGCCTCATCGTTGAGGCGATGAGTAGGCGTACCGTCCATCATGGAGTGCTCGCCCATGAAGCCCGAGGTTCCATTGTCATTGATGATGAATTGCAGAGGCTTGTCGAACCAGCGATTTGATCCATCACCATGCCAATACTGGTGAGCACGCTCTTCGAGAGTAACGGGCGATGCATCATCGAGACATACGACGAAGGATGCGGATTCGATCGCATCAACTGACGCAGCATTGACCTCAGAGGCAGCCTTCAGCCGGGGATAGACTTCGGCCCACACGTCACGGTTCTGGGATGTTAACAACCCGACACCTGTGCTCTTTTCGGCCTTCTCGTAGATGCGGTTGAATTGTAATTCAAGCTCGCTAGTATTGAGTTGCTTACCCCCGACCTCATGTGGCACTTTCCAGAACTGATTCTTCCTTATCACGATGATGTGCGCGTTTTCCTTGTGGGGAAACTTGACGGTAGTGTCTGCAGGCTTCTTTGGAACGCGGCTGCAGTTGAACATGTACTCGTACGAGCTCATGGCCATGGGGAGCTTCTTCATGTACTCTGGCTCGAGTGTTCCCTGATCGACTGCCTTTTTGAACTCGAGGACAGCGGTTGTGATGGCAGCGGCACGCTTAGCGGGATTCCTCCTCTTCCGATCGTCGCGATGGGAGTAGAAGTAGCTGACATAGGGAACCACGGGGTCGCGGTAGGCCATATACGCAGCGTCATTCCACCACTCCGCAATCCAGTTGCGGACCTCTGGCTGTTCTCTCCGTGCGACGAGGCGCTTCTGGAGGGTCTCGCCTGGTCCCCCAGGTGCAACGAACTCTTTCACGGCCTTTGTAGTACTCTCGAATTCGGACTGGGAGAGCAGCGGGTGAACGGACTTGAGGTAGCGCTTGGCAGTCTCCTCGAGGGTTGGCACTGGGAGCCGAGGCAACGAGTCTTCGAACCGTAACATTGCGCCCTTTGCGTGATCCTCTTTATATCCTGTTCGCACAAACAAATTAGTATGGCAGGATGACTACCACTGTGATGGTTTGGCCAATTGGCCCTGTCAAGCAAGTAGATGGGATAGACATGTGAAAATGGTAGTGACGAACCTGCTGGCAGCGAGCTCTGCTTCCGGGCTTGTTGAACGGGCGCCATCGGGAGGATCTATGGCAGCATTTTGGTCAATACAAGTCCGATCATGGATGAGGTCATGTCCATGACCCATGCTTGAGATATTTTGCTGGAGACCGAGGTTGGAGAAAATTACCTTGGAGGACTGGGTTGGGAGTAGTCTCGTGCGGAGGATAGAGGCGGGGGCTCGCGCTCGTGCCAGTGCACTGAACATTTGCCGTGATATATGAGGTGACGGAGAGGAGAAAAGGGAATTTCGAGGAAGAAAAAGGGGCGAGAGAGGAGCGACTGGGAAAGAGGGAGAGAAGGAGGAGGATATATAGAGTAGAGAAATAGTAATTTAGTCCGACAGGCTACCTAGGTACGGGGGGTGGGTTGTTTCGATGTCGGAGGCTCTCGCTCTCTACCAAGCTGGCAAGTTGATGATGAGAGAGAGGGACTGGGCGAGCCCGCGGGACCGAGACCGAGCGTTTTCCCTTATTACCTCGGCACAGGGCGGTACCAGCAGATGCGCACTTCGTAGTACACAACACGTACACAGCATTTGTTGGATGCGTGGATGGGTAGTAAATCCCTTTATTTTAAATTCATTGAACATTGAACCGGGTCAGCGGTTGGAAAGGGAAGGGGAAGATGCTGCAAATGATTCTCCATCGACATGTGTGCGTGTTGCAACAAAAAGTACCTAGGCACTTAGTTATGTACTTGCTCCATACCTAGAGGTACCTAGTGAGTTGAGGCAATTGTGCACCTAGTACTCCGTGATGGCACTTCCGGTAGGTACCACCGAGTACGGTTGGGGTACCTACACAGTACATAGCATGTACCTTGAAGCTTGAACCCAGGTGCCCAGGTACCTCGTCAGAACTGCGCTGCTAATGGTCCCGTATTTAGGCTAGCGCGGATTCAGTAACTGAAGTGACGACTAAGTAGACTGTGGAAAACGTCCAGAAGAACCCGTCTGTATCCGGGGGCAGAATTACTATTAGTTACTACGGAGTATGGACTACTCGTACTAATTAGTTAACTATCTTCGGTAGGTGACTAAGGTCCCTATACTTGGGTATGTAGTTGATTAATTCGACCTACTGGTGGGCATATAGTACCCATAATATCATATGTACGCTTCTTTTACCTACAACCATCGTCATTACTGAGGCAAGTCAATGCAGTAACATGAAATGCATTTACCGACCTGTATCTGTCTGCCAGTGTCAGGATTACAAAAACTATTGTTATAATATTCTATTGCTGACTCGTTCCTTTTATTATTTTCCAGACGCAATCAAAGATACATTTCCTCATTCCAGTGCATTCTGTCATGTCGTTGCCATGCCATAAAAGCCGTAAAAGGCATAAAGCTGCCCGCTAGCAAACCGTCGAGGGTTTACATCATCATCATCGTGTCATGCGAACCATCATGCAGTCTCTGACTGAGATGGACAAACTTGTCTGTTTCGAGCCAGATTCGCACTCAAAGGAAAAAGAAAGGAAAAGTAAGACCAAGCAAAAAACCAAACAAACCATATGCACTCTCCCGCCGATATCCACACCTGCAACCTACTCGCTTAGAGAGCGCAAATATGGAGGGTATCATGCCTATGCCAGAAAGTAAACAAAACATCGCAACATTCTATACGCACATTCCTCCATCCCACAGCTTTACCCTCTCCAATCTCTTAGTTCTTGCCCTTCTTCTTCTTCTTCTTGTTCTTCCCTGCCGGCTTCTCTGCGGTTCCATTTGACTCGGGAGCGGCAGCGCCCTCCTCATCTTTCGAGTCCTCCTCCTTGGCCTCTTCCGCAGGAGACTCCTCCGCTTTTGTCTCTTCTGCCTTGGGCTCTTCCACCTTGGGCTCTTCTGCCTTGGGCTCTTCCACCTTGGGCTCTTCCACCTTGGGCTCTTCCACCTTTGGCTCTTCCACCTTTGGCTCCTCTACCTTTGGCTCCTCAGCTGTTGCCGGTGCCTCCTTCGATTCGACAGCATTTGCCTTCTCATCGAGTTCCTTTTTGAGGCTCTCTACCTTTGCACTAAGCTCATCGATTTGACCCTTGGACTTCTCTTGCTCCTCTGAGACTTTGGCTTCAAGTTCGCTGACCTTGGATGCAGCAGACTTTGTCTCCTCTTCCGCAGCCTTGAGCTTTCCCTCAAGCTCAGCTTTAGTCGTCTCGAGAGCAGAAAGAGATTCGATCTTGGACTCGAGCTCAGAGACCTTAGCTGCGCTTAACTCGGCATTGTTGCTCGTCTCTTTGAGCTTCTCCTCCAATTCAGTCTTCGAAGTTTCGACCGCGGCCAAATTCTCTAGCTTCAGCTCCAGCTGCGAAATTTTCTCGGAGCTGGCGCTGGATGCATCATTGGCAGCCTTGACCTGTTCCTCCTGCTCTGCGAGCTTCTTCTCCAGCTCGGACGCCTTGGCCGCACTAGATTCGGCATCTCCTGAGAGCTGCTTCACCTTCTCCTCCAGTTCTGCTTTGGCACTATCGGCGGCGGAAAGCTCGGTGATCTTGTTTTCCAGCTCGGCTACCTTGGTGGAGTGCTTTGCGGACTCGGCCACGGCTGCTTCAAGCTTCGCCTCGAGCTCCGCCTTGGCCTCCTGTGCAACCTTGAGCTCACCCAACTGGGAAGATGCCTCCTTCGACTCAGCCTGAGAAGCCGTCAATTGAGACTGGAGCTCCACAACCTCTGCAGATTTTGCAGAGGCATCATCGGTGGCTGTCTTGACCTGTGCCTCAAGTTCGGATTTAGTCTTCTCAAGTGTAGCTTCCGCCTCCTTCCTCGCTTCCTCGGAAGCATCAAGCTTGGATTGCATCTCGCTCTGGAATGAGCTCAGAGCAGCATCGTGGGCCTGCGTCTTCTCCTCCAACGACTTTTCAGAAGCTGCCAATGTACTCTTTGTATTTTCATGCGCTTCCTGTGCTGCCTTGAGAGCAGCTTCATGCTCGGACGACTTCTCCTTCAGCTCGCCGAGAGCCTCTTCGGCAGCGGCCTTTGCCTCCTCAGCGGTCTTGAGCAATGCCTTGGTAGCGTCGTGTTCGGCAGCGACCTTTTCTAACTGATCGGCAGAAGTGGTTTGTGCAGCTTCGAGGTCGGCAATCTTCTTGTTCAAGGCTTCTACTTCACTCTTAGCCGAATCCGTGGCAGTGCGTCCGGTTTCTTCTGCGGCCTTGAGTTTCTCTTCAAGCTCCGAGATCTTGGTCTCCAAGACGCTGGCATCACCCTTTGCACTCTCTGCGGCCTGCAAGGCATCCGATTTGCTAGCCAACTCGGACTTAAGCGTCTCCAGAGACTTTTCAGCATCGGCGAGTGACTTTTCCAGATCGCTGGATTTGTTAGATCCTTCTAGGGCGGTGGCTAGTTCGGCATTCTTGGCTGATAAGGTGGCCTCCGTCTCCTTCAGGGATGCTTCGAGGGAGATGATCTTAGCCGCATGGCCTTCAGCATCCCCCTTTGCAGCCTCGGTAGCTTTCAAGACTTCCTGGTTGGAGTCCTTCAACGATTGCTCCAGGTCAGCAATCTTTGCATGCAGCGTCTCGGCGTCGCCCTTGGTTGTTTCAAGGCTCTTTGATACCTCGACCAATTCGACCTCTTTAGCCTCCAATGCCTCCTTTGAGGCTTTGACAGCGGTCTCGAGCTCGGCGATTTTCGCGCCAAGTCCTTCAGCACCTTCCTGTGCGCTGTCTGCAGCTTTTGTGGCGGCTTCTTTGGCACTAGCAAGGTCTGCTTGAGCGGTCGCGAGCTCATCCTTACTTGAACCGACAGCGAGTTGGGATTCTTTCAATGCGGCCTCTAGCTCGGTAATCTTGGTAGCAAGACCTTGAGCATCTCCCTTCGCAGAGTCTGCCGACTTTACTAGGTCCTGCAAGGATGCGATCTCCTTCTTGAAGCCTTCAACCTCGATTGTTTGGGCGTTGTGTGTCTCGGTCAATTGCTGGAGCTCCGCCGTTTTCGCGGTCAGGCCTGTGGTGGCTTCGACATGGCTTGCCTTCGCTTCCTCCACCTCCTTCTGCAAGCTGGCAACAAGAACGTCAAGCTCCCCCTTGGCCGTAGCTAGGGCTTCTGCCTCGCTGATCTTGGCTTCCAGGTCCGCACGGGGGATAGTGGTGGCCTTCTCCGCCTCGAGTTTGGCTACTGCAGCCTTGAGTGAATCGAGCTCCTCCTGTCCCTTGCTCAGGGCCTCGTCCGTGTTTGTCTTCCCAGACTCCAGGCTGGTAATGGTCGTCGTGAGAGCCTCAATTTCTGCCTTTGCCTTGGCCAGGGCTTCGTCGGTGGAAGCCTTGTCAGACGCATGGGTTGTCTTCAAAGCCTCCACTTCTTGCTGAGCTTTAGCCAGAGCATCATCGACAGCCTCCTTTGCCGAGGTGAGGGCAGTGATCTCGGCCACCTTGGAGTCTAAATCAGCCTGAGGAACAGAGGAGCCCTTCTGGTCCTGCATTTCGGTTACAGTGGCCTTGAGAGCTTCGAGCTCGTCCTGTGCTTTGCTGAGGGCCACCTCTGCAGAAGACTTGTCGGTCACGTGAAGGGTCTTAACAGTCTCAAGCTCCTCCTGAAGGCTGGCGAGCGCCTGCTCAGTGGACGCCTTGTTGGATTCATAAGAGGCCTTCAGAGACTCAAGTTCGCTCGTGGCAGCTGCCAGCTCATCTTCCTTGGCTTTCTTCTCCGAGGTAAGGGTCACAATTTCGGCGTCCTTGGCTTCCAAGTCTGCACTAGGCGCAGGTGCTGAGTTGCTTTGATTTTGTTGAGCGAGTTCGGCCTTGAGCTCTTTGATAGTGGTGTTCAACTGGGTGATCTCGTTCTGCAGGTCGGCAATCCGAGCTTCATAGCCACGCGTTGCTTGCTCCATCTTGTCGTTGAACACTCGCTCACACTCGTCTTTTATGGTGACTCGCTCTTTCGCCTTAGCCTCGTGCACTTGTTGCACAACCACGCTGACCATGTGCTCCTCAAGGTCTTTCTTGTCTTGCTGCAGAGCAGCCTGGCGCTCTTCGAACTCCCGTTCCTTCTCTGCGTACTCCTCGTTAATGGCGGTGATGGTGCCATCTTGTTGCTGCACGACCCTGTTGGCTTCGTGTAGGTCGCTTTCGATCTTGGCTAGCTTAGCTTGGAGCTTCTCGATCTTCACCTGGGGGGAATCGCTAGCTTGCGGAGATGGCAATTCGGGCTCTGGAAAGGTGTATTAGCTACCATTCGAATGCAGTGAAGATCTGGTGCGGAATCTGGCCGGCAATTGCATTGCATTGCAGTTTTCCAAGAATAAGTTGAGGGAAAGAGAAAAGCTTACCTAGCTCTCGCTGGATACTTGGATGCCTATCTGCTGCTGGCGTCTCAGGCGGTGTATCTGGAACATCCCTTTGGGTCTGCTCGTCAGGCTTCGCAGTGGGTTGCGAGGCCTCGTCATCAGCAGTGGCGGGATGAGATTGTGGAGGTGTCGTGGGCGAAGGTGGTGCCTGTGCGGCGCCGAAGAAATAGTTGTACGCTCTTCGCATACTGCTTGTGCGTTTGGGAAGCTTAGGTCTATTTGAAGAGGTGGATTTGCGGCCTCTACGCTCCTCTTGTTGTGGATCTGGGCTGAGGACAGTCACAGGCGTGATAGTGTCCGAGCTCTTTCCTCGTGGTTGAGTAGGCGGTTTAGGCAAGAGCTTCCTCCCAAATTTTTGAGAGCCGGCGTTGATGTCCGCAAGGATTTGTTTCTGTTCCTTTGCGGTGGTACTGCCGGAGGGAATATGTCAGAATGGTGTTGACTCTTATAGAGGGATTTGATTGGTATGTAGAGAGGAGGACAAGAGGGAGGGAGAATAGAGAAGTAGTAGTGGTAGTAGAAAGATGAGGACGAGGAAGATGAATAGAAAGAAGGATGAAGAGGGGAGGTGGAGGTGGAGGAAGAGGAAGAGGAAGTGAGAGGGGTAGGGGAGGGGTGAATAGTAGTTGCGGTGTGGAGTGTTGACAGAGAAAGGAAAGAAAAAAAAAAGGTTGAGTGATTGATGATTGTGATGGTGGTGGTGGTGGATGACGATTGGAGCCGGGGGGTGTGGTGGTTTGATCGAAGTGACGGTGAAGGATAAGAGAAGGAGGACATGACAGAAATAGGAAATGGATTTTTTTTAATATTGGTTAGGTCAGGCTAGGTACCTAGGTGGGTAGGTACTTCGGTACCTTACCCTAGGTACCTTAGGCAGGTAGGCAGGTAGGTAGGTAGGGTAGGTAGACGTGTAAAGGTGACAGTAGGCAGAAGAAAGTGATTGTACTTACTCATAGCTCGACCGACTCCTTCCAAAGCTGGGCATGGTGGCGGCAGTAGCAGTAGCAACAGCAGTAATAGCAATGATAGTAGCGTGCTACCAGTGGTAGAGTGGATGAAGGGAGAGGGAGAAATAGAGTCGAGTAGAGTGAGAAAGAAGAGAAGATTGGAAGAAAGTTTTTTTCCTCGCTCTCTCTCTACGGAGTATCTTCTCTCTTTCTCTGACTATCCTCAATTCTCGACCTAGGTATTCCTCCGTAGGCAGGTAGGTATCTTTCTCTCAAGGGAGGTTTGTCTTGTTTTGTCGTTAGTTTGATTGTGTACAAGTAGTCAATGAAGTTAGGACCTGGCAGAATGGGGTCATGTCCATCTATCAAGACCGAGAAAGACCAGTGAAAAGGCGTTGGGAAAGGATTGACTTTTATGTACGAGCACAACACAGCAGCGGCCAATGCATGCAATGCAGGGCAGGTTCTCGTTAAAAGTCTCCCCGAGGACCCCCAAGGACCCCCAAGGACTGCAATTGCAAGAAAGCGGTATGGCCATTGGAGGTCTGTGTATGGACTGACTGTACTGTGTATGGATTGTATGGGATGGGATGGGATGGGCAGAGAAATTTACCCTGCGCTTGGGAGGAATTGAGTTTTCCTTTGCCAATCAACGCGTAGCACGTCGTCCAACTTGACGGGGTCCGGGGGAGATGCTACACTAACGCCCACCTACGCGCCCCGGCTCAGTTTCTAGGGAAATCACTTACACTGTAAATGACTGCCTGTATCCACTGGCACTAACTAGGACCACTAGTTACTACCCTTAGTCGAAAAGCTACTAATAAGTTGCTTGTACAGCACAGCAATGCACAACTCACATGCACGGGTCGTATGCCTGCGTGTGTGTGTGTGTCTATGTGTCTATGCGAGTCCGTGTGTAGGTGTGGCGTGCGCCGTGCGACTTGCAACGTGCGGTGTGCGTGGGTTGCGTGTTCCCGTAGATTGTTACCTGTATCGGCGGCTGGTGGTTGGATGCCGACCTACCTACGTCTACATGAAGGTATTGTATGTAACCTACGGAGTACACCGTAAGTAACTATACAAGCAATTATTAGTTACTGCGTGGATGGATGAACCGACTGCCAACCACTGGCAGGGGTCTAGTCACAGTGGCCTGTGTCGTGGCGAGTACGAACGAGCAAGCACGTAACTGGGCTCCTACAACGTACCTAGGTACAGTAGAGATCCTCGGTGACAGTGATCTCTATTGGAACCTTGAAGGTCTGGTCTTGTCGATGGATGGTTTACGTCGAGGCGACGGGAAAGAGATAGTATATGTACAACACGAGTACGGAGTATGGAGTATATATCGAGCGTATCCCAATTGCTGATGGGAATTGAGAGTGATAATGAGAGAGAGGTAGTGTTATATCAACTATCCTGACTGTCTGGAGAGCAGACAGATTCAACAACAACAAACGTGGAGAACAGACGGGAATGAACAACAAGAAGAAGATCTTCAAAGGAACTTAAGCGAGCCTAGTCTAGTACCCGATATGCAATAAATGCCACGGTCGAGGCCGAACGGCTTCGCGCAACGGACATTGTCCAAGATGAATTGGTGCACGCGATAATCCGTACACAGTGCAGTACATCTATCTGTCTACATTGCATTACAAGTTTTGTGGCGTCAAGCAATGTAGGTATGTACTTCTTGTGCACGAGTACTCCGTATGAATGGAACAGAATAGATACAAATCGTGTACGGAGCAGAGTACTCCGTACATTTGCCCATAATACTTTGAGAGCACCTGCATCACTGCCTCCATGCGTCAGTTGATAGCAAAATCGTTCTGTGCCAACAACAACCTGGATGAATGATGCATGAATGATTGTATCAAATACTGTGTACCTAGAACCAGGGGACAGTCGATGGTTGGAACGAAGTCTGTTGCGATGCCTCCCTCGTGCACTACGTGTGTCAAGTGTTGACAACACACAACATAATAATGACCAGCTGCGATTCTGCGAACCATGCTGTGCAATCATGTATAGGCCATTATTGATGATTAGAGCAAAAAATCGCCCATCGGCACAAGACATGTTCTACAATACGGAGTACATACACGGTTCTCCCATTGCCGGATCAACCAAATCATTGTTTACCTCTCCACAGACTCCCTGACAGCCTACCCTCCAACACCTCTGACTCTGGATATGTAATTACTGCGTGACTAGTTACTGTAGCCGCATTACTTGCATACTATGTACATTACTGTGTACAGTATACAGTGACACGGTCTTGTCAAGATGTTTTGCAGCGGGCGGTTCCCACCTTGCTCTGTGCGATACGCTGTCGTCGGCGCCTCTCATGCGAACAGGTGAGGTTGGGTCTCGTCAAGCTCCACGGGCTCTAGTGGCCCTGCAGATACATATCGCGGGCGCGCCATCTTCCCGCCTGTCCCCTCTGTGTCCTGGCAGCCCTGCCCCTGCTTCGCCCTGTCCTGTGTATGTACACTTATGTCGACACAGTATACTCCCTCCGTACTCCATAATTACATAGTTTGCCATTTGGATTAGAATAGAGAAGGTGTACGAGCTTGTACAGTACAATACCAATCAATTCAATACTTGCGACAATTACGACGCAACTACAGAGTATACGATACCATTCAGTACTGCCCACGTACTCTATACAGACAAGTAAATTGATGGTTTCCTCCTGTGAATCCCATGAGCATGCAGCGGGAAAGAAGTGCGAGAAAGATGGGAAGAATCTGTCATTGCTGCCGGGGTGGCCGCCGAACCAGGTAGAGCCGTGAATCGTGATGCGCTGGCGATACAGCATCGACTGCAGGAAGACCTTTGCGCATCGTCTTTGGCGAGTGGGCGAGTTGAATTACCATGGATCGGCCATGGCGGCGCCAAAGGAAAAAAACAGCCTTTACACTTTCAAAGTCCCGAGGAGTTGGGCGAGTACTGTTACCGTGTATGAAAGATGTGAACAGACTTCAGACCCCTTGGTTGATCCATCAAATCGAGTCATGCTCATGTGCAATAATGGAATGTACGCTGGGATTTCCAATGCTCCTTGCACGAGACTCCATCTTTCGACCACAACTAAAGTGACGGCGTAATTAGGTAGATACGGCGTGGTGTACCACTGTGGTCACTGTGGTGTGGTATAAAATATGTCAATAGATGAAAGCATAAACAGCGGAAGCAGTGGAGACCAGACATTTGTCATCCCACCCATCTAACTAGTTAACTAACTAATTAATGGAACCATGATATAACTACCTAACCTAGGTCGATTACATGATTCTGTCTCTTGTCTTGTGCAACAAGAATCACGAGAGACAATCGATTACTTCTTCTGCGAGCGCAGGAGGATAGTATAGTGCTTTAGCCTGTCAAATCGTGACGATTTCGTGTATACAGTAATAACAGCGTGAGTACGGAGTACTTGGAGTTAACTAATTTTTGCCGACCCTCCACGGACCAGACTTTGCCAAGATTAATGGTTCTCTGAAGTGTTTGCGCACACCCTTGTTCCGCTCTGAGCTGTCATCGCATACTGCCTTTTCAATTGGGTGGGCAGAAGTCCAGAATGCATCTTCAGTGACAGCTAGCTGGCAGATTCGCCTGCAGCTTGTACATGGACACATCACTTCGTTCGATCACTTTACACGGCGGCAGTCTATCTCATTGGGAAGGAATGGATGAAGGTAATGTAATATCCGCGTTACCATATCTCAATCGACACGTCAGGTCGCCGCAGACTGTTCAAGTCATTCGCATCGACCTTTGTTGCGTCACATCTCAGCATTCCTACATCGTCTCCTACGAGATCATTAAATGCCTAAAACCGACCTCCAGAGACATGAACAAATAGCACTGCATCCAGCGTGACACGAGGCCGTTCGGCTTCAATACTTGGATCACATTATCTCCGTAAGAGGTAATAAGAATCTTTTAAGGGAACAATCCAGACACATAATATACGATAGACAAACCAAGGCCATCCAGTCGAATAGCTTATAGCAATGCCTACTATCAGCCGGCACCTGCTTCTGACCATTGTGTATTGGTGTCCATTTCAACGATATCTATTGTGAGACTCGACTTATCTGCGACCATGGTTCTTTACCAGACAAACGTGAATAACATGAATAATATAAACCAACGCTGTGTTATTACGCGAAACCGTCGGACGCCGGACTCAAGGACAAAGGAGAGCTACTGGTAATTGCCATCATTTCGTTTTCAAGAGAGAGACCTGGAAAGTCCACCAGTAGGAAGTTGTATTTACTCAGAAGCTGATGGGATTGTCGTGACGGCTCGTGTGCATTTGAATTCATATCTAGAGGGTATCATTTACAGATTGGTTGTTTGAAGAGATACCATGGCCGCGGGTCTGTCATATCCTCGCACCGCCCTGCTCAAGGCCATCTAAGCAATCGAGGAGCAGTGAGAACTATTTAACGTAGTCTCTAATTTTGCGGGCCAAAAAGCCCCCTCCTCAATATACCCCCGATCCCACCAGAGCTACTATCTGAAGGTCGTGATTCCTGGGGTCGTGTTTGATCTGTGTTCTGTAGACGATACGCCGAAGGGTCGTTGTCTTCCATGGCATTCCCTGATGGCTCACTTCCTGAGACCTCGAAAGAGCCTGGCATAGGAGGATTCGGAGACTGCATAGAGTCTGCGGCAGCACTGGGGTTACCTGTGCTGCGGTCGTTGGATGAGCCCGCATGATTGCTAGCGTCGGGCCTTTGAGTGATGCCTTTTCGACAGTGTGGGCAGGTATCGTGCTCGGCCAACCATGCTGAAACGCACGTATGATGGAACCAATGGTGACATGGTAACTCAGTCACTTCTTCCCCAATTTGAACTTCATCCATGCAAATGCTGCATTCTGCCTTGCCTTCCGAACCTAGCATCTCATTGGTGACCAATTTACGGGGTAGTGAGTCAATATCAGCTTGCGAGGCTGGGCCCGGGGCGTTAGATGTTGAATTCTGCTCCATGAGTTGCGAAATAATTCTGTCGAGAGCTTCTTGCGAATAAACTGCATCTCCAATCTGGCCGTTTCCGGCCATTACCTGAGAGAAAAGTGCCATCAGTGGGCTCAACGGTGTGCCTCGAGCACTCCCATCATCATCCGGTCCACTGTGCGCGTGCACATTGTGATGATGAGCATGAGGATGATTTCCGCCTGGGCCTTCGCCAAATGCAGCCATGAGACCTACCAGAACGCTGTCATTGCGTCAGAAACATGACTCGCTTCGAGTTCGATCGGTGGCTACTTACTTGTTGAGTTCGTCCAAGGGCTCGATCTGAGGACCAGGATGGTTGGCATCTCGAGGATAAAGGCGTGCTCCAGCCGTGTACGTGAATCTATGGCCATCGGCGGTTGTTCCTGAACCAGTATTCTGTGGTGCATGGGTGTGTTGGTGTTGGCTGTTTGGGTCTTGTCCTTCAACATCTTGATGAAGGCGCGCCCCTCCAATGATTGAGTTCAGCATCGCCGCGAAGCCACCTATGGGACCGGTATCCAGGCCTCCGCCTCGGCCTCCGCCCCCTCCTCCGCTCAGGTCATGAGGAGAGACAGTCCGATACATTGTGCCTGTCACAGCAAATCGACCGGGACCCACCTGCCGCCATTGTAGATTGCTTATGTCTCCTTCCTCCGGGTCATTGTTCTGAGCCCTGTTTTCGTTCTGAACGCTGTCAAGCCAGGGAGTGTGTACGAGGTCTTGGTAGGGAGGCACTTCCTCGAGGCCTGGCAGAGAATCCGTGCCGTCGTCACTTTCGCCGTGGTCTTGCAAATGATGATCTCGAGGATCGTTGTCGTCCTCAATCTGGAGACTGGTGTCAATGAAAACATCTCAAAGCAGCAGCCGCTGACACAAGCTGCCTTTTGCCTGCACATGCTTACTATTTCGGTGAAGTCAGAACCACACTCCGGGCAAGTGAGTCCATGTTGATCCCGATACCACTCATCCTGACACTCATGGCAGAACATCATATCACGGTGGGCTGGGCTCTGATGCTGTGGACGAGATGACGAGTGGTCGGCCATGTTGGAGGCGGATTTGTATAAATTTGAAGTGTGCGGTACGGGGATAGTTATACGTGCGGCGTCGAGAGGAACTATAGTCAAATGTGAGTCAGATGGAAGTTGCGCAATGGAAGGAGGTACTCACGCGTGAGCGAAAGTCAGATGGCGGCAGCGCGAGCTCTGCGGCCACAAAAGCCCGCGCAGTGCCTTGTGAATTGCGGGACGGCGGGGAGAAGGATATCTGTTCTGCGGTCTCAGTCGTGGCTATTTCCGATAGTGGCCTTGAGCAGAAGATGTATGCAAAATCGATAAGGAGGATGGTTCTAGATGCGGTTGGCAAACAAAAAAAGACGAGGGCGTAAGGGCAATCAAGAACGAGGTAGCTGAGAGGTTTGCAAGATGTGCATTAACCGAAAGGGTACGCTTCGTTATGACAAAAAGCAGTTTGTAAATAGACGCGAGGTATGTAGGGAGTCGTTGCTGTGATAATCGCGTGAACTGCGATTCTTGAATTGCTCTGACTGGGACAGACGGTGACGTTGTTCCTGGCGGCGGGCGGAGGGCCAAGGGCGGAGAACGGAGACAAATGGCCGACGACTTAATAGCGAGGACGTGCTGATAGACAGACAATCAACCAATCTATCTATTATCAGAGTGACTGATAATGCAGATGGAGAGAGGGATAAAGAGAGAGAGAGAGACAGGCAGCTACGTTATCTAGGCAAGATACGATAATTGTTCTGTGCCGGTTATGCTACTCCTCTTTTGTGTAACAGACATGTTTAGAAAGAAAGGGAAAAGCAAACATTTCTTGTCGTTACAAGGCAGCGGTGGGGTGGGCAGGTGGGGGTATGCAGCGTGTCACTCTTCAAGCCAGCTCAGACATCTCGTCGTGATACATGTATCTCTTGCTACATGCACTGCTTATAAAAGAAATAAAGCAGTAACGAGCAAAGTGGCATGCTGTTTGCCTGTCTTCTGACTAGGCCAATTATGAGACCCCGCCACATGATTGGGAGGATACAGTCACAACACCCACCCGCATTCAGATACTTATGGTCTTCAGCACTGGCTCGTCGCGGGAGCTCGAATACAAACGTACAGACAGAGCTGGTGGAGTGGAAGACTTCGAGTCAATACATGCCAGCAATATATACACACCATGTGACGCCTTTGCACAAACCCATACCTTCACATCATTACAGGAAAGCATTTCGCATCGCCATTCCATGCAACATAAGATGAAATCTCCTGTTGTAAAACACTCTCCACAAAGCCGTGCCTTCTTCTTACCTCCTTCTTGCACCTTTGAAAAGGATACTACCCACGATACCAGCTGCAACTGCCAGGCCGCCCACAATCGCCACGCCCACCAAGCCCTCCTTTGCGACCTTCTCGTCAATGAGATTCTTCAGGCTTCCTGCTTGCAAGTTCGCAGGCTCCAACTCCAAGAGCAATTCGTTGTACCGCCGTGCTTCAGCGTAATTCCCTAGCTTGTAATTGCCCAGTGCAAGATAGTAGAGGCACTCTCGCCGCCGTTCACGGGAGTTGCGGAAGATTTCGGAAAGTAGGCGAACACCTTCTTGCTGCTCCGCGCGATGATTCGATTTTATGAGACCCTACAAAGACAGCGTCAGTATAAAGTGAGCGCGCGATGCAATATCTGCACACTTCGATAGGGTGCAGTAACATCATACCCAAGCATAGTTAAACTTTGTTTGTAGTCCAACGTATTCTCCTTCTTTTTCGAATTGCGCTCGTAGAACTTGGAGTTCATCTGGCTTCAGTGGACTCTCAACGTCGGCCGCATCTACACGTGAAAGGACGTCAGTTAACTGATTCTATCATGATTTCAAGGAAGGAGTCATAGTGCAACCCCGGAATTGACTTACAGGGTAATGAGGATGTCATGGTCAATGGTCGTGTTTAGGCAGATCAAAACAGTGATGAAGGGTGGCGGTGGAGGTTGAGGAAAGTGGATGCACCCTGCCTGTGTATGTGTGTGTGTGCGGTCTGTATGTCTGGGAGACTTCCGTGGCCTATAACTGATAGAGCCAGAGACAAAGTACTCCTATAGATATGATTCTAGGAGGTCGTCTCACTGGTCTCAAGACGTGGGCAAGTGACGTACACACTAAAAAGTTAACGAGGTTGTCAGGTCTCAAGCGCATCACCAGAGAGCTAACTAGCTGCCCGGAAGAATATTCGCCACAACCAGATCGCACAGCCACTCAGCCACACATCCACTCCGTTGCCATGTGTGCACGCTCGGACCATCCAAAACAACAATAGCCATCACCATCAACATTCAACACCAATACCAACACCAACGGACACTGACATTCAACTCAACTACACGACCCCCCCTCTCCCGGCACGCACAGTATTGAAGTGACTGTTTGATCTCTATACAACAAATTTGGACAATCAGATATATACAACAGTCCGAGATTTCCACCATGCTACTCGACGAGGACCCCGCTGCGGTAAGAGACAAGCTCACGAACAGCGCAATGTATATCGGTCTTTCGGTGGTTGTACTAACATCTACAAGCTCATCTCACAATGCACGAAGAACTTCAAATACGATAAAGACCGTGACTGCCTGTTACGGATATCTGACTCCCTTTCCACTCTATCGCAGTTCCGGCACCAGCACCTCTCATCACTGCAATCTACCCTCACCAAACTCAACCGCACGCACCAAACACTTTCATCGCAACACAACCACACGCTATCCCAACACAATCCCACCACACATGCGAGCGAGATCCTGCGTTTAGACACAGAGAAGTTCAAGATTGCGAAGCAGGCCAGCGATCTGGAGATCGAGGGCGAACGCCTTCAGAGCGAATTGGAACGACTAGGTGGTATTCTAGGTGATCTGGAGGAGGAGGGAATCGAAGGAGGCGAGAGAGAAAAGCCTGCCAACGAGGACGCTACTGTGTATGTATCAACCGTATCTTTCCCAGGCACGTATCCACGACTGATCAATTGTGCGTAGGTTGAAGCTCAAGGTGTACCGCTCTCTTGGAATCGACGTAGAGGCTGATCCTACTTCGGGCATCTACAACAAAGCCGTCATCCGGAACACGGCTAAGGGCGATGTTCACGTCGTAACGATCGATCCCAAATTTTCGCGAAATTTCTACACAAATTACTTCTGGCGGACCATGTAGATTATGCTTTGGGTGGGTCTTTGGCGTATTAGGAGTCACAGTTCAGTGAGACTGTCAGATGTTCATGTATACATGTTTTTTTATGAATGATACCTTAACTGTTGCTTTCTACCCTTAGGCGTCTTGGGCTAAAAGGCATAGGTTGTTTGGAGGTCAACGGTGTGGTATTAGCCCTTATAGTAGTTACAGAGTGAACGCAGACTTCTTTTGTCCTGATCCTTGAAATGACCATGTTCAGCAAGCACGTGCATTAAACCCATTGTATCAAAGGCCATACAATCCGCAGCCCAGAACCAAAGGCACTTTGAAAATATCCGCCCTTACACCGTAGTCGCCTAGATGCCTAGCGTTTTCCATTCTTCTTTTTGGCTGCGACAACCTTGAAATTCCCGGTATCAAGTACGCTCTGTGGTTGCTGTTGTTGCATCAGCTGCTGCTGCACGCTCGGTCCGCCTTTCTTCGCAACCTCGCTCCAACCCCCACCTCCTGCTTTGATTTCAGCGGGGCTTGCAGTGCCTGAGTTGTCGAAAATGCCCTTGTCAGCTAGCTTGCGACGGCGAAGAAATTCTTCAGCAAAGTGGCGGGAATCAAGAGTGTTGGAAGCCGAATGCACAGATTCAGTCAAGAGTTCGATATCAGGCGGGAAGCTCAACAAAGAAGCGACGAACTCATCAGCTATGCAAGTCAGCTATTGATTAAAACCGCAGATGACTGCAAAACAAAGACACTTACCATTGATGCTCTTGTTCAGATCTGGGCGAAGTTCGCCAACAGCCCATTTGCGGAACTCGTCCTCCGCATTCGCCTTGGCTAGCTGGCCACTCGTTGTAGCAGTGCGAGTAACAGTAGGTTTCTTCGCGACGACTGGCACTACACCACTGCTAGCAGAGCGTAGAGCTGGAGGGGCCAGTGCGGGAGTTCCTGCAGGGGTTTTAACCTTTCCGCTAGCTCCCACTGTAGTCCAGGCTCCACCGCCAGTGATAGGAGGCGTTAATGCTTGTTTACTTGCAAGATCAGCGTAGCGCTTCCCAGAAGCAAGAGGTTGGGTCGCGACACCAAATGCCGCGGCACTTGCGACTGCACTGGCTACCTGGCGCTGCTTACGTGCCTCCTCTTCTTTCTGGATTTGTTGCAAGGTTTTCTTTGTGCCTGTGTTGGATGGGATGTTCGCCTTGCCTACTGTTGGCTTACTCCAGGCAGATTGACCACTTGCTCCAGGAGTGATGGGTGAAGCGCTGCTCGCCCAATTGGAAGTTGATGGAAGGCCGGGCTGTGCCGCTGGCGACTGGGCTTGAGCAAGCAACTCCCTCTCCATTGCCTCGCGACGAGCAGCAGCAGCGATGGCCTCCCTTTCGGCAGCTTTGCGAGCCTCTGCCTCCTGAATCTCTTTGAGTGATGGACCTTTGGAAGCTTCAGTGGGCTCCTTGGCCCATGGTGCAAGAGAAGCATTTGGTGTATCGGCGGATGGCGTTTCAGAGCGCGATCTCGGCTCAGGATGAAGGCTGTCCGCGACGATCGGCTTACGCTGAGCAGCTGGAGCAGGCAGCGGAGATTGCGAAGGCGGGGGAGGGAAGGGGTGGATGCTGGTATCTACCTTTGCCCACGGCGACTGGGGTGCAGGTGACTGTTTTGCGGATGCTGCCTTTTGGACTTGTTCGGTCAACGAAAGAGGTTCGTGTTTCTGGGCAGTATCACCCTTGGGCAAGGCGGATGCTTGCGAGGGGACCTCTGCGAATGTTCCTTGGTGATCTAATCCAGATTCCTGGTGCTCATGGATTGGGCTCTTCTCGGTCGTGGTCTCTTCCTGATGGGTCAAAGAGGTCGATCCCAGGTCTGTTTGAACGCGAAGGTCTTGGAATTGTTGCAAACGCTCCGCAGATGCCTGGGCAGCCTGTTGCTCGCTCTGTGAGTTCTGTTGGCCTGCATCGTGTTCAGCTTGCTCGCGTTGCAATCTCGCTCGATCGTTTAGCATAGCAACGACTTGCTGGGCATGTGTGTTTGAGTCAGCCTGCTGCGATCCGAAGGGGACATTAGTGGCCCCGAACGAAGATTGACCGGAGCGACCAAGGTTTAGACGGTCCATAACAGTAGGTAAGTCTTCTTCTCTGATATTCCCAAGTAAGTCTGAGCCTGGTCCGATTGGTCCAAGTCCTGGCACTGGTCCAGATCGAAATGCATTATCGAACAGACCTGGAACAGATGCTGCTCCACCTGTCAAAGGACCTTGAGTAGGAGATGGTTGATAACCTCCTGGAGAAGTGATGCTGCCATAACTGGGCTGGCTATGAAGGCTGTGTGCACTGGAATGATGGTGGAGCTGATGCGGAAGAATGCCATGATTGCCCAGACCGATAGTAGCCTGCTTCGCAAGAGCTTGCTGCTGTGCAGCAAGATGTTCCTTCTGACGAGCCATGAGATATTGCTCCTCTTGCTTTCTACGCTCGAGGGCATTCTGTTGCTCGGCCGTTAGAGTCGTGCCAAAACTTGGGAAGCTATTTGCGAATGGTGGCTGAGCGGCAGTGGTAGGGCCAGGGACGCCAGCCCAGGCGTTTCCTGTTTGCGTTGTAGGTGGGCCATGAGGGATACCAATTTGTGGAACCAGGAAGGGCTCACGGGAGTTACCAATTCGTCGTATGAGTTGAGCGAGAGGCTCATACTCTGGATCCTCCTGTTTTTTAACGAGTAACTCTGGGGAGAAAAAGCCAGCCTTGTACCAATCATGCATCTCAAGGCCGGAAAAGGGGCCTTGCGTCTGCCCTAGAGGATCACGATAGATCCATCGCATGCGGTCAGGCATCACCATCGTTCGTTGCTGAGGGGCAGGGGGCTGGCTCGAAGCTGGGCTGCTAACATTCGTCGGTTGCGTGGACGAGGTCCTCCCTTGACTGTTATCGGCTTGTCCAGTCGACGAAGCAGCAACTCCATGTCCAAATGAAGATCCGATGGGTTCGGGTGTGTCTCGGCGAGCATCATCACCTGCACTAGGAGGCGGTCCGAATACATCGAACAATCCCCGACGAAGCGGACTATCAGTATCTCGGTTCGGTATGTTACTGCCTGGTGCTTGAGCTCCAAACGCATTCCTTCCGAATGTTCCAGTTCGTTGCTGGGTTTCGCCCGGGTTTGAGCCCATATCAATGGATTGTCGCTCACGCATCTGCTCTTGCATGGCAGGAGGAAACAAGGAACCCAGCCTACTACGTCCTAATGTTCCAGTGCCTCCCATTGCGGGTCCACCGCCGAAGAGTGAACTGCTTCCCAGACCCGCCAAGCTAGGGGAATGCATCTCACCGCCTACAGAGCCAAAGGCGTTGTCAAACCCTCCACCGAATGGTCGTTCTCGTACCGGAGTGCCAATGGTTTGCTGCTGCGGAGCGGACGTCCACGTCGACGCGCCACCTAGTCCAGGAAGACCCCCCAGACCGGGGAGTGCTGGAAATCCACGTGAGGGCCCCACGCTTGAGGTTTGACTCCGGTCACTTGCAGCTACTTCGAATGGTTGAGGGGCACGTCCTAATCCCCCCAAACCACCAAAACCTGTAGGTTGGATTCCGGAACCGACCGATGTGTCAATAGGGAATACGCCCATTCCAGGGTAGTGAGTGTTTGGTACGTCAGATAATTCAGAGTCGCCATCGCCATGATCCCCGCGGGCATGATCTGGGCTCTGATATGGATTCGTATCTGTGGGACTCATTGGTTCTTCGCCAGTACGATGGGGTGGTCCTTGCTGAAAATTATCCCTCCCGTGGAAAATATCACGCAATCCAGTGTTATCAGCCGTCATGCCGAATGCCGAGAACCCATCATCGCGCTGGGAATGTTTGAGGGGAGTGGAGAAGGTGTTGGAAACATTTTGACGAGGGGGGCTGGCATCCTGGCCGCCCCCAAGAATGGCACTCCCGGAAGGCTGGTCCTGGTCAGGAAACGGATCCGTATCATTACTTGTAGGTCGATTAGAACGGGCTTCCATCCACGACCCAGTTTTGGAAGATTCGGTCTCGGCTACCTTGCCCAAATTGCCCAGTGACGCTTTCTCCTTTGTACTTTTGTCGAAGTCCTCAGTGCTACCTTTGCTCATAAGACCTTTGAAGCGGCTTTCGCCACGAACACTGCCAAAACCAGTCTTCTTGTCAGATTGTGGGATGGCAAAGTTGCCGAATGCACCAAAGCCTCCTGAAGGAGTCGCGGACCACGGCGAAGGAGGGTTTGTTCCTCCATTGGAACCAAAGGGAGCAGTTGTCGTACGCTTCAGGGAACCGAAAGGTCCAGCGTTTTCAGCCGTACCCTTATCCTTCTCTTGTTCCTCGGACGGCCCACCAGGAACCTGATCCTTGAAATCTGTCCTCCGACGTACTAGAGCGGGCGGTGGCGCCACAGCACTTGCATCCTCTCGAGAAAATCTAGATGTAGCGGGCGATGACAAGATATTAGAAGGGAACGGATATGCATCGCTCGTGTCACGGCGACGGGTACCCGGCCGCGTGGTTGTGGGCGAGGATAAGCCATATGGCGTGCCACCGCCTTGAGATATCGAGGTCTTACGAAGGGAGAGGCCGTCTTTTGGTGTGCCTTCTTTGTTGGCATTCTGGACTGGTGGCTTCAACGGCGAATTGACTGAAGTGGTAAAGCTCTGGAGAAAAAAGGTTAGTTATCTGTAGACAAAAAACACGATGAACTCTGGGCCGACTACATACCTCCCTCTCTTCCTCAGTCAACTCGGTCAAGCTGAGAGGAAGTACGTTCCCCTCGCGGTCCCAGCATATATCCACCCCACTCTGGCCCTGGGTACCTTCATCTCGCCGACCCCAGGTAGCGGTCGAGGTGCCATTCGAAATGTGAGGTTCCCATGCTCCAACAAAAAGCTCAGACAAGCCCTCCTTGATACTTTCCGAGTCGAGCTGTTTATGGTAGAGGTGTAGAAGTTGATCTCTTGAGTACCGCCCCTCGATGGAGCTTCCATTTCGACCGGACTGAGCATGTGGTGGAACATAGACTCCAGGGTTTGTCGAAGGGTTGGGCGTCGCGCCGCTGACGTCTCGAGGGTTTGCTTGGGTTGAGCCGGAAAGGGAGGGTGCATGTGACGGACGACGAAAAGTTTGCGTGGCACCGTTTGCGCGTCGTGCCCTATTGAGATATAGGTTATTGGATGCCACAAATGAGGGGGAGGGTGTGGTGATGAAAGCAAGCGAGGAAAGTCAGAGATCTGTGGCATATGTGGGAAAAGGAGCAATGGCATGAAATCTCTGGCAAAATAGGCATGCCCCGCGATATTGCGGCAAGACAGATGATAGTTTGCGAGTTGCGATGAATGAGAAATTGCATGCAGCGATGAGCGTATACTTACCAGTCGCCGGTCGCCTCTGCCCGTGATGAGTTGGAATTGCCGCTGCCGGCTGCTGCTGAAGCAAAGGTAGGGGCCATGGCTGGAACAGTAAAGTGATTCTCAAGCAATGGAGAGCGAGCAGTTCGAAGCCAAAGAAGTTTTGGGACGGTGATGAAAGCGGGACTTGCGACTAAAGTGGCGAAATAGTATGACCAGGGAGTAGTCCAGAAAGAAGGACGAAATTTCGAGTTCGATCGTATTTGGAGTGAACAGAGGATATTCGGCGCGCGCGAGTCGGTCGTTGTACGGAGTGTAGTCGAGTAGAAACGACGAGAGGTCTCATCAATCGATGCAACGCTTTCGCTATGTGTGTCTGCCCTAGAGCGCCTAGTGCGTTTCTGGCTTAGGTAACCGCCGTTGAAAAACAATATCACGTGTGAGGCGATTGGCACGCTTGTCGCACACGACAACGCATTTTTTCGTGGAAATGCGTCCAATACAAAGTATTCGAACAAAGTTCATCTCAAAAGAATATGATTTTACAATACAAGGTACCGTCGTTTGTTAGTAGATCACCGCCTTCGTAGTAGATCACCCATCGTTCGCGCCTATGGCTCATCTCCCACGGCCGACATACAAGTACATTGCGTCCCTCTTCGTGATTAATCTTGGATCTTTTTGTGTTCTGAGACATACGAGGTATCTCATGAGTTCCTCCCACCTCTCTATTGCAGGGTAAATTCGAATATGCACAGTGGTGCCAAATACGTATCTACAAAGCTAAAAGCACGCTCCCGGATCATTATAGACATCTTTCATGTCGTCTTCGATGAAATGGAGTTCTTCTTCAGACACCGATCATCACACTTTCTGCAAGGTAGTCAGTGATCGCAAACATAAGAACAGCGTCACTGTGATGCGGGACACTTTACTGCATGCCCTATGACAGAAGGCCTGGGATAGAACAGAGTATGCAGCTTGCACATCTCCTAGCTTTTGTCCGCATGTAAGAACTTGCTGGAGTGCATTTGGTCGTCGGCCGCAAGATCTAGTATCCGTTACTTGAGACAGTTTGCTCGTCTGCTATTTGCACGCAAATGACCTCTACTCTTCCTTCTAGCTTTTCTCTTGAGAAGTTCCATAGCAAACTCACAAGAATTGTTTGAACTGGTGTCATCCAAAGAAACTGGCAACAGGATCAGGTCGAACGTCTGTCGAACGCCTGTTACGCGGATATTCAATCAACCCCTCGGAAGATATCATCAACCTCTGAGGACTTTCAAGAAAGCATAAGTGGCATGTATAGAGCCGCGCTAGGGTGCTGCGCGTTCCGTCTGTTGCGCATTCGCATCTAGCTTATATGCGCGCTTACGACGAGAACCCTTACGACAGTGGCAACGAGAATCAATGACGAATCAGGCAATGGAGCTTGCATGAACTGCAGGAATAGGAAGTTCAAAGACGTACGCAGTTGATATCATGAAGGTGCATGCTGCTATAGGAAAGTTGTCTCGTAAAACCTAGGATCGGTCATATCTAGAAGAGAAAGAAAGTGTTCAAAGCGCCTAGCCCAGAGTATCCGCAATGATGAGCGTTTAGTCAGAATCGCTGCTGCTCGACGAGCTACTCTTGCCCCGACTGCGTGACCTGTGGTGCTTTTTCTTGTGTCCGCTTCCGTGGCTGCCGTGATGGCTTCCAGCGTAGAGTCCCCCCAATCCAGCTGCAGAACCAGCGTAAGAAGAGCCATGATGAGAAGAGCTATGGTGAGAACTTCCATGATGAGAGCTACCATGGCTGCTGCTATGCTTGTGCTTGTGTTTTTTCTTCTCTTTCTTTCTATTACCACATCATTAGTATAGATGATCGAAGTGAAGTTCGTATCCCCACTTACTTGTCGTGTTTGTCGGACAGCACGTTGGCGCCAATGGCACCTGCCACGAGGCCTCCGATGGTACCCAGTGCACCTCCACCGAGTTTGTTGCCCGCAAACGCTCCAGCAGCTCCTCCGATCAAGGTAGATCCGAGACCTCTCTCGCCGTCAGCAGGTCCTCCAGGGCCTCCGGGTGCGCCAGGCTGATCGTACTGGCCATGCTGCGGGTTCTGCTGGTGCCCCTGATTGTCATAGCCTGACTGAGGCGGTGCGCCATAACCTTGGTTTGAGGGGGGGTAGGGGGAATGGCCACGATTTTGGTCACCGTATCCTTGGTTGTAGCCCTGATCGAAGTTGTTTGGTGGGGGTGCACCATAGGATTGCTGTTGTGGAGGAGGGCTCTGGTATGAGTGGTTCGTAGGAGCTCCGTAAGGATCCTGCTTGTACAAAGGTCAATACTTTCCCAAGTGTATCAGTGTCGCTAACAGGCAGCTCACATGTTGGGGTAAAGGGCTATGACCCTGGTTTCCATAAGAATCTTGGCCGTATTGTTGGCCGTACTGAGGCTGCTGCGAGTGCTGTGGTGGGTATTGATTGTAACCTCCATCGTAGCCTTGCTGTGGAGGCTGATTATAGCCTCCACCTTGGCCACCTCCGTAGTAGTCGTTGTTGGACATTATGGGTCAGAATTCGCTCGAAATTATCCAAGAGAGTATTCGCAAGCGTAAGAATAAGGAAGAGGGAGAGGTAAGGAGAAGGACGTATGTATTGTGCGGCGTGGTTGACGTCTTCGCTCACAGTGTTCCGTAGATTGAAGCGCGCGCGGAAAGGTGGGGGAGGGGCGGGTGGTTGGTTCAAGGTTCAGCTACTCTCGAGGGGATCACACGCGTCTTTAAATGAGCACTCGGGCAGAGCTGATGCCGACGGCGTCAGCAAATGACTAGACGGAGGTAGGTAGCTGATCGTAACCTTTAGATGACTCCAAGCAGGTGTAGAGAGAGATATAGACCCGTTCATACATGGATAAAGCTCGAAGCTGCTTATACATACCTCTACTGTGTGTACCTGAGTGAGTAGGAACATACAACGTTTGTGGCTGAGTGGCAGCTTGCGTGGTGACTAGTGCACCGCCACACCATTCCACGAGCGGCGTATTCACATTGATTCTTGATTTCTTCGCTGGCTCGGTTGACTCGTCATTGAAGTGCGAGGATGACGAACAGTCCATATGACGAAGTGGCTCTGTGAACATGCCTTACTACGAGGTAGCATAGCACATGGCATGCGGCGAGAGTGCCGACTCACACAAGAATTAACCTTGTGAATTGGGTTTGATCCCTCCACCATGAGCTGGGTAGACGGATTGTAGAATTAGATATTCCGTACTTATACTTCCAACTTACTTGCAAAATGACGGCATCGATGCGTGAATGAATTTAGAAAATCATATTCCATCTGTTGCTTCGTAGTTGTTGGCTATTCACCCAATAGGGACAAATCACGGGCCAAGCTTTGTCATATGGGCGTCCATCCGACCGCCCAAGTACCTAGGTAGGCAGGCAACGCAGGTATCATGCAGGCATTTATTATCCATTAGAACTGGAATGTTATATGACTGAATGAGAATCAAACAAGTAGATAGGATGTCAAGAAGACATTGAAATATTTCCCCCTTGAGGTCTTGTTGCCTTTGAATACCATAACTACCCAGGGACCTAGGTACCTACGAGTATAATTACCGTGTCACGCGTGCTTATGAGTAGTTACAGTTGATTTATGCTTGATCCGTTGGAGTGGACTGCCCCACCACGCTAAAACTCGCAGTTTAAACTCATGTGCGTACTGTACTTGTACCTTTCTGTTACTGGGTGTTACAGCCAATTACAACTAACTCCTACCTCTACAACACCGCTAGCCCTGATTTGTCGAGTTCCTGCGAGTTTGGGCAACTAGTGCAGATCACCTACATACAATACAGTGATACCGTCAGTAGGTACCTCGTACCTCGTATCGTCTGCTCCGTACAGAGTACTTGTACACGGTTACAACCCTAGGTACCTAGGTAGATACACATTTGAGCAAACAATGTAATTGATGATCATAACGCTTTCAGAGCAACTACGCTCTTTACCCCCTTTTTTTTTTTGGCAAAACGCTTTCCAAAAGACAATACCGTACTGTGTAAGATATTGGCTGGCAACGGGTCAGTACCTGCAACGACCATAATCATTTGTAGCATGATTCAACTGTACATATGTAGATCTCTATCGGCTTGTCTGTCTCGTACTCCACGCTCCAATTGGTTAGCCTCGCACCGCACCCGAAATGCGAGATTCATTTACACAGGAGAAAACCCCCGTGGCAAATGCAGACGTTTGCTACGCTCCATAATTACCAGCTCAGCGATCTCGCACTTTCTTCATCGTTCCGGATGGGAGCCATGGCCAGGCAGCGCTCTAGCGTTTTCCTTTCTCCGCCTTGACTGGGGTGCGCTCGCCTAACAGACATTGTGGTAACCTATGAGAGGTGCACTACTCATCATCAACTGCCAGGCAGGCATTAGGACATAAGAAAGGCGAATCACACACTCATCATTGTCAGACTCCAACCGATCCTCACTCTGCCTTACCAGGCGCTTCCTATCTAAACGGACATCATCACTCATTGTTATTTTCATTTAAGGTAGCGAATCCATCTTCCTCCATCATTGTCCTTTCGATAATTGTTTCTTGGTGATGGGAAGCAGACTCGTCACCACTTTCTCGCGTTCATCTTCTATTATACATATTTCTCAATCACCTCTTCTATTGATTTATATCAAATGGCAGTGTCGAATAAAGCCACAGCAGCCAATGTCAATGCCACTGCTGCTGCAGTATCACCGGATGCTGCAGAGCAGACCATAATGTTGGCCGAAGTTGTTGGGTCAGACGATGGGCCTGCAGTGAAGCCAAGCATAGAGCAGCGTACCATATCTGAAAAAGACGAAAAACCGCCCAAATCCCCTTCTGGCCTTGGAAACTATTTTGTAGGATCAAAATTCCTTGCTTCGTTGGCAGATCATTGACCTTTCCCGCAGCGCGTACTCAGCTATGGTACATCATTCGATGTGTTCTTGATGGTTACGTCCTGCATCACATCCGTCGGTGCAGGCATGGCATTCCCACTTCTAAACATTGTTTTCGGCATGTCTGACCTACCATAAACTCACCCAGTACTTCCGTCTAACAGTTGACAGGGGAGCTCGTCGGCGACTTTACTGGCTATTTCGCAGAAAACACCACAATTACGAAGCAACAGTTTCAGGCATCAGTGAACAAGAACTCGTGCGTACATTCCAGTACAGACATATCATGACCGCTTTTCTCATTCCAGGACCAGACTATACCTTGTGTACATCTTCATTGCAAAGTTTGCCTTATCGTATATCTCAATGGTATATACATGCCATCGTCCCATCTCATGCATACCTGGGTACTAATGTCCATGATAGCTCACGATTCGAATCAGTGGATTGCGCATATCAGCTGCTTTAAGGTTGGCTTACCTACGAGCTACGTTCATGCAACCAGTCAGTACGATCGATACGATATCTCCCGGCAAAATTTCTACACGAATCACCACATCCTCAAATACTATTCAGCTTGCCATCTCGCAGCACTTCGCCATGCTCTTCCAGTCTCTAACATTCGTCATCGGTCTCTACGTTGTGTCGTTCATCAAGAGCTGGCTTCTCACCTTGGTAGCTAGCGCGTCCCTGCCATTCATACTGATAGTTTACGGTGCGATCATTCCTCCGTTTACGAAACTTCACAAAAAGGCCGAGACAATACAGGAGGAAGCATCTGCACTGGCATACGAGATGTTTTCGTCTATACGAGTTGTCGCGGCATTTGGAGCCGAGGATAGGCTCGCTAAGAAGCACGCTGCTCTCCTAGATAAGTCGGTCCAGATTGAGCAGAAGAAAGGCCCAATCATGGGGTTGATGATGGCACCGTCTATGATGGCCACGTATGGGATCTTCGGGCTTTCGTTCTGGTTTGGCATAAGACAGTACACACGCGGCCATATTGATGATGTCGGCCAGATCGTTGTGTAAGTGAAAAGTTCCCAGCGAACAACGAACGACATCGTGCCAAACTCATTCCTGGACATGTTTCACTTATCTCAGAGTGTAATGAGACTAATCTTTTCCAGGGTCCTTTTCTCTGTCATGCTCGCTGTTCTTAGCATTGGCAGATTAGCCAGTCCTATCATCGCTGTTATAAAAGCATCAGCAGCAGCAGCTGAGATATTCATAACTATCGATGCATCGGTTCAAGATACAAAGGGGCTCAAAGAACCCGACGTATCTTCCGAAGACGATATTCATCTTGAGAACATCTCCTTTTCATACCCGAGTAGGCCTGACGTCCACGTCCTTGAAGATCTTAATATCCGCTTCGAAGCCGGCAAAGTCACGGCAATAGTGGGACCATCCGGCTCCGGCAAGAGCACTATTGTGGGACTTCTCCAGCGATGGTATGACCTTGCAGGTACAATTGCACACAGGAGCCCTAGAGAGGTCAACGAGAAGCAAGTGGTAGACCATGACATTCCAGAGCCAGACGACAGCCACAAGAAATCGAGAAAGTCCAAGAAATCCAAGAAATCCAACAAGTCCAATCCGTCAGACCAGGCGGTTGAAAGCAAGGGCGAAGAAAAAGTTTTGGGCCCCAATACCTGCACTGGCATGATCCGAGTTGGTGGAAGGGATCTCTTGGATATTGATCTGAAGTGGTGGAGGTCTCAAATTGGCCTCGTACAACAGGAACCGTTCCTTTTCAACGACACCATTTTTAATAATGTTTCTTTCGGACTATGTGGCACCCGATACCAGAGCTTATCAAGAGAAGAGAAACTCAAGTTGGTAGAAGAGGCTTGCAAAGAAGCATATGCAGACGAATTCATTGCGAAGCTACCAAAAGGCTACGACACTATGGTGGGTGAAAGCGGCATTAAGTTGTCTGGTGGCCAGCGACAACGAATCGCAATTGCACGCAGCATCATCAAACAACCGGCGGTTCTGATTCTTGACGAAGCCACAAGTGCTGTTGATGTCAGAACCGAGCGCATCGTTCAAAAGGCGCTTGAGCGTGTCTCCAAGGGCCGTACAACCATTGTAATTGCTCACCGTCTTTCTACAATCAAACGAGCAGACAATATCATAGTCCTGCGAAAAGGCAAATTAGAAGAGCAAGGAAGCCACGATGATCTACTCAAGATCGAAGATGGCATTTATCGCGGCCTGGTCCACGCCCAGGAACTGGCAACTGAAGCCGTCGAGGCCGAAGATGGTGGCGATATTCATATCATAAAAACAACAGAAAGTCGTCCTTCTAAGCCTCTAATTGAAGAAGAGATACATGCTCAGATTGACGAGCCAGAATATAAAGACCAGGGCTTACTTCGTGGTTTTGGTCGCCTTCTAGCAGAACAACGACATCACACTTTGCTCTACACGATCGCAGTTGTCGGCATCCTTGGAGCTGGAGGTGAGGATCGCCAAAGCCTGGAATATAGATTATTGATGCTAACGTCACGTCAGCGGTCTATCCACTTCAAGCTTACATTTTCGCCAATGTGATACAAGTCTTCACTTATGTTGGCTCTAACGAAAAGCTCATCAAGGAAGGTAATTTCTGGGCCGGTATGTTCGGTGTGGAGGCTGCAGGTGTCGGTTTGGCGTACTTTGCACTCGGATGGACGATGCAGCTCATTGCAAATGTAAGCCATTTAGGCCATTCATACGCTTCCTTCTAACTGTGACAGGCGATTACACGCTATTATCGACAAGAGTACTTAGAGAACATGATGCGAAAGGGAATTCCGTTTTTTGACGCCGAAGGGCACTCTCCAGGCTCCCTTACCGCTCGTCTGAGTGCAGACGCCACGCAAATCCAGCAATTGATGAGTACCGAGATGTCAATGGCATTCATCGCCGTTGTGAATCTTGTCGGATCTACTATAATTGCATTTGTTTACGGATGGAAACTCTCGCTGGTAGGGCTTTTCTGTGCTCTTCCGCCAATATTAGTTGCTGGCTATCTGCGAATCAGCCTCGAAATGAAGTTTGAGAAGATGACCGCAGCTGTATTTGAAGACAGTTCGCAGTTCGCCACTGAGGCCGTAGGGGCCTTTCGAACTGTTCTCTCTCTGATCATGGAAGACATGATAGGGAACAAATACCAAGCGTTGCTTGACGATCATGTGAAGAAAGCATTTGGCAAGGCTAAGTTTGGAACGATCGTCTTTGCAGCCTCCGACAGTATCGAGATGGCATGCATGGCATTGGCATTTTGGTATGTTCACCGCTCTAGATTTGCGTGTATATGCAGGTCCGCTAATTGCCTTAGGTATGGTGGAACTCTTCTGGCATCGCGTGAATATGGCATTGTGGATTTCTTTGTGATCTATATGGCCATCGTCCAGGGCGCTGTTGCAGCAGGGATGTGGTTTTCGTTCGCACCTAGTAAGTAAACCCCTATTATCGGCATATATCAAGTTCTAAGAATAATAGATTTGGCACAAGCAGGTGGTGCTGCGAACCGAATACTGAGCATGCGAGTGGTCAACAATGCCGGAGACAAGAAGTATGACGAAATTGCAGAAGCAGAAGCCGGCGTTGGGGTCGAGTTTCGCAATGTCTCCTTCACCTACAAGTCGCGGGAGGTGCCCGTATTGTCTAATTTGAATTTAAAGGTCAGTCAAATTGGTTGTTCATTTATCGATGTGCTTGACTCATTCTATATAGGTATTACCTGGACAATTTGCCGCACTCGTTGGTGCCTCGTAAGTAATCACCTCATATTTGATATCAGGCTAGTACTGACCATTGCTAGTGGGTGTGGAAAGTCGACGACGATCTCACTACTCGAACGATTTTATGACGCTCAGTCTGGTCATATCTACTATAATGATCAGGACATAACTTCCCTTGAGACTTCAGAATACAGAAAGCAGATCAGTCTTGTGTCACAAGAGCCTACCCTATACGAAGGGACTATCCGAGACAACGTTGCTTTGTCTGTGGATGAAGCGAATGATGAAGAAATTTATCAAGCCTGCGCAGACGCTCAAATACACGAATTCATAACGTCGCTACCTGATGGGTACAATACGCGCCTTGGTCCCAAGGGCATGTCCTTGTCTGGGGGACAGAAGCAACGGGTTTCGCTCGCAAGAGCTTTACTACGGAAACCGCAACTGCTTCTACTTGACGAGGCCACGAGTTCGTTGGACAGCGAGAGCGAGAAGCTGGTACAGACTGCAATAGAGCGTGCTGCAAGCGGCTGCGGAAGAACGGTTCTAGCCGTTGCACATCGGCTTGCTACAATCCAGAAAGCGGATGTGATTTTCGTTTTAGGGAGCGGAAAAGTTCTTGAGAAGGGTGATCATCAGTCCCTGCTCAAGAAGAAAGGTATCTATTATCAAATGGTATGTGATAAAATTAGGCTGGCGCTCGCAATTTCTTTGCTAACAGCTGATGGCAGTGTCAAGCACAAGCTCTGGACCGTTGAGATAGCAACTGTCTACTGTGTCTTCCGTGTCAGATGTAGACACAACTCTACTTATATTTCATATTATTTTAATATACATCCCCTTCTCATTCGCTTAAGACTAGACTTTATAGGATCGCATCTTTTGTAATACATTCATTGTGCCTGAAAATGGCATCTTCCTATGTGAAAGGCGCAACCCGATTCCGTATGTATGCATTGAACATGTATCACCAACTGCTCCAATATACACTCAATGGCGTATAAAATGTAATGTGACATTATCAATATGCTATAGAATGTATGTTTTTGATTCGTTTCGTAGAACCCTCTTTCCTGTCCGGATGTACCAAAAGGGTTTAACGAGAAGACACAGCAGAGCAAGTGGTCACTTTCAGCCCAGCTTTTAGACCGGTAAGACCATCTGCGTCAAGGGCATCCGGTTGGCCGGCTGGAACTGTTCCGACATAGGCGTTGTAATTGTATACTGTGAAGGATGAGTAAGTTGGGTGTATATGGGATTGCAAGACAGTACGTACATCCACAAGGGCACACATCTGTGATGTCCCTCAAGCTCGTTGCGGCGCATACTGTGCTGCCGTTTCGTTGAATGCTAAATTTCTGTTGGCCAACTGCCATGGGCACTTTCCACACGCTTGCACCAGCCGGGGCTTCGAATGTCTTGTTGTTGATGCCTGAGCTTGTGGAGACACTGGCAGCCTCCTTGAGCAAGGCTACAATGAATACGGAATCCTCCAAGGTATCTGAACCGTCAGGCCGGCCCTTAAAATAATTGCCGTTCGGATTGGGCGCATCATCCAGTGTGGTGTCGGTTGCATCACAGTTGAGGCTCTTCAGTGTCGGTCGATACCAGTATACAAGCTTATCTTCTACGATGTGTGAGTTGGGTGACTTATCACCAGCCTTATACGCAGCGATGAATGGTTTCGCCATATCGAGCCAACCATTGTGAGGCATGTTATTGACCCATTTGCTGTTCCCATCATCTGTGTGCTTGCTAGACAAAGGGCCAATGTAGTGACTCTCTCCGTAATCGTTCCAGGTGATGATCTCGACGAATCTTGGACCCAGTTCCAAAAGCTCGTTCCATCGATTGTACCAAAGTAGGTCACCAGGAAACACCTATATGTCGTGATGAGCTTGAATTAATGGCTCGAAACGGTAGGATTGACTTACCCAGTTCTTGCTGTAGGACACTTCAGGGCCGTAGTGGGTGAAGAACCACGGTGAAACAGGGGCGATGTAATCCTTCGATCCGAGCCACGCTGTATATGTGTGATCACCTTGGCTGACTGTGACATTTTGATCGGGCTTTGGCGCCTTATTGTTGCCGTCATTATCCCAGGCGATCCAATTCAGCGCTCCATCTATTGATCCAGCGTCTGGCGTCTGTCCAGGATGAAAGTTGGGAGCAAAGTAAATGTCTGCACCTGCGGTTTGACGGACCTGACCAACGTCAAGGCCATCCCCGGTGAATGAGGAGACGAAAACCTTGCCGTCGACTTTGAGTTGCGCGGGCCTGTTGCCATAGGATTTGATCAGACTACCCACGTCGCTGGCCGAGCTGGTGGGTTTGAACCAATTGAAATCAAAGGAAATGAACACTTTCATATCATTCCGGGAAGCAGCTTCATAGGCTAGATCTAACTGGGTCTGGGTATAATCATCTGTGCCGATATTAAGTGCAAAGGCGTCGATGCCCGCGGCCTTCGCAAGCTTCATATCGTAATCATAATCGAGTGCGCTTTGGCGATTGGAAACTATGCCCATCTATCTCTAATGAGCTTGTAGTTCGCAAACAACATGGAAACACTCGCCATAAAATGTGCAAAAACTAGACGCTCGCCTGCACTTCGTTGCTTCGGTATCACTCGCCTACCGTAAGGAGCAGCAGTCGCGACGGCTGCCAGCAGCCCAGCGGCCAAGATATGGAAAACAAGCATATCGGAAAGAAAGCGAACTAATGGCTTAAGGAATGACTGGAAGTGAAGGATGCCGCATTTTCACGGAATCAGCGCAACTTTGAAGGGAGCATATAATGATTTCAACACGTCAACATGCAAGGGTGTTCCTTCAGGTTGAGGCGTCCACACGAGCCACGATTTAGTTACAGGAGGCGATGGGCTCCACGAGGCTGAGCGTGAGATCAGGATATGGGGTTGAAATAATTGGCTGCGAAGCATGTCATTGGACGATGCGACCAAGTTTTGGACGTTGTGCGATCGAACGTTTCATGTGCACGGTATGGAGATTGCCTTGATTTGCGCTATACGAGGCGGGTATGCGTTTAGCTCAACCTCTGTTGCGGAGGATCGCCCCTCACAATAATCATAGATATGTAGATATTGTTACTCCATACAATTACGGGCGTTTACAGTGGTGTTATGTGCTGTGCTGTATAGAAGCATGATATCTGGAGACAGTAAAAACCAACGAGTTTCTGAACCTTCTTATCCACTCTCCAATTTCCCAATGGATTTCATTTCATCGATTATTCGTTAAGCTGCCCTTCGCATCAAAATCCTTTGGTTTACAAGGCAACCATGGTGTTCGGTCCGATGATTGTATGCCGATTGTTCTTTTGCCTTGCGTGATCAATTGCAAGACTTATCGAGGCCTGGATATTTTATAACTTCGCTTTGGTAGAAAATGTCTTCTGGACGGCCTCGACTCCGCGTGTTGCGACATCCTCGTCCTGGCTGGGCAGGCCTGTGCTGCACCCGATTGCACCAAGGACAACGCCATCCTTTACAATGGGAACACCGCCGGCGATTGTTGTGAAGCGGCCGCCATTGCTGTTCCAGATGCTGAACGCAGGGCCTCCCGGCCAGACGTTCTCTTTGTAGATGGAAGTAGGCGCGCGGTGGCCTGCCGCGGTGAATGCCTTGTCAATGGCAATGCTAATGGATGTGACTTTGGCACCCTCCATACGAGCAAACGCGATCAGATGGCAGGCATTATCCACAATGGCAATGTTCATTGGGACATTTATCTCCTTTGCGCGAGCTTCTGCGGCGGCCAGCGCTGTGCGGGCGCCCTCAAGGGTCAATACAGGCTGGGTTTTGATAGACATGGTGGTGTGAAGGGGACCGATGGTTCAGTGATCAACGAAACTGACAAGGGGAAATGTATGCAGGAACAAGGCGGTAAATGGGATCTGAAAATTCGTTCTGTTCAGTGAAGATGTGAGAACAAGTGACGAGCAAGATCATTTATTCTATTATACGGAGTCGTTATAGTATGATTGATGATTGTTTAGTGCCGGATAGTGAAGGCATTCCGAGGTAGACAAGCATGACGACCCTCTTCTTCATTGGAGCTTGTCAAATTCTGGGTTAGCCTTCTCCGATCGGCGAAACACGTTGCCCATTGGACAGGACTTTTCAAGGAAGTATGGGCAAATTATTCAAGGTCATCTTTTTAATAAGTACTGGTTGATGTATTTGCATCTATCCCATGTAGATTTATCTATCGAATTTGCATCCCTCTTATACCAAACGGATCGTATGGTAGTGTGAAATAATTTTTGTTGGCAGCGAGTAATGAGCTTGGAAGCTCATACGCCACTAGATATCATTTATCATATTACTGCATTACCTTTTCCAAAGGTAGTTCTAGACAGCGCTCGATAGTCAAATACATGCCACCATCTGCGGTCAGCACGGCAGCATGTTGGCAATTAGACTTCCTTGGCGGGGACACCGCCTGGAAGGGTTGCGGCCTTGTCCTTGAAGAGCTTCTCGGCACCCTGCCAGACAGGTGTGCTCTGTCTGTCCTTCAGCGCAAGTAGGCTGGGAAGGAGATTGGAACTAAATGCCTCTGATGATTCTCGGGGAAGGGCAGAGGGAAGGTGATCAATGGAAATGACGGCTAGTCTAGGTCCATTGCCCTCTACGGGCACCTCGACGGTAGGCTTGTCGAAAGTGGTATTGATGTTGTAGATGGGGATGGGGTTGTGGGGGTTCGTGGTATCGCAACTCACGTCGCACACCACACTAAGCTTGCGGTTCGGCGACTTGAGGCTCTCCAAGTCTACAAAAGGAGGGATAGGCTTGGACAGGTAGATGCAATTCACGAAGATGTCAGACTCGATGATCTCGGCATAGGGACCTGATCGTTCAGACGTCTCGGCGAGATCCCATTTCTTGATCTCTGCACAGCCAACCTTCTCAAGCAGGTCGACGGCACCAGAACCGCAGCGTCCCAGAGCGCCCAACACGAGACTGGTGGGCCTGTGTCCAGCGACCTTCTCACCGGCCGCGACATCGTCCTTAAGCTGTGCGATCAACTCATCTTCGTTGTTGTAATATCCGCGCCCGTCCGTGAATGATTCGATGCCAGGGAGAGGTTCGCCGTTGGGATGGGTCAACTGCCATGCCCAGGTCTACACACAGCGGGTCAGTGGTTTTGCGGCGGAGGAGAGGGGACTAGAGGGGAAGAACTCACCTTGATGGCCAGGGCAGCACCAGCAAAGCCAGCGTGGTAGCCAAAGGCAGCTACTCTCCTACCCGTAGAATCCTGTAGAAACTCGAGGTCGTAGAGCGTTCCTCCACCGCGGGGGAATCTAGCCAAGACCTGCTCCCATCCGCCTTGCTGCTTGTAGCAATGTGCGAAGTGGATAAATGTATGCTTGAGGGGTGAATCGCCATCTGGCAATTCCTTGAGGCCGATGATGATGCGGTCGGTGGGGGCGGTCTCCCAGGAGCCTTCGTCGATAAGGGTAGCACCCACGGCTTCATATTCGTTGTCGTTGAAAATGCGCGAAAAGTTTGGATCCTTGGAGCTCCGCTCGATCAGCACCGGGTATCCTGCATCGATGAGAGCTTTGGCAGTGGTGGGAGTGAGGCAAGAACGGTGCTCGTAGAGCTTGGCCTCAGCGCGGGCGTGGAGGGTGGGGAGAGCCATTGCGGTTGCGATTGCGACTGCGACTACGGTTGCAACTGCGATTGCGGGGATGTGGGGGAGGAGGAACGGTAAGAGATGTTCAATTGAACAAGTAAGTACGGCGAGAAGGATTTGTGATATGAGAGATGTTGAATGATTGAGGATTGGATTGAGGATTGAGGGATTGAGGGTTAAGTAGTAAAGGAAGGGAGGGGATGGTGTTGAGTGGGAAAAGGCTGATATTGATGACTCTACATAGCACCACCGCCAGCACCTCCGCCATCGCCGCCGTTGTCGATGATGATACTGATAGTAACTACGAGAGAATGTGACTAACTACTGACTACACACGTAGTATTTCGATGGTAGACATCTAGTTATTCCGTAGCTACTTAGCTTCGGAATTAAATAATCAATCAATCTACGAATAAACATAGTGAAATACCAGGTAATGTCTACCTAACCTTGACCATCTGATCATCTGTTGATACCTCGCAATTACTCCGGACGATAGCTTTTGACCCATTTTTTCTGCCGGGCAGTTTTTCTTCACCGCCCGTCACCGTCAGAGTTACCGCCCAGGTTCTTATCCGATACACACCTAGTTAACAGTCATGTAGGTATGTACAGTGTGACAGTATCTACATACCTAGGTATATACATGCACACACAGTACGGAGTAAAATACGAGTGGCAACAAGGTAATGATGTACTAGGTATATAGCAAGTACGGAGTAGTTCCTTAGAAGATACTCGTAGGATAGGTAGCTGGTAGTTACCTACATGCATACTCCGAGTCAACCATACAACCAAAAACATGGACCAATCAATATTGAATGGGTCGAACTGCTCCTATGCTATGGGAATACTGTGTAGATACTGGGTCCACTCCTGTTCGGGGCGATTATTAATTGCAAGCTTGACACAGCTCGTGAGGAGCCTGTAATAACTGCACATACTCTACATACAGTCGGGAGGCACGTGGAAAGGGAAAGACACAAAGACAAGACACGACTAACTGGGTAAAGCATAGTCAGGTGTAGATAGTTACGTACTGCGTATGTACTGTAGCTGTGCCTAGGTAGGCGTGCAGCCGTGGTAAGTACCTATAGGTACTTCGCGGTTAGTTGTGCTAGCTACGTTACTCATGTACCTACCCTACACTACACTACACAGTACAATTGCACTCGCCCAACTCCCACACACTCAAGTTCTAAACACCTAATCCAAATCTTCCTGATAGTTATGCGACGTCGCCCGTCTTCGCCCCAGCTACTTTTGGGAATACGAGTCGTCTAACCAGCTGCGTTATGTTTGTTTTCTTCAACCTGCCTGATCTTCCTCTTCTTCCTCTCCTCCTGCTCTCATCCCATCTGCACTTCTTCCAATCCAACGGTTAATACACTCCAACCCGAAACCCACGTTCTACATATACACGTCCACGCACTCGCATCTTCGCAAAACCACATATACCAACTATAGATTCATTGCAAAAGACATTGTTGTATGTACTGTCCAGCTATTCCACCACATAGCAAGGCAGTACCGCGGCAAGAATGCCCCCAAAGAAGGACTCGGGAACGTCATCGCGCCCAGCCGATCGACCTCCTCATATCCGCACCTCCTCCTCCAACAGCGTACGGCACGACGCCCATGCACCACTCACCCCAAGCCAGCTGAGGAACGTTCATGTTCCTTCTGAGGCTTCAGGGTCTATCTCTCCAGAGAACACAATGTCACAACCTCCACCTCACCACCACCGCGATTCCCATGCCGACGGTGGCTCTGCTCACCCAGACGTCGAAATCTCCAACGATGGCATACTGCCAGCCCCCGATCATGCTTCCGTGCATTCCAACGACCAAATTTCCGACCCAAGGCATCAAGCTGGCCTCGCCGATCTAGACTTGGAACCCACCGTTCGCTCTCGATTGTTGAGTCACCAGAATTGGGATGCAGCATCAGGCTGCGGGAGTGAAAATTGTGATCATGGCACAATGTCACCAAGACCGTGGTCCTCGAGGAGCTATGGCACCACTTCCTCTACCGCTTACCAACTGGGCTTTGGTGGTCGATATCCTGGCGCGTCCCCGGGGGAAGGAGAGAGTGCAGACGCGACGCAGGCCCTCTTGGGAGATACATTTATAGACGGCGTTCTGGGCGGTGGCAGCGGCAATCAGAAGAGCACGACCCGCCATCTCGCCGAGAGTCATGGCATCAAAAATCGCAGGTTGATGTGAGTACAATCTTTCTCATGCGCCATTCATTGTCCACTCTGGGACATGCTGACTGTTTAGGTATTTGGCATATTACATACCTGTGATCAACTGGGCGCAGCAGTACAAATGGAGATACTTTAAAGGCGATTTGATTGCAGCTATTACCATGGCATCCTTCTACATTCCCATGGCTTTGTCATATGCCTCCAACCTGGCTCACGTCCCACCAATCAATGGCCTGTACGCATTCGCAATCAATCCGCTTATTTATGGCATACTGGGTTCGTGCCCACAGATGGTTGTAGGACCGGAAGCGCCTGGATCGCTCTTGACCGGCGAGGTAGTCAGGGAAAATATCAAACGGGGTACAGCGGCCGATCAAGACGGACAGCTGAATGCAGAGATCGCTGGTATAGTCACATGCATGGCAGGCACATTCATCTTCATTGCTGGCTTATTTCGACTCGGCTTTCTCGACAATATCCTTAGTCGCCCCTTCTTACGCGGATTCATCAGCGCTATTGGTATTGTCATCTTCGTGGATCAGTTGATCCCCGAAATGGGGCTAGCAAGACGAGCTGCAGATGAAGTTTCGCACGGAAGCTGTCTTGATAAAATAGTGTTCCTCGTCCGCAATGTTGGCAATGCCCACGGCCTCACCACTGCAGTATCCTTTGGATCTTTCGGTATCATCATGTTCTTCAGGTACATCAGCGAAAACAACAGGACGATGCAATGGACTAACCACATATAGGGAACTCAAGAAGCGATTACAATCTCGTTACCCAGCCGTTGCTTACATACCCGACCGATTCGTTGTCGTCGTTCTTTCGGCTATCCTGGCTTGGAAGTTCCAGTGGGATCAACATGGTCTTGCCATTCTGGGCAATGTCCATTCAAGTGGGCGCATCTTCTCGATCCATTTCCCATTCGAGGCCTCGCATCTCAAGTATGCGTCGGATGCAGTCAACACGGCTCTCATCATAGCACTTCTTGGATTCTTCGAGTCTTCCGTCGCTGCAAAATCACTTGGAAGCGGTGACAGGGCGCAAGATGGCGTACAGATGCAAATCAGCGCAAATCGCGAGCTCATAGCCCTTGGAACCGCAAACATCACAGGCGGTCTCTTCATGGCCCTTCCAGCATTCGGCGGTTATGGGCGTTCCAAGGTCAATGCTTCGACCGGCGGTCTGACACCGATGAGTTCAATTTTGCTCTCAATCATCACTATTCTGTGCACCTACTTCCTGTTGCCCTTCTTCTACTACCTTCCGAAAGGAGTCCTTTGCTCCATGGTATCTGTTGTGGCATACTCCCTAGTCGAGGAGGCACCACACGACATTAAGTTTTTCTGGAACATCCGGGGTTGGAGTGAAATGTTCCTGATGTTTGTCATTTTTTTGGTCACCATCTTCTGGGATCTGAAACGTGGGATTGCAGTTGGCATGGGCCTGTCAATTCTTCGTCTTATTCGACACTCGACTCGTCCTCGCATCCAAATTCTTGGCCGTGTTCCTGGGACGACGGACAAATTCGCCAACGCAGAATTAGATCCAGAGAATCTGGAGTTCATCGAAGGCTGCATGATAGTCAAGATTCCAGAGCCGCTCTACTTTGGCAACACCGGCGAGCTACGGAACCGGCTCAAGCGCCTAGAAGACCATGGCACGAACGCGGCTCATCCTGCTCTGCCAAGAGTGAGGCGGAGGGAGCACAACAAGAATATCATCTTCGACGTTCATGGCGTCACCTCGTTGGACGGCGCTGGCGCCCAAGTGCTGTCAGAAATCGTGGCTGGTTATGTGGCACGAGGGGTCAAAGTGTTCTTCTGTAGAGTACCGAACGAGCGATCCCCAGTCTATAAGTTGTTTGAAACCAGCGGAATAGTCGAAATGTGCGGTGGACGCCGGCATTTTGTGCACAGCGTCGAGGAGGCTCTGAGAATGACAGAGCTTGAGAGGCTTACGGAGTCGCTACAGAGCGAGGCCAACAGCATAATAGCATAAAGGCACAAAGGGATTGTCAATAAATGGTCATCAAATGATTCAAACATTTAGAAGCATTGTGTGTAATTTCAAACTGCACGAACCCTAGCGGCATCTACCAAGCTGCACGGAGTGTTCAAAAATCTCATAACGGGCTCAGTGGTCACGTTAAGCTATCTGTTCGCCACAGGTTACTTTAACATTTCTGGCTCTACGTAGTTACCCACGGTGGAAAACGCATTATTATCACGTCTTGCTTGCTCGAAGAGGTGGTGTGAAATGAATGCCTCGAGTAGGAGATGAGTCGCCCGCGCCATCCTTTGTCGCCCTTCAGCATAGTTACCCGCAACGCATGCGCCATGTTCGCCGTGCAAAGCAGCCTTCCCCACGGGGGTTATCGGATATATTTTCGGCGATTCACCTTCGTATTTCCAAGCTTGAGGACAAGGACTAGTGGTAAATTCACCTAGTTCAGTTGTAGATAAAGAAAGTGGCTTGAGATTGTGGCATATGGAATTAGCAGAGATAGCGTACCTCAAATTTTCCAGCGTTCTTTTGCAGCAGCAGAACGGCAAGCCCGGCAACTGGCACGAGAACAAGCTGTTGTCTATTGAATGCGCTAGATTTTACAAACATTTCCGTCGTGCATGAATAAAAAAAAGGACGCCGTATCGTTGAGGAAGCATGGATTCGGTGCTTCGTAATGGAGTGTTGGTATTGCCCCATGGTTAGGTCGATGACGACTGATCAACGCTTCATGGCGTCTCATGGGGACTCTCATTGGCAAGGTTATGCGTGCTGCCAGCATGTCGACAAGGGAGGGCCTCGTATGAGCGCTGATCTCGCGTGCCCAGCAACGCTTATTGCTGCTTGGCTAGAAATTGGTTTGATGCTTGAAGTGGTTTAGAATGTCTTGTGAACGCTTAGCTGCAGCCACCGAAACGGGGCCCCATAGCAATGATTTCGGTCTATCCCAGGGAGAGAGGCAGATTGAGACCACTGGACTACTCCAACATACAAACTACTTTCGGATTGGTCGGATGAATGTCACGAGTTATGGTGCTGCTCACTTTGCACAATGAGCTTGTGCCGTTCTAGAAGGAGATGTGGAAGATCATATATCTAGTGCGGCCATTTAAAAGAGGAATGTTACGCTCGCTTTAGAACTTGAGGCTGGCTCTGTCCTCTTCAGTCCTATACATATTGAAACTCGAGTACCATTTGTCCTTTCTTTGTATCACTGGGCTGATTTTCACTGTCCTTCCGCCTCCATGGAAACACAAGATAGTAAGATGTCTGTGGGCCGATACCTTGCCACACGTCTGCCTTCCTTGAAACCTACCTTCGACCGCCAACCAAACCCCTTTAAAACTCTCACACTTCTTAATTTCCAACAATGGATGTTCTTCCTCGTCGCCTTTTGCGCTTGGTCCTGGGACGCCTTTGACTTCTTCACTGTCTCCTTGACAGTCGAAGACCTGGCCGAGACATTTGGTAAGACAAAGGCTGACATAACTTGGGGCATCACCCTCGTCTTGATGCTCAGATCAGTCGGTGCAATCATCTTTGGTATCGCGGCAGATCGCTATGGTCGTAAATGGCCTTTCATTATCAACAACATCCTGTTCATTGTTTTGGAATTGGGCACTGGATTTTGCACGACCTACGAAGCTTTCCTTGGTGTGCGGGCCCTTTTCGGTATCGCCATGGGCGGTCTTTATGGTAATGCTGCCGCAACTGGTAAGTCAAGCCAAACCCACGTTTCGAGCCCCACGTTCTGCTCGCTAACACGGATTTGCGAATAGCCCTAGAGGACTGTCCAGAAGCCGCACGAGGAATTATCTCTGGCATGCTACAACAAGGCTATGCATTCGGTTATCTCCTAGCTACTGTGTTTGCCAGAGCCTTTGTCAACACAGTTGGCCATGGCTGGAGGCCCCTCTTCTGGTTCGGTGCTGGTCCCCCTGTACTGATCATCATCTTCCGGCTGTGTCTTCCTGAGACACAAGCTTACCAAGAACGCCAGCGGATCCGAGAGGCAACGCCTAATGCCGCAAAGGTCTTCGTTCAGGAAGGCAAGGTTGCACTCAAGAAACATTGGCTTCTTCTCATATACATGGTGTTGCTTATGGCTGGCTTCAATTTCATGGTAAGAATAATAATGGACGTTTTGTAATCTGAAGTGAATATGAACTAAAGATCTTACAGTCCCACGGTTCGCAGGATCTTTATCCAACAATGCTCACCAACCAATACAATTTCTCCCCAAACGCTGTCACAGTCACTCAAGTCGTCGCGAATCTAGGCGCCATGACAGGAGGTACGGTCATTGGATATTGTTCTTCCATCTTTGGTCGCCGCTTCAGCATTGTCTTCGTCTGCATTATCGGTGGTGCTTTGCTCTACCCTTATACCTTCGTGTCCAATGAGAAGGTGATCGCTCCAGCCTTCTTCGAACAATTCTGTGTTCAAGGCGCATGGGGTGTGATCCCTATTCATCTTATGGAATTGAGCCCGGGAAGTTTCAGAACATTCGTCGTGGGCACCAGTTACCAGCTCGGTAATTTGGTCAGTTCAGCTAGTTCGACCATCGAGGCGACCATTGGCGAAAGGTTCCCGCTTCCAAAAAAGGGCAAGGTTCCAAGGTACCAATATGGAAAGGTAATCTGTATCTTCATGGGATGTGTTTACGCCTATGTAATCTTGCTTACCATTATGGGACCCGAGTACCGTGGTAGGAACTTCGATGTTGCTGCTGATTCCGATATGGCCGAGGCAACGGGCCAGAACGCAATGGAGCGGAAGTTACAAGCAGAGCAACATGAAGATCTGGAGAAAGGGGCCGGGAGGAACGTGGAAGACATCAGAGCTTGAATCACGAATGCTGCTGATCCATGCATGGACTAAATTATGCTACAATGTTCGTATATATCCGAAATGACTGCTGCAAACTGTCGATTGGATCGCTACGAAACTGGTCTGTTTTGCAAAACTACATGCCTGATACCTGACTTGGTTACAATTTCTTTTACCTATCTATTGTTCTTGTAAGCCCAATATTGTTAGTTATGGCTTCTGCCTATGCCGGTGATCCTCATGGTGGATTGAACATGTGATCAAAGTCACTTTTTCCAGCAACGTTCTCGCCCAATGTGCTTCGCAGACCACTCAATCTGACTCTCATGTTATTCTCAACTGTTTTCAACAATATCCGTGCCTTATCCATTCGTGTGTTGGCCCCTCTTGTTGCTATTAAGTCTAGAGCTCCTGGAGCCATGGTAGCTTGGTTTCCCGAGAACATCGCCAGTGCAAAGCCTGCAAAATCGATACTACTTACCATGGAGATGGGAATCATAGTTGCTACGTTGGTTTTGCAGACTTTTGCAACGTGGGGATAGCCAAACGATTCTAAAATTCACCGTTATTTGGAATAGTATTGCAGATACGCATGGCAGCTTGGACATAGGTCAAGCAACCATTAGGTCACCCCGATAAATTGTTACTTCGACGAAAAGAATCCAATGATGAGATTGACATTGCTTCATAAAAGCCGCCTGGAGTAGAGTGGTAGCTTACGAGTACCATTAGGATGGCTGCGTTGCCGTCCATCAGTTAGCCACGTTGGGCGTTATCTTGGAACCATAACCTACAAACTCTATGAGTATGATAAGATCTTGAGTACAGCCGACAGTATAAACACGACTATGGTACGCTCGGCCGTTGTCGGCACATAAATTCCGAAATTCTCGTCCGTGCAACTACAATGAATGGGCAAGAAAGAGCAAAAGCTTGTGGTTTTTACTCCGAGATTGCGGAGTTGGTTCTGATTGGCGCAACGGAGCAACATGTTCAATACTCAATGACCAGCACAAAGACAACCTCAAATACAGCAGCCAACAGACAGTAACCCTCGATTATACCACAATAACTTTTGCTCGATGACTTCGGAATATGATTTCCAATGCGAAGACTGGCCAATGATGCATGTCCGATATAGCAGTTTCCCCTCCACGCTCCAAGCTTTTGTCTCGTAGTATGACCAAAATAGGCCATGTTTCCCCATATCTATGCGGAGAACTGCTGGAGTGGCGTATTAGCGCAACAGACTACGGCTTCCCATCCGATGCCGTTTTCGATATCGTTACGACTGATATACGTCAAGTGACGCAACTTGCGCCATGTTCTTTACAAACACTGTGCAATCGAATTTACCACACTGCTTGAAGCCTCACCTTAGGAGGAATTGTAACTATTATCCTGTTGTGACAAATCGCAAATATGGTCCAGGTTCGAACTTACACGATCCCACCTACCAAGCTTATGCCCAATTCACCCCATCTCCTCATTCACTATCCAAAGTTACTTCTTTCGGAAGTTAGCGCTAAGGACTTCAATCCTACCACCATCTACGATCTATTCGCCAGCAATGGCTGGCAGTCACAATGGATAGCTCGCTACGGGCGTACACAACTATCTCATTACCACTCTGCAGCACACGAATGCATGGCCGTGATATCTGGCAACGGAGCAACGCTTCGATTCGGAGTTGCAGATACCACCTCCGATGAAGAAGAACATACCCACGGCCATGGTTACGAGGACGGCGCGATAGAAGTGCAGGCATCTTTAGGCGATGTTTTCATCCTGCCCGCGGGTGTAGCACATAAAACATACGCCCCGCGACCGGACGCTGAAACTCTCAAATTCCATGAATCCAAGGAAGACGACGGGACTTTGATCAAAGATACTCGAAAAGCAAGGAAGTTCTTCGAAGGGATTGCTATCGAGGGCGAGTTTATGATGATGGGTGCGTATCCGGTGGGAAACGAATGGGACTTTCGGGTTGGTGGCGATCATGAAGGAAGGTATCGAGAAGTGTGGAGGGTCCCCAAACCCAAACGCGACCCAGTTCTGGGCCAGAGCAAGGATGGGCTTGTTGGAATTTGGAAAGAGAGTCCAAATACAAATTCCTCAAGTAAGCTTTGAGAGCGAAGGGGTTTGTTGCTATAGCGAGCGAGTAGGGTTCTATTGTCGTTGGAAAGGCTTGCATATCGGAGGTAATACGACTGCATTCTCGTTAATAACGACAAACTACCATACTAATTAACTTTTTTTATATACATGGCATAAGTTCTTCTTGAGGGGATGGCTCAAATTCAGTTGCTAAACGCGATAGAAGTTCAATCGTCCCCATTTGTTACTTTACAAAGTGGCTACCAGCCATTGTGCCCAAATTCGATCAACGGAGTGACTTATGACTTGCATTCTGACAAATTCTGTCTTCGAATGAGAAAAGTTCGATGCTGAGAGATTATAATGCTTGCCAGATACAAAATATCACCTGTTCAAATTCTCAACTTTTCATGACCAACAGTCTCTTTAGCTGAGCGCTTGTGTGCGAATACCCATCAAAACTATCGGTACAAGTTCAATGAGCTGTCTTCAGGATCAGCATCTAGCCAACCTGGTAGTATGAAGGCTTTTGAACGTGCACTGGGGGTTCATGCTGCGTTAGACAGCGATCTCAGTGGCAGGTCATCCAACATTTTACTGGTGAGGGCCATGAGGGCCGTGACTGTTTCGGCCCCCACATTTGACCTCCTTACAGTGAGCAATCTGCAAAGCTTTTCATGAAATGGTTCACAATATTGGGAGAGATGTGTTGAATGAAAAGCTAACTGTGAAAGAGAGCCTGCTTAGTCGCAGCAGGAAGATATTGTGAGATAGAGAAGCAAAACTGCGAAACGGGCAATTGGGCTGCAAAAGATCTAAAATACAGATCTCCACTGGCCCACCCTTCTAAACTCGCACTGCTGGAGATTTGAGGCCTGAGCCTTGTTCACGCCTAGGCCAGCTAGGCCAATGTGAATTGGCGTCTATGTCCTCCTGTAATTTGTTTGATCGCCCATTTCGCTCTTGACTCGGCCGACTTGGTTTTTGAGTGCCGGGATAATGTTTGAAGCGCATCCACCAACAGAGAATAAATCTTTCTGCAACTATGTAGGGTCGTGTTCACATTGTATTTGTATGCGACTTGGGTGCCTCCTGAGCCTTATCGAGAGCCTGACGAAATGGCGAACGATCGTGTCTTTGATGGCTTTTGGATTAATTGGGGTGAGTGGATTGGCCTATGGCAACAACGTTAAAGTGCACGCAACTAACACAGAATTCAAGAGAATGGACGCACAAAAGGTGCAACTTTGACACTTCCAGTGTACCAAGGTCTGATACTTGGTTCATTCCTGACTCTCTATGTACAGTTTTCCGGTGTCTGTTTCTGGAGGGTGATATGCTTTATGCTCCACCAGCTACGATCCACGACACTTCCTCGCGATGGGTTGTTCCATCAACAGCAGGCCATTCTTCGCAATGCAATCACCGCACCAAATGCGCTGTGGAGCTTTGTTCGTTCATCGCGTGCATGGCGAAATAACACGAACACACCAATACGTTCTTCTATGCCGCTTTTGTTGATCACAACAGTCCATATCGCCTTCTTCGCTGTCGCTGGTCTTTTCTCACAACAAGTCATGACCACGGGTGCAAGCCCAGTTCTGGTACGGCAAGGGAAATGCGGTCTCCCCATTGAGCTCCCAAACGTCCACAATGCAGAATCCGCGGATTTTAAATCCGAAGAAGAACTCCTAACCTTTAATACCGAAGTACTGCTCGGTCGTTTGACATTGACTAAGAGTGCCTACTATGTACGCTCATGTTACCACGACGACGTCAACGCCGATGCCTCGACCTGCAACAAATACATCCAACCGCATTTGACCGGCGTGAATGCTTCGGCGTTGTTGAACGCGTCGTGCCCATTCGGTGACGATGCTTGTGCAACAGCTGCGGCTCGATTCGATTCTGGTTTCGTGCATTCAGGCGAAGACCTGGGAATGAACTTTCCGCACATAGAGTCGTTGTCAATGCGGAGGGTGACGACATGCGCACCTATACGTTCCGATGAGGCATACTCTACTGAATGGAGAGAGGGAGTTCATGAAGCATTGGTTGGACGGACGAATACCAGCGTCAGATACTACGAATTTGGAAACGGTACAAAAGGATGCGAAGGTACTAACAAGACCACCGACCTCACAACCTTTTGCGTCACACAATACCAGAAAGATAACTTCCAGGTGCCTTACACGGTTCGGTGAGTCCTCTTCCACAATACCATATTTGCTGCTTCCCGCTGACTAGCTTGTAGAGGCGCAACCGCCTACCATAACAACAACAGTGCGAGCGATTTCGAACCCATTGCAGCCTTTCGAGTCCCAGATGCGGACACTACCCTTCTCTCCATTATGAGCACCGCCAAATACACTGGCAATGTTACGGACCCTTTGTTCAATGCTCTCAATCGCTCCGTCGTTTCCCAACAGGTCTTCTTCGAATCAACACACGATCTCAACGTTCTAGGTTGCACCGAACAATACCAGTTCTGTAACTTGGGCAACGGGCGATGTACAGCTCTAACAGGGCTGTACGGGATCCAGCAGGCATTCGAAATAGGCGATCTTTCCCTGAATGCAAAGCAATCTGCTATGTTCCAAGTGATGTGGAAGGCGACTTGGGCCATGGGGCTCCAGTGGGCGTCCAAGCTCCTCTCGGACAATCTCCTGCTCGCCAAAGATTGGGCTTTCACTGCCATAGCCCAGACTTCGTCTGCTTTGCCGCCAGATCAGTGGCAATCAGAGGCCTATAACATCCACAACTTGTCACTCGCGGTCTTCCAACGTCGGATCAACGAATACGCCAAGCCTGAAAGCTTTGAGATCCGTCCTGGCGTGAACTCGTTGAACCAGCTCGTGGAGCCAACCGATCCGGAGATGCGGGCGCTCTGTGGCCTCCAGAAAATACGGAGCTCGGATCACTACTCAGTCAGCATACTGGGAATGTCTATAATTTTAGTCGTCGGCGGCGTCCTGATACTACTTGACTGGATTCTCGTCCAGCAGATCTTCTGGTTCCGCTCGGTGACGCATGCACGTCAGGCGAAAAAGGCGGATTGGACAAACACAGGCACGCTGCAGCTCTACCGACAGGCTCTAGAATCTCGTGGTGTTGGTCCGTGGAAAGTTAAGGATTTCGAATTTCCCGTACTTCTGTCGAGAAATTACACATTCATGGGCTTGGGGTCCCAACATGACCCAGCAACACAGCTACATCGTATGGACAGTGGTGACTGGGCACAACAACACACTGCTTACATGCCTGAGCATGCAGTGCCCCAGTACACAGCATTGACACCACAAACACCCGATATGGAGGGAGAGATTCAAGTCCTTGGGGAGAGCAAGAGCAGCGATGGGAAGCTTCGGTAGTCTCGATGTTGTTGTAATTCATGTTCTTTCGTCGCCGACACTACATAGGGTATACTGCTTAATAGCATTTGTTTTGGGCTCCAACCCCGCCATTGTCCAGACTTGTACCATAAATGTTTTCAAATCGCTCCGAGAGAATTGTGTATGTCTTCTAGTTGTCCGCAATGGACGCGTTTATGAAGCAGGTCACGGTAGGTATATCCATTCTGCCGTTCGGCATATGCATTTGCAATTTAGCAATACTTGGAACCGGTGAGCCAATACGCCAGGCCAGGTAGGCACTCCAGCGTGGTCAATATTGTCGTCCCGAACAGACAAGCCAGAATCAGTTACGTGCATGGTGCTTGCCGTAAGTTGGTAGTCTCCTTCCGCTTTGTTGGGTTCCTTTCGGCCAGTTTAATGCATTTTCAGTCGATTGCCACGTTTCTCAATGCCATTGTTCGTGCCTCTGTTGTTTCTTGTCCTAGCCGTTGTTCTTCTGCCTCTGGAAGCCTCCGGGCTGCGCCGACTGTTCCTCCCATGCGTTGACCATGTGTTTAGGGCATCGCTGTCTTCGTGGTTATCGTTGTGGGTACCATGAGAATCAATACTATCAGCGCGAGGACTGGCGAGTGTCTCTTCGCTGAAATCGCGGCCGTTCGTGACAAGATGTGATCTTTGAGTCCAGGCCCGATTGCTCTGATGTGTCTACATTCAGAGCACGATTAGCACCTCGCTTGGAAAAAGAATATACTTGATAATGATGCGGGCATTTTTGACTCAACGCACGCGTCCCGCTGGCCTTTCCCGTTCGTTGGGAACCTCAACTTCGTATTCTTCCTCCTCCACTTTATGATATTTATCCACCTGAGCTCGTTCGTCAGCCGCCCGCGCTGGGTCAAGCATGAAGCGGACTGTGCCGTTTTGTCCCCTTATCCCAATTGCCGATGTGGGTGCCTGATTCGGCTGGGCTGGAGAGGCTGTGAGTGGCGTTGCGGGAGTAAGCGGACTGGTAGATTCGATCCCATTCCGGGCCTTGCCTGCTCCATTCGCAGCAGGGCTTTGATTTGATGCATAGGACGAGTAACGTGGGATATCTGCTGTCAACGCTTCCTGATTTAAGGCGATGCGGATGTTGATGAATGTTTCCAGAGAATACAATGGTCCTATGGAGGTAGAGGTTCGGTGATGTGTGTAGAGATCTAGTAGATCCAGGAGTGTCTCTAGATGGTGTTAGAAATGGAATACACGAACCATGCTGTTTTCGCGGCGAGCACTCACCCATGACTTCGGCTCTGGAGGTACTCCATCGTTTGTAGTCAACTAACACCTCTGAAGAATCTGTCATTCGGTCCTGCTCGTGTAGCTTTGCAGCAAGTTCGACGCATGCAACCGCCATCGTTGTACCCGTTTGTTTCAGCGGTGCCAACGTTCGGTAAAGATCAATGGAGGCATTCCATGCGGTTTTCCCTTCCCTTTCCTTATCAAAGTCCACGCTTCTTGCTATCTTTACGAGCACTTTTTGAGGGTAGCGGTTGCGAAAATCGAAACTGGCAGATTCAAGCATGAGGCGCTCAAGCCCGATGATCAGCTTGGAATGGGTTTCGAATCGCTAGAATAGATCTTAGTGTTTGCATACGCAGTAAAAATTTGCAGCGAAACTAACAGGATCATCAGGACTCAGACGTTCGCTGGCCGTAACCTTTAGGTTCCAATTTGCACATAGAATATCTCTGCTCTTCTTGAGTGTGTCCTCGATCTTGCAGGCAGTGAACAATGCGGCCGCAGCAGCATCCGCCCAGTTATATTCGTTATCGCTATGCCACAGCCTGAATTTATGATAGTATACAACGGCCGTGTTGAAGGTACGGACGGGTAGCTGGAGTGCTCGGCGCACGTTGTCAATCCAAGCGACACCTTGTAGGCGCACATTGTCCTCGCGAGCCTCGGTCATGTTGATGTCGTCCAGACATTTCTGCACACGCGATTGGAGGATGTATGATTTTGCGACTTCAATGTACGAGGGATGCGGACCAACTCGGTCTTCGGAGGCGACAGGCGCCATGTTCGCAGCCAGAGAAGAGAGCCGGTAGAAGGTTGAATGTAAGAATATCCCGGTTGAAAGAAGGGAAGTATTGGCGGAGGGTCATAGCTCCCCCGATTTAGCGCCCGATAGAATGTTGCAAAGTAGTTGAGCAACGAGCGCAAACCTCATGCCTTATTCTGCCTTTCATGAGGAAGACCTCGTAGTATTTAGCTACATTAGACTTCTGCTCGCTGTTACAATGTGCCGCCGGTGTTTAAACTTCATAACCTGGTTGATGACAGTGGACATCCCTGTGAACATGGAGTATACAGGCCGTCACACAAACCACAAGGCATAGAATCGTGACTTGCCATGATACCGCAAGCCGCCTTTCACTCGAGTGCTAAAAGTAGTATGGTATACATTTATTCATTTGAAGCTATTACCACTACAGATATCCTTCATGCTTCGTGTAGCGTTCACAGATGGTGCGCCATTGTATATACATCGCGCCCTGGACGTCTTTGGACGCTATTACCGCCCCAATGTTTACTCCTTATAACCTCTATGCATGCACACCGACCCATGATGGCTGCGTCCTACAACTGAAATGCTTTTGCCCAATTAAAAGGTATCAAGAGAAAAAGGCCGGAGTTGGTTTGCCTCCAGCAGAGTTGAATCGAAAACCCCAAGATCTGGAATAAAATGAAGTCGCAAAGCTGCAAGGTGAGCTTCGCTAAAATGCAGATGCATTCAACGACACAACATGAATCTACTGAGCATTGCGCTCGGAGAAAGTGAGCAAGCAGTCATCCTGAACGAAAATGTTAGTAGAGCTTCAAATTGACTACGGGGAGAATGACTCACTTTGGGGAAAATCGTAGCAAAGACCTTAATCTCCTCGCTCAAGGGCGTGACCGTGTGCTTCCAGTCCAACAACATACTGGCCTTGCCAATCATGAGCATGAGATTTGCTTGGGCATATGTCTGGCCCAAGCAGTAGTGAGGACCCGTGCCGAACACCAACCAGTTCTTGACCTGCTGATCAGCATCACCAGTGATCCATCGCTCAGGAACGAATGACTCTGGGTCTTTGTATGCCTCCGGGTCGTGTAGAGCTAGGTACGTGGTGGGGATGACCATGGAACCCTTGGGAGCAGTGTATTCAGGGGTGATGGGGAAGTCCTTCTTAGCAATGTAAGGGACCATGATGACGGGCGGGCGGTAGCGAAGAGTCTCCTTAACAACGGCACGGGTCCAGGGCATCTTCTCGATCTGGTCCAAGGTGATTCGCGCATGGATGTCGCCATTTCGGATAGCAATGTTCTCTTCACGGACCTTGTCCAAGAACTCGGGTCGGTCAGCCATGATTTGGAACAACCAGGTGCCGGCAGAAGAGGTAGCATCCTGGCTAGCGAAAAGGAAGGTCATGATGGTCATAGAGATTTCGAAATCAGAGAAGTCACGGATGAGCATGGAAGGTTTCTCGGAATCGTCAACCTTGACTCCTGAAGCGACCTTCTTGCGGTAGGCCTCGGATTCGATCATGGAGGAGACCCAGAAATCGAGAATGCACTCCTTCTCGCCTCCAGCAGCCATGCGGATCTTGCTCTTGGCGGCGCACTTTGCGAATTCCTCCAAGATCATGTCGGCGGCCTTCTTTCCATACCATACCTTGGTGAAAGGAATGATGATGGGGAAGTTGACAAGCTCCAATGCAGCAGTGACCAAGTAGTAATCGTCGGAGATCTTCTTGACGGTCTCGTCGGACATGTAGTGACCAACAAAAGTTCTGCAGCTCAATGCGGTGAACATTTCACGGAACTCGGGCATGAAAGGCATGGGCTCGCCCTTCATTGTCTCCTGGGAGAGCTTGACGAACTTGGAGAAGTACTTGTTGTAGACCTCCTCTTGTCCAGGAAGGTATTGCTCGAGGGCCTGACGGGTGAATAGGCCGTTCAATCCCTTGCGGTAGTCGACGTGGGCCTTTCCATCGAGGAAGACCCAGTTGTTGGGGCGGAGGAGCTTGTAGGCGGCGTCGACAACGCAGGGTTTGACGAAAGTAGGGGAGTTGAAGATCTTGCGGGCCATGTCACGAGTAGAAGCGATCACGACGAACCTGGTGAGCTATTGTCAGTAATGGCACGAGGCTGGTGTTGAGATTGGGACATACTTGTGGAAGACGGAGACGCAGCTCAGGGGGCCGGAGGTCCACTTTGCGTGGTACTGCTTGAAATCCGGGTTGACAGACTCGAGGAAAGGTCCGATGAAGGGCGCTTTCCAAGCAGGGCCAACAATAGAGCCCTTGTTGTAGATGTACTTGACTATGTAGAGAATGAGTGACTGTAGCCGACAGACTGAAGACGTTGCTTAAACATACACTGATCATAGGCCACCAAGACCAAGAACAGGGTCAAGGCGAGGGTCCAGCCATTGACATTGAGGATGCTCGAGATGATGCCGTTGACATTCAATTGAGCGATCTGGTGGGCGACTTTCGCATCCGCCGAAGGAGACACGAAGCTGCCGTTCACGGCCATGATGAGGGAAGAATTTGTGACCAGAGTCGAGGCGCAATCGCGCTGTGGACGAGTCAAGGACTCTGTTGAGGTTGGTGTAGGAGGGTGAAAGTGAGGGAGGGGAGGAGGGAGAAGGAGAGGTGAGGAAGAAGCACAAGGTCTAAGGAGCGAAGGGGATGTTAAAACGATTTGAAGGAGTGTATGTACTTTTGGAGATAAGTACCCCGTACTTAGGTAAGTAGGTATTACACAGTAGTGACAGTACTGGACTTCCGCCTCCGTAGGTGTGTTGGTAAGTAATAGTATAGTTATCTTCGAAAGGGTGAAGCAAAAAAGTGCAGGGGCGCGACCGTAGGGGGACAACGCTAGTTCGAGATGGTCGCAAACCAATTTACGAGTAATTTTCTTTCGCCTTCTTCGCCCTGAAGAACAAGAGATGAGGTTTCCGACCAATCAGAGACCAGGAAATGGGTGTAAACTCGCGCGGGAGGCGTATGTGTACTTGTACATGGTAGCATGGTAACATTGTAACATGGCACACATGGTTAGCTACAGAGTGGACGGGGGAAGTTGCACACAAACCAAGGTCCACCCATCGTCACAATTACTACGAAGACACGCCTTCCTATACTCCGTAGTACTTTATATGATAACAAATAATACAAGTAAGCATGTTAGGAATGCTACAAGAGCCTTGTAGCTACTCCGTACTCTGGTCTACCGATTCCATTAATTGTGTGATCGTTGATGGTCGGTAGGGCAGAAGATTCGTCTTGGTGTCCCACTTCCCCTGTTAGGCTTGAGAGAGGCACAAGGGCAGCCACCAAGGCGCCACTACAGGACAAAGGCAAGGGGAAAAGCGAAGACGTTGCGGAGTCTAAACCTTCTTTGGTTACGCCCAGCTGGGAAAGGTGTTCGCACCAGCTTGCGCCCCCGGCTCATTTGCTTCCGAACCTTTCCAGATGACATGATCTCTAGTTAACCATATTCCATCTCCACTGAACAAAGAACATGCTACACCAACAACATACGACGTACGATCCATCTACAGCATTTTGAAGATGAGATACGAATAACGAGCAAGATGGACCAATAATCAGCAACACTATCATCATCATGATCTTCAGATTCACACTTTCCCCGCGTCCACAGATAACTCCCCAGCCCATCTATCCGTTGGCCCACCTAATCGATCGATTCTCTGTGATTTATGTACGAGGAAATCCCCTAACTGCTTATAGTACTCGTACAAATACATACGTACGAGCAGTTATCCACTCGTACGGTAATACCTTAAGTACGACCGTACAAGTATTACCAGGTAGGTGATGGGAAAGGCATGCACCGATCCAGTATTACAACACGTGCCTCTCCTATACACCATTCGGATGGACAACATCCGAGTTCCCGAACGTCCAGACTCCTATCACTTACACCGGCACTACCTTGATATAATCCACAAGACGTTGGAACCTATCTAACAGTTGGCAAGACTTCAGTTACCTGCGTAGACCCAAGTATGATAAGATCAACTGATTCATCACTCGCCAATGAAGTTCAAGAGGCGGATCGAGACTGCTGGCACCCTTCTAAGGGACGTATATCGTTTCACAGACCCTCATGCGCCAACGTGAAGTCAATGCAACCATCAGATTCTACAACACAAATGCTCGGATCTGTGCCAGGCACTCAGGCTAAGTGAAATCTGGTGAACCATTTGCGAATGGCACCGCACGTTCTCATTGCCTATTACGGCTGCGGCTCATGCACCGCTGAGTCCTGGTGCCAATCAAATCGTCCAGATCCGATAGAGCCACACTTGATATCATTCACGAAACCTGAGCTCTGTCTCTTTCTGCTCTGCATGATTCCCATACCTCTACGGGAAGACGGCTGCCCTATGTATGCATCTGCCGGCATGCGTAGCCTGAACAGTCGCCCGGGACTTGAATGTTTGCAGATCTCACAGCCATGACATACACGGTAGAGCTAGGTACTTAGCACCACTTTGCCCTGGCAGGTCCACCAGGAGGTTTTGGCACTCTAATGATGTTGACCGTCATTCATTGCCGCTAGCTTTCTCCATTAGTATCTTGTAATCCTTTTCTTTTCCATCTTGACGATGCTCTTTTCACGCGCAGCGAGCTTGGTTCTCGCTGCGCTTCAAACAGTACCGAGTGCTGCCGAGATCATATTCGCAGGTGTTAACTCTGGTAGGGCGATGGACGCAAGGCCTGTAGGGTTTTCAAACAATTGTACTGACAAGAAGCGTAGCTGGTGGAGAGTTTGCACAGCAGATCCTTCCTGGAGCTTTTGGTACCGACTATCGCTTCATAAATGAGAGTGCCATCGATTTCTTCCTCAATGCCGGGGTGAATACGATCCGAGTCACTTTTCTTCTGGTAAGAGCTATCGAACAGCAAGAATCGGTGGTATTGATTAGTTCTGTAGGAACGTATGTGCCCCCTGGAGACAGGTCTCGGCAGCACATTCAACGAAACCTACTTTGGAGAATTCGAAAAGGCCGTAAACTACATCACCATGCAAGGCGCATACGCTGTCCTAGATGCACACAACTATATGCGTTGGTTACCTCAACACTACGTTTTGGCCTTTCTCACTTACGGCTGCAGGCTACAATGATCCATCAATGCAACCCCAATCCGGATCCATCATTGGAGACTCATCAGATCCTCAAGCCGCCACGGCAGAAGATTTGGCTGAGTTCTGGAGCGAATTGTCGACTCGATTTCTGAGCAATCCAAATGTCATCTTTGGCATCATGAACGAACCGCACGACATGCCCACAGAGCTCGTCCTCGCCAACGACCAAGCCGTAATCAACGCCATTCGGTCCGCCGGCGCACAGCAACTGATCCTAGTGCCCGGCAATGGCTTCGCCGGAGCGCAGAGATGGCTGAACGAAACATGCGACCAAGGATGCACACCGAACGCCGAAGTGATGACAGCCATCCAAGATCCAGAAAACAACTTCGCATTCGACATGCACCTCTACTTCGATAACGACACATCGGGCACTCACGAGGAATGCACGCTGGCAGCACCGAACAACCTCATCCCCGTGACGAATTGGCTAGCAGAAAACAACTACACCGCCTTCCTATCCGAATTCGGCGCCGGATCGACTCCAACCTGCTCTGAGACTCTCAACAACACGATTAACTGGATGGAGGATCACTCGCAGTTCATCGGGTGGACGTACTGGGCCGCTGGACCGCTCTGGGGGGACTACTTCTTGAGCGTGGAACCGGGTGTTGGACCCCAGGCAAACACCACCTGGCCAGAGGTATTGGAACCACATATCAGGAGCTATCAGCCCATGCAGAGATGTGGTGTTAGTTCCAGTGGAACCAACGGAGTGTTTGACGGGGCCATCAAGGCGCTGGAAGGCTGTTTAGGCCTCAGGCTGCCAGCGTAGGGGAAGGGGAAGGGCGAGTGTGGTGGATTGGGGAGGGTGGAGAGATGGTTCCATAGCACGTAGAACCGGATAGATAGAATGATCTAGCAGTTTATACCTGCTAGATGCTGGTACGGCCGTATTGCAGAGGATCCTCTCCGTGCAAGTCCAATATCAAATTCCTGCAAACACCAATTGCGCCACCCACACAACGCCACTCACACTCACCTGAGGCCATCAATCCCCACAAATTGATCGTTTCGCAAAAGTATATGCTAAAACAAACGCATTTAAATCCCATATTTCCCACGGCCAAGACACATCTACATCCTCTTCCTGACCGGTAGGACGTGGCGGTGCATCACGGCTATTCGCAAGGCTGAACGGACTCGATAGGCACCACCAACATACCATCACCACCACAATGCGAATACAAATACCCCTTTCTCGTGAGAACCAATCCCATAATTGTAGTGAACCAATCCCATAAGCCCATCCACCACAAATGGCAAACTCACCAGAGCCGGAGAAGAAGGAGGAGCAGGAGGAGCAACAACAGCCAAACAAGACCCACCCCTACACCATCACGCTCCTAACCCCCCATACTGCAACGCCAACTTTCCTACACGCCCTCCAGCAATCCACATCCCATCCGTCCCCAGCCTTCCTCGGCGCGGACGCGCTCTTCTACAACATCAAGAATCCTACCGGTTGGGGGTTCTCGCATATCGTCCTGCTTGAAGGCGATGACGCCAAGTTGGATGCGAAGAAGTTTCGATTGAGGCAGCACTGGAGCTTCACTGTTGAGTCGGAAGCGGCGTATCGTGGGTTTGGTGGTGATGGGGAGGGTGATGAAGGGGGTGATGATGTTGGAAGAGATGTTATCAGGCCTGATGGAGGCAAGAAAGGGGAGAAGGCGATGGGGCCGGAGGATTTGGTCGAGTTGATGAAGTATTTCCTGCCGAGGGAGTTTCAGGGTACGAGAACTTACGTCCTATGTTTCTTTGCATTCAAAGAGGAAGAGGGATGTGAGGGGGAACTGGCGTATCGCGAGCATATGGAAGCACTTTGTGAGGGCAGTGAGCAGGATGTGCATGTTCATCTTCAGGGTACGATATCGAATATGGGCCCGTTCGAGCATGGGACGAAGTTTGATTCCGAGAAAGCGCATCGTTTTGGCCTCTTGAGTTTCAGGACAGAGAAGGGGTTTGGGGAGTACGTGAGCTCGAGGGGTTATGCGAAGATGCTTGGACGAGTTCGTGTGAGCATGGTGATAACAAGACAGATGTGGCTGCCTCCGAAGAGTGAACCTATTGATACTAGCTCTTGGAAATATGGAAATCCTTATGAGCCGTATGGGGAGGATTGGTTTGGATGAAGATGAATATGCAACTGTAGGATGAAAGATAGTTGGTGAAGTGCACTGAAAGTAATTGAATCGATCGTTTGATCGTTTGATAAAGAGATTGTATTTAGGCAGTCAAACATAAGCGAAATATTTGCTTAGCTCTTCGTTGGTTGATAACTCTAGAAGAGTCTTGTGGTCCTTCCTCATTCAATAACCATACAGTAGAGCAAGTTCAGTTCGTGATAGCGGATAGTCAACGATGTTACAGTGCCTCAAAGTTACAGTTCGAGATGCATACCGTGATATTATGACCTTCCTGACGCTCTAATCAAGATACTATGATCTACCTGTACTCGATTGATACGCTAACTGAGAATTTTGCGCTTGGATTTTGCGACAAGCGTCGTCGGTATAGATATGTACAGGCGGACCTTGTCATCCAAAGCAGGCTCTCAGAACGCTGCAAGCATGCAGCTGATGGTTCATGAAGGACTATCCAACCGGTCTGATGCACTGTGAGGATTGTCACGCGCTATGAAGCGAGGTATAGTACTATAGTGTAGATTTCCAGGCTTTTTATTTGGCTACAAGGTCCGCACTTGTGTTTATCTGTCCGTGATAACTACTGCACGTAAGATAGGGTCATCTCACACATCAGTGCAAGAACACTAAGCGTCAATCATGAGTGCCCATGGAACTAAGTGCGGCGACTGCAACGATCTCCATACGGAGTCCGACTTCGAGTCGTATTCTAGAAAGACGTGCGTTATCATTCTGCTAGACCAGGCAGGTGGGTGGGCAATAGTTTGCATGGATACCAGGTGGTGAGCAGCAGGCTTGACCGCTCCGAGGATGGACACGCTTAGAGAGCGAAGCCGACACCCCCACGGGCTTAGGCAGGCGATTTGCCCGAAGGCCCCATCGGCCTGATACAGCGAGCGGTACGGAGAATGGTCAGGACAAGACAGGACAGGCTGAGATGAAGAAGTGATGGGGATTTGGGGTTCGGAGCAAACATAATAAGTTGTGACTGGTGACTGGTGCGGACGGTGAGACGGGCAGAAGAGCAAGGTCGTGGAAGTCAAGATAAGGCGAGGATGCCTGTAGCCAAGGCATCCACACCCATCTGGAATCCGTTGAAGTCGCCGCGGCGGGTGAAGATCATCGAAGAGCAGGATAGGTGCATACGTGCGTGCGTCGTACGCAAAAGGCAAGGAGATGTTGTGAGCAGTGAGGATTGGGGATCAAAGGAGGGGGGCGAATTGGGTGGAGGTCAAGTGTCAAGTGTGAGGGTGGGCGTAGGAGAGTAGACATTGGAAGTACGGGATCGCCAGCAAGCATTATGGTCGAATCACAGCTCCACGTTGGGGACGTGGAAGGGCATTACTTGCCTATATTCATTATTACATGGCGATATTTGGTGATGGAATGTGACGGGGCAGTAGTAGCAGCAACAGCGACAGGCTTACGAAGAAGAAGAAGAAGAAGAAGAAGAAGAAGAATAAGAAAAGAGTGCACTAAGTCATATGATGTTGTGATTAGTTTTTTTTTCTGTTCACCGGAGAGGGAGGGCATGTTGTTGTGATCTTGTTACGAGTATGCTATCAATAATGATGACGACCCTCCACGTATGCACTCCACCTAGGTAGTTTACAATGTTAGTTGGTTTGTGCATGTGTAGAGGATAAATTCAGAGAATATGCAGCAACATGCAGGATACGGACAGTATAGAGTGATATAGAACATAAGACATGGAGTATAGCAAAGTCATTATACAGCGTAGAGTAGAGGATATACGGAGTAATAGGTGTATTCACACAATGTCTAAGATCCGAGCTTTCCCCACGATGCGACTATGCAACAGTAATGCACCCACCACACAGTCACACACCAATATCCACCACACTGCTTACAAGCCAAAAATCTCCATCTTTTTCTTTTTCTTTTTCTTCCCTTCCTTTTCGCCTTTCCTCCTTCTCTCTCTCTCTTGATTTCCAATGGATTATAGATCACGCCATGTCATTCCATCATGCCATGACGAAACGGAGCCCGCCTATGATTCCAACTTCCAGCTTCCATCCATCCTATCGACATCTGTCGACAAGGCTCTGGCCCGGCTTGAAGGAATGTTGACTGCATAACCCCACCGCACATACCCATCATTCTTCAAATAAGAAGAGCAGGAGAGAGAAATATGAAGGCAAAAGCAAGCATAGGTGCTCACTCTGGTGTCAACTGCATTGCTATAGACGCTGTTCACGCCTCCCACACCAACTCTGATGCAGAGGGCTGGCATACAGCATACAGCATGCGGCATACCACACTACTGGTGGCTACCTTCGGCTTACAAGGCAGGGAAGAAACCCCAGTAGGATGCCGTCCAATGAAGATGGGCCAAACCAAAGGCATCAGGTCAATGTCAACAATTCAAAAGCTGTTTGTGTATGGTGGCTCTCTGCCACCCGTTTTCTACCGTGAATCGTCGTCTCTCATGATCTTGTCTCCAGGCTCGAGCATCGGTAACTTCCCCGTAGTCCACCCCGCATTCTGTTCCCATCGTCAAGGATGGTATGTGTGATGTCTCTAGAATTGTGCAAAGGCCAGACCTTTATTACGCCATCGCCTCCAGGACAGGACAATTGATGGGAGAGGTGGGAGCTAAATCTTTTGTGCCGGTATGGGCGCTTGTGCTTCACCGCCGGGAAATGCTTTAGCTTTTTCGAATTCGTGATAGTACCGTAATGGACAGTGTAGTCACTGTGTAGAGGAGAGCAATCGAGGTAGTCAGTCTAGTGTGATTCAGGTGCAATGTTCCCCTTTAACCCCCCCTTAGCTTCGGCCTTGCAATCATTACTACTTTCGAACATGAACCATGAGAACATGGACGACACGAATGAGATAAGATGAGTAGAGCGTGAGACTACCTCGTACCTATGAGAGTAGATTTTGGTAGCTCTGAGTAGTGTAGTTTAGGGTAATGGCAGCCAAGTATTGCCCTATAACCCATCTGCCCGTGGTACGCCGACTTTTGTATCACATGGTCGACCCCTTCACCCCCTTCCACCTCCATGTCCTCATTCTCCACCATTCCACCTCCACCCTCCACCTCGTCTGACCCCAAACCCTTACCTTTGTACGGAGTATCCTCACTTTGTAACTCTTCTCTGATTATTCTTACTTGCTCTCTTACGAGTAGTTACTACTGGATTCTACCTAGTTATTCTGAATCCACACCCAATTCATTCATCCACCCCCATCCCCATCCCTTCGCCTTCGCCTTCGCCCTCACATCTCTTCCCCCCCCCCACAACCACCAACGATCCTATGACACCGTATTACTGTTGTACCACCTGGAAGAAAATAAAATAAAATAAAATCAAACAATCCCACGACCCACTCGTCGCCTGTACTTATGCACGCGTCCCACATCATTTTTCGGCCCTAGTGATGCAACCCGCGCGTTGGCCTGTCTCGGGCATTCTTACTCTATCCATCCTGAGAGAGATGGAGTGGAAAAAGTCCACACCAAGCAAGCGTGCATCATGCATCATCCACAGTAACTACTGTACACACCCACGCCGCTTGCACTTGCATGATGGCCCTTCTCACGCGGTACGGTAGCAGCCGAAAGTAGTTTTTTTCTCTTCTCATTTGTTATTTTCGTCCGTCGTTTTGCACTAATCGTCCATATTCCTGTTGTTGATTCTGCATCTAGGTTGTGATCCTCTTCGTTCGTGGCGTCCCGCTCCCTCTCAACTCTAGACCTCGGACTTAGTTCTCCTGCTCATTCACCCTCTGGCCCGAACCCACTATTGAATTCATAAAGCACCCACGATCCCCATCATTGTGCACCCCTCAACTCCTATCACCTGTGCTTCACTCTCCGCTCTCCATTGTCCCAAGATATCCATTCACCGTGCCAAGGTCGATCGACGTTTCCAAAACCCCTTCAGGACCATCACCTAAACTGCATCCATCCGACCAACCAACCCATCTGCCCCAATATTGTCACACACACCCTGCGCGACTCATCAAACACATACCGTTCATATACCTCCGTACAACTTTACACAACGTTTCCTTCCAAGACGCATCCCATATTTGCCAAGACACCCTCTAGCCAACTACCGAAACAGATCTATAGATCCAAGATTCTTGGTCTACTATCTCGCACTCAAGCAGCCACGCAATCCGCATCAAGACTTTCCGTAGTTCGAACAAGCACGTCCCTTCCAAGCTTGTTGACGATCATTCGTACGCAGTAAGGAAACGATTATCAGACACATCCATTTACGGCTGTGACATCCCGCGCTGCGAGTTATCTATTCCTGCGTTTCTGGAGTCGCTGATCCTATCCGATACCACGAAACCAACTTGCTAGAAGCTCCCAATTGGAACTTCCAAGAGGCCGACCCAGACATTCCCGACACATCCTTTCTAAAACAATTCCAAACAGGTCACTTGACCTACATTGCAATCGTCGCCTCTAGGGACTATAGGGCTTGGCCGTAACACGCAAAGCCATAGCAACCCACGCCGTACCTCTTCCAACCCAACATATAAACCCACGATCAACCTCAGCAACCATTCTCACCATTCATCCAACATCCTCTATCTCTCTCCATCCACAATGTCTACCTCGGGCCCCCGCTTCCACATTCCCTTCCCCTCCAACTTTCTCTCCCTCAACACTCCCACCAAGAGGTCCGCTTCTCTCGATGGCTCTGTCACCGCTCCCACTCCCGCCCCAGAGCATTCCTTCCTCTCCAACCGCTCGGTGGCCCATCGCCACCCTTCCATCTCCTCGGTCACCAGCGAGGATTCCACTCGCAGCACGCCACCTGCTGCCGCCCTCGACGCTGCCGTTGCACCTGTCCCTACTCCGAAGAGCCCAACTTTTCTGGCGCTTAACCACAAGTCTGCGGCTCCGCCAAAGAATGCTCAGGCGCTGAGGGGCGTCGTCGACCACTCCTTCCTGTCCAACAGGCACTAGGCGTGCGTGGATCCAACCCCATGCCTATCTACCTACCTACCTATGCCAAATTGTCCAAGTTTGTCGCGTTTGGGAGAGCTGCAGGGCAGCTTCAGCAACGATAGCAACTCAAAATTGTACGCGGGATCTTTACGATGGCGAGAATGCAAAACGAGAAGGCGATGGTCGACTGCTTTTTCCCCCCACTTCTTTCAGAGTCGACTCTTAACGATTTTCTCACGGCCTATTGGACGCTTCCATCATTCACTTCAGATTTATAAATAGTTGAAACGAAAAACAGCGGGGGGATCTTTCTATTTTCCTTATGAGGGACACATAGCCACAAAAATCATTCTTGAGCAGGAATGCCGAATGTTGTTGGGAATTGGAGTTTTCGGACTGGTTGATGATATATTCATTCATAAGCAAGGCCTTGTAGGGCAAACCAAATAAAAAAAGTTTGATGACTGCCATCTATCAAAAATCCTTGTGCTTTTTGCCTCAGTTCACAGTGCAGTTCTTGATAAATGCTGAGTGTTCATCAATTAAGCAGCCTTCTCCAAGCCAGGGCAACACCGCCCACCACTCACCCACCCTTCGATCACCTCACAACGAAAAACCAACAAAACAAGTTGCACAAAAATTCCAATCCGCCCATCAAATCCCCAATCCCACAACTTCCTATGACAAAAAGGAATAGCAGGTACAAAATGACGTAGCCCGCACGACAACGCCCGGAACGGGTTGCACAGTCGTCAGTTTATAGTCCCGTCAGTCGAAGCGAGCGTTTATGCGGAGTAACCTTCCTTCCCTACTCCCGAGCGAGTGCGAGTCATGCAGTTCTACTCCAGATAAACTTACTTCTAACAACACATTCCCCTTCAAATGTTTCGTTCGATCTGAGAGCTACAGTGGACAGTTTCGTAATAATGTTATGTTCTTCCGCAACATTGCTGGGACGATGCCAAAATGGCACACGGGCAGTTCCCTAGAAGCGAAGCAAACCGACGACAATAAAAACCCTCATACCACCACCACAACCATCAAGACCACAACAGTAACCAATCGCAACCCCGTAGAAAATCCCCATCCAAACCACCGTAGTCCCTCTGCAGCCTTACGTACCGGCTTCCAGGGATGTCCCCATTCTCGCGTTTTCCCTTCGGTAACGCTCCCGAGGATAGAGGGATTTCCTGTTCCTTGTTCCTGATTCACCCGATGCCTAGGGAGGGGGGTGGTTTTCGTCAGGCCAGCCCAGGCCCCGGCGTATTGTTTATTCCCTGTGGCGCCCGAGGTATGATTATGGGGTAAGGGTTTTGTGGGGTAGATGATGGGAGTTATTTTTGAATTGGTGTGGTGGGCTCGTGATGGGTCGGTTTGTGTCGGAAGGTTGTGTGTGATGTTTGCATGTTTGCTGCTGTGACTTGACGTGACCGAGGTATCAGATGTTCATTTGGACTGTTTCTTCGAGATAGCTGAATGTATGTAGGAGCTGTATTATCGTTCGTCTGTCCCGTTTGATTGGTATGCATGAATGTAGACCATTCCTTGCTGTATGGTGGCATAGACACCAGTATTTGTGAAGAGAAAAAGATGCCAGGATCAACTAGGGTAACCTTGAGATGGATTCCCATCCACGAACAGTTGGCCGACGCTTCTTGGGTTCTCGCATGTGAAAGAGAATTCCTTGAAAATGAAAGCTTTGCAGCTCTGCCCTAGTCAAATTGACTATTTGTGGATTCATGATGACGCAACGAAATGGGTGGAAACATTACCGTATCACAACGGTGAATGACCCAGTGTAGCTACTTCAAGTGTTATGTCCAGGAAAATTGAAATGGAAGTTGGTTACTAATTCAATATCACCACACTACCAATACTCTACTTCAAGTTTTCACATGGAGAACAAAGTTGAATATCGGAGGGCCGTTTTAGCTGTATCTTCTTCCTGGCATCTTGAAGTTCAGTCACAGTCAATGATTTGTTTCACTGCAGTGAGATCATCACCACCACTGGCAGATACATGATTAAACGAATCCCTGAAAGCCAGGCCTGAATTATCTTCCGGACACGGTCGAACTCTTTCCAAGCCATGTGTTCGAATGTTGTCCAAGGATACCTATCACGGGTTCTACTTTTGTAAGCAAAAATACTCCTAACTTGCTATAACTGATCACAAACAATAAGTTCTGCTTGCTGCAGGACATTGAATATACTTTCGGATTGAGTCGAATCGACATTTCAAGTCCATCGACTCCCAATGTCAAGTGCCATAGGCATGTACTGGGCAATATAGAAGATGGAAACCCTATCATGGGAAGGTCGACAGCTCAAATGAATGGATAGATATTTATCAACTATTGTATTATTTGCATAGCACCTTCAAAGATATTTGTTTTGCTGACTTGATGATGTACCTAGATACTGTATCGTATCTGACATATTACATTCTGCTCTGCTTTAAACTGCCACTTTCCTTGCTATCCATCGAACTGTGCCTTCTTTTAGCCCTAATATACACATAGACAAAGTTGCATACCAAGACCGACATCGAGATCTGGTCCATCAATCACAAAACACCACTCATTAATCCAACATGGAAAACGAATAACACACCTACTAATAAACAACCCCAACCAAAGAAAGCCAGTCAACCCCAGATCACTTGACAACCCGCCTATCCCCGACCCAAACATCACAATTGGTCGACCCAGCGTCGCCAAGCGCCAGGTATATACTTGAGCCTCCCTCCTCCCCTGCCCGATCGGGTCTTTTCACCAATCGACGAGGGGGAAGAATTCATGTATCTGGTTTCGTATAGATTGCTGCGCCCGACACGGCGGACCAAAAAAACTATGTCATGGAGACGCCATCGCATTCTTCCCACATCGGCGTTGACGGCAAGGGGAAATGGGATGAAGAAACTGCATATCGATTGTCGTCGTGCAAGTCAGTCGTATCTCAAAGTGCCCTACCCTGCTTGACCGTTCCCTCTCTCGTACCTACGATCGTCGTCCGAAATGGATTGCTTATGCCTTGCAGCCCTGCAGCCTGTGTTCATCAATCGGTCGGCCATCGCTACCTTGAAAATTCTGCCTCAATTTACTGCCTCTGCACAGGAACGGGTTTCTGCGAGGCAGTTCCGAATTGCTTCGCTCGGTACATAGACATGCATAGCACGCACTGTATATACGCTTTTTACCTAATCTCACGTTTCCAGGATCATTGCTCACCAACTCGTATGTAGATCTCCATCTGCCTGCTATCCTTGGCGCTCTCTCGCGCTGCCGCCGCTGACCTGCGTCGGATCTCCCCTTCCCCCCTTCAGGCACCGCGAGCGAGTCGAGTGAGCGAACGCACGTTCGGCCAACACCCTGCATGGACCGGGGGAATTTTGTTTTTTTTTCGGTCACCGACGCACATGGCATGGGGAGGAAGCTATTTTATTTTTACTTTTATTTTGACCTATCTGTGCGTGTATTTGTGTTTCATGATTGTTTGTACGGTGGTACAGATGATGACGGTGGTCGTGGTCGTGGAAGGATTCGGGACTCGTGGATGGCGTACTTGCGTGAAGGGTTCCGAGTGCGTAGACTGTGTCGACGTTCGTATCATTTCCATGTTCAAGCGATTTGGGATACGATGAAGCGCATGTCTTGCATGCTCCAATGCTGAATTGAACTCCGAGCAAAGTATGCATAAGGCTTCGGAAGAATGTCGATCAGGTTCTAGAATGAAATTGATAGATCGGGTGTTAGGAACAACGCTGTTGTGTCGGACATGGTGAGACTGGCGCTAGAGGTTTGCGCAAATGCGCAATTCGCAGTTCTGCGCAGAACGGATCCCTGAACTCTGGTCCTTCTTTTCCTTCTATGCATTGTTCTAAGCCAATTGAATTAGCAACATATCGTGGGTTCAAATGTGGCGCACAGAGAGCTCCAAACGGTTGATGAGGATACCAGCGTGATCAACGTAGTTGGTTTATAGAGAACCCGTAATGCAGGTGATGAAAGTATTGTCCTATCTCGATCAACTATCCGAGCAACTCACAGCTCAGTTCACTTATCTCCCAGAATCTCAAAGGCTTACAGAATTCAAGCCCCCTCCGCAGGACCATGTCCAATTGTATATAGAACAGAAACATATAATGGCAAGCACGGCCACTCAAGAAATCACACTCAGCGGCAAAACGGCCCGAGACAAAATAAAGCAGGCACACAGGTCTGCCATCATATAATAGGACATCCAATCGAAAAATTGGGAAAAAGAGAACAAACAAGTTTTTGAGATGGGCAAAAAAAGGCCGAACCCATGCCCCTGAACCAAACAGATCTGGTTGTCAAACGTAGCACTGATGACAGGGATCGATCGCCCGGGGAAGATTGGCTGGCACTGATCGGGATATAGCGTAATCGAGGTCCGGAAAAGACGAGGGCCAGGCGATAGGTGAGGCTAGTCAAGGAGAGACTATAACGTACAGAGTCCATTGAGCACTCGAATTTTGTAGAGGATTGGTGGCGATATCGCACATGGAAGCAACCGTATATAGAAAATTGACGTCGGCCTTGTCGAGTCCAACAAGCGACCGATTGACGGCTTGTATAACTTTTTCTCAGGTGAAATCAGGCAGATTGGCCAAATACAAACAAGGAAATGGGTTGCTGGTCGAGGAAACAGGAACAAGTGCTATGGGCATAAAACCAGAATCCCAAGGGTAATATGTGATGAATGGGGTTCTCCCGAAAAAAACGCCTAAAAACTCCAATGCTACTGCGCTCTTGACATAGGCGAGAGGCAATGATATATCCCAATCCTGATTCGTGACCCAGAAGTGCGAACGGTATGGCACGATCGGGGATATGATCGTAATGACTCGTGTTGTATTATTTGAGGTTCGGTAAGGCGGACTATGCACAGCGGTGCGCGACGTGTGGCCTCGTCGGGCGAGGGTGGGGGATGCATCTGGTTAGAGAATTCCTGAGTCTTTCAATGCGTTTTGGAGTATTGTCTCTTTCACGGCGGCGAAGACCAGTCGGATATTCGAGGTATCGGTTGCTTGGGTAAGACTGCGCACGTCAGCGATTGAAGAAATCATACTGTTACCAACTAGCTTACTGAGGATATAAATTGAGGTGCGCTCGATTCACCTGGTTGAATCTCCAGAGAAGGTATTTGGCTGCGCGATTGACATCGTTGCCTCCTGAGTAGTCGGGGAAGTAATTGCCTAATGGACTTCGCGCAAGTTTTGCCTTAAACAGATCGACCTACGAGATGTTAGCAAAGAAGCAATGGTTGTAGATGAGGAAGGTCTCACTTTGTTCAAGAACAATATAATGCTCGTCCTCATAAACCACCGGCTGTTTACAACCGAATCGAACAGTGTCAAACTCTCCATCATGCGGTTCTGTGCATTCTGCGTAAGCATATGTTTGGTAAAGGGCCATTGCGTTTGAGCGTACCTGAGCACTCTCTTCCAGAAGGACTTGATCGTATTCACTCAGAGCCACACAGAAGATAATCGAGGTGACGTTTTCGAAACAATGTATCCACTTTTTGCGTTCACTGCGTTGGCCACCCACGTCGAACATGCTAGAGCTTGCCGTTAGCGAAAAGACCTCTGGAGACAGCAGTAATGGGTAAAAACGAGGTACACGTACTGTATGCTGAGCTGGCCCATCGTAAATCGCGTCTCGTAGATACCGGTAGTCTTAGTACGCGCTCTCAGAACGTCGGACTCGATGGGGATGTAATCAGGATCGGCTATACGGTTCACCTCGTCGAAAAAGCTATCACAGAGAGTTAGTTAATCGAAGAAGATTCGTCATTGGACGTGGCGCATTACTATGGGGCAGAGTCCATGAGATAGAACTCGCTTGAGTGCTCAAGGACTTTGGGAACGCAAGGATCTTTCCAGATGGCGGTGATTGCTTGTCCGACTTGCCTGTCGAGCGGCTTCTCGGGATCGGGGTCGACGGTGTATTCGAGCAGGTATTCGCAGTACTCCTCGTTTCCGGCTTCCTCTGTCGATACCTCGAATTGGCGCATCGCGCCTATTAAAGCCTTCGCGCAGTCGATGACATTCTTGTAGATGGTGAGGCGGTACATGGCGAGTTCATCCTGCGTGTAACCATTCTGATGGATAATCTTCATCTGTTTGACAATTGTCGACTTGCCGCTCTCGCCGGAACCTAGATGATGGAGTTAGTTTTGGGAGGGTCGTGGCCGTGGCCGTGGCCGTGGCGACGAGACGCAGCCCTCAGCTGGGAGAGGAGAGCTTACCGAGAAGGAGGATCTTGCATTCTCGTCGTAGCCGCCGCGAATCTTCCTCCAATTTGCGGTCGATTGCTTGACTGCGCTTCTTCTGCTCGACATCATCGTTGTTTGTGCTCATGCAGATACCCATGGTGGCTGGCAGTCGCGACGGTCGCAGCGGCTTGCGACCGCGGGAGCTGTGTTGATGGCTGGCGAGGACAAAGGTGGAGCGCTAGGGCTCGGTGTGTCGCAAGGGAGACAAACGAGAGATGGTCGAAGACGGATCGAAACAGCAGTCTCAGGTTAAACGACCGCGTGACGGACGAAGTCGTTGTGAGAGTGACTGTGGCGACGGAAACGGAGCTGCGTTCGTACGGATCGAGCCGAGAAGCGATGAGCGGCGGGATCAAGGGGTTCGAGTGAGGCTGGCAGCTGGCAGGTCGGGTAGGGGCGAGACGACACAGAGCCGCCAGCGTTGGAGGGACGGATTATTGCGATGAAGGGCTGCGGTCGACCGCAGCGGGGGTGAAGATGTAGGAGCCAGAGTCGTTGAAGGTGTGGATGTATCTAGTTGCGGGCAGTCGGTTGAAAGCGTTCTTGGGGTTCGCCGGGCGGTGATCAAAGCGAGAGCCCGTGCGGAGCAAAGCAAGGCAAAGCAAAGCAAAGCAACGCAACGCAGAGTAAATCAAAGCAGATGTGCAGCAACAGAGGCACAGGCACGGGCAGAGGCAGCAGGTAGCCTAGTTATCCAACGACTTACGTTCTTGGTCGGTATAAAGTAAATTGGGCAGCTTTACCCAGGTCGCAACAAAAGCTGTTGTTGGTGTCCTGGACCTGGCTAGGATTGAGGTGATGCGCAGTAGTAAATTGACGAGACGCGATCGGAAGCGTGTGTGGAACGTCGAGTATGCCTGGGCGTGTATCGGAGAAAGAATGAAGGGAAGAGCTGGTGGAGGTGGAGGATGAGGTGGAGGAGGAGGAGAAGTAGGAAGAGGAAGACGAGGTGGTGGTGGTGGAAGAGTTGTTGGTGTGTGGTAGGAGGAGAAAAAGAGTGCGAGTGAGTGAGAGAGTGTGAGAGAACGGGAGAGAGATTGTGTGGAGAGTGAGGGCGAGGGTGAGGGTGAGAAAGTGAGGGCGGCCGGGAGAGGGAGAGAGGAGCACAACAGGATAGGGCAGATCCGAACAGAGCCCCAAAAGCCCCCAAAGAGACAATGATGATTACGGCGGAGACGGCGACGACGACAACGATGATGATGCTGATGGAGGTGAAGGGCGAGAGATGGTAGATGATAGGTGTTAAATGACCTATCTCGGTGGCACGGCAATGCGAAGCAACGGGGGAGGAAGTAGAAGGAGTAGGTCTTCGGCAAAGAAGATTGCTTTGATCATGATAATAATGCGAAGATACAAGAATAGCTCCAGCAGTAGTACCAACACCAGCACCAGCACCAGCAACGCAGAAGATTGATTGTACTGTAACTACTAGCTATACAGTCAGTCAAGTCTTGTATCGTCACTCTCCAAACAAACAAGCAAGCAAGCAAGCAAGCAAGAAGAAAAAGAAGCAATCAATTAATTACAACACAATCACAATACAGCCAGCATAGCGGAGCACAGCAGAGTACAGCTCAGTGCAGTGCAGTGCAGTGCAGTGCAGTGCATGCAGTAGTGCAACGGTGATGATGGTAATAATAACAATAATAATAGTGGCTCTGTTTGCTTGCTGCTTACTACAAGGTAGCTAGTAGCTGCGAGTTCCGGAGTTGATAGATAGATCATACTCATAGTATGAAGGTACTGTGTAGTCTACGCAGTAAGAAATAGACACATCCTCCTACTGAGTATCTAGGCATATTTGGACTTGACTGATCATCATTGTTATAGAGAACAATGAGTACAAGTACGGAGTATCCTGACTGTGTAAACATTTGATATTCAATTGTTAAATTCAAATTCATCGGGCTCACACTGTCACAGCCTCCCTCCTCCCTAACTTACTGCGAATGCCTCCCAGCCAATCACTTCGTTCGCCCACCTCGACTCTACAGATTCCTACCGCAGCACAGCGGCACCACCGAAAACACCATTGTCCTTTTCGACATCAATCCCGTACTTGCATCAATCTATTCTATTCGGTTCCGTTCGGTTCCGTTGCAATTCGAGTCAAAGTCTTTTTGATACTTATCTGTTTTCCTTTGTGTTTCAAGCAGCAGTTACTCATACTCTCTCGGCATTCAGGAGTGGTGGCATGGTAGCGATGACTGTCAGAACTCCATCTGGAAATGATATACCAGGAACGATTTGAATTGCACCCTAATCGCCTATTTGATTTTACAAGTAATTGTTGTCCACGGGAAAAAATTACTAGAGGGAATGACGAATGCGTTCGTACGAAAGGCGACTGTGACAAACATTGACCTATTCCATTCCAGGTGTGAATTCATAACGGTCGGCCACTGTTACTCCGTAGACAATTATACTATTCTGTGCTTAGCACCCATACTATGCTGTGTTTGAGTTTGGATTTCGAGTTTTGGGTTTGGCAACGCCTGTAATTGGATCGGACCTTTTTGTGAAGATAGGAATTGACGCATCCACCAAACTCTGTTTCTGCTCTCTCGTTAATTAATCACTCGTTCCTCTTCCCACTCATACGAGTATCCTTTCTCGTCCCCCCGAGTCCTAACCTCGAAGTCCACTCCCTCCCTGAAATCTACTCCAAATCCGGTCCACTAATGGCCCCAGTCTTCCCTCCTGTGGCGGTGTCTCCCGCCCATGGACTGGCCCCAACTATCCCCGATCGGTGAATCGGTGAATTGGTTTTCCAATTGTTTGATGATTGGGGGTTGATTATACGATGGAGATGTTGGTGAAATGATATTTGATTCTTCTCAGTCCCTTACATTTCCTCCGCTCATCTACTCTCTACACAGCACCAATGAATGCATCTAACCATCCATGGTCCATTCATGCAGCCATCCTTCTATCAAACAGTAGTGTGATACCTCCCACACAGTAGCGTCCACCTGCCTCGGGCAACGTTCGCATCGCATTCATTCAATAGGCAGATGCACGCCGTTCGGCCGTTCGCCTTGTAAATCATCATCTCACGGCTTCGCGCCTTTCGTCTGCTCACCCGCCCTCACCTTGCATTATTGCTTGCTCCCATCATCATGGCCGTCCGTCATCATCATCAATCCCGCTGGTGCGTCCTCAGCCAAGGCACACAATGCGTGAACTCACCATCAATTCATTCGCTCGCCGTTTCTAAATTAAGGACCATGCAGATGCTAATAAACACCCAATAATCGTCCCCGCAAGGTTGACTCCCGGCCAGATACCCGCGAGCACAACATCATCGATCCCGGAACATTAATATCTTTTTCGCGTTGACCAACAGGGTTCGATTAGATCTGTCCATCTTCCTCTCTCGCGTCCTTCTACACCGTACAACTACTAGAATATCGCATATTTGCCGTCAACGATGTGGATGTTGCCGAAAGCTACGAATGCCGCGCCGTAGTTTTTCCTCATGCCGCTCTGCGAGTAATTATCGCACCGGTCGGTTCGCTTGACTTGCTTACCAAATGATTACCAGATGCACAACTAAGAACGGATTGTCATGTGACGAAAGCTTGTTTTGTTCATCAATATTGACAGGTCGACTAAGAGCTTACTCGAACCTTCCTACTCAGGTATTGCAAAGTTGATCATACATACAGAGCGTCGAGCAGTGGCTTTCCATTGAGGGAGCGAGTACGTTTGTGGCACTCGTAGGACGGGTGGTCGCAGAAGAGTGCAATAAAACGTTTGGTTGTCTTGAAATGCATGTTACAGGTTATATTGCATGTACGGTAGATATGCAACATTTCCTAATGTCTAGTGGAGTGCGGGCTGCGGCATATCGTATGGCAGGTGTGCACGGCATTGCGAGCCAGGACATCTGCAACGAGGTCAATTTCGGGCGTGGCCGTCCCGACTCTTTCGGCTCATCATTTTGCAGAGCGATTCGACGGTTGGAGCCAACAAGGGAGGCAGGCTGCAGGCATGACTTGACTTGGATAATGAGTTCGGTAGAAAGGGCTTGGAAAGCCAGTAACAATGATGGGCGAATGTGCTGGCAGGCCTTGCCGTGTCGTCTCCGGGGTTTGATTCTGGGTTTGTAGGTTGGTGGGTGCCACTGGGTGGACGATTGCACAGTAAGCAGCTGGGCGAGCTGGGCACTGCACGTGCCCACATCTATACATTAGTAGGTCGGGTTCGAGGAAGGGAGGGGGAGGCGATGAGAGAATCCGAGATGCAGTTTGAACAACAGCGAATTCGTAAAATTAGTGTTATTGATACCATTATTGAATATGTGAATCGATCTTCTGATGTTCTTGTTTTCATGTTTTCCTAACCAGTTGGCTCCATCATGTGAAAACGGATCACGAGGCAGATGGACGCATGGATGAATGGAGAGCGCCACCATTTCCTCGCCTTCGGTCAACAATACCGATGGGGGCAGAGGCGAAAGCGCAAGAAGGCGAGGAGGAGATGAAGAGGTGGTTGTTTTCTTTTCTTCTTTTCTTCCTTGTCAAGTGGCGATAGAATCTGGAAGGGGTGGATGGATGTTTTATATAAGTTAGATGTATCGAGGAAATGAGAAGTGATCGTGGTAACCAAGGGCTTAAGTTAGGTATTTGTATTTGTATTTCCTTTCGATTTCGATTTCGATGGTCGATGGTCGATTGTCGATGCAGAATCGGGCTGCCACGCGCGAAAGGGGTGAAAGATATTGCCGGAAAGGGAAAGGTGAAAAGGAAAAGAGTTAGCAATTGGGGGGGGGGGGATGAATCCTGATGGATCGGGGGGGATCGAGGATTAGGGAAGCGGAAAATCTGGAACCAGGTTGCTTTGCACATTCTTACTGTACATTATTAGTGCATCATCCACCCACCTTCTCTTACCTTAGTAGACCATACTTACAGGCTACGAGTAAGACTACAACAGTAGTATTCAGTAGTTAGCACAACGTACTGGACAGTGGACAAAAGGACTACGAGGATGAGACGGATGGGGCGGTTCCAACATGCACACCCATTATTGCACGGTCCATACGCCTCTTCTTGTTCTCCAACTAGCTACTACTATCAACGGTACACAGTTACTTCGTAATCTATATGGGATTTGAATGAGTTGGCAGAGGGGGATGTATTTGTTCGTAGGTTGCGAGTAGTGGTAACTACTGTAGTGCATGTACCAGTATCATAGATGTACGGTGCATGGACATTTGATGTGATTGTTCTTATGGTCCTCGGTGGTACCTCGTAGGTGGTAGTGCAGATAGTGTTCATGGAAGTAACTGGGAGGTACCGCTACCTGGGTGTTCAACCATGACGTAGTCAAGAATAACCTTGACATCTCCCCTCCCCCCTCCCGCAACCACCAATGGTTCTTCGTCTTCCTGTGCTTCAATCATACAAGTTTTTCTCAATTTCCTTGCTACCAGGTAGTAACCTCGTAGCCAAAATACCCGTGCAAAAGCCTGTAACCTGTAATCTGTAATCCTTCCCATTAATTGTGCCAATCCCCATCAAGTATTATCGTGCCTTGCCCTGGATGCCCCTCCATACCCTCCCACTCCATACCACATCCTCCACCCTCACCACTACTTCCCCCCCCCCTCCCCCCATCCTCTTAAAGCTATTCAAAAACCCTTCATCTTCCCTCTTGAACGTAAAACATACATAATCCTCATTATCCCCTTTGTGGCAACGATATTCACAACCCGCCAACGTCCGCCCGCCCAACTACCACCACCATCACAGTCCACTCCACTCGCCCTAGACAAGCATACAAAGTACACAAGTACACGCGCACACGCACACCCATACTTAGTTACATAGGTAAGTAACTATACATATACAAGTACATGTACTCTCCGTTCAGATCTTCGCCATACACAAATAAATAAACACCACCCCTCACATTTCGTCACACCTACTCTCCCTTCTCTCTTCCCCCCTCCAATCTTCTTCTATAGGCCTCGGTATTTTTCGCCGAAGACTTACATAGCAACGACAACAGCAACGGCACAAACTCCCTCCTAAACCAGCTTTGCCGCCTCTACTGGTTTCTTCCAAACGAGCTTTTCACGCCTCCATAGTCAGCTCTCAAACAATAAATTCAACTCTTCCCCCCCTCCGCGGACTAGCAGCACCGAACCAGTCCGGCTTGCCCCATTTTGTGCGCTGCACGAAACGTCCCAGCTAAAACCTGCTGAGCGAGCGGCGAGAACAACCACCGCAAGCAACCAGCCAGCGTGTACCAGCCAGCCAACCATACCACCAATACCAAACACTCTACCGCCCGCCGTCGCCGCCGCGTCCACTCCCACACCTCTCCCACAATCCACCTCCGCCAAACACCACAACCACAACTACTACCACAACCCTCCTACAGCATCACCACCACCAACCACCCTCCTTCCGAATCCTTCCAGATATCTACCTCCCTATACTCTGACTGCCATCGCGATTCATCATGGCAGAATTCGTGCGCGCTCAGATTTTCGGTACCACCTTTGAGATCACCAGCAGGTGCGGCTCCTACCCCACCTGAGCTCCCGTTTGCGACCGACTGACACTCTTGTGAAGATATACCGATCTGCAGCCTGTGGGCATGGGTGCATTCGGGCTGGTCTGGTATGCCTCCTGCGATACACACCTCCAGTTTCGCGTGCTAACATTTGATGAAGTTCCGCCAAAGACCAGCTCACCAGCCAAGCAGTCGCCATCAAGAAGATCATGAAGCCCTTCAGCACCCCAGTCCTATCCAAGCGAACATACCGTGAGCTCAAGCTACTCAAGCATCTCAGGCATGAGAATGTGCGCCTATCATTTCTCTATCGCTATGAACCTACATTCTGATCCACAACACCAGGTCATCAGTCTTAGCGACATTTTCATCTCGCCCCTCGAGGACATGTCAGTGATACTCACCCCCGCCACTACGACTGCTCACTGACCTCCTCTGCAGCTATTTCGTCACAGAACTTCTAGGTACCGATCTCCACCGATTGCTCACCTCCAGGCCTCTCGAGAAGCAATTCATCCAGTACTTCCTCTACCAAATTCTGGTACGTAATCGAATCGTTGGTGGGCCCCATTGATCATCGCTGACTGCAAAAAGCGTGGTTTGAAATATGTCCACTCCGCCGGTGTCGTCCATCGTGACCTGAAGCCCAGCAACATCCTTGTCAATGAGAACTGCGATCTTAAGATCTGCGACTTCGGATTGGCGCGTATACAGGACCCCCAGATGACGGGATATGTCTCTACCCGATACTACCGAGCCCCCGAAATCATGCTCACCTGGCAGAAGTACGACGTCGAAGTAGACATCTGGAGTGCAGGTTGCATTTTTGCGGAGATGTTGGAGGGAAAGCCCCTGTTCCCCGGAAAGGACCATGTGAACCAGTTCTCTATCATCACGGAGTTGCTAGGCACTCCCCCCGACGATGTCATCCAGACCATCTGCAGCGAAAACGTATGCAAAGACAGCCTAGGCTCCCAGTACCCCCACTAACGCAGCGACAGACATTACGATTTGTCCAATCTCTCCCCAAGCGCGAGCGACAGCCATTGGCGAACAAGTTCAAGAACGCAGAGCCGGATGGTATGTATCGGCAACAGATTGGTGTTCAAACATTTTGCTGATAGTTCTGTGTAGCCATTGATCTACTCGAGAACATGCTCGTTTTCGACCCCAAGAAGCGTGTTCGTGCGGAACAAGCGCTTGCCCACGCATACCTCGCCCCATACCACGATCCCAGTGACGAGCCAGTAGCGGAGGAGAAATTCGATTGGTCTTTCAACGACGCCGACCTCCCAGTTGATACCTGGAAGATCATGATGTAGGCTCAATTCGCAGAACCTCGTGCTGTTTAACATCCGCTAACTTGCAAGTAGGTATTCCGAAATTCTCGATTACCACAACGTAGACTCCAATCAGCAGGCTGCCGAGGAGAATGGAAGTTGAAAAAAAATTGAGGGGCAATATTGATAATAAGAGTTGCGCAATGGTTTGATGTTTACGACACAGAAAATTCCGTATTCGCGTTTTGGCTGGACATTCTCCAACGAGACCAAGCCAGGCCCCATACGTGTTACCTTCCATTCATAGCGCATGCCGAATTTGGTTGCGCAATCTTGGAGCGTGAGGTGGTTTGTCGGGCTCGTTGTGGAATTCTGGTATAATCGGGCGTGATACGGCGAAGTGTGCTTTGGAAGACGGCAATCTGCAATACTTTTGATACGCGATAGATGCCGAGCCAGAGGTGTTTTCATTTGGCTACATCACGAATACTTGCATCTTACTACCTTATCCCATTCTCGCCATTCTGAATATAGATAATTTCGTTATGTAGCTACATCTTCTTCACCCATTTCCGCTATTTCTGTGCCCAAGGGAACACGATATGGGTTACATTACTTTCAGCCACAACTAGCCCCCTAGCAACTCCACATAGTCATGCTGCTGGCGTCTCATCCATGAAATGATCTTCTGCCTCTGTCTGGCGAACACACTTTCGGAGTTTTATGGCATCTCCTACCATGGGAGGGAACATGGCGCGATCTGCTGCAAGGATCTCGAATCCGGCCTAGTCCCTCGTGGTTGGGCTGGGCACAGGGCTGACCGGCACGACTGTCACCAACGAGCGTCACGGCGGCCATCGTAGCAAAAGCCGGAAAACAATCACGAAGCCCCGACGTCCCCATGGACTCTTCGCCCTTCACTTCTTCTCCTCTCCGGTAGCCGCACGTTTGCAGAGCAGACATGGCGCCATTCGCCCCCATTGTCTGCATCGTTGATTTCCACCACGCGAGGTCTGCCCTCCCCGCACCTTTCGAGGCGCCGCACCGCCATACGTCGCTCTTGTGGCTAACAGCTAATCCAGAGGCCCGGAAGTGGAAACATGGCTAGGCGTCGAAGAGGGTACTGACCCTGCGAGCGATAATGACTGGTCTCTACTGCCCTTCATGGCCTTGAGCGATGGCGCGCACGCGTATGTGAAATCCTCAACTCATCCCACTTCGGACACCTTGCTCCTCAATCTTTGCCCAACCAAGAGCTAATCAAGATGAACACAATAGTTCCACAGAAGACTACTCCTACTTTACTCTTCGACGCGAAGCAACAGAAAATAGTCCCGCGACGAGTCTCTTCGGAATATCCTGCACACGACAGCTCGATGCCAGTGAGCTTATCAACAGGCCAGCGGACGTCACTCGAAGCACGGTACAAAAGGCGGTCGTGGTTATCAGCGATAGTCCACAACATTTTGGGGCCGTCAAAGCACAGTTGGGTGTCGTTACGGCAGCTTGGTTTGCACAAAAGGATTTCACGGACATGGAGATAATGCAGAGGTTCCAAGAGAGCCTTCCCGTTTTTCTTAAGAATCAAGAGGGGGAGATGGACCATTACTTTGGTGAGTGCTATGGAGGTACCGAGGACGACGCACAACTGATCCAGCCAGGAATATCTCTTCGGGAGTTGATACATGAGTTCAAATGGCAGACGCTTGTGCTGTTCAAATGCGCCTTGCTGCAACCCAAGGTATGCATCGTCGCCCACCCCACAAGCCGTATCGTTGCTTACGAAAATAGATGCTCTTTTTCGGTTCCCATTGCGAACGGTTATGCATGATGCAATTTGCACTTATTTCTCTGATACCCGGCCTTATTCGCCAACTTCAAGACTCCGCTGATCCTAAATTCAATTCCTATGAAGAAAACCTTGTTATGCCTACTTCCCTTCGAACTTCAGAACGATCGTCATGTCAGTAGAACTTCCTTAAAATGTTCCTTTCATGCTTCTGATGACATTGTAGTGTTAGCTTATATGGGCCTCCCACTACAACTCTTCGGTAAGGGCTCACTATTTGGGCCGTATACACCACTGCAGCAACTGGATATGCTTGCCGATAAAGGCACCAAGTCATATATCGTTGGCTCGACGAACTCGCTGCTGCTACAACAAAGGGATCGATACAGTGATGTACTGATCAATCTCGATGACCTTACGCTGAATGTAACGTCGACATCTCTTCGGACTGCGCTCGTACTATCTACTCCCGATCGGAGGTGGATGGATTTCCTGACTCAGACTGTTTATGATACCTGGGATGAGTCAAACCCGAGTCGGCCCAAAGACCACGGGTATGCCGGCAGCGAAGAGTTCATTCGCATGCAGTTCGAAGAATACCTCCTCGCCCTACTCAGCGCAGTCAAATGCAAGCTCTACTTGGAGAAGAACAAAGAGAAAGAGAATCTCATCCCAGACATTGAGGGTGACCCGGCAGCTGATTTCTCCAACGAGTTTATCGACGCATGGATGAAGACGGAGAACTTCCGTTTGTTTAACAAGTTCACTGATTCCCATCTGTTTGATATCGTAGACCCGAAGCATCCATGCTCAGGTGGCCTTACGATCGAGGATGTCCAGCGGCGACTAGCACAGTAGGTCCACTTATTTCTTATACTCCCCACATCCATACCGACTAAAGGTACTTTAGACTCTTTTCGGAGCCTACTGTTCAGTTCGTCACTCTGACTGTCTGTGTGCTGATTGTGGCGTGGCGCCTAGGCAAGTAGCGGAAATGCACTTGGATGAGCGATTGGAAAAGTCGCGCGAAGCCATTGGCAAACAATTCGCCGTCGGTCAGAAGAAGGTCTCGAGCGTGGTCAACAACCTCTGGGCCGAGATGGATGCCATGCGGGAGGCCCAGAGGAAGAGGCAGGAAGAACAGAGACTACAGAGGGAGAGCGAAGTGTCCAGCACGAATGGCGAAAAGCCAGCTGGAAGTGCCGCGAATGCTCAAGCCAACGTGCCAACAGCCTCCTCGCGTGCCGGGGCGTATCTGTCGTCATGGGGTGCCTGGGCGTCAGAGAAGAAGAAGGGCTGGGCAGCAGCGAGAAGCACAACTACGACACCTCTCACTTCGCCCTTGCCACAGGCTGAGCCGACGCCTGGAGATCTGCGGCGTGCAGAGGAATTTGAGCAGAAGAAGAAGGGTGTCAGCACCGACATTCCATTAAGCAGTGCGAGAACAGTGCCTGTAGATGTAGAAGCTAGTGCAGCAGCAGCGAACAGGGAGAGCCTCTTCTTTGATGCAGAGAAGGAGCGAGAGAAGGAAAAGAGAAGCAAAGATGCCGAGCAAAACTGAGCATCTCGCGCGAGTCTTGTCGATTGACGGGGATGCGTCGATGTATGCTGTGTGAAGGATCACGATTATTTGCATCTTGAGCTGGGCTTTGGATTGGCACGTACGCGAATTTCACGTCAGATATAATGAACTACTGTTGCAATGGCGATTGCTATAGACTTTGAAACGTTTGTGCCGAACCATACGAGATCTTCTCTCCTCATCGACGGTGTTGAGGCCGACGCCACATATCGAGCAAGACCGTTTTACAAGAATTTAATAGATGGAATGGAACGATCGGAGGGAAGGAAACCAAACAAAGATATCATGTCATGTCAGTCAAATGTTGCGTCGGTCGGACTTGGACTTGGGGCTTTGCCGGCCCATGTCGAAACGCCCGTGGAGGTTGTTTGGTGGTGCGACGGATAGACGAATGAGGGGCTTCCATTTTGGGGGGCTGATGTGTGTCTATTTGGGGGACTTGCAGCGTGGACGCTTCGCCTCTCTCTGCCACAGGATCAACCCCAGACAACCCAGAACAAGGTACAAGTGCCAGATCAATTCGTCACACTTGAACGGCCACATCCTTCGCCTGGATTCCTGGCCTTTCCATTGGACACGTCCCCGTCCAGCGCAGTACGGTCATCGGAGTATTACATCTGTTCCGACCTTACCTCTCGTTGTCCTTGAGGCGTTTCAATATGCGTTCTCTGACCTGGGACGGGGGCGAGGCTCGGGTCGATTTGCCGTTGATTGTTTGAAAACACAAGTAGTCTGTCCGTGTCTGACATATATCTGTAAAACATGCCTCTCTTGAAGCCCTAAATCTCACCAAGCCAGAGCACAGTACAAATCCAAATCCCAAATCCCCAGGGCTACCTACTTACTTACCTTCACGAAGAAGAACAAAAAGAAGAAGGAATAACCACCATATCAGATCCTCAACGTCATCAACCATGTCTTGTGCGCTTTCATTCCAGATCGCCAACTCTCTCATGCAGTGGATGCAAAACGAGTCGATCCCCGTCCAATCACCCACCTCTCCAACTCCACGAAGACCCCAGGTCCATCATAATCGTAACCACAGCCATCAAGTCGTTACGCGGAAGCCTGATCCCATTTCCGACGTGTTGATTCAAGACTTCGAACGACAGAGCTTCGAGGAGTTCATGCGATCACACCCCACGATCCGACACCGCAGATCCGCATCCACAAGCTCCATCGCCTCCTCCAACAGCTCGTCGAGGCGGTCCAGCAACGCCAGCGACATGCCCACCCCTACATTCTCAGGCAGCGTCGAGTATTTCAGCCGGTGAATAGGGGAACAAAATAGTACTGTCACTTTCTTTCGCAGGTCGATCTTCCAATGACAAAAACCTCACCATCCTTCGTTCAGCAACCCACCGACCACGTTCGCACTCAACCTGGTATGAGGCATGAGCTTGAAATACCATTCGCCCTCCCTCTCGTTTGAGGCACCTGGGTGCAATTACATCGAATCTTCACACTTCCTTAGTACAACAGCCAAAGGAGTTCAGATCACGCGGCCATTCTATCCTGCGATACCACCAAACGACGTCCCACTCGTCACTTACACAACGAAATTCATCAATCCTGTACATACATACCATTCTGCGCAGAGCAAAGCCTTGTAAATAGACGGCGGACAGACAGACAGACACAGACACGACACGATGACGACCTCGAGGGTGCACACATGCATTCCATGAGACTTTCAAAAGTTAGAGGGTGGTGATGAGGGAGACTAGATGTGTTGTCGTCGCGCAACTTCCATTGTATATGCTTTTTCTTTTCCTTTTTGTTCTACATATTTCTCGCATGTAAATACCCATCTATAGACGGACGGCGGGTGTGTGGTGTTGGTAATCTCGATGAATTCATAGCTTCTTTATACTGATCTCTACTTATCCTCTTATGCTTGAACAAGTGACCTTTCCCACATGCCTTTACTCCATTGAAATTAAACTATATAGGGTCTTAGATCTATGTTATATTTCTCGAGACACATTCAATGGGTTCCTTCAGATCAAAATGCTTGTGTCGTACCCCAGATATCCAAGTAGAGTACATAGATATTCATATCCCTAAACACATCAACAAATCATTCAATATATTCTTTATTCGACTACAAATGACTTATTCATGATCCACCAGAACCAAAACACTCAAGCAGCTTGTATTAACTCCTGGAAAAACATCATCACTCATTTAATTCATTGCGTTGCGCTTCCACCGATCCAAGATCCAACCCAGATCCCCAACCATAGACCAAGTCAAACGGCGGCAGCAAAACCCCAACACAACAAAAGGCCGTAGAGCACCAGATCACATTTCCAGCCCGTCACAAATAACCGATACATTCAATGTATACCCAATTCTTCACCTCTAACCATCACAAGTAACCAGAAAAAACGAACGAAACCACAACATCCACCCACCCATTCGACCCTCACACAACAGACGCCATTTCACCGGCCATTCCCATCGGAAACCAACCCACCCACACTTTCCTTTCCCTCCCCGCCAAAAAGAGACGACGCAAGAAGGAAAAGAGTGGGACATTTTCAAATCAAGGAACCGCGAACCAAACTTTCGCCGCAAAGAACCCTGCATCCCCTCGATTCCCTGGACCCCTACCTAGTCCACGCAACCACCCACCAATCCATCAATCTCCCTACCTCTCTTCCACCATACGACAAAGCATTCAAACAGAGAAACCCAACCGTAGCAATCAAGAAAAAGAATAAAGTAACACGAACCACAGACAAAGAACGAGGATACGTATTGCCCGCGCGAAGAAAAAGTAGGTAATTTTCGACCTTTCCTTGGAAGTTCGTTCGTTGCTTTTCCACCCACCCACCCACCACCCACCAGCCCGGCGGGCCGAAACGGGTCAATCTTGAACAGAACAGGGAGGGGGACCTTTTTGAACCAAGTTTGCGGCGGTGTGGGGTCCGGCAGGAAAGGACAGAAGATGGAAAAAACGAAAAACAGGGAATGCTGCAGTCTTCGATGGGTGTTTGTGTTCCTACTTGTTATGGTATCTTGGTGGTTTCAATACTCTGGGAGGGGAGATTAGTTGGAGTTTGGGCGAGGAATGCTCGGGAGTGTTGGAAGGTTGCTGCGGGATGGGAATATCACGTGTCTTTGTTTCACTGGGACTCATTTCCACCTTGGACTTTGTAGAATTTGTGTGTAGGTTTAATGATTTTTTAATTTTATATTCAGGACGGGAGAGACCGAGAAGAAACGCCGCATCTGATGCAATTGAGATGCAGTGGCAAACACACAGCAACGCCAGATAAGTAGTGTATGAAAACCTCAAGTACTAGGAACAATAGGTTGAGTAAAAAAAGGAAAGAAAGGGAAAGAAACATTACAATTGCCACTTTTTATTCGTTAACAAGACAATAATAGAGGTGTGGAAGAAACCACAAGGACCAATAAAAGTATCCCCGAGAAGAAAGTTGGCCATCTAACACGCCGCATTTGTGTGTGTGAAATGTCCGATGATATTTGTTCACGATACTTTACATAATGTCAAACTCCTTCTTGAGCTGCACCATCAACTTCCACTCGTCCTGCGTGACGTCGTTCCTGAAGAACTCCTTCAGCGTATCGATACTCTTTCTGCTGATGGCGGAGTAGAGGGTGTCCTTCTCTTCGAGATGACGGCCGTAGAGAGGTTGGTTGGGTCCTTCGATCTTGACGGCGACGGATGGCTGGCCCTTCTTGCAGACCTGGATCTGCTTGTGGTCACGTTCGATGGAGGTTCTAATAAGACAGATTAGTGTATGCGTAGGATAAATGACGCCAAAAGTGGAAACTTACACTCTACCGAGCTGGATAATTTCCTTAACACCGGTCACTGGGTTCCTCTTTACAGCCGCAATGGGAGTCAGCATCTTGAGCTGACCCTCGACAACATCGATACCGACAACAATGGGATCTTTCTTGTTGAAGACGGCAACTGGCCTGAGGACGCAAGGGAACACAGCCAACATCTTACTGTCCTCCTTGCGTTGCTCCTCCAATGCTTTCATGTGTGCAGTGAACTTGTCGAAGAGATGGTAGATGATGTCGGCTTCGAAGATCTTGACACCAATCTCGTCAGCGTATGCCTTTGCTTCCTTGTCGACCTTGACATCGAAACAAAGCATGACTGCATATTCCGGCGACTTCTCCAACATAACACCGGCACGCAGAACGTCCTTGCGGAAGACTGGGCCAATAGAAATGGTGGAGACGGGAATCTTGGAAACGCGCAAGAATTCGAGCAAAGCCTCGAGCGAACCGAGGGTTGATGCCTGGACGGACACACCGCGACCAGTTGTGGAGACTCTGCTAAGCAAGTGTGCCAGATCGCCCATGACATCGTCCATGAGATCTTCCTCATCATCGTCCTTGCCAACGACCAATAATCGTGAACCGGCAATAGCGGTATCGAGACCATCAGCAGCAATCTTGATACCCATGGCGGCCTTGACCTCCTTGTTGTGGACGTAGGTGGACTTGACACGAAGTTCCTTCATTTCGGCCGGCGTCAACAACGCTCGAATATTGGTCGCAATTGGTTCTGGATTACCGCAAAGCACGACTCGGTCACCCTCATGCAGGACACCGTTGGAGAGTACAACATCGATGGTCGTACCGAGACCCTCGATGACCTTCACTTCCAAAACTGTACACTCAACCTCGGACAAGTACATGAGGTTGTTGGTCATACGTTCTTGCGTAAGCGTGACAATGAGCTTCAACATGTCGGGAATACCCTCGCCAGTGTGGGCGGATGTTGGGCAGACGGATACGTATCGTGCCATGTTCTTGTTCTGGTAGAAAAGCTCCGAGTTGAAACCCTCCTCTTGAAGTTGAGTGTGGACGAAGTTCCATCGGTCTCGGAACTCCTGCTGTACCGCCTTCTTCTGGAAGGCAAGACTGTCCTCGAAACCGTTGTTGTCAATTCTTGACCAGCCGAAGAGACGATCGATCTTGTTGAGAGCGACAATGAAAGGAGTCTTCCTCTCTCGGAGAAGTCTCATGGATTCCCTAGTTTGGGGCTCGAGACCGTGCATAATATCAATGACAAGAATGGCGATGTTGCAAAGAGATGAACCTCTGGAGCGTAGGTTGGTGAAAGACTCGTGACCGGGCGTATCGATGATCAAGAGACCAGGAACATTGAAGTTGAAGCTATCGTCCTTGTTGACGACTGCGACCTTCTTCTGAAGCGCTTCCTTGGGGAAATACGTAGCGCCAATCTGTTGAGTAATTCCACCAGCTTCGCCTTCCTGAACGTTTGTCTGTCGAATCTTGTCCAAAAGCTTGGTTTTACCAGTATCGACGTGACCAAGAATACAGCAAATAGGCGATCGAAGGTTGTCCTTTGAGCGCGCTGCAAGCGCCTCGTCGTGCTGCTTCTTACGTCGATCAGCAGCGGCGGCCTTTCGTGCAGCCTCTGCCCTCTTTGCAGCGGACTCTTCCTCATCCTCCGACTCACTCTCACTGTCCGACTCGGATTCAGACTCGGACTCCTCAACAGCCTTGGATTTGCTGGGTGCCGCTTTGCCATTTGTTGCTGCTTTAGGTGCGGGTTCGGATGCGGGCGCAGGTTTCTCTTCTTCCTCGTCAGATGGTGCATCCCAGCTGTCCTTGACTCCATCCATTTCATCGGCCTGCTTTTCCCAGTCATCTCCAGATTCGCTCTCCTCGACCTTCTTGGCTTCGGCCTCCTCCTTTGCCTTTTGTGCGGCCGCAGCCTCCTCCTCGGCAATTCTGAGCTCTTCCAATTTCTTAGCAGCTTCTTCCGCCTCCCTAGCCTCCTGCTGTTCCTTGAGTTCAGCGGCCCTACTCTTCTTCTTCTTGCGGTCGTCGTAGACGGGCTTCTTCTTCTCAGCCGGCTCCTCAAGACCAGCGACCTTTGCGCCACCAGCTTCGAGCATTTGCTTCATTCGGAGCTCATTCCTGGCCTTGGCTTCTTTCTGTGCCTTGGTCATGTATTTACCCTCCTTCTTCAGCTGCTCGATCTTCTCCTTCTCCTTCTGCTTCTTCAGAGCCTTTGCCTCCTCTTTCTTCTTAAGTTCCTCGGCTGCTAGCTTCTCTTCCTCCTCGGTCCTGGCCTTCTCTTCGGCCTCCAATCTGGCCAACTCCTCCTCCCTCTTCCGCCTTTCTTCTTGTTGTTTCTGTAGCGCAGCAAGTGCAGGGTTGATCTTCTTCTTCTTTCCTCCTGTTGCGGCGGCCGCAGGCTCGGGGGCGGGTGTAGAGGGAGCAGCAGCGGCAGCTTTGGTCTCGGCGGGCTTCGCAGCTTCTTGTTTTGCGGGGGCGTTGGCCTTCTTTTTGGCAGCCTATGAAGTATACAGTTAGTTTCTTATGAGCTCTCTCCTAACACCTCAATAATTTGAGCTTTCAGCGGGTAGCTCAGTGACGGGTTGAACGTACCATCTCCTTCTTCCGCTGCTTTTCCTTCTCCTTCTTCTCCTTCTCCTTCTCCGCCTTGGTCTTCACCCTCGGCGCATCATCAGTCTTCTCCTCAGGCTTCTCCACCTCCTTCTTCTCCGCGGCGCCCTTCCCCTTCTTCTTCCCGTAATTCCCCGCAAACACATCCTCGTCATCGTCATCGAAACTCGCCTCCACAGGCGCCTTATCAGCGAATCCCCCCGAAGGAGCATCGCCAGCGGCGGCGGCCGTGGGGTCCTCGCCCTCCACGAAGTCCTGATCGCCGCCCTTCTTGTTCTTCTTCTTGTTCCGTCGCTGCAGCGAGGCCATCAAGCCGCCGCCCAGCCCCTCATCCTCCGCCGCGGGGGCATCTGCAGCAGCAGCGGGCGCTGCGTCCTGGGGGGCGATGGACTCGCCGAGCTCGGCCTCCCAGTCGTCGTTGCCCTTCTTGTTTCCCTTCTTCTTGGGCGCCATTGTTGCGTGTTGCGTGTGTGTGTTACGACAAGGAGATCTACGGATCTGCTACGTTCGAACGGGCGGGAGGGATGGAGAGTAAAAGAGAATAAAAAGAAGGTAAGGGCAGCAGGTTTGCGAAGCGAAAAAGAAAGAGAGGGAAAGAAATCGGGGTCGTTCGGTCGTTTCTCCTCTTGGGCCACCCCCTCGTCGATAAAGTGGGTTGTGGACTTCGAATATTACCTGGTAAGGTAGTAGCGGTTTTGGTGGCGGGGTCTCGGATCGAGAGCGAGTGAGCAAAAGCAAACCGCTGCCTAGGAATGGCAATACGGAGTAATGTCCTTTTTTCTTTCAATTAGAGATAACTCCGTTGTGACTCAACGGGGTCAGATGGACGGAATCAACTATGACCCTAGATCACTGCCGAATCGCGGGTTGGTGGCAATCCCACAAATGTGTGCAACGAATTTCGAAAAGGTGGTTTCGGTCTGTGAGACGTTCAATGGCTGCTGCCCTGTTAGTGGCGGGGTTCACTGTGGCTTTGCATGTAAGGGTGGTCAAAGCGCAGTTCTAACTTGACTACCAAACATATAATGCACACTTCACTATGTACTCACTCGTATTATGACACAGAGAGAGTGTGGTAGAACAGTCATAACGCTGATTATTTGTCTCACTTTACATCACGATGAACGCTGCCTAATGTTTAATGGTAGTACCGGAAATGAGTTTTTCTTTTTTGACATTAGCTTTGTAAGAGCCTCTCTGAGTTTCTGCCAGTCCTATAATTCTAACCCCCCCTTGGAACATTCCCATTGACGATGCAAAAGACGATAACAACAGGCTTTGTAAGGAGAGTTTTCAGATGCAACTGAACCATGTCGACGACACACTGCCATAATACACACACTCGCCCGACTGAAAACCAACAGACAATAAAGAGAGAACAAGACAATAAAACAAATGTGTTGCTGTGAACGCCAACCTTGTATCCTTATTTCAAAGACCCAAGTGGGTCTGCAAATGAGTGCATGCTCCGAAAAGTGCGATTAGATAGTAGTAAATGTTTATGTAGAGGTGCCCCCTTCACAGTCCAGCCAAAAAAGGTAGCGAGGAAATGAACGGATTTCGGGTGGCTTTGGATCTTGGGGCATGTAATCGTTAAAATCGGTATGCTGAACTCGCGAACGAATGAACATGGCATGGTTGAGTTGGATTTTTTACTGCATCTGGCCGACGAGCAGCGACTCCACGGCGCTTCCGATGAATTGCTTCTTGAGGGTAAGATCCATACCGAATCTGTTACAACGGTTAGCTATGATTCAATGATTGTGATGGAGATGTCATGACTGGACTTACCTCTTCTCAAGTTCAACCTTAACGGCCTTCTTAGTAATGTTCATGAGATCCGATGTTGAGAGAATATCTCGAATCTCTGCGAGAAGCGCATCGTCGCTTGGGAGGTTCAGACTCGCCATCTCCAGATTGTCATAAGCCCCATAGGCGCTTGGAGCAAGGCTCATGCGTGAGTTGTTGCCGTAGCGAGGGAGATCGAGATGAGACATTGGTCGCGAAGGTGGCATGCCTCCGTATTCGGAACCCATCACTGATGCACTGCCATGCATGAAACGTTTGGTGCCATACGAGATGCCAGAGACCTCGGAGCGGTCGTCACGCATGGTGTGCTGCTCCCACATCTCTGCCTGGTACTCGTCCCACTTCTTCTTGGGAATGCTGGCAGGATCGAACTTGCCTTCGTCGGAGACGACAATCTTTTGTCCCTTTTCACCAGTCACAAGACGCGTGTTACCCCAGGAGAAGTCATCCATGTGCCAGAACGCATACAATGGGAGACCAAAAGCGAAAATAGGCGTGGCGAGAACGTAAATGACCATCCAACCGATCATTTCCCACTTGCGACGAACAATGAAGATAATTGCCTGAAGACCATAGATGGCTCCGAGAAGAATGAAAGCCGTGATCGGAACGATGTCTGGACTGTCGATGAGCATGTAGATAAGATAACCGATATATACGACGATGACGGGCTGTACAATTGTGGACAGGAGATCCAAGAACACGACGAATCGCATACTGAAACAGCAGAAACCACAAAGCTGCTGCAGAGGGATCAGTTCCATGAGGTTATGCACAGTAGAGTTGATCCAGCGACGACGCTGGGACATGAACACGGTCCAGCTGTCAGGGGCAACGGTCCAGGCGTGTGCGCGGTATAGGTACTTGGTCTTGTACTTGGCGTGGAACTTGAGCAACAGAGTCGTCAGGTATCGATCCTCTCCGAGATGGAGTAAATTCTTCATGTGAAGCGTATCGACACGAATCTCCGCGTAGGCCTCGACAACCTCCTTGCTGACGAAGAGAGGCTTTCCAGTATCAGCAGCACGAATACGGTACATACTGAAACAACCAGGAAGACAGGTGACTGAACCAAACAAACTTTCGAATGCCTTGGTCAAGTTGTGTGAGATGTAGTATTCGTAAACCTGCATCATAGTAATGAAGGAAGATTTGGCGTTTGTGAGCGAAGTTTCTCCACAAATGGCGATGAGACGTGTGTCGTGGAGGAAAGCAGCAACGAATCGAGTGGCAGAGTCATCAGCAACGACGGTATCGGCATCGATCTGGAGAAGGAATTCGTAGAACGTGGGATTGACGCCAATAATGTTGCGAATTTGGTGGTGCATCTCGAGCTCGAGCGGGCTCATAGGCAGATTGTAGTGGACACGGTTCAAGAATCTCATGAGAAGCAGCTGAGAGTCACGCTTTCCACGATTACCGGGCTTTGAGACCTCAGAGGGCTTGCCAACCTTGACAACAACCAAGAATGGAACAATATGACCCTGAACCTCGTACAGACCGGAGTAGCACTTGCCCATGTTGTGTTGCTTGAGACCTTCGCCCAAACTCTCGAAACTGAGCGGGTCGGGATCGGAGTTCTCTGGGACACCAAGAATATCGAGAACAATGCGAGGCGTTGGCTTATCGTTGCCTTGACCAATAATCATACCGTCACAAATAATGACGAGAAGCTTGCGCTTGTCATCGTACTTCATCCTGGCAGCTGAATCGATGGCACGTCGGAGCGACTCCTCGTCTTCGGTATAGGCAGGGACGGTGCAAATGATAAACTTGTCGATGTTCTCAGGGGCGCTCTTCCTGCTGAATTGAAGGGCAGCAAAGAACTTGAATCCGATGACCGAGACCAAGAGAATGGAGATGGCGAGCAGGAAGTACGTTGCGAACTGGCACTTTGCCGAGTTTCTTGTATCCACATCACCGACATAGAAAAGATTGTCCAAGCAGACTTGCATCTTGTTCCGCATATCTTGGCTCAGTGTGAGCCCATCCCAGTATTTCACCAAGTCGGTTCCAGCCTGGACTCGGAAGATGTCCACGATGGAGCTATCCATGAAATCGGTGTTGGGTGCTACGTCCTTTGGCTTCTCGGTCGGAGGATACTCATTCCTGCGACCGCCACTCGTGTACATGGTGAGATCGTAGACTTTACCGTGCATGGAGGCAATCGAGTTACCCTTACTGGCCAAGGTCTTGAGGTATTGAGGGCTATAGCCCACACGACCCTTCATGTAATTGGCCTTCAGGAACATTTGCTGCTCGTACCACCAATCAGGTCGAGAGTCGTTGGTGGCAGTTCGGAAGTCATGGAAACGGCGGTTTAGGTCCAGGCTACTGATTCTGTTGTTCTGGTTGGTATAGTTGGTGCTGAGATAGTCGAGCTGAACGCTATCGGCGATACCGCCCTGTTGAGTACCGGCGCAGAGGGCTGAGACTTGAACGGGGAACAGATTGGTTGCGTCAACGCCAGCATACTTTTTGAGGTCAGATTGGGGGACGATGCTAGGGTAGTGATGCGGCATGAATTTTCCAAGATCGTATACGATACCGCGAATCGCAACGTATGCAGGCCTGCCCTTGTCACCATCGTACGAGGATAATTCTTGGGTTGTGTAGACATGTTGCCTGGGACAGATCAATGCAGGAAACCCAATCATGAGGAAGATGACGAAGCCGCAACTCAACCAGATAAGCATGTTGATGGCGAGCTTTTCGCGCCACGCCACCCTGACATCTTTGCGCTTCATTCTTCCGAGCCATTTGATTGCCACGTCAGGAATCCACCAAGTCAAGGCGTAGGTGACAAAAAGCCACCTCCTGCGACTGCCTGTTGGTTTGACGACATCAACTTCTTCGAGATTGCCATTTGGATTTTTCTCGTCGATGGCCTTGGCTGTTTCGATGCCGTGGAACATGTCTCCTCCGCTTGTGATGGCAGAAGGGGCTTCTGAACGAGCATCGATATCTTTGCTGCCGAAGTAACTACCACCCTTGTCATCCTGGTAGTAGCCGCCGGGAGAGGGTGCAAGTAAGCCTGACCTGGAATCGCCGAATGATCTGGCCCGATCAGGAGTGAGAAGGTTCTCCTCCGAAGCAGGCATACCGTGATGGGCTGGAGCTACATCAGACAAATTGGCGATTTCAAGCCAGCACCGTTCACTCAGGAAAACACCTGTGGCACCAACCCGGACCTCGTTCTCTCGCCATGGCTTGTTGTCGAGCACGATCTCTGCCCTCTCTTTCTCGCTGCCGACAACGCCACCCTCAGCCTCGGCCAAGCCAAGGAATTCAGCAAAGGGCAAGAAGACACTGAAATCAGCTGCGCGGAGACGCTGGCTGATCTCTGCAATGCCGAGTGCTTGTACTTGAGTGCGGACACACTTGCTGTCAAATTGGTTGGCGATCCTGCGGTCGTTGGGCTTCAAGCAGAAGATGAAATAGGGGTTTGCTTTGCGCAGAGATGAATCGATGGTTTTGAGTGAGCTCAAGAACTGGCCGGCTGCGCCAGTCTGCTTGCCTGCAGCCTCACTCTTCTTTCCAACACCCGCAGAAACGGTGCTCTCGGCTTCACTTCCAGCATCCTCCTCGAAAACGTTCAGTGGCCTTCCAAATCTGCCAGCTTTATCGGTCTTACGCCTTGCCATGCTGGGCATGCGCATGGGTTTCGAACTGACTGATGCTTGAACGATGGCACTCTTCTCCTTAGGGTGGGTGACCTTCTTGAGCTCGTCTTGGCCGAAGAGCTCTTGAACAAAATCATTCTGAGACGACTTCAGCAAGTTCATCATATCACCAGAAATCAGCTCGGCATTTTCTTCGATCAAGTTCTCGACAGGGTAATCGACGTCTCCAGCATAGTGGCGAACGGTGAAGCTCGCTGCCGTGTTCGGCGTGTGGAAGTTGCTTCCTGGCTGAATGATGGTGGAACTGCCGGGTAGGATCGCGTTGTTCTTGCCGTGGAAGCGCTTACGGATAGCCTCAAGGAACTGGGTGTCATCTTTGCCACGACGCATCTGGTCATCTAGGATGCTGAGGAGGCCATTTCCAGACTTGAGCAGACCAGTCTTGGCTTCAGAATTGTCGTAGTATTCCATCTGAGGAACGCTGATATCTTCGGCCTCCATTTCCTGGACCTGTCGGCCAAAAAAGCTCTGCTGGCAGAAGTTGTAGAGAGATTCATTGGCGGCATTGTTGAGGAGTTGGTCCAAAGTGGATCCGGTAGCAGAGGAAGGAGAGAATCCTGGGAAATCAACTACGGAAACAGTGTTTGCAACTTGATCAGGGGCAACACAAATTCTCGAGTTGATTTGCTCCATGACATAGGCGACGAGCAAGGAATAGAGCGTCCTGGCGAGCTCGTCGGCGTTTGCTCGGGCACCCTTGGGATCGAGCATGACGGTGACACGCTCACGATACAAGGTCTTGGTCTTGTAACGTAGACTTTGCTCGAGATCTGAGATGCTGACACCCAAGAATTGGGCGACTGGGGTGAGCGATTCCTTGTTCTTTACGACGGTGATTGTTTCTCCACCCTCGGCTCCGTAGCCACCGCTTTCATCAGCTGCTGGTGTGGTTGCTGAGCCATTTTCGAATTCGAGCTGTCCAATGTGGAGGATGGTAGCCATGATTTCGCAGATACCAGCGATATCCTGTTTGGAGAATTCCAGCTTACGAAGAGCAGACTTGAAGTCCTGGAAACCCTTAGCGTCATCGATTCCGACCTTTAGTTGGGTTGGGTGTCCCAAGTATCTCCATCTCTTTTGTGCGGTAAGGGAGGCTCTACTACCGGCGGTGTTCGAGGCTCCGACAAGATCCAAACCAAGATGCTTCCTTTCATTCGGACTGGTTCCTGCCAATAGGTAGTAGAGGATATGATAGTTTCGTTCGCCGGTAGGCACTGATGCAAGTCGACTCCTCTCGAGTCGATGTGCCAGCAATTGAGCACCAAGTAGCATGGCATGGTGGGAGGTGGATGTGTTGTACTGAAGCTCGAGCAACAGGCCGGACTTGGATGCGGTGGGAGTAGTCAGGGACTTGGTAGTGGTGAATGCATCGAAGACGAAGTTGGCATTCTCTATCTTCTTGGAGAGAGGCGTGGCTGAATAGGACAGGAGTGCTCGTAGAAGATGCCCACGGATCGTGGTTTTTCCAGAGCCAGATTCACCCCTGGAGTCCAGTTAGTGCACCGAAGTTTGTAGAGCCTGCTCCACGATTGTACATACAGAAATAAGATGGCCTGATCTTCTGAACGTTGACCGAGCCTCATATAGGCTCGTTGAGCCAGATCCTCAGCCGCTTGATGCGCACTACCATCTTTTCCGCCGTCAGGGCCTCGACTCGAGTCGCTATAGGTGTTCAAGGAGATGATGGCGTGTGATGAGAGCGAGGCAGTGGGACTATGGGCGTGGAAACGGCTCGCAAGATGGGCGGTAAGGTGAGTATCGGATTGGAGATGCTGTGGGAGCGAGGGCAACGAGGACTGCGCGTGTTGCGGGACATTGCCCGTGAATGAATTGTTAGCCATGGTAGGCGGGCGCGTCCCTATGGGAGCGTATAGCGAATGTGAGCGTTCAGTAGCAAGGCTAAAGGGTTGGATTCGCTGTATGTCGAGTCCTGATGTCTTCGAATGTGTGCGTTACTGGAAGATTGGACGAGGTGACTTTGGTGTTTTGCCTGCGGAATGCAGGACGTGGACGAGACAGGGGGCGTCAACAAAACAAGCCAGAGGCGAGCGTGTCAAGAAAGGAGTATTACAATCAGATCAGCGAGTGTGCTCAGAACGAAATGTATACAGAAAAAACGAAGGGAAAAGATGCAGATGTGCAAAGAAGCAGCAAAGGCCGTCCAACGCAATAGTCGTCGAGTGTGATCGAACTTGAGATGGGAGAGAAAGAGAATATGCCTTTTGGAAATTATTGCTAGAAGGGCTTAGGTAGGTAGGTTCGGTTGGGGACAAAGTTACGATTTGACACCGTCAACAAACCCCTAGCCAGCATGGGTAGGTAGTAAGAGAGTGACCGTAAGTCGTAGCCAGCCAGCCCTCTTGATGGCCCTGCTAAACCTCGTAGGTATCTAGGTATCCGAGGCCATCATTGCCCCTACACAGTATTGTATTAGCCAAGTCTCTCCTTGGATGGGTAATGAACTGGTGTGGTGGCATCGTCGCGGCCGGTCGTAGAGCGAACATCCTGGCCAGTCGCCGCTCCGTCTCGCCGCCGCTTAGCCCATACAGCCCCTTTTCCAAGCTGAAAATAGATCATCGGATCACTAGGTCATCCCAATATTGAATGTTTACACCGTATGTGCAGCACTGGCTCCAGGACACGGTAACAATGCTTCGTAACTTTTCTTCTTTCAATCTCTGTCCGCATATGATGATCTGTCTGTGCTTGATGCCCTGTCCTGGTCTGGCGGCGGGCGGCGGTTTGAAAACCCACAGCTCCACTCGAGACATGCTTAGTGATGTTCACTACGAAGCTACGAAGCTTCTGGATGCTACCGGGAGAAGACCGACGATGGATTGATGTCTTCCCCCTTAGTGGTTGTATTGTATACAAATGGTGGCGGGGCTGTTAGGCGTGCGTTGAGGGGGAACCGGAAACGCTTGTACGAGTATGAACGAGCTGCACCAAGCCCATGATTGCTAGAGCTCCGGACCAAACTGACGGGATCATCATGATTTTTTTTTTTCCAACCCTTCATGTGAGCGGATCCTGTGGTACGTTTCTCATAATTACACCACTTTGCTCACATGGCCCGCGGTCGTACAACGTACTGAACTGTTCCGTATCGAGCCAGAGTTGTGATTCTGGACGGGAGAGCACACGAGCTCCATCACCTCGAAACACAGAGTAAAATGATGACTTTCATTACGTCTTAGGCGTAGCCGCGTAGGAGAGGATGTCTGGGGTAGATCATAGATGGTTGCGTCTTGCGCGCAATCTTCATGCACGCTAACTACCGTAATGTAATCGAAATTCTGAACAGATTGAAAGGGGCTCTCGCCTACCGCTCCCCAACGGTCGCGCCAGCAGGCCTTCTCTGACCTGTTGGGAGCCAGCCATGCAGTGGGGTTCGCCTTAGTCCTCGTCTTACGATCTCAGCGGAACCTTTATCGATTGAGGTGTATTGGATCCGAGGTGCATGAGACACGGGCTGATCGAAACCATTTTTGTAAGACGGCTGTGCAAAGTCAAGAAAACGGACATGAGAAAACTTCTGTCTGTAATGTACGATTTTGTAAAAGGCACAAGTAGATACGAGAGTACGAGTGTCGATGGAAGGAAGAGAAAGGAAATGGATCTATGATCGATTTGGAAAGATGGGTCTTCGTGTTTAGGGCGGGGATTGGAAGCCATCGCGATTCGCAAGTGATGATCGCTGGCCGCCAGGTTGGTAACTAATGGGTTTGATTTGACTCTGTTTGAAACCGTCTAGTTCCCTATTAATGCACAATGCACGCTTGTTGGTGGCACCCGGGCGATGCTGGCAGCTGTGTTATGATGGGGTGTTGTTGTTGTTCTGTGCCCTACGACGTACGAACCTTGTGAGTATGTACTCGTACACAGTCTACAGTGTATCCTGTACTCTATTAATCCCACAACGTATCCACCACATGTCAAAATGTGATGGATGGGTCATGGATGGCTATCGTTGTCGATAAGGATCTGGGATTATGATGAAAAGCCAAGTCTCTGTTGAGGGTGCTGGTCTGTCTGGGCTTGTATAGGTATAGCGATGTGGGTTATGTACCGGTATTGATGGATATTTTTGTGTGTATAAACATATTGGTATTGTTTTTCTTTTGGTTAGAGACGAGATCATCATGGATGGATTGGGTATGGGCAGCCCGAAGGCCCCGAAGTAGGAAGAAATGGTGTCGACAGGCTGACCAACCAGGAGGCATGGTTGTTGATGATGAGAGTCCGACCGACTAAAAATAGGGGGAGTTAATGGACGGGACATGCGACCCGCCTGGCAAATGCAATAGCTTGTGCCCGCTCACGCCACGCCTGATGAATTTGTGATAATATTGAAGAAGGGTTACCCAGGCCAGGTCGAGGACGAGATCGAGGACGTGGTGACACCGGTGGCGATGACGATTACGGTCTATAGGAGGAAATAAAGAAAAAGAAGAAAAAAACAAGGAGCAGGATCAGGAGGCTAGAAAAATATTGGAAGGAAGGAGCAAGAACAGAAGACAGTATAAGACAGGACAGGCTTTCCGCTGGGGCTTGGCTGGATAGAAGAAGTTGTTGTTTCAGCTGGAGTGTCTCCCTCTCTCTGGATGTCTCTCCGTGTATGTTTTTCTCTCCGTCTCTGTTTTTTGTCTCTGAGCACCTTTGATGGCGCCCTAGTTAGCGGGCGACGGACGTTATATTAGCTAGGCACCTAGCCTAGGTGGTGACTTCGCGGGAAAGGGGGGGGACATGATCGTGTTAGTTATATTTGGTGTACGCCGTAGGTACGATCGTAATCTATTCGCTGCAATGACAGTAATCCATTACATGTTACGGAGGATAGACAGGCGTGCAATAATCAATACAATAATACTTACGGAGTAGAAACAAGTGACAATCAAGCAGGAGAGAGGAGAAATGATGCAAGAGGCACGGGGTACCTGGCAATATTGTAGTTGATAGTGGAGAATCAATCAATTAATGGTGAGATGGAAGGAACGAAAGAAGGAAAAAGGAAGGGAAGGTACGACCGTACGAGTAATTGATGTACAGTACATATGTCATACACTGTGTTGATGCTAATGATGGATGATTGTTATTCACTATTCCTACCTAATCCCTGATGTTACCTGATACAGTGATACCTTTCCCCCTACCTCTGATCTCCGTGCCTTACGAGTTGCCTCCCTTCCCCCCAAGAATAGACAGAACCCATAGTTACGGAGTAATAGGTTGGGTTAGCACTCTTACACCCTTAGGAGGTCCTCCGTAGCCCCTTCTTCCCCCATTCCTCGCCTGTTGCTTTTAGTTGCGCGGCCAACAAAAACATCACCGTTCCTCTAACCCTTCACCAATTCTTTCCCTTCCCCCCCCTTTGGCCACCCCTTCCCCCAATCCTATCGTTCAGCCTGTGTAGTTACTTGTCGTTTGTGTGTCTGTGTGTGGTTGCGTGTTTTCTTTCTTACCCACAACACTACTCTCTTCCTTCAATCCCATCCATCTTCTACTTCTACTATTGTTCTGTTGTTCATCACAGTCGTTTTAATAATTTACCCTTCCTCTCGTTACGTATCACACCCCTTTCCAGCCAACACCACGCTCGCTGCCGCGCTCTGTATCATCCAGGGGCCGCGACCTCGATCAACACCGGAAAACACCACATATCCGCTCAATCTACACAACACACAAACATCCACATTCGCTACCAATCTGTCCCTGGAATCTTTGAAAACGCGTACCTTCGATTCACCTCTGTATTCTATTCCATACCTCTTCTCATAGTATCAACCTACACCCCGTCCATTTTCGAGAGGCCTCGGCCTCAAGCTGCTCCGTCAACATGAGTTTCGTCAACAACAACTCACGCATGTCGGTCTACTCTACCGCGTCCGCCGCCGTCCCTCGTCCCGCGAACCCTTCTTCCCAGGTCTCAACTACGACACTCCTCAATGCCCTCCACACTTCGTTTTCCCATAGTCAACCCTATAATCTCGAGGCAAGCACCAGCTTGGTAGTAAATACCTGGGTAAATGCGAGGAGCATCATCAACGAACGTATCGGTGGCACAGTCGATCTCGAGTTGGGTCGTAAGGCTTGGGAACACGCCCGCCGTCGAGCAGAAGATGGCTGCATTGTGCTAGGGTTTGCATACCCCCATTTCCCATCGTACCATGGTTCATAACTGACGATTCTCAATAGCTCCCTGCACGAATCGACCCCTTCGTTGTTTTCTCCCTTCATATCCGGCCTGCCCCTCTCCATCCCCGAAAGCTTCTACACGAGTCTGGAAGCTCTCCGAGCTTTCACACATTGCGTTACTCCCCAGAACCCCTCGTACCCTAGGCACTCGTCTTTGGCCGCTATCTTCACCATCAATCTCCAGGGAAACCTCGTTGGTGCTGAAATCAAGCTGTCTACTTCCGGCATAGATACTAAGCAGGGCCTGCTTCAAATCCCAGCAGAAGCTGGTTTCCGAGCCTTCGATGCATTCTACTACCTGAATTCGAGCTCCGCCAGCAAATCAGAACGTGAATGGCTAAACCTCAGGCACCCCTCCGAGTATTCTCTGCTCAACCGATCCGGAACCTATGATCCTCCCTCGTATCTCCCGGATGCTGACGACGCGGCCGCGGCCGAGGACTTCAGGGCCAACCTGAAAGCGATCGGCTTCAAGGGAAATATGCTCCAGAATCTACTCAGTGCCTTGGCTGGATTGTTGAAACTCGGCGATACGCTCGGCTACCTGATCGACGAGGAGATGCTTCAGTCAATCTGCGAGGAATGCGGTGCACTTTTGGATATCAACCCCTTGACCCTCCAACAGAAGCTGAGCGCCAACGACCGTGAAGTGGCCATCGGTGGCATTTACGAGGCCATCGTTGATCGCGTCATTCTCCAAGCGAACGCTACCATCAAGGAGGATATCCGCAAATCGCGAGCCCCGTTCTCGGCAAACAGTAGCGATATTGATCAGCCCGGCATTCTCACGCCCCCTTCGGAGGATGAACTTGGTGATATCGTCAACATAACTGTCGTTGAAGTTCCAAGCAAGGCGCTGGGAAAGGCCATCGCGCTCCGTACCATTTTCGACGATAGCGATGGTATCAATTCTGAAATGAAGGAAGATGGCGTTCCTTTCACGTCTGCCGGTACATCCGTCCTCGAAAACATGAGAGAAGCTGTTCAACATTGCGAAGCTGATCTCGGCGTTGAGGGAGCTGCCTACAGCCAACGACAAGTGGAACTCGAGAGGCGAGAGGTTGTGCTCGAGAAGATCGCTCTTGACATTCCCGAGGAGGACAACTTTGTCAAGGAGATCCTGATGCCCATCGAGGGCGAAGGCGTTGTCCTCGGCAAGCAAAACCGCTTTGATCTACCAATGGCCGTGGCGAGTAGCCGAGTCTGGTTCCATTTGGCTCTTCACCCCAATGACAGCCCGCTCGCAACCCTTACGCAGGATTTGAACAAGTCCTGGAACGCTGGCACTTTGTCACGGCAATTGAGAGATCTTAGATTGCCGGAATGGGCCAATCGCCGCAACAGGAGTCTTGATTTCACAGCCGACTTTGATCATCAAGAGTTCTACGAACGCTACCATTTGCTCGGCTGCATGGAAGGCAAAGATGGGATTCAGAACTGGATCCTTACCCGTGGCTGGAGCAACGGCGAAGTCGTGGTAGGCCACCAGCGAGTCTGGATGAGAGAGGGCACATGGTGGGAGGCAGAATCCCAGCTTGATCTCAAAGGACAGGAGGTCGACTCCAACAACATGCTAGGCAACATGGTCGGAGCTGGAGGTCTCGAAAGTGGCTACTCCACCCAAAGCCCTGGCATGGGTAGTGGTTTCTTTCCTCCCCTTCCCGAGAACGTTGCTCAGGACAGCCAAACCCACTTGCTGGGCCACCGCCAAAGCCAGGCTACCTTGGGAGCCCGCAGTGGACTGGGTGCCAAATCGATCGCTCCAACAACAGCACCCACAATGAACAACCGCCCCGGTGACTACGGTTTGGGCAGCAAGGGAGACGAAAACAAAGGCATCACATACTACGACGCAGAGAGTGGCGGTAACATGGTCGTCACCGAACAACCCATCACCTTTTCCCGTAAGGTATGGGTTGCCTTCGTATGGGCATTGACCTTCTGGATCCCCTCCCCTGTTCTTAAGTGGGTTGGTCGCATGAAGCGTCCCGACGTACGGATGGCATGGCGAGAGAAACTTGTTCTGGTTTTCATGATCCTTGTCTTTAACGGCGCCATTATCTTCTACATTGTCATTTTCGGCAAGCTCCTTTGCCCCCTGAAGGACAAAGTCTGGGATCGCAAGGAGGTCGGCTTCCATCAAGGTGAAAGTGATTACTGGGTCAGTCATCGCGGTGTCGTCTACGATCTCACAGACTTCTGGAGGAGACAGCACAGCGATATGAACATCAAAACCACCTCGGATAACATGATGCCATTTGCAGGTTTTGATATGGATCCATACATCATGCCACCCCTGAATGTTGCATGCCCGAAACTTGTCACAGGCGACACTCTTCAACTCATTCCCAATACCACCGTGGAAAACGCTAACGCTCAGCATATATCTGGCAAATTGGCCAGGAGCCCCAAAAGCGCTCTTGCAAAGAATGACTGGTACCCGAAGAAATTTCTTCCCAAAATGGAAGAGTACAAGAAGGGCGATCTCGTTTGGGAGAAGAAGAAGATCGAAGACGAGGGCAAAAATCTTAACCATATGTGGTTTACCATGGGCAACAGAGTATACGATCTGACGGACTACTTCAATACCCTCGACGTCATGGACAATTATCCAACATACCAATTCTTGGATTCGGAGCTGCAGAAGATGGTTTCCAATTATGCCGGTACTGATTTGAAGGAGGAGTTTGAAAACAAACTCAACGCAACCGCACAGGCCGACAATCTCGACTGTCTGGACCGCATGTTTTACATTGGCAAGACCGATTTCCGAAAATCAGCCAAATGTCAAGTCAACGACTACATCCTTCTCGCCGTTGCAATCATTCTCTGCACAGTCATTGGTGTCAAATTCTTAGCTGCATTGCAACTTGGGTCTAAACGCCGTCCCGCAAACCAAGACAAGTTCGTCATCTGTCAAGTCCCGGCATATACCGAAGGCGAGGATCAACTGCGTAAGGGATTGGACTCTTTGACTGCACTCGCCTACGACAACAAACGCAAGCTGATCTGCGTCATTTGCGACGGTATGATCGTTGGTGGTGGTAACGACCGACCGACACCCAAGATTGTGCTCGATATTCTTGGTGTTGACCCCAAAGTGGACCCTCCCGCTCTTCCGTTCTGGTCTGTCGGCACTGGCAGTGAGCAGCTTAACTACGGCAAGGTGTACTCGGGCCTCTACGAATTCGAAGGAAACGTCGTTCCCTATGTCGTCGTCGTAAAGATGGGCAAGGAATCAGAGCAGAGCAAATCGAAGCCTGGTAACCGTGGTAAGCGAGATTCTCAGATCTTGCTCATGAGCTTCCTCAACCGCGTCCATCACCGATCGGCTATGAATCCCCTAGAACTGGAAATGTTTCATCAGATCAACAATATCATTGGTGTCGATCCAGAACTCTACGAGTACCTCCTCATGGTCGATGCCGATACTATGGTCCAGCCTGATTCTCTCAACCGTCTAGTTGCAAGCTGCGCAAACGACTCTAAAATTGCAGGTATTTGTGGTGAAACGAGTCTGGAGAACGAAGAACGCTCTTGGTGGACCATGATCCAAGTTTACGAATACTACATTTCCCACAACTTGTCCAAGGCTTTTGAAAGTTTGTTCGGCAGCGTCACCTGTTTGCCTGGCTGGTAAGTTGTACAGATCCGTCCTGCATTCTCTGCTAACCGTAATAGTTTCTGCATGTACCGTATCCGCACTGCGGACAAAGGCAAGCCTCTCATCATCTCCGATAAGGTCATCAAGGAGTACGCCGACTGTGTCGTGGATACTCTGCACAAGAAGAACCTATTGTCCCTCGGAGAAGATCGTTATCTGACAACCCTCATGACGAAACACTTCCCCAGCATGTCATACAAATTCATTCCTGATGCGTACGCTTTCACTGCTGCGCCTGAGACTTTCAGCATTCTCCTCTCTCAGAGACGTCGCTGGATCAACTCTACCATCCACAACTTGGCAGAGCTGTTTTTCCTAAAGGACATGTGTGGTTTCTGCTGCTTCAGTATGCGTTTCGTCGTCTTCATCGATCTCATTGGTACTCTCATGCTTCCGTCCATGTGCGGTTACCTTGTCTATTTGATCTACCTGGTCGCCTCCAAGACGGGTCAATTTCCTCTGATTTCCATCATCATGCTTGCTGCCGTCTACGGTCTACAAGCGATCATTTTCTTGATCAAGCGACAGTGGCAACACATCGGGTGGATGATCATCTATATCCTTGCCTTCCCTATCTTTTCACTCGTATTGCCTCTGTACTCCTTCTGGAAACAGGACGATTTCTCCTGGGGTAACACACGTGTTGTCATTGGAGAAAAGGGTGCAAAGAAGCAAGTGTTGTCAACCGATGACGAAGGCTTTGATCCCAAGAGCATTCCTCTGCAAAGATGGGATGACTATGCACAGGCAAACGGACTTCCTGGACGTCGTGGTCTCGCTGGCCAGACATCAGAGAAGGGCCACAGCGCTTACGATGATGATGGCTACGAGATGAACGACATGCAATCCATATACTCGTCGGTCAAGCCAGCGTCAACCATTATGTCCAACATGCACCACATTTCCCACATGCCTCCACAGTCTCCTGGGCCTTACCAAGGATTGCAGACGCGACAGTCTACCTATTCCAACTTCTCACGCTACCAAGACCACCCTCAAGGCCAAGGTGATGGCCGATTGATGTCCATGGGAGGTATGAGCGACCATTACAACGCGTCACCCTATGGAAACCGACCTGGCTTCCAGAGCTCAGACAACCTCATGGCATCGACGCCGCCAGTCCGTGGTCGCAGCCCTCTTGGCCACTCCGCCTCCAGGCCCGGAAGCACCGCCAATTTCCAAAGCCTAGTCAACGGACCCACTGATGCACAAATCACTGAGGTCGTGCAAGCCTGTCTTCGGGAGGCTGATTTGGACAGAGTGACTAAGAAGCAGCTTGTCGCCCTCGCCGAGCAACGACTCCAGACCCAGCTCACTGGAGAAAGGAGGATTTTCCTCAACCAACAGATCGATCTCGAGCTTGCGAACATGTTGTAGATTGTTAAACTGAATGTCGCTTTGTAGCATTTTTTAGAGGAGTTGTTGTTACTTATGTCCTCCATGACGGATCTCTCCTGGTTTTTCTGTTTATTTTTTATATTCCTGATTTCATCCAAGCATCTGACGAGCATATTGTCATTCCTTAGCTCTGCATCTGGCGTGCCGTTTTGGTACAAAAAAAAAGGTCTGGGACCGGATATACGGTCACTTGCGCATCTGAACTACAATCTTGACTTGTCTTCAGAGTAATCTAATAGGGTGGGGAAATCATACATAGTAGTCAATGAAGATACAACATAATATTTCATACCATAATCAACCGTCCAGTAGAAAACGTGCATCCTTACGTAGAATCCGTTAAAGGGGTGACAGAGCAACTGTACCCAATGTGCCAAGACACGGGTTGGTCGTCAAGGGTCAAGGGGAGCTGTCGCGGCCCATAGCTCCGCCATCACCGCGCTCCAACCTCACGTCACACCAGACCCGCACAACCGTTTCCTTCTCGCATCCCACTAGATATACCCAATGGCGCCCCGACGGATCGAGCAAGATGAGATTGAGAAGTACTGGGAAATCTTCAGCTCGCTGTCTCAAGGATCGAATTTCCTTGATGGCGCACAAGCTGCACCAGTACTCAAGAACAGCCAACTGCGAGATGACCAGTTAGAGCGGGTGTGGGATCTTGCAGATGTGGATAATGACGGAAAGCTTGACTTTGAAGAGTTCTGCGTTGCCATGCGTTTGATCTTCGACCTCATCAATGGAGTATGTAATCTCCCATTGTGCTTCCATTCCCAAGGGGAATAGCAGCTACTATATAATTCCCAGCAACATATCAACTAACGCAACACCCCAGGAATCCGTCGACGTACCCAAATCCCTCCCAGACTGGCTCGTTCCCGAATCCAAGGCCCACCTCGTGCAAGCCAGCCGCGCGCTCACGGGCTCGCAACCCGCCTTCGAAGCCGTCGAAGACGACGACGACACCCCCGGCCTGCGGGACGGCTTCGACTGGTACATGTCGCCGGGGGACAAGTCCAAGTACGAGGAGATCTACACCGCCAACCGGGACCACCAGGGCAACATATCGTTCGAAGCGCTGAACGGGCTCTTCGACTCGCTCGACAACGTGCCGGACTCAGACGTGCGGTTCGCATGGAACCTCGTGAACCCGAAGGCGAAGGAGTCGGTCGGCAAAGACGCCTGCCTCGCCTTCCTCCACATACTCAACCAGCGGAGCGAGGGGTTCCGCGTGCCCCGCAGCGTTCCCCCGAGCCTGCGGCAGAGCTTCGAGAAGGCGCACATCGACTACGACGTCGAGCGGACGGGCCAGCGGTGGGCGGAGCGCGCCGACGACAACACGGCGGCGGGCAAGAAGGCGAAGTTCGGCGATGCGTATCTAACGCGGCTGGGGGTCGGCGACCGCGCGGGCAGCTACGGCGCGAAGGCGCGGGGCACGGATTTCGGGGGACGCACCACGGAGGACTGGGAGGAGGTGCGGCTGAAGAAGCAGCTGAGGGAGCTGGAGGAGAAGATGGAGAGGGTGGAGAAGGATGCGGAGAGGAGGCGGGGCGGGAAGCGGGATTCCACGCCCGCGCTCGTGAAGCGCGAGCTCGAGACGCTGCTGGACTACAAGCGGGGCGTGCTGCGGGAACTGGATAGCGGGGACGGCGGCGCGGTGAAGGGGCTCGGGAGCATCAGGGAGGATATCCAGACAGTGCAGGAGCAAGTCGATGGCCTGCAGAGCCATTTGGATAGGAGGCAGGAGGTCCTGGCAGACCTCAGGAGGCAGATCGACGACGAGAAGGCGAGTCGATGAGGGAGGAGGAGGAGCTTTTGGGGTTTGATGTGTTTAGAGGAAAGTCACATTTGCCATTTTTTTATTCTTCTTCTTTTGAGCCAGGAGAGTACGAGCATCATCAATAAAAGATTGCATCTGCCAGTTCTACATACCAGCGCCTGACTTTGTTGCATTGTTCCCTCATATAGACATAGCGGTTGTACATTCACGGCGTACTTATGAACCTTTTGCAACACTATGCAGGCAAGATGTGACTGATAGGCACTGAAAGACTTAAGGCAGGACGGACGATTTGTGGTATGTTAGGATACATTGGTCGAACTCGGGAGCCGATGTATATGACTGTTAGAATTTTGGTGTAGTGAGTGCGTTGTATTTTGAGTATGCACATTGGGGAGGACTTGTCATCCTAAAGATAGGAAAGGTTTGCTTCAGGGCAGAAATAATTCCTAGATCATTCATTCGCTATGCATTCTACAGGTATACTACATGATGCCCCATGCCAATATCAAATCATACATATATCATCACATAAAAGAAGGAGCAGCAGACGACCCATGCTCTCTCCAACTAGATATAACCACTTTCAGCCATCCCTCACGTCGCCGAAAATGAACCGTCTCCAATTATCTCCAAGGATCCTCACTCCCTCTTCCAACTTCCACCCCTTGACCTTGCATATCCTCCTCGCGATGTCCTCGATTCGCGTGTCCATGTGTTCGCCAGCAGTGTGCAAGTCGCTTTCTATGAGCAACATGTGGTCGGGCACAATCTGTATCATCTCCTCGAAGCTCTTCGGCGTCTCGCCGTCGAGATCATCTGATAGATTTATGGCCGTGGAGAAGCTCGCGAAGATTTCCACTGGGATGGCTGGGTTGAGGTACTGTTTGAAGTTCGATGCGTTTCCCGAGTAGGAATGAAGACAGATTCGGGGAGGATATGGGGGACTTGTTGTTTCGGTGTCTACCTCGCTGTGGGATGTTTCCGTTGGCTGGCTCGTGCCTTGTTTCTTCTTCTCACGCTTGCTCAGCACCTTCTTCTCGTGCCCCTCGTATAACTCTTTCAGTGTGTCGAATACCATGCCGTGAGCTTGCACACCGTGTACGCTGACCGCCCTGTTCATCTCCGCCGCAAGCTGGAACTGCATCTTCACGATCATCTTCTGGTGCTTCATGTCCACTCGGAACGGCGTCAACCTCCTCCCCTCACGGCCACCTATCGTGAGCGTCTTATCACGCTTATCCTCTAGGTCCGGCGCCCACGGTTCCGGCACCCTGAACGAGCGATCGAGGCCAATTTCCCCCACCTGAGCGAGCGGATACTTCTGCAACTGCCTCTTCGCCTCCGCCAGGAACTTCTGAAAGGGCGTCGGATCCGGCAACGCACGAAAGATCCTCAAGTCCTCCTCGCTCGGGTCGTCACGACGAGGCAACAGCACCCTCTGATAATGCCTCACCTTCTCCTCCCCCACCAGATCCCTCAGCGCATCCACATCACCCACGTCATCGCCCTCCGCGACGTACATCTGGTGCGAGAACCACGGGTGCCACCCAAAGCACGGCACTATCCTCTCGTCGTCCGACCACTTCTCCGGAAAGGGGGACTTCACGCTGTGGGAGTCCGCCACGGAGGTTACTAGCTCTTGGTCCTGCGACCGCGTCGCCATGACGGTGAGGATCCGGGTTTTCATCGTCTTGATGGCGGGGATGCTCGTCATGGTGTCGGTTGGGTGGCAGTGGGCGTCGTAGACGCCCATGGACCAGGGGAAGGGTTCTTTTTCTTGTGGGGGGTTCATGGTTGTTAGCTGTTTGACGGATTTGTATCAGTCCTTGGATTGATAAATTTATGTGTTTGGGTTGTAAAATTGGTGTTTTTGTAGCTTTGGATATTTTGAAGATGGTGAATGTATTGCTGGTGTTGATTGGAGGGTTTGGTGATGCTGGATGACGTTGTTCTGCGCGTTCGAGGGCGCTAGTACGGAAGGGGTACTGTGCTGCCATGTTGATGAACGCCCTGTTAAGGTCGGGCTTTTCAACGTCACAGCCATGAGTTACGAGGTAGGATGGTGTAATAGACGAAATGAGTTTTGTTCTGATCTTGAATGCCACTTTTGATCGAATTCGTACAATTTGACCTAACACATTCAGCCAGTCTTCTAAAGTAAGGGGTTATGGAGACATACATTACCCTATCCAGCCAAAGATGGTATCAACTAAGTAACTTCAACTGATCCTAATGGGTAGCGGAGGGGACTCCCCCAAAATGGTAGTTGTAGTGACACAGAAATAAGTGATAAATCCAAGTCCCATGAACACGTACGAGCACTTACTCGATAAAACAGAATAGGTATTACGGCAAGGTTGAGAAAGGCCGAGGGCGGTTAGGCCTGCCTGCCCCACCATGAAATGGTACAGAATACACTGCATGAACATACGCGCGGGATCTCGGGAGACATGGTGGTAGCTATGGATTGGGGAAATGAATTACGAATTAGTGTAATGTTGCTCGGCCTTGTGAACTATAAGTAAGTATTGGAAGGTGTATATAAAGTAGCCGGGTGCTGTTAGGTCTTTGAGTGCTCGCTGTGCGACCATTTCCCCTTGCCATATATATAAAATCTTTCCCCTGTAAGAGGTTACAGCATATCTACCCTATATATCCCAAGTTTCAATTACGAAGATACCTCGTCTACCATCATGACAGGCCGCCTCGCCAACAAAATCGCCGTCATAACCGGCTCGTCCAGCGGCATCGGGCGTGCCATCGCCATCCTGTACGCCTCCGAAGGCGCCTCTATCGTGTGCTCCGACATCCGCGAGGATTCGCGGCCTGAGAAAGCCGAAGAAACGACCCTGACAACCGTCCAAGAGGTCGAGAAGCTCGGCGCGAAGGCCATCTTCGTAAAATGCGACACCTCGCAGACGTCTGACGTGCAGAATCTCATCACGCAGGCGGTATCGCACTTCGGCCGCGTGGACATCATGGTGAACAACGCGGGCATCGGCATCGAGGGGAGCGACCCGCGGCCCATCTGGGACTACCCGGAGGAGTACTGGGACAAGACGCAGGCGGTCAACCTGCGGGGCGTGTTCCTGGGGACGAAGTATGCCGCGCTGCAGATGAGGAAGCAGGAGCCGCATGCGAATGGCGATAGGGGGTGGATTGTGAATCTGGGGAGTGTGTTGGGGCTGAATGGATCGAGGCAGACGGCTGGGTATGTGGCGTCGAAGCATGGGGTTGTCGGGCTCACGAAGACGGCGGCGTGGGATTGTGCGGAGGATCGGATTCATGTTAATGCTATCTGTCCGGGATGTAAGTGGTTCTGTTTCTTTCTTTTTGTTTCCTGTCTGGTGACTTTCTTGGTGTATTGGGGGGCTACTTGATGTTGTCGAGAGCTGTGTCATTCAGAGTGCTGATATCAGACAGATACACATACTTCCTTCACGGAGGAGTTCCTGAGGAACAAGGACCTCAGAGAGAAGGTAGAGGCGATGCACCCGTTCCGTGGAATCGGTAGTGCAAAGGACGTCGCGAGAATTGCGCTCTTCCTGGCAAGTGACGACGCGGCATGGGTGACTGGAATAGGTCTTCCTGTTGATGGAGGCTACAATAGCATGTAAAGAAGAATTCGAAGTAAAGGACGCAATAACGAATCCTACGATATCTCTAGTATCTCTTGTTCATTGGGTAAAGGCATACAGAGCACCGAATGGTGGAGTCTTCACTCACTGCTAAGTCCTAGGAGAGAAGAGTCCGTCAACCCATGCGAAATGGTATCTATGTGCGTATGAAAAGTGAACACTATATCCTCCCACCATCCGCCCAGCGCCCAAACCCCATGCTTTTTCATACATCGATTATCATACACATAATACAAGGCGTGTGGCGTACGTAGATCCTGTTGTGATATATGCCTGACAATGGCATCCTTACATCAATCATTGCTTCTCGGCGACCTTCTCGGCTTTTTTGTGGATTTCTTTCTCGGTTTGCTCCAGGGGCTTGAGAACTTCATCTGGTAATTCGTCCTTGGCGGTACGGCCTTCTTTCGCGGTGGCCTTCTCCAGCTCCAACTTCTCCTCAATGAGCTCGTCTCTGGCCTTTATCGAATCCTCTACCTGTTCCACGGCTCGTTCAATTTCGACTTCCATGTCGGGAAGGTGGAATTGTTCGGCGATGAGCTTGCCGTTCCACTTTTGCAACACCATGACGTCCTCGTCGCCGCCGTTCGTCTGCTGTTCAACTACTCGAGCCACCTCCTGTGCTTGCTCTTTGGTCGGTCGTGGCGCAGCACGAGAGATTGCGCGCGTGGGATACATCAAGCCAGCGGTGTAGACTTCGTCGAGCTCCCAGGAAGGGTGGGGAGTGGGAAGGTTATGTTGGAGGATGAAGTCGAGATGTTTCGAGCCCGTCAATGCTGTTCTGGTCAGCGGAGGTCATGATGGATATTTCCGACCTGAAACGTACCTTTCCAATGAGAGTATGCTCTATAAACTAGATAGAAGAACGGGAGATTGGGGATTCTGCACAATATCGTCAGCATTGAAGTGGATATTTGCAACATGTCGAAGGACAAACGTACACAGGTATCAGCATGAAGGGCGCCGTGAACGGCATGGCCACAACGCTCCACACCAATTTGTTTCTATGCATCGCTACGCGCTCCGAAGCCATCTTCTTCAAGATCTCGGGCACCTTGTTCTGGTGGAGGTAGAGTCCCGGGAACATGACCTGGTATTTCTCTTTCCCATCCTCAATTGCCTTCTTCCGCTTTGCGGTAAGTGCTGGGATGGTCTTGAGTCCCCATTCTTCATACGGTATCCTCTTCAAGAGCTGGTTGCCGTAGGTGGTGACCTTCTTCTTCCAACCCAATGGGGACTTCTCATCCTTTTCCCAGTTCACCCACAGGTCATTGGCTTTGAAGGTAGCTTTGTCGAGGAGCGAACGTTCGCTGGCGGCCTTCTCGTGCAGCTTCTCACAATAGATCAGCGTGCGGCGCGTGGAGATGGGCAAAAGGAAGAGGCGCATGTCGCACAAAGGTTTCTGGGGGGAGAAGGAATGGTGGTGGTGGTTGGCTATAGGCGGAGGCGAAAGCTGGGCAGGATGAGACAGGAGCTTTGGAAAGTGGCAGCGCGCGGGCGCACGAAGGCGCAGGTACAGAAACAAATTTTAGAAGTGGGCGACGCGAGACATGATGGGTGGTCAAGCTTGTGTATTGTATATTTTCTGTATGGGACGGCGGAATGAGTGGTAGGGTGGTGGTGGCGGCGAACATTCAAGCAGCTTAACTACGAGTAGATGGTTTCAACGATGACGAAGGAGGCACAGCAAAGCACTCGCCACTAGCAAAACACCGCGGCACCGAAGAAGCACCGCACAATCCAGCACAACACGGTAGAATTCAGCACAGAGACAGCACAGAGATACTCGTAGACCAGAACAGCAGAGGGGAGAAAGGACAGGACAGGACATGGGATGTAGCTCGGACGAATTAGATGGAGATGAACAGCACTGGATCAGACTAGACCAAAAGGGAGCGGATCAGCACCAAAGTGGACTAGATCATCTAACTTTACTGTTAAGCTTGTTTTGTCAATTCTTAATTGGGTTTGGCGCCTGACTGTCACAATGTCTACCTAAGCTATGTCCTCCAGAATAACGGTGTGCAAGACTCCAACTGTAGACGTCGCAGAAAACTGATCTGACAGTAGCAGAATCCCATGGTTAAAACTAAAACGATACGAGATGGGTGAATGGGTGGATAAATGATATCGTAATGTTGTAATTCAAGGCATTGCCGTACTATGATTCAATTTCCAAGGCATTTTGGGTTCAGGATCCATGGTTATCAGTGCCCGAGGTAGAATCACATGAGATGATGGATGCGGAACTGGACCTGGGGCGGAGCTGCCTTGCTTTGAGCTACCATAGTACGTACACTGTAGATACCTACCTAGATATGTACTTACGACTTCCTCGTACTTGCTCCGCTGTAGACTCCGTATTTTGTAGATACATCATACATCGTGCATCGTGCATGCGCAAGGTTACGAGTGACTAAAGAGTAGGCATGCTAGCTAATGGTTGTTCCCTGTCGCTGATCACGAACCTCTTAATTTCCCTGCCCCGGTCATCCCCAAAAGAAACACCACCAAACACTAATTACACACTGACACTACACTGTCTGCACTCCACTCGCTCTCTCGTAAACAGTACTCCTCCTCATACACACACAACCCCATCGTTGAACAACAACACCAACAATCATCCATTCTTTTCGTTTCCATTCATTCACCTAACCCGTTCAATCCGACGACTGCGTCTTTGGAATCCCGTTTCCAGTCATCCACAATCGCCTTCCATGTCGCCCAGAGCCGCATCAGTAACCCCTACATAATTTCCCAGCACTGCCGCCGTCGCTCGCTGTCCGCCAAGGCGAGCGGCTGGCGCCCTTGATAATATACCTCACCTGCTGCCTGTGCTGTCCCTATCATTCATCCATTCAGTCGTCCTCTGGCAGTCTTGCGTGGTGAGATCCAGTCAAGTCCTCAGCCACCCCAGGGCAACCACAGCGGCTCCCCTTCAACGGCGACGGCGAGACAAGCATGCCCGGCCAACCCATGGTCGACCACAACAATGGCACCCCAATAGCAACCTCACGCTCCTCCCATGGCCACCTCCTTCCCTCCGCCCTGCCTCCTCCGCCCTCCTCATCTTCCGCACACTCCCCTCGTCCGCTTTCTGGAGTCTCTGGAGTCTCTTCGATCAATCGCGACCGCGCCTCCGAGGATCTAGCAGACGGTGCTGCTGTGCGGAAGTCCCACTCTCATTCCATATCTTCCAATCCCCACACCCTGGCTTCCTCCAAAGGTAGCACCGCGGCGGACAACCGGGACCGTCAGCGCGCCGTTCGCACACTTCCACGTAAGAAGAATTCCACAGATTCGACCCTTCTCTTCGCATTCAACTAACCGTGCCATCCGCAGCCTGGGTGCAATCCGCCGAAGAAGACGAGAATGCGGACCCAACGTCCCTCCTCTTGCCCCGGACCCCCACGAGCATCCGCCCCGCCTCTCACAATCATATGCCCACTCCCAAAGCCAATGCTGTAGCAGGACGTCACTTCGATCATGTAAGAGAAGGAACTCCGGTCACCATCACTTCGCCTGTCGCCGAGCACGCCTCGAAATGGCAACAATTCGCCAAAGCCTCCGACTACGACTATGTTCGTCCGCCGACTTCCAATCGAGGGCAGGTTGTGGACGACGAATGGATGAAGGAGAACATGCCCGATCTGGAGACTCCGTGGGATCCGATAGACAAGGATGAAGAGGAGGAAGATCAAGGGTGGTGGTTGTTGAATGCGAGCAAACGGCGTCGCCGCATCATCCGTACTCACAGAGTTCTCATGAATCACCCAATGGTACCCGCTGCGTTCCGACTCACCGTCCTGGCTTTTTCCTGTCTTGCGCTTGGTCTTGCTGGCTCCATCTTCGACAAATCCACGACCGCGGGCTGCGAGAACAACTCATCTACCTGGCTCGCCCTAATTGTCGACATTGTCGCTATCGTCTACACCACCTACATCACCTATGACGAGTACACCTCAAAACCTCTCGGACTGCGTTCTCACAATGCCAAAATGCGACTCATCTTCATGGATTTATTCTTCATCGTTTTCGATTCGGCCAATCTCAGTCTGGCGTTCCAGGCTCTGACGGACGAGCGTTGGGCTTGCGAAGAGACCGAGATCACGAACTTCTGTCGATTTAGTAGGGATATTTGTGTGCGACAGAAGGCGCTGACTGCAACATTGCTGATCGCGCTCGTGGCGTGGTTGATGACTTTTGCCATCAGTACACTCAGGTTGGTCTCCCCGGATGTCATTGGTAGTCCCGTTGCTAACATTTGTGCAGACTTATTGAACGAGTGGCCCGGTAGCCCATTCTCTCTTTTCTCATCCGTACTATTAGTTTTGCAAACACATTTCCTATTCTGCTGAAGTTTCTCCCTTGTTTTCCGCATCGAGTTCGCTCAAGGTTAAAGATCCAAGGCGTTTCTCGGTCTTCGGTGGGCACATACTATCCCTGCGTAGTTCACATTTCCTTTGCATACATGGTCGTTGTTGGCGTTTTCTAGTCCTTTTGTATCTCCTCCCCTATGATTCATGGCATCAACACGGCAGCCCAATTGCACAACTGGAATTCTCCTTGGGTCACACTTGTTCCGTTCTACTCTGTTCTCTTCTGTACTTTTCTGTTTTGTTTTGATTGCCACATAGCGACTCTTCCATCCCGCTCAGGATTTGGGATTCTATTAATATAGCGGCTGGTCCTCGCGGTGTTGTAGGGGAGGTATCAGCCTGGCCAGTAGAAGAAGTAGTAGAGATCGAAAGACAATACAAATTCCCACTTTACGCAGTGGTGTCAACTAAATCTTCAGATATTCGTACGTGTTTCATCTTCTCTTCTATGCAACAAAAGACCCGATTCAACTCCTGATGGTATACTATTCCGTACACAAACACACCCACGCACATAGATAAACCAGTACCCCTCCCCCTCCCTCTGCCTCCTCAACCTCGCCTCACCCCAAACCACCGGCCCATCCTCCCCATACACCGGATCCCTCTCCAACCACCTCACCCCCTTACACCCCTCCGCCCTCCATTCCTCCCCCTCATCCTCGGCTTTTGTTTTACATTAACTGGTAGCGATTTAGAATATGTGTAGATTTCGAAGTGTTTCAAGATATTTAGTTTTGGAAAATTGTTTGGTGGTTGTGGTTGTGGTTTGATGGATTTGGTGATAGAATACGTCACTAGTAGCGGGTCTGGGTCATGGAGTGTAGTACCAACCCTAAGTCGTGATACAATGCAAAGGAGTGAGTAACAAACAATTAATAACTCCTTTCCACTTATTCTACTCGTAACTACTCCGTACAATTTGAAATAACTGAATGGTAGGTTAAAGTAAAGATCAAATTGATAGAACGAAGATGTTGAGGTGATTCAATACATAAGGTACCTCGTAGGTCGGTATTAATTCATTAGGTACCCAGATACCTATATATTAGCGTATAATGTTGAGCCTTATGACAGGGCAGTGAGTTGACATGTAGCGAACGTCGCTAATATCATGTCACGTTCCTAGGGGAAAAAACGTTCTTTCTCTGGTATGGAATCGGAAAGATGAAAGGAAAAGGGGGTAAATTGAACGAATGCATGCAACTCGATCAAGGTTCCCAGGGTTTCTCAGCAGGTAAGCCGAGTAACAATGCTCGAGATGCTGACAAGAATCAATGTCTGCATGATGGTCTGAGTGAGCAGAGTGTGAGCTGTGCACCTGTGCGGCTGCCAGGTTGTACACTCAACGAATTGCATCATTTGTTTGTGCAATGTGGTATTGTATATGTACTGTACAGTGATTTTTCTGGGTTTCTGATGAAGGAAATCCATTGTATTGGAACAGGCCCTTGTTTGGCACTTGTTTAAAAGTACCTAGATTTCGATGTTCCCATTAGTGACCATTGCAAAGATCACTTATCATTCTGTACTGAAGGAACGAGGAAGTTACCCTATTTCAACTATAACTTAAGGTCAGGGAATACAAGCGGAATAGAAGGAAACGAGACGAAACGGAATTAATTCCAGCTGAGCCATACAGAGTGTTTAGCTACCTAGGTAGGCACATCAATATTTCTACCTATCTACAAGTACCTTGGTCAGTAAACATCTACTCATTAGTATCTACCACTCTGTAGAGATATCGAGTGCTGCCAAGACCGTTGCCTTCGCGCGGGAGCCTGACGGTGGTGATTCACAAAACCTCCCCAGCGCCCACTCCCCTCATCCTCACCCTCGAACACTGCATCTCTCCCCATCCCCTCTTGTCTTCTCCCTCTTCGAAGCGTACCGCGAGCGACCGCGTCGTTTTCAGTCCGCTATCCAGGTTCTTTCCCTCCAGAGACTCTCGTGCGTTTAGAGAGCCTTTGCCTACAAGTGTAAGTAGATACACAAAGGGACTTCCGCCGCAGCTTGCACTAGTTAGCGGTCGCCTGGACCCCGGTCCCGCACCCCGATCAACACCACGACAGCTGCCACCGCCGCCTTCAACTCCCACCTTCATATCCTCACTCCACATCTCACAGCCGCTCTCCCTCCCGCCCCTCCCGCAATAAGGGCTTCCCGAGAAGCTCTCTTCAACCTGACTTCGCTCGCTCATCCGGCACGATACCCTTTTTCAAGCGCAAGAAGTCGCCTCCGAAAAGTGTCCCGGCGCACGCGACGAACTCTCTAGCCATGGCCTCCAGTATGCCTCCCGTCCCCGCGAAGGACGATGTTCGAGCAACGTAAGTCTCTTGTGAATGCATATTTGAGCTTCTACTGACTGTTCTCCCTCTACAGATGGGCCTATCTCGAAGCCGGCGTTGAAAAGATCATGACCGACCTGCGTGGTGGCATGGACATGAAGACATACATGGGCCTCTACACCGCAATCCACAACTTCTGTACCGCACAGAAGGCTGTCCACGGCACTGCCTTCTCTCATACTAGCAACCGCGGTGGCGCACATCTCCTCGGCGAGGACCTCTACCAGCATCTCATCGAATACCTGAAGCAGCATCTCGCTGGGGTGCAGGCCCGATCCAGGGAGCATGTCGACGAAGCTCTTCTCACATTCTACATTAAGGAGTGGAACAGGTATACAACAGCAGGCCAGTACAATAACCATCTGTTCCGTTACCTGAACCGACATTGGGTAAAGAGGGAGATGGACGAGGGCAAGAAGAACATCTACGACATCTATACCCTGCACCTTGTCCGGTGGAAGGAGGACATGTTCATCGGAACACAGGAGAGCGTCATGCGATCTGTTCTCAAGCTTGTCGAGAAGCAGCGTAACGGCGAGACCATCGAGCAGTCCCACATCAAATCCGTGGTGGACTCCTTCGTTTCCCTCGGTCTGGACGAGTCCGACAGCTCAAAGTCCACGCTCGACGTTTACAAGGAGTATTTCGAGGCCCCCTTCTTGAAGTCAACCGCAGAGTACTACGACAACGAATCGAAGCAATTCCTTGCTGAGAACAGTGTTGTTGAGTACATGAAGAAGGCGGAATCCCGACTGGACGAGGAGCGAGACCGCGTGCCTCTCTACCTCTTGAGCGAGATCATGTCGCCACTGATGCGAACCTGTGAGAAAGCGCTTATCACCGAACATTCTGGCGCGCTACGAGAGGAGTTCCAGATCCTGCTCGACCATGACAAGCAGGACGACCTTGGCCGCATGTACAAACTTCTTGCCAGGATACCGGACGGCTTGGACCCTCTGAGGAATCGCTTCGAGACCCATGTACGAAAAGCGGGTCTGGCCGCCGTTGAGAAGGTTGCTCAGGAAGGCGAAAGCCTCGAGCCAAAGGTCTATGTCGAAGCTCTCCTCGAGGTACACACGCAGTATCAGGATCTGGTCAATCGTGCTTTCAATGGTGAATCTGAGTTCGTTCGGTCACTAGACAATGCCTGCCGCGAGTTCGTCAACCGTAACAAGATCTGTAAGTCAGGCTCGAACAAGTCCCCCGAACTTCTGGCAAAATACACCGATACGCTCTTGAAGAAGTCTTCTGCGAAGATGACCGAAGAGGACGACATGGAGAAGCTCTTGAGCCACATCATGACCGTTTTCAAGTACATCGAGGACAAGGATGTGTTCCAGAAGTTCTACTCTCGCATGCTTGCCAAACGTCTCGTCCAAGCAACCTCCGCATCCGATGATGCCGAGACAAGCATGATCTCCAAGTTGAAGGAGGCTTGCGGTTTCGAGTACACCAACAAGCTCCAGCGCATGTTCCAAGACATGCAGATCTCCAAAGATCTCAACACTAACTACAAGGAATGGCTCGAGGCCAACTTGGACACTGAAGACCTCAAGACTGCTATCGACGCTAGCTACCACATCCTTGGCACTGGTTTCTGGCCTTTGACCCCGCCGACAACCCCCTTCACCCCTCCGCAACTGATCGTTCAAACATATGAGCGCTTCTCTCGCTTTTATAACAACAAGCATCAGGGTCGTAAGTTAACATGGCTGTGGCACTTGTGCAAGGGCGAGATGAAGGCCAATTATTGCAAGGTCGCTGGTACCAAGGTCTCGCCTACCTTCCAAGTCTCTACTTACCAGTTGGCGATTCTACTCTTGTTCAACGACAGTGATACTGTTTCGTATGATGAGATCGCCGAGGCTACCAAGCTTCTGAAGGAGACGCTTGATCCTAGCATTGGAGTCTTCGTCAAGGCCAAGGTTCTGATCGCGGAGCCGGAGGGTGCGAAGACTGAAAAAGGAACAGTGTACAAGCTAAACACCGGATTTAAAACGAAGAAGATCAAGGTGAACTTGAACATCGGTATCAAGAGCGAGCAGAAGCAAGAAGTTGAGGATACGCATAAGACCATCGAAGAGGACCGCAAGTTGCTGATGCAGGTATGTATATCGACTCCTCTATATCCCATCATACCCCTGCTAATACAATCTAGTCTGCCATTGTGCGTATCATGAAATCGCGCAAAAAGATGAAGCACCAGCAGCTTGTCTCGGAGACCATCCAACAGATCCGAAACCGCTTTACTCCTCGTGTCCCCGACATCAAGAAGTGCATTGATATCCTCCTCGAAAAAGAATACTTGGAGCGCTTAGATGGCGATGAGCTCGGCTATCTCGCTTAAGCGTTCATCCTGGCATTATCGAATTTGCGCATGGCGGAGTCTGCTTCAACTTTATGTTCATGAATAATGGTCTTTCTTCAAATTTCTTCCCTGGCAGGGGCCTGTTAGATCAACAGGAAAACGGCGTTTAGGGAGAATGACTGGTGGATATTGAGGTTTTCACCAGCATCATCAGGTCTCGAGCATTTCTTACTTCAGGTCGAAATACTTGTAGGGGCCCTTTAGATGGTGAATACATGGGCGTGATGACATGATGCTAAACGCAGCTAGTCAATATGATTGAGATGCCATCTGACAGCCTTGACTTGTGACATTGTCTTTGTGCACGCCTTTCGTTGTTGACTCTGCCCAGTATCGGTCATTGATAGTCGACAGAGTCACTCTTGTGCGCAAGTGCGTCTTGAAGAGTGAAGTGTGCCTTCTCGAATGTTGCTCTCAACCCATCTCTATCCCTTCCTGCTCAATGGTCACTTCTTAACCTTCCTTGCGTAATGCCACTTCGTACTCCTGTTTAATCCAATCCCACTCCGCCTTCCGTTAATGGTGAATGTGTCCCGTGCTCCTTCAAAAGGTATCATAAACATCCTTCGCCCAATGCCTCCTTTGCCTTCAAACTTACACACAGAGTATCTCCACCATCATCATCACTCAGCCTTTCGTTCCCCATCTCAACGTTGAAGATCTCGATATCACTAGTATTACTAGTAGCGCACTCGCTTCTCTATCCATACGTGAGTCCTTTACCAGCGTCACATTTAAGCCCCTGCTGCATTCCTCTATCATCCTCACTAATGTATGATCCAGCAGAATACACCTCGCTTGTATCACATACGCAACTTTGTCACAATGCGCAGCCACCCCGGCGGATATATAACCATCTCTGAGCATCGTCAGTCCCTCAATCCCTTTGTTCAACTAGACAATACTGATGGCTTCACAGAGCTTGCGCATGAGTTAGCAGTCCAGCAAAGCCATGAGGATGAGCGTCGACGCAGCAGCCAGTCTGCTCGACGTGACCACTCTGGTAAGCCCCGCCACCAAAATCATGTTGGCGTCTAGTGTATCGTGGCTCACATTTTCAAGATCGGAGTACACAAACCCAAGAAAACCCGGAATCGAGTGTGTCTGCACCGCGAAACCCTTCTCTTTCGGCCTCTTCGGATGTGACTGCTGGTAAGTCACCGTTTAGTCTATCAGATTGATTATATGATTGAACAGAAGTAGTCGGTTCTTCCACCCAGGTCGCAAATGCCGCCAGCGGAAACGAAAATGCCACTCCGTTGATTCCAATCACTCAGCCAAGGGACGAGAGTGCACAAACGCTATTGGCACCTCCTGAATCCCCTCATCCAGAGCAACGGAGAGGGTTGCCGACCATGAGTCAAGTCGCTGAGCGAGAGCAATTGCAGAATTTGTCAAAACGTAGGCGCAGTGCGGAAGCAGCACCGCAGTCTGCTTCCGGTGTGCTGCGTCGGCCGACTCGACGCTTATGCCCGCACTGTGCACAGAAGGTTCCAGTCTAGGGCGCTGTCTTTCGTATCAATGGGGGTCTTTTGTCGAGATCGCACTTGTGTCCTCATTGCTGGGGACGGATTTCGTTTCGAAGGCTGATCTTCAGGCGTTCTCTAGTCGACCCCGTCGATGATGGAAGATCAGGGCGGATATAGCTTTACGTTTGGGTAATCTGCGAAGTAAGCATCACAGAAGAGCGGGTTTGACGCATCAAGCCTCTTTGTATCATTGTCTCATGCCATAATAAGTATGCTGGTATTTGACCTTTGAGTCGCGGGTTGGGTCATAGATTAAGTACTGGAGAAATCGTATATGACGAAACCCAAAGATAATTCCTTGTCCCAAAAATTTGCTGCCATGCATCCTGTGCGCCTTCTCGCAAATTATAGGTCGTCATCGCACAACAATGAATCATTTTGCTACCAACTATGACATAGCTACTCGACACAGTGCTGCCGAGACTTTTCGTTGCAGCCTGTTTCCACCTGCTCCAGAATCGTGAGGTTGTTCTACCACATTAGATCTATATCTTAGTGTTATAGTCCCAGAGAAATGTAACAGCGGATCTGCCGTAAATCAATTCGATTAAGAACTTCTACTTCATAAATGGATGGTAGCTTTGACCACAATCAAGCCTAACTCCGCGTGCACTACATCAGTGCCTTTACATCGACTCCAAGCATGCCCCATCTTCCTCCCTATACTCTTCCCAAATTATAAATTATCCCACCATCAATCAAATTTCGCGACATCAGACCGACAGCCTTGTCTAGGTACGCATCCCCATCTGAACCCATCTAGAACAGTCCGTAACATTGCAAGCGGTCTTCGTGGTAAAGGCTGAAGAACAGTTTTGTGGTTGTGAGCGTTTCGGTTGGTGTTAGTTTTGCTGCGACGGGTTGATGGGGGTTGACGTGGGCGGAAGAAGATATGGATGCTGAGAACGCGCAGGTAGATGTCCTGCATCGTGATGGCAGTAAATGAGAGGCAGGTAGGGCAAGATTGCAAAGCACGTGAAGAAGGTTGATAGTTTTCATCCCAAGAGTGAGAGTTCACCACCATAATCGTTGGTGAAAATTGAATAAGATAGATCCTGTGAAGAGAGCCTGTGGTGAAGAAGCCCCGCAGTAGTGAGAGTGAACATGATGATAAGAAGATCTTGTTCACCAAAGTGTTTTCGCTGATCCAAGATGCACCTCAGAGTCATGGTGAACGTGAAGAGGAACGACAACAGTGGGTTCACTAAGGGGTTCACCAATCTAGACGCTGGACAAGTTGGCCGATATAAAAACCTCAACTCCTCAGTAATGAGCAACCTGCTCATCAATTCTCCACTCGCAAATCCCTCAAGCGCCTTACTATTGCCCCTCGTGACTAGCCTCACATCTCTCTTCGACTCATTCTCTCTACCTGCTCCAATGGCGATGGTAGTACAATCTTCTCCTCCGTTGTTGATACGTCTGTTCAACAACGATGAAGTCAGCGGAGTGATTCCGGGAAGCTTGGTCCATTCGTTTGGAGTGAGTTTGCACCGCTGTTTCTACCCATAGGCTGTCGGGGTACTAATCAGAGTCACCAGGCGCTCGAAAACGTATGCTATTCTATCTACGGAGTTGACCCGAACAATCAACTGGTGCACTTTCACCTCGAAGACGGCATCTGTCAAGGCGTACTCATCCCACACTTGTGGAACCTTGGTCATTACTTCGGTGTCGACTCTCTTCGTGACGGTAAGCTGCACCTTTTCGTGCATTTTGACCAGCCTGGTGCTCCGGTATGTCCTCTCACTACACGTGCGTCGATGGAACATCATCCACTGACAAAGGAAGGCGTACGATGGCTTCGAACATGCAGCGGCTGAGCTCAAGCATCGAGAGACCACCCTACCTCTGTCGAATGAACTGCAACAGTATCCCATGTTCGATCCGGTCCTTCAAATGGCCCTGTTTCCAGATGTCGCCCATCCAAAACCTCCCGTCGACACGAAACCGAATGTTCAGATTCCTCTCGGCGATGGCAACAAGTACCCAGGCCTGCCAGCATATGCAACACCTGAAGCCTGGGACAAGTCCTTCAAGCTGTTCACAGCCAAAGCTCCTCCACAGGATTCCTTCATGCACCGCACCCGTAGATGGACCAAGTTCACGCTTGGAGTCAGGCGCCGCGTTGCCCATGCACGCCTCATCGAAGGCAGCTATGGTGTCGAAGCCCCGAACACTTGCCAAAGCTGCAAGGACCTTGGTGTCGCTTGTCGCGTGTATCATCCAGCTATATTTGGCAGCGACTTCAAGAAATTGAATGCCCTCAAAAAGGGTACGAAAATGTGTTCTCGTTGTCTGAACAAGAATGGTTCGGGTTGTGAGGCTTGGGGCTCGCCTTCGAGCTCTTAGGATGCTTTGACGGGACTGTCTTCCATGTGATTTGGCAACTGCATCGAGTTCAGACACATCGAATGCTGTTGACCGGGACGCTGAGTTTGTCAAGTACCGTTCACGATGCAAGCACAAATACCCATGTTCTTTCGGCTGGTTTGGTTCCGCGGTGTCTGCCTACCCGGGAATGGCACGATCAATTGCAGACAGTGCCTGATGCACATATGAATCGGCTTTTCCTTTCGAGTTTTAGCGTTTGCTTTTCTTGCTTTTCTTGACTGGCAACGAACAGTGCTCGGATTACGAGTTCGTTGATGCCTACTGGAAGTCTCGGGCCCTAAAGCGATATGCACGTCGTTGGCATCGTAGGTACTTACTAGGATAAGAATTGAATGTGCCTTTCTGAACATGTGTTTCTCCTGTGTGACATTGCCTTCCTGTATCACTCTTTGCATAATGAAGGTGAAGATTTGTACGACTTCCACCAGGTTCACCTCTGTTTGTTATTGTCGAACTAAAATAGGCAGACGGCTTTGACGGGCTCATGGCATGTCCTCTCTGGATCAATTTGCTTTCAACCAGTTGCTTACAAGAGATCCACACATGCCCCTATTGAGTAGTAACGTTACACCGTCGAGATGGGGGCCATCCATTTTACGGGGCAACCAAAGCGCACTTCAGAGGAGTTTTTCCACAGAAATTCCAGTGCGTATGCCATTGTCCTCAATATCTGTATCTTTGAAAGTCTGGTTCCTTACCAGATTGTGGCAAATAAAGTTGAGTTACAATTTATGCCAGAGCATCACAACATTGAAACAGCCAATGGAAAATGGGAGATTGACGCCAACAGCCTCGAATAGGTATGTTGGGGCATCTACTTCGTCCAGATCCCTCGTATCTGCGACAGGGTTGGTGTTTTGGCCCCCAAAAATACGCCCCGTTACAACCCCCGACCGAACCTTAACGACTGTAAAGCCCCTGTCAGAAAGAGGGCCTGATAACGAACTTATACAAAAGCCCCCAGTCCACGTCCTTTGACCTAGTCCTTGCTTCTGCGCCTCTTAGCTCTTGGTTTCCGCCTCATACACTGCGCCAAGATGGCAAAGTCGAACTTCACGAGCCACGATCAAGCACTCGAATCGTCTAATGAAGCTTTCCTCCTATCCGAAGGACGACCTCAAGAACATGAGCCCAAACCAATCGTTGTACGGCCAAAGGCTACACTCTACTCAAAATGGATTCAGGACTGGTGGCTCGCCGAAATCGCTTCCCTCGTCCTAGGCATCGTTGCCGTCATCTCAATATGTGTTGTTTTACTGGATTATCAGGATAAACCAGCACCTGCACTCAATGCGGTGTTAGGCGTTGGCATCACGCTCAACACCATCATCGCCATACTTTCAACCGTTGGACGCGCTTCTCTGCTCTACCCCGTTGTCCAATGCATGAGCCAGCAAAAATGGGCTTGGTTTTCCAGTCGTCCCCGGCCTTTGACAGACTTGGAGACATTCGACCAAGGTGCTCAAGGTGCACTGGGTTCACTGTTGTTACTTTGGTCCATCAACGTCCGGTAAGCCTTGCGCTGCCTTTTGAGACATTCATTCTGACTACGCAACAGTAACTTCGTCTCCATTGGTGCAGTGCTTGTTATCCTGGGGCTCGCTATCGACCCTTTATCTCAACAGCTCTTGCGTTATGACCTACAGCCTGTAGCTCAACTGTCAAGCCCTGCGTACGTTTCAACAGCGTTGCAATGGGCCACGGACCGGCAACAAGGCCAAATGCTCCACTGTATGTGTGGCACCCCTTGATAGACTCAAATCTCTGAATTGTAGGTGTGTTTACTGATGTCGAATTCACAACGGGCAGGGGAAAAACCTACCACCGATGTGCTATCTCTGGTTGCAGACCCTCCGCTCTACACGAAAGCGGCGGTTCAAGCGGGTCTTCTTTCAGCATTTTCCATTATCAACGACACTGAGCCATTTTGTTCCACAGGTAATTGTACCTGGCCTACGTACCTATCTTTAGCGGTGTGCATGAGATCGCAAGATGTCTCCGAACATGTACAAAAGATACAGCTCGAAAGTAAACTCAAACAAAAATATTTCAGGTATTTTCTGAACGAAGATTTCTACATCGACGAAAACATGAATGGCGTTCGCTTGAACGTATCTTCTGTGGCGACAAACACACCAATCATCGACGATAATACATACCCGGACAACGCACTGAACTTCAGTCAAACGATTGCATTTTCCGACAATCTCTATCCAATTGCTGACATATTCGTCATGTATAATAATGGGTCAGCGCCAGAGGATACAAGATTCTCCGCTTTTGAAATTCTGCTGGAATGGTGTGTTCAGGAATTCAGCACGACGGTCATTAACGGCATAGCCACTACTACGAGAGGGAAATCCACGAACAAATTCACAGGAGATAGAGGCTCGTTCATAATTGGCCCCAGATTCAATACGACCGACGATTTCGCTTCGCAGTCAGTCATGTCCGATGCACTCGCGGATGCAGAGTACATGATCGCGAACGTTACCCACTTCAGGCTCTCCAACTATATTCGCAAGACCATAAAGGGTTCTGTTAGTAACGTTGCCAATAGCAACCCTTCATGGCTAACAACTTCCGATGCTGCAGAGGCAATTTACAGGCAAATTGACCGCGCCAGGGACGATCAATTACAAGGGGACGTGGGCCAAAAGGAAGACGTTGAGAAGGACTTAAGAAAGTTTTTCCAAAATATCGCAACCAGTTTGACAAATGAGTAAGTGTATACCTTAGGTACTTATCACGTTTATAAGCATCGCTGACCCTTGCTCGCGCCGGTAGTGTTAGGACTGCAGAGAACCATACGTTCGCCACGGAAAACATTTGGGCCCTACGGTCCACTTTCATGAGGGCTAATGGCACGGCATGGCGAGAGCAAGCCTTTGTCCGCGTGCAGTGGGGTTGGATTGCTGGCCCGATGACTCTCGCCATACTGAGCCTTCTTTTCGTTGCCATCACGGTAGTGCAATCTAGTCGACATAGGCAGGAGGTCTGGAAATCATCATCGTTGGCAACGCTTTTGGCGCTCAGCGATGAGATACATTCACATATTGGAGGAGTTCGCAGCGCCTCGGAGAATGAGAGCTTGTTGAAACCTACGAAAGCCTCAATGGTGCAGGTATCTGAGGGAGCATGGAGACTTAGAAGTGCTCAAGATATATGACGCAATGTTTTAGTAGATTAGACGGATCGTCCTAGAATATTTCAAACTCGCAATCACAACATACAAAGCTTTTCCTCTCATCGCTATATCGATCAAGCAGAAAGCCTCGGAGAATACCAACAGTGCGAATTCCTCACTAGATCGTGCCTCCAACTCGTTTCAAAGCATGGTAGATGATAGTAATTAATTAGTGTTTATAATTGTAAGCTGAAAACTATAAATCAATAGTGTCGTGTCCATGACACCTTTCCTCCGGCTCCTGAAGAGACAAACATCGAACCACAAAGGTACTCATGGCCCAGGACGACAATGAAAAATGATTACGTGGCAAAGGTAACCCGCTTCCCCCGACGGCGATTCCGGCCATTTGCCTGCTGTTCGATTTGGCCCCCGTGCGGCATAATTTTGTGACCGTGGTTTCTATCTTCAGGCTTGTTGTTCTTTCTCAGTATGCCACGAACTGCTGGCGTATTGTGTAAGAGAGGTCCGTTGGGATGAGTGCTCCCGTTTAGGGACTGATTTTTTGTTCCTTTCGGCGCTTCGTTAACGAGTTCTAAAGCTGGTGCAGAATGCATCAGTGAGCAAGCTGGATTTTTGCAGTTGTTGTTCCATTTGCACCATTTTTCTGCTAAGATTGGCAAATGGGAGTTAGGAGGTGCGGCCGGACTCCGATGGCCACGCAGGCACTGAGGGTTCATGCATCTGGAACCATATTTGCAAGCCTGAACTGGGCCTTGTCGGATTTGGATGTTCGGTTGACTCTGATTGCGTGTCGCTTGGGTATCACGCTGAGGATGGTCGAATATACATTTTCGGTTGCGGCAGACTGGATCAAATTTACATGCTTTCATGGGTTCTTCGGAGTCTCTTTTCGGATGTTCAAATATGCACGAAACGTTTTTACATCGAGGATCAAATCTACAAGCTCGTGATGTCGCTCTGGCTCGATCGGGTGGAGGCACTGCCTGTACATTGCCTGGCATATCTTCAATGTGACTGTACGGGCAGTCGATGTAGTCCTCGCACGCGCTTCGTTTCTGGTAGGGGCATACGGGGTTGTGGTATGAATTCATCCGTTGTTGTCGCAACAGAGTATCGATATCTATCATCTCGCAGTCAGTGCCGCCATCAATCGGCGGCATATGCATATTTGATGGGTGTGGTTCGGTCTGCAGTATGAAAGCATAAGCATGTCGCATCTCTTCGCGCTGTTTCTGTACGAGCATCTTCTGTGCCTGACGTGAGAATTCACGATCACTGTAGGGATTGACTTGCACATAACTAGCCGCCTCTGCCAGTGATACTGTGCGAACGGGGGCTTTGGGAAATCTTCTGGGTTTCCTCTGGATGTTCTTCTCACGCCAGCTCGAATTGGGCAACCCATGACCCCAGTGAGTGTCCCACTGATCAAGGCTGAAGGTTGGTTGAAGCTCCTGTATAGCCCTTTCGACTTTCAACTTGCAAGGTAAGGGCTCAGCAAGCATCCTTTCTCGGGGACACCTGTGTACCTTGCGACTAGCATTAATGAAGAATGCGCATCGTGCAAACATGCGATCCCACCCAGCCATACGTAGAGTCAGTGCTAGGACGGGCCATTGTAGGACGTGGTTCGGGAAGAAGAGGACCAGTTCCTCCAATGAACAGTTGTATTTCAGTATGTCGTCCCACGGCAAGTCGACGTCATATGGCGGGGCATTCAGTATGCGCCTGAAACTCAATTGCTGTGCTCTCACGAGTTCCTCATGTCTTTCCTCTTCATCCATGTAATCGTTGGGCAAGTCGGGCTGTTGTTCAAATTCCCTGTGTCCTGGAAGATCTGGCCTATAATTTGTTGCCGTATCTTTGAACAATGGGTCGCACGCTGCCCCGTTTGCGGCGCCCAGATTCTGCATGTGCATATTGTTGATAGTGGTAGTGACGTTGCTAAGGAAGCAACAGAGTCGGTGAAGGTCTCAGTATGTGGTCAATAGATTGAGGTTACCAATGGGGGGAGGGGGAGGGGAGGGGAGGGTTGGTGTTATAGCGAAGAATCGGAAAGAGACTGGGGGATACCCGATTTGATATGCAAGTATATATAATCTATCACTGTTCGTTGGTATCTACAGTGAGACAAAATTATACGCTCATCATAATATTTATGATTTTCTTTGGTGCGAGACATGAAAGCACATGGTACACGTTCTGCACAATGTTATTTCCCCTCAGACTCTTCCAGAGCATTGTTCCTCTCTTGACCTATTTCCTATTACTGGAACACGCGCCCTTTGTTTGCTTTTTGGGCAAAATAAGAAATTCTTTGTGGAGCAGTCATGGCTCACACAAAACAGTGTGTCGGCGCTACAGAAAAGCTTGTCGTGAAATATACGCATCTCAGAGCAATCATCGAATGACCCGACCCGCTCTGCGTACCGTGTCTCACAAACTGACGTGTAGATGAAACAGGCGACTGGATATTCTAGGCCACATACAAGATCTCGGCAATCTCAGAAGATGGGAGACACATCCCAGTGATATAAGCAAGACTGAGTCAATCACCTGCACACTCAAAGAATTCGTTGGATGGTGTTGGTGATGAAAGCTGATGAAAGGTGATGAAACAGCATTATTCAATAGTCGAATTGTGCAGACCCTACGTTGCTGCCTGTTAATAGTCTAAGGCAATCGAATCCTACTTTTCATTGGTTGTTTGGGCTTGTATACCACTAAGAACGGGGCAAGTGTAATTCTATCAATTTAATTCTCTTCTCTTTGCTTTGAGACCCCTTAGGCGCCTAAAATGTTACCTGTTTCCTGAATGGCTTACAGGTATTTATCTTAGCATAAGAGTTATTGGTATCTAAGTACTTGATGCACTTAGTCTAACCTCTAAAACGATGTGTTGTAGAACCAATGGTCAAGTTGTAAAATCTGCATGGCATCTAGATTTACGGTGTCTCATTGGGAGGTGTATGTCATTGGTTGCAGATTTGACCGCTCATTCGGGTGAGCACATCCCTCCATAGATACGCACCTCTAATTTGTTACCCGAGATATGCGCATAGTATGGTCGTTAATGTTTCAAGGCAGCGATGGCGCAGAATGTTCTCGCGATGTCAGTGTTCTACGGTGCTCCAAAACGAGATGACATATATCTGGAAGGGCGCTTTTACGACTAAAAGCCTAGAATAGACTAGCGTAGAAGCCCAATTTTCTCAACACCACCACTATGAATAATGGGTGGACGCCGTTTTCGCGACATCAAGAACACTTAATCTCGACAATTCGATAATATTTCAGCAAGATGACAGACGTATTGCTGAACTTTGTGCAAAGCTCGCTTCCAGAGGAGCTTGCCTCGATACTTCAAAATTCGATTCAAGCGCTCGAAAAGGGAGACTTCTTGGCCATTTTCCAGTATCCGGAAGTCCAAGAACTTCTGGGTCACCAAGAGAGCGAAGCCACAAAAGATGTGAAGCTCGACGGGTTTCCAGTATGGTCTGATTATGTCTTTCATCGCCTCGGGTTGCTGTTGTCGAACCGGAACGACGATGCGAAGACAACCCCGCAGGAATCCTCTGCGTATCGGCAACACCTCTTCCTCATCACTGCTATTGCAGCGCTGTATGCCTTTATTCAGTCAAATGTCACTGGGCCGCCACTACCATTCAACTCTGCGGAGGTAATCTTCCCAGGAAAGATTTCTTCACAACCTACGGACGTGGACAAAACAAGAGCGGCATTAGTAGCTTCGCTCAGTTCGGACGGAGTTGCTGCTTACAGGCTCACACCCAATGTCGAGCTGCTCTGTCTGGCAGAGACGATTCTTATCAGCCCACCTATTCAGAAGAACATCAAGGGATCCGTGTGGGCGAGATTAAGAGCTACTTTCTTTCATCAGCGCCTACTATCAGAACCGGCTCCCTCGTTACAGAAATCCATCTATGATGATGTAGACGTCCTTTCACGAGAGATTCTGGGTTCTGATGCGAACAGCGAGGTCAAAAACTTGCGTGTCCATTTCTTGCTCGAGCGAGCTGCTATTCACACCCACCATAGCTTTGACAAGAAGGCCAGAGCCGATCTTGACCAAGCAACAAGCGAGCGCAAGTTCGAATTCGCACTGACTGGCCTGATGGGAAAGAGAACCAAGTTCCAACAGAAAGATACAAGCCAACTTCTAGTCCTCGCCCGAAGTGCAGAGTCGGATACAGAGAACTCGAACCCGGATGTTCCCAAACCCCAGAACTTAGATCTCAACGATGACACACTGCTCGAGTCCATCTCCTTCACAGAGGGCGCATCTACCACAGATATCAAGAACGCATCCTCGCTACCGCCTCGACTTGCATCCCTGGATCCTGCAAACCAACCAATGCTAGATCCGCTGGACTCCGTCATTCTCCTATCTTTAGCATCTTCGATCGTGAACACCAATCCCGCCGATGGACTGACCAGAGAAGAAACCATTCCCTATGCCACACGCGTTCTAGAAGGCGGAAGCTCTAACTGGCAAGTCTACACTCAGGCTCTACTCGTCCGCAGTAGGATCGAGGGGTACAAATCACGAACAATGGAACGAGGTCTGCTACAGCTTCAAGCGCTTGTCGACCAAGTCATTGCAGATACATCCGATTCAAAAGCCGCCGAAGCCGATGGATCAGAGGGACAGACGTCCTTCCTCCCTAAGGCAAAAGAGGGCGAATCTGCGACTGTGGACGAACGCCTGCGTTACATTTTCGCACTCTGCTCGCCGTCCCGCTGGGAGCTGGAGGCAGAGCTTGCAGCGGCTTGGGTGAGCGTCGGAGGTCTGCGGTCCGCTCTTGAGATCTATGAGCGACTTGAGATGTGGGCAGAGGCAGCTCTTTGTTGGGCCGCCACAGAGAAGGAAGATAAGGCTCGAAAAATCATCCGACGCCAGCTCTTCCATTCTACGGACAACAACGACGAAGCTGCCGACCTCGAGGAAGAGAAATGGGAAGGCCCAGCGCGAGACCCAGCTCCTGCCGAGGCTCCACGTTTGTATTGCATTCTCGGTGATATCGATCAGGACGTAGCAATGTACGAAAAGGCCTGGGAGGTGTCTGGTGGCCACTACGCTCGAGCACAGCGCTCTCTTGGCCGCCAGTACTTTACAAACCGCGAGTACGAGAAGGCAGCAGACGCATACTCGCTGTCTGTGAAGATCCACGCTCTTCACCAGCCCTCTTGGTTCGCGCTTGGCTGTGCTTACCTTGAATTGCAGCAGTTCAAGAACGCAGTGGAGGCGTTCTCACGATGCGTTCAGCTTGACGACGAGGACGCAGAATCATGGAGTAACATGGCAGCCGCGCTCCTGCATCTCCGCCCGAAGCCCAAGACCGATGATGAAGAGGCGAATACAGATAAGGTGACGAACCACCCCCGCCAAGATGCCCTGAAGGCTTTCAAGCGCGCCGCAAATCTGAAGCACGACAACGCACGCATCTGGTCCAACGTGCTTGCAGTTGCGGGATCGACGAACCCACCCTCGTGGACAGATATCATCACTTCCCAACGGAGGATCTGTGAAATCCGCGGTTCGACCGACGGCGAGAAGTGCATCGATGATGAGGCACTCGACCTCCTCATCAGGCACGTGGTGCAGGAGGAGGGAGGGTTCGACGTATCCCGACCAGGATTACCTCGCCTCGTGAATGAGCTGGTCGAGAAGCACATCAAGCCGCTCATCACTGCATCTCCAAAGCTCTGGACTGTTCTTTCCACACTATATGTACACTCCAACCGGCCGTCTTCCGCGCTTGAGGCCCACGAGAAGGCATGGCGTACTGTTACTTCCCAGCCAAAGTGGGAGAGCGGGACCGAGGCGCAGTGGAAAGCTGTTGTTGATCAGACTATCGACCTCGTCGATGCCTACGAAAGTCTCGGTCCGAGGGAGAGGACTGAAGGCCTCGCCGCAGGTAGTGGAGAGTTGGTGGCGAAGGACTGGAAGTTCAAAGCCAGGAGCGCGGTGCGAAGCGTGATGGGCAAGGCGAAGGACCACTGGGAAGACAGTGCCGATTGGGATAGATTGAAGGAGAGATTGGAAGAGTTGAAAAATGCTGAATGATTGATGTTGAATTAGATAGGTAGTCTTGTCATGAAAAGTGAGCACTTGCTACTTCCTTCACCGTATCATCCAAAACATTTGAATTCAATGTATTTGCCAATTACTCATGCTGCAAGGGTGATGTTGTGTTCAATGACGGTCTCAGTGTCAACAGAAAGCTATCAAGGGATGTATTGCACATAGATTTGTTTGTGCCTACGAATGCGCCACTTGATGTGGGAGATGTTTCTTTAGGCCAGGACTACAATACTGTTCGTACTGGTACAGCGAACAAAGATTCCCTCCCTTTGACTACATACTATCATTGTTTATTCTAGCAAACATTGTGTTGTACCGCCAACTCCCCGCACCGACACAGTGGCAAAGTAAATTGCAGGTAGTTCTGTGGCTGAAGAATACGGCGCCAACAAGCAAGTCTACAAAGTAGAGAGTCGAGGCGCACAACGCCCTCGCCCGTCCAAATTAGCTGTGGACTTTGCGTAGTTCTATGACTCGCCGCTATGATGAACAATTTATCTTCCGATTCTAAGGCTGCAACTCATCGTTGTGGACAACATCAAATCATGAAATAAGAGCCTGAGGTATTCAGGCGGATAATCAAACATATCTCCGTCTTCCGTCCCAACAACATGTACGCCGCAGACGAGAAACCCATCACATACTGTATTGCAAGGTGTAATTTGTATGGACGAGGCGAGGATCAAGCTTAAAAGATGATGTGACGATCGCCCGAGCCTAAATCGGCGCACAACCGCATGCCCGAGTCCCGAAGAGGCAATGGGAGTGTTTGGAAGCCAGGGCCACGGGCCAATCACCACCATCCCCACAGGATCATCCTCATTTCCCTGGGCCGCCTCCAGGTTAATTTCCCTTCGACGTTGTCGTTCCTGTCTGCTTGTCTCGTCTCTCGTTCCTCGATGGGAGATTGCGAGAGGTTGGACAGAGGACGATTGTAATTGAAGAACCGGACAACTGACTGGGGGAGTGATGAGAAAGAACTTGGCATGCGTTTGCGGTGCCGCTGGCTCAGACTCCAGAGGGACGGCGCAATTTCTCATATAATAAGAAGACGAGGCTGTTCCCTCTGTGTTTGGTTTCTCTTTTGGAGGTTTTGTGTCCGGGAATTGCTTCACCTAACCATCGTATACACACACTCGTTTGTCCTTTTTCCATCAGCGGTCGATCCTGCGTTTTCACTCTTTTGCAAACCACGCTGGATTCTCGTTGTCTGTAATCGTAATCGCTGGCTACTATCCACACGACCTTCCTTTATATCAAATCAAGCATAACCAGGACAAACCTGTCGAATCTAAAGATAATACAATACATACACAAAACAACACGAACACAAACAATCATCAACATCATCATACACAATCCCGACAATGCAGTTCACACTTCTCATCACCGCCCTCATGGGCACGCTCGCAACATCCCTCCCAACTCCCAGCAACGACCTCACCATCCGTCAAGACACCGTACGTCCTCCCCGTCTATCAAACCCCCACCCCATTACTAACACCCCAAACAGTACGAGCCTAAATCCCCCAATCTGGGCGCCTACCTCTACAAGTCCCCCAATCTCACCGGCTCTCGGGTCCCCGAAGACAAGACCCCGATAACCGGGACGTCCTACTGCGTGAACCTGGACCAACTGTACGGTAGCTGGGACCGCGCGACCCGGTCCCTCGTCGTGTATCCCGGATTCAAGTGCTACTTCTACACGGAGCAGGGGTGTGAGCAGGGCAGGAAGTTTTGGCTGGGCAAGAAGGCGGATTATGGGGTTAAGAAGACGTTGATCAAGGACTTTGATGGCAAGATTCGGAGTGTCGTGTGTAGGCCGCTGTAGGGTGGTGGTGTTGTCCGGGGAAGGGTGGGGGGGTTTGGGTGGGTTTGAAGTTTGGGTGGAGCTATGGGAGGAGGGGAGGGGATAGGGTTGTGGGAACCATTGGATCGGAGATGGTGGTCGTCTCCTGGAGGGATGGTTGGGAATGGAGACGCCGTGGAGCCGGCTAGTCTTGACTTCGCTTCTACTTCGACTTTACATTTTGTCTGTTACATGATACTACCCATTTCGAAGACTGCGGTTTGCAGTAGGCCAAACGAGTCGATCGATGCTTAGTTCATTATGATCGTGTCATATTGCAACCTCCTCTTCTGAATCAATAGGGACAAGGAAATTCATGATTGTATGGGTATGTGTATTGGTATGTATGTGTGAATATTTGCACCTCCAAATGAGAAAATATAGTATGCGCCCTTATCTTCACGCTGATGGATCAGGGAAATAGGTGTCAGACCCTAAACCAGCCCTGTCCACTTCCCAGCGACATGTACTAAAAACTCCTCAGACGGGTATAAAGATATATGTTATCAGAAATATTAAGTGTCGAATGAATATAAATCGCCCGAATCACCCACTTCCCTCGTCGGGCTGCACATCGAGACCGCGTAGTTTTCTCGCCAGCAGTCCTGGTCCGGGCGAACTGGGTGGGCTTGTAACCCAAGCGTTTCCACCATAGCCTACATCGCCTCGGTTTAGCTTCTCGAACATCTCCGGTGTTTGTTCGGGACTTGTGGCTTGTAATACCGGAGACATGGTATTGGTTCGAGAATGGAAGGGGCTGTCTGAATCGATATCCATGGCAGATCTGGAAACTGGGCGAGAATCAATCGATGGATTGCGTGCCAGATTAAATGGGATTGGCTCGAACGCCGACATGGGCGAGCTGAACTCATGGCCAAAACTCGCACTTCCGCCGGTCAACTTTACAGCCGGAGGAGGTAACGGAGGGCGCTGACCCGATCCGTCTAATCGAGCGGAGACTTGGTGGGAAAGCGACATGGCTGCACTACGACGTCTATATGCTTTTTCGGCAGTCAGCTGCACAGCAGCTGTTGATGGGGCTTGTTGCGCCAGTGAATCTCGCGACGGCTTGTACGTGCTGTAACGCGGCTCGGGCAGTTGGATTTCGTTGCGTAGTTTCTCCTTCCCATCTGGAACACGGTTGGCGAAAACGACGCGAATACTCTTGTATAAATAATAACGTCCTTTTGAAGGACAGCAGATATGGATATGGATGAGGTAACGGAGAATGGGTCGATCGTTGGGATCGTCGGAGGTACTCAAAGCTGCTTCGGGGCGGTCGGTACCCAGGTTCTTGCGAGACGTTAAAGGCATATCGATAATAGGGCCAGCAGAATAACTTCGTTGACGGATGAAAGTCTTCTGTCCAGGTTCCATATCCGTCAAATCATAAGGTACCAGAAAAAGTTTGACGGCTGTTTTGTTTGGGTTTTTGATAACAATTTGCAGTTGACCTTGCTGAGGAATGCGATAGCTTCCACCAGGGGGTGCTTTCGGTGATGTTGATCTTCGTTTCTTCTTTTCTCTCTTTCGAATCCCTTCCTTTGATAGATTCACACTGTCCCTTTGTGTAGGCTGCGGTTCAGCGTCTTCATGATCCGGGTTAGGACCAACATGTCTTCGTTTCCGTTTGCTCTCCAACCCCTCATCCTGTGGCGGTAAAGAGTTCTCAAGATCAATCAGACCTACGTATGGACTAGGTGAGTTATTGACACTTTTGCTGCTCTCGCCACTGTAACTATAGAAAACAGCAGGAAAAGGAACCGTCACGTGAGGTGGGCAACGAAGGCTTGATTTACACAGTCCCCTACCAAGGACACCGATTTGTGCGACAAAATCAAGTGGACGAGATGGGGTGGTTGACATTCTCCCCCGTAGTATTGATTCTTCATAAGAACCAACCATAGGTGCATGGTGTAGGGGAGAGTCGGAAGAAAAGGACGGTCGTCGGGATTGTATCAATGGCGTCTGCGGACTTGAATGAGGCTGGAAATGGTTTATCGAGGTGAGTGATCGCCGTGGCTGGTGAGCTTGGTATGGGAATGTGCCCTCTCTCCTCACGTGCCGGGGTACGGGGGTGTTTGAGGTAGAGTTTGCCGCTCGCATAGAACGAAAGGTCTGGAATGAGTGGGGAGAGAAGGTGTGACGTCGGTTGTTCCGTTCAGGGCTTCGAGACGATTGCCTGGACACCGGGCGAGATGAGAAATCCAGATCCGCATTGTTCGATTGTTGTGCTAGTGGGCTTGTTGGTGGCATCAACACAAAAGAAGAAGAGAATGAGGATTGTGAAGTTGCTCGGGACCGCGACGTTGGCCGTGAGTCATATTGAAGTACTTCACCGAAGGAGAAGTGAGATTCGGCATGCTTTATTGGAATCGCCGAAGCAGGAAAAGCATGGTGCCACGGAGCGACCGGAGAGGTGGACAGTATTGAACTTGAGGACGAGGGCTCTGTCCGTAGGATTGCCTCTTCCTTTTTCTCTCTAAAATCTCCCGAGTGTAGAGCAGAACGCGGCCGTTCTATCTCGAGTCCTGCTGAGGCATGTTCACGCCAGAGATCGGGGCTGAGAGCACGGGTAGGCTTCATCTCAGCGGCGGGGAGTAGAGGTGTCTTCGGTCGCTCTCGCGAGATCGGTGGTAGCTCTGACGTAGCTTCGGGATGGGCTCCATGCTGTCACATCTAGTCAACTCTGTTCTTGGATGAACAATATTCTATGAGAAGTAGTCGTTTCGCACATATCCACTGCCAGAGATCGCTCGGCAACTTACGTTGGGGCTGCGAGGCCAGGAGGGACTGTTTGCACTCTTGATCCGCTCAATCAAGTCTCCCCGGTTGAGAATGGGTGTTTGCCGACCATTACTCGGCGAGGTTGGCTCCATGGTAGAAACACAGGAAGTTACGATTTCATGATGTGAGTAAGTATTGTCCTGCAGAGCACCTCTCACGCCATCACCCGGATAATCTGCTATCTGGCACTCGGGTGCAGGGGAGAATCGAGAATCGGGCGCTTGAGATGGATGCTCGCGGTGATCATGGAATATGGGCATGGCAAAGGAGAGGCGGAGCGTTAAACGACATAAGATCAGAGAGCAGCAAGTCGTGAGATTAAAGACGAAACAAATAAGAAGCAAGGACGAAAGAGGAATCGTAGCAAGGTGCGGTGAGTGGTGAGAAGAGTACCACAGTGGTGGTGGTGGTAGCGGTGGCCGTTGCAGCGGTAGAATACGGCGGGGAGGATTGTCTAGTAATGAGAGCAGCTTTGAGCACTGGATGGCCCGACTATGGCCATGCCATGAGTAAGAGTTTCCAGTTTAATACGGCGGATGCGCTGGCACCACTCGCCTCACGGAAGGTTACCCTTGAAGTCCATGTAGTGGTAGGTAAGGGCTCAGTATGTATGGGTTATTCCAGGGCGAGGCACTGTAGACAGAAGCCAGACGGAAAGGTGCGGAGAGAGGGGGAGGAAAAGGTTAGTTGACGAGCAGATGGCGCCAGGACTGAGGTTGATGACGCGCTGATACAGGAAGGCGAGCTTGGAGCTCTTTAGAGTTAGTAAGAGGTGTAGTATGTAGGACAAAGATGACGAGAACGATAAGGATTCGAATGTACAGGAGGGGAAAGGAAAAGGATAGATGGTACGAGGTATGATGATGAGGATGGTGATCATTAGGCACTTTGGGGGATAAAACTGGGAGTGGATGGATGACTCCTCCCAAGCCACGCCACTCTATACACAGTAAGTAGGTAAGTGGACCTTGTATCTACCTCGCGCTATCTACGATCTACCATGTATTGTATCTACTTGTGCACTAACTACACGCTCACTAGACACATTGATGGAGGGTTCTTGGGTCCATTAGAGTTTATTCCACGTGCAACTAAGTGGACTAACTGGTTGTCTTTGTCTTCCCCCCACTTGCTGATGGAGATACGCTTTTGTTTTATCAGATGGTCGATAAGCAATAGGTTGGATGTTACAGCACGTGATACATCATTATCAGATCTACTAGCCAGTTCAATCAATGCCACTCACTCTCTTAGAATCATAACAACAAGATCAGATGAGATGAAATTTTCAAATAAAAAAAAGAAAAAAAAGAGGAAACAACCCAGGTTTGAACCCGAGCTGTTTCCAGAAAAAGCAGAACAGAAAACAACGCTTATTCGCAGTATCCGATGTATGACCCTTTAACATTGTGCAGGCTTCATGAAATCGATCAAGATCGATTCCACTCCGGCCACACAAGTCGTGGAAAAGCTAAAGCTAGTTCGATATAGGGACCTACCTTCGCTAGAGCCTCGGACTCCTTGAAAGCTCTTGCAAATTAAGGCCTTTATATAGGGCAAAAAAAGTGAAGGTAGGTATCTGCCTGGTCCGTTCGCCGTTTACAGACAACTTACAAGCAAAACCACTAATCATGACTGCGAAATCACATGCACCACAACTAATGATCAGATAATTGCTCTAGTAATAAAACTACATGACACCATTGAACGTTCCCTAAACGTATATACGCGGCAAGACCCAGCATCATGAGCCTCTGCCCCAACCCCAGATTGAGACCATTCGGTCACGCTAAACCAGGATAGGCACAACTATTACTTAGATGCCGCCAAGCCAAACTTTTTCCCATGATGGTTGTTTTCGTTTCGCATCAATGACAACGGTTCGTCAACGCTTCATTTGAAATCTTCGTAACCCGCGCACTCTCTTCTACCATGGCACCAAAACGCTCCCGCGAGGATGATACATCGGGCTCGCACCATGTGAAAAAGCGCAGCAAAGGATTCTCCATTGGTCCTGCAAATCTCCCAGATGGAACTCACAAGCGCAAACGTAGGTTTTCCACACCAATACGCAATATGACAATGTAGTAATAGCTCCGTCCGTACAGTCCAAAAAATCAAAAAAGATATCATTGAAAAGGCAAAACTCAAAAAAGAATACGCAAAACTCAAAGCGCGAGAACAACCCGACACCCAGCAGAAAACCGTCTACGAGCGTGAGGACGAGCGGGAGAAAGTTCACGACGATGATCAAGCCCCCGAGTCGGCACCAGAACCAACACTCGAACTCCATCCCGATCGCGTAAAGCTCCTGGACGAAAAGTCTCCATCGCCAGGCCCAGACACCAACCTTGGCGATCGCCGCAGGAAACGGGCACGTCCACAAACGTACAAACGCGAGACAGAACTCGCACAGAAGCGTAAGGAAGAGGCGGACGCTCGACAAAGAGCTCGAGAAGCTGCGGAAAAGGAGCGCACGAAGAAGATTGCAGAACGAGAACGTTTTCATAAGACTATGGCAAAAGCTCGCGCGGGGGGACCAGGAAAGAGAAAGTTGGGCAAAGAAAGCACCGTTTTGCTGGAGAAAGTGAAAAGACTTGTAGGGAATGCCTAGTTGTCTCAATTGAGCGTGTACAAGTTCACTCTGAGGTTGACTATTATCGCCATGGCTGTCAACAAGCTTCTAGTCATCGAGGTCACAAACCACAAACCAACAGCCCAAGGCGCATTGTGATCAGGCCTCGATCAAAGGATGCCTATCAATCAAGGATCATGACTACTTGCCATATCTGTACCCGATGGTAGTCGAATCGAGGATAGCAGTGTCTGATATCGGAGACGGCATGATGCTGTACATTCTGGCATCGCAGATCGCCTGTGCGGCGGGTATGGCCGAACCCATCCAATGCGCAAACAAACTATTAGGCGATGAAATTGCGTTTACTTTCTTCTTGGGCCGACATATGCTTATGCAGGTTTTGATGACTTCCTCACCTGGGCGGAGTCTATTCGGTTTGTATTTCCGTGGTCCTCCAGTACCCCTTGAAGTCCGGCCAATCACACGTTGCTCATCAGCATAATGGCTTCAATGTTCTTATGGGGTAATCATCTATATCTTCAGTATCTACCTAAGTATGAATCTGACAGGATCACCACCAGTTACACAATGTATTACTAGGAGCATGCTTATCCAATAATGCAAAGGCAAGACTGGATAATAGGATTTGCCCAGCCTACTGTGCGCTTTTCATCTTCCAATCATTGCGATCTTTCACCTGAATGTGTTGCGACATCACGATGGTTACTCGAATAGGATATAGATTGATGACGTCCACTATGGTTGGCTTTGTCCTTTCCACTTTGGCTACACCATACATATATAGTGCTTACCCAGATAGATGCATGATGCTGAATCTACATAGGATGAAAGAAATCTGCGGCCTCTTGAAACGCTGGCGTTGATCACAGACAGGCTGATTTGCTGGGCTCAACATGACCAGTGGCGTGCCTGTTCCGACTCGGACTACCTTTGCAACTTTAGGTACATATATCTCGAGCCTATCGAGCCAACCAGCTCGTCCACCTGCAATAAGCAACTGTACATGATCGGACTTACCGTTTCGGAGATCGTTGCAAGGTTAAGCTGATCGGCCACTTACCTTGGAATGACTTCTTCCAACCACCCGACATCGCTCATGGATCTGACTTCATCCTTCTTGACTTTGAACCCTCCATGTACCATCATTTTATCAAATATGATATCGCGAGAACTTTCCTATACCGCCCAATGCACGGAGGAATATCGATTCAGCTTACCTGTGTCAGACAGTGTGCGACCGTAGCGGGCAATCGCACCCGGCGTCGATGACTATCCTACGTCACACGCGTGGGTTATAGGTGTTTCCGAAGCAAAGACCTGTGGGTTGGTATCCCGCTCATTCTGGATGATGAGACCAAGTTGAGAATGAGCCGTTGGGCTCTTCTCCAGACCGGTATTGCAGCGTGGTGTGCGGAGGATTTTTCTTGGATGTTCCATTCCCTTCTAGAGGCCGGTCAACGATGCTGAGCACACAGCTGGCCCCACGAGCATGCGACCCAAATCGGAGCTGAATGCCTTGTCTCTCCTGCCTGGACGCCTTCTCGTCTGTGGTTGCAATGGTGCATGAAGCTCCCTCCAATCCCAGCACTCTTACTCACCTCGGCCCGAACCACCACGTATTGCTAGTCTCGCGACTGCAGGCACATAGATTGCTTGCTGAGTTCGCTCAGCCCTGTTAATCTTTTCTCAGGCGAACCACATTCGCCATTCCTTCGGTCAGTCGCCCCTAATTCAATTGTTTGAAGGAAATAATGTTGCTCAAGAATTAATTCCAGACCAAGTTCATTTAAACCCGCGACGATGCAACCCAGTACAGGGCTCCTGTCCACCACCACACAATAGGACAGGTCCTAATCCCAGTTGTGCAATTATTGGGGCTAGCTGAAGTTGCTCTTCTTTGGAGCAATAAGCTTATTTATTCATAGAACATGGGCATGTGCGGCATCTGCTTGCCCGATGCGAAGCGGTGTGTGTGGACGGTACAGTCGCATGCAGCCCTACCGCTCTATGTAATCGTAGAGACATCGTGTGTGAAGGTTGATTTTTGGAATCTACTTCTGTATGACGCACAATTGGATCCCACCGCCGAAGCTGCATGTCTGCTCAGTGCGAAGCCTCAATGGTACGCATCGATTTTATAATGCTGCTGTGTCCGGTATTGGTCAGGTATCCTCCGACCAGTGAAGGCATAAGCAGTCATGGAGCCATCGCCGCCAAGGTCAATCTCTCGCAGGTCAATGGCTCACTGGAGCCTGCACATGGTCTCCAAGTGGCATGGTCCCTCTCTGTGCTTTGACACTTAACTCAAAGCATCGCCGGGCCTCTTTCGACCAAGTTCTGTTTGCACTCACAGTTCACGAACACTTATCATAGTATTAAGCGAGCATTCCTGCACTGTTCATGACCGTTAGGCCTGAACCACTGTGATTGAACGTTCACTTATCACTTTGCTATACCAAAGGCAATGTTGTCGGAATCCCCAAAGACCAGCCAGGCTCGGCAACCTCGCAAGTGGACCGCAGCTGAGGACCAGATACTTCGAGAAGAGGTTGAACAGCAACAAAGTAAGTTCGCACGATTGTTTGGAGCATTGAAAGAACAGTTCTGTCTTTGGTTTTCTGTTTTGGGGGTCTCTGGTTGCGTTGTCAGCTCAGTGTCTGAGAAGGCTGTGCGCCATATTTTGGGGGATTTCTGAAAGCACATCTATCCAAATACATCTAGATGTCCGCTCATCGATATCGAAACAAAAGCTAATCTACGTTTAGGAAGCGACGGAGAAGCCAAAGATTGGTACGTTCTTTTTCCCTCTGGATGGTCTTAGATACCTAGATGTGGACCACTTTCTAGGTTGAGTGGCCAACTGTAGACCTGGCTCTAACAGCACTCGTACTTATGGACAGAATATTCTGGTCAAATAACTAAATTTGCAATAATACGCTGACCATCTCTGCCTAAAGGATCCGCGTAGCAGAAAGTCTGCCCGGACGCTCGAACAAAGACTGTCGCAAAAGATGGAAAAACTCAGTCGTAGGAACCTTGAAGAAGGGGCAATGGTCCAAAAGTGAAGACACTCTCTTAGAGGAGGGAATCGAGCGCTATGGACAGAAATGGACGCTGGTAATAACACAGGATTCCGATGATGATAGTCTGATACTGACTGTTTTGATAGGTTGCAGATGTGGTCGCATCAAGATCTGCAGACCGTCCGTAGGCCGCTTTCCCATTGATGTCATGAGACTAATGAGACTCCAGAGTGCTCAAAGCGGTGGTCTCAATCTCTCGCGCCGTATATCGATCGCAGCGAGTGGCGAGAATCTGAGGTATGAGCGTGCTCGATTACCAGCTCCAACTACTTTGCTAAAATCATCAACAATAGGACGATCAATTGATCCAAGCTGTGCAAAAGTTTGGACGGCATTGGAAGGATATCAACCGCTACTACTTTCCTCGTCGTTCTAAGAACTCGATAAAGAATCGGTATCTTGCCCTTGTGAACTGTCTGTTCTCTTTCATGTGCTCATTTCATTCCCAGATACACAGTCCTGCTCCGTCGCTACCAAAACCAAGGCATTTCTCTATCGGAAGGACCTACTACATCAGATCCTGCATCACCTCAAGGGTTTGTCGATGATATGCCAACTGACGATGAAAGCCAATCTATCGCTACAAGTTCTTACGATGTGATACGTACACCGCGGACACAGGTCTCTACTCCGGAATCTCCTCCAACCTGGCCCATCATGAATCCCCCTTCGGCGGCAGCATGGTCAGCTCCAAATCCCTACGTGTCAAATAACCTATTACAAAGCCCGTCATCTATGTACTATCCCCCCACTCAGGTTACAAATGCAAATGTCGGCCCCTGGAATTGGTCTTCGGCTTCGCCCACAAATCCTCCTACCATGACTCACCCATTCGTTGACCCATACGCGCACGCACCCGAGGCCCAATACAGCCCTTACGGCAATCTCCCAAATGCATACGACAATTCAACGACACTTCCGCCGGCGATGAACTTCAACCAATCGTACAATTCCACGACACGGTCAATGGGCTCGTCGCAAGGTCCCCGCACCGCTCCATTCTATCAACCGGACGGAGCTGGTCCGTCTGCTGCGCGGTATGAACGATACGACGCGCATCCCGATCGCTCTTTTTACAGACATTGAATCAATAGACATTACACTGCTAGAGGACCTTTATCGACCAACCGTCGGGTCTCCCTCCACAAGGATTATATAAATAATACCACTTTGAGTGAAAGCGTTTTAGCGGGAAATATGGGTTTGCATTTACTATATCTCGATTTGAGTTCGTTTCTGGGACTTTTTCTTTAAATTTTCTATTTCCTTCTGTTCTTTCTGTTCTTGGAAGGTACAAAACCCCTAATGTTCTCTTACATAGTTTTCAATCGGTCCACGCCCCACCTGTTCAATCATTGCCTCTTACTTCCACTTACTACGCGAACTGTGGCAAAGACGGATCAAAACTCGCATTCCCTTCCTGTATTGGCAAATATCCTTCAGGTTCTACGACAGACTTGTAATCTCACAGTTTGTCATGAGTGCACAGTCCATTCATTATCACAACCAACCAATCTCACCCCATCGACTATGCAATTGATGCTGACGCTCCATCATCCAAATAGTGGATCAATGCAGACAAATCATAACCGTCAGCAATTTAAACGAAACCAACAAGCTCCACGTCTTTCCACAAACAGTCACTGATGGTTCCGTTGCACAAGGCCGAGACACCGTTGAGTATGCCCCAAAGGGAAATCACACATGTCATTGAACGGCGACACAAGGACTTTTGGGGGCCAATGTGACAATTGAAAAAACAAAAGCCCTGGTGCTGGTTGGCACACGCTTTCGCGTGATCCTTCTCGCTTCCCTCCATCCATACTAGACAGCGAGATGGATGGGGAACCCGTTGAACCAATCAGCCGAGCCTGTCCATCGTCTTACGGTCACAACCACGTTCACCGGTATATTTCGCTCGTGCGAACAAGGAAGCAAAGCCGCGCGACGCGCAAGCAATAGCTCAAGCACAAGCACAAAATGTAGGGCTGAGCACAAAGAAAATCTATATTGCAAATAAACGAAGTTCTTATGAGGCTGAGCGACCACATGGTGACCGACTTATTTAACTGGAATTGTGTCCCACGCTACAACCACTCCTTGTGGAAGTTATACCCCGGGATTGAGGCCAAGAGTTATAAGGCTAGAGGATGGGCCGCATTGCGTTCGTTGAACTGGATGCGAGGCTTACTCGGGCCGGTGCAGCGCCCTCGGTAATCTACGGAAAGAGGACTGTCGTTCACTTTGAGATAAGAGGCCGATCGCACGGGAGCCTAGGTCTTTCAACTTCCAGCACAGCATGTATGCACTGCGGGTTGCCTCCTCGTTGACCGGGCACTACACTGCAGCGTTGAAGCATGTTGTCTGCAACGTCCTTCGACAAGGACAAGTAGTCTCCAAAGCAGCGGTTGCTTCTGCAAATAGATATTTTCCGGTGAGGTGGGGGAGTTCGGAACCTCTGCCTTGGAATCAACCTTGGGCGAACGTGCATGTTACAATATGCATGCCACTCCATCGTCTGATGATACAGGAACACTTCCATCCTTCGGCCCCAGATAAGCCTGGCACCTGGGAACTGACGGTCTCGAGCTGACCGTTCCACTGATGATCGTCACTTGATCAGATGGCCGTTACGTGTAACGATTTGCTTATGTCTACTCCGCGGGACCGTCTGTGTCATTTCCATCCTTCCCACCACCGAGCGATTCTCTGTACTCTTCCCAGAGCGACTTGACATGCTTGCCACAACACTTCGACCAGAAATCCTCCTCCTCATACCTACAATGCTGCAACTCCTCATTGATCCTCCTCACGACATCCTCCCCATACTTCCCCTCTAACCACTCCAGAAAGTAACCCGTGCGCTCGTATCCCGAATCCCAATTCCCATCCGCGTGTCTCCTCCAGTGCGGAGGCCCCAACCCAGCCTTCAAACGAACCCAATCCGCAATCCCCTCGATGAGTCCCCCCGGCGCCGTACCAAGCGCGTTCCACTGCCAGCAATGCACCATCTCGTGCACGATGACGCCGCGCATCTCCTCTTTCAGCTTCCCCTCGGGGATGCTCTCGATGTAGTCGGTCGAGAAGTGGATTTCCTTGTGGTCGTCGTCGATGTCGAGGCCCGTCGTGTAGGCCACGCCGCCCATGCTGCGGAGGATGAGCGTCACGGAGCGGGTGGGCGGGATGCAGTGGGCTGGGCGGTGGGCGTAGAGACAGTGTAGGACGGTGTTGACGGCTTCTTGGAGGGCGGTCGAGGCGTGGAGGAGGCGGAGGAAGGATTGCGTGCCTGGGGAGGAGAGGTCGCGGAGTTCGAGGCGGAGGATGGGCTTGCGGGCGGGTTTTGCGTGAGGGCGATTGTAGTGTTGGGGGATTTGTTGGGGTTGGGGTTCGGGTTCGGTGGGGGCGGAGGATGGTGGTAAGGAGGAGGGTTGAGGGGGATGGGGGACTGGCGACATCGTTTGGAAGTAGGTAGGTGTTGCTGAAGAAGACATTGAGGGGTTGTGCTGGGCTTCCAATAGATCTAGATATGGGCTGTAGTTTAGAGAGGGATGGTGATCATTGCAGTGTTGTTGTTTGTGGAGTAGTTAGGTATGGGGTTCAAGCTGGAATGTTATCGATAGGCAGCCAGGCCAGACCTGGCCAGACGATAGGGCCAAGAGATATAGGGCTGATCCAAATGGCACGTCCAATCACTGAGTGAATCGGAACTAGAGACTGCATCTTGACAGTGTTGAATTCGTATCATTAAATTACGGAGCGTATAATGCTCTCTATAATATGCTGACTTGTTGAAGTCGTCTAGCTATATATAACGTTGCGAAGTGGCATCTACAAGTCGTTTCGCGGGGAGTGACTGCATGAGTCATCAACCAAGAGAAGAAGGACGGAGAAAGCGCTGCATCGGAATAGTGCAACGTCTATATGCTTAAGAGCTCTTGAAAACTTCTGGGAAAATAGTACGTAGCTCCTCGTGGCTTCGAATTTGATACTGTGAAACTCTGTGAAGGGGTTCGGGGTCTGCTGGGTCGAGCAAATGAGCCGTGTGCCATCCGCGCTCAGTTGCAGCTTTAGTGTTTATATATGAATCGTCTAAAAAGACCGTCAGTATGCTAGAGAACGTTTACTTCACCTGTATTAGGCTTGAACCATTGGTACTTACCGACAAAATAGCACTTATCGTTGGATTTGACGCCTGCCTCCGCCATTGCCTTTTCAAACATCTCCTTGTGAGGTTTGCAGTAGAATTTTTCAGAGCCATAGTCGCAGTAAGTAATTCCTTCAAAAAGATCATCGATCCCGAGCAGTTTGACCACACGCTTTCCATGAGTGATGTATGCATTGGTGAATAGCCACATGCGCACTTTACTCTTGTCGATATCTTCCAGTAGTTTGCGAAGTTCAGGATTAGGCTTGATGACTTCTTCCAGAGGCAATGCATCGTCGACTTTGGTGTTGTATTCAAGCGCATCGACCTTGTGATGGCGGACCAAGCCCTCAATGGCAAGACCATACTCTTTGTAGTATTTTAGGTGGAGAGCATTGGCGTCCGCCGTTGACAGAGATAGATGATCTTCAAAGTATTTGTCTGTGAACATTGAACCATCAGAAACATTCTATGCACTTTTCTCAGAATTGACAAGCCTTACCTATGAGATCAGACATCATATGCTGGATATTGGTACCTGCCGGATGAGTCAGAGACATTGTCTTGAGGGTTCAATTTTGGCAACGAACTTTTGGGATATAGCTACGATCTATCAGTTACCAAGTTTCCAGATACAAATTTTTCAGTCTGTCAAACATACACAGTTGTCAATATCAAAGAAAAAAACGGGCTTCTCTCCGTTCTCTGCCATGTTTACTATATTGCGGATTTCCAGACGCGCTCTTAGAGACGAGGGAATTGGCCAGAAAGAAGGCGACGGTGACTTAGGAATGAATGTACGAGTATTGCAATGTCTAAATAATGGTCCCCTCTGAAGTGACCGAAACATGGTACAAAGACTGCAGTCGTCACTGTTATTGCGGGCTTTGGAGCATTTTTGGCTAGCGCCTTGGCGTGGAGACTAACGCGCGCGCTTCTTCGGCACAAGTTACAACACAACACTTGAGATCCAACCCCTTCTTTTCACGATCTCGACGTCTCCCTCGACATGAGTTGCATTTGTATTTTGTAGAGCTCCATGTTCATGATTGACCAGTGTGTTCATCCGCTGTATTACTGACCTTAGGTTTTCCGCGACAAGTAGTCGACGCGCTGTCGCAGCGACCAATGTCGTCTTCAACTGCGGCTTCCGCGCCGTTTCTGAATGGCAACGCACCTTTTCATCCCGATTTCTTGCGCGAAGCCGCGTTTCTCGATAAGCTCCTTCAACTTCGCGATGAGGTCTATGCGGGCAAACATCCGCGCATCAAACTCCCAACCAGTGTACTAGAACAGGTTGTACCTCGTCCCACCCAGAAGACTCCACCTGTCGCCGCCAAACCGCCCACCGCCAACGGCATACCCAACGGGAGCGCATTTGTACATCCACTCCCTGCTCGCCCTGAAAACTCGGTGCAGGCCCATCACATTCCCAACGACTACAACCCACCTTCCCACCATGCCCCTCGACCTTTTCCTGCAAAGCATACTTCGTCTGGTATTGACCCGGTGTTGCTCACAAAGTCTGAACATCTGATCAGGGCTGAGCTGCAGCTCAAGCGACAACAGATCGAACGCTTGCTGAAAGACCAATTTGACAGACGAGGACGTGGCAATGACATACTGGCAGAGGATCGTGCTGCGCTTGATGTCGAGAGTATCTTGGCCAAGGCGCAAGCTCTGGTGAAGCCGATCTCTGGTTTGCCTGTAGTTCAGACTCGCGAAGGTAGCGAATCGTTCGACGAAAACTCTTACTACTCTAGCAAGGCTAACAGCTGGTCATCAGAGGAGGCTGATAACAAAGTATCAGATGCTGATGTAGCCGAAAACTCCACTTCACAGGCCCAGCGCTCTGCCAAAGGTGCCGAACTGACAGCAGTGAATCCCAAGCCCCCCAAAATCACTAGAGTAGCCCAGCCTGCTGTGATCGACCTAGATGACGAGCCCTATGAGCCTATGGATGATATTGAGCTGTATGAGCCTGAACCACCCACTAGGTTGCACGAGGATCAGGAAGAGTCTGATTATTCTCCACCACCTGCTGATGTCGGGCCAAGTCAACCAAACCGTGGACGACGCGATCGCGCTCCAAACAACGGTAATTCCAACGGGTAAGGCAACACATGATTCTTTCCTATCTGCCATTCACCTTCTATCCCTTCTGCCATCCTTCTGCCATCCTCCTTTCATACCCTCTGCCATTTCCTTGAACACTTTCCCTTTCACAAAAACTTCAATGTGTAGGTCTCAAGAAGCTCGATTACCACCATCGACCTATACGAGGATCGAGCTCTTCGACTACAAATACTATGGGGTATCATGTCGAGAAATAACATACTGATGTATTGAGAAGATCATCTAGGCAACAGAGCCCGTCAGGGAATCCCGCTCCTATCCAGAATTCACGCAAGCGGAGGAGGGATGAACGGCGGGAGGAGAAGCGTCGACAACAGGCAAATAAGCGTGTAGTTCGTTCCCCAGAACCATACATTAAAGAAGAGCCACAGTCTCCCCCTCCCTTCGCCAGTTATTCCGACTCACAACCTAGCAAGCGCAGAGCTCTACAACCCGTACCGAACGTGGAGGCGACTTCACCCAACGATGGAAGACCACAGCCTATCTACTACAGAGATGGAGACCAATCACCACGATTCTACCGAGCTCAAGAGGAACCACCTTCTCCAACAGTCATTCGTGTGCCCCAGCGACGGGACGATCAAGATCTTCGGCGCGTGGCCAGCCTTCAGTATGCTCGACGACCATATTCACCTTTAGGAGAGCAGCATCCGGTACCGGAGTCCCATCAAATCCGTGCGGCATCGCACGCGTTTGCAGAGCGTCCCGTGGAACATTTGTACCGAGAAGTGTCAGCTCGGCCATCGGCGGCACCGCGCTATGTACGGGAACATTCAAGGTCCCCCATTCACGAATACCTATCGGGACCACAATCACCAAGTACCATGGCTCCACCCCCTCCTCGCAAGATCGTGGTTGATCAGTATGGCAACAAGTATTATGCTGCGCCAGTTGACATAAGGGAGTCTGCAGCTCCGCCCACCAGGCGAATGGAAGCCGAACCCTTCTACGAACGCGCAGCAACCCGCGAACCCACCGTGCGCGCCCCCATTCGACAGGACATTTATGGAGAGGAACAGGTGCATAGAATGCCCCCACCCCCACCTCGGAGATATGTTGAGGCATCGGATGCCGAACCGCTGGAACCCCGATCTTACCGCATTCGTGAAGCCTCACATCGCCCCGTGGAGGTAGTTGAGCGACGTCCCATTGTGCAGTATGAAGAGATGGGACCACCGCGCGAGTACATGCCTTCGCGAGCGTACAGCATGCGCCCTGAAGGCGTACGACGGGAGCCGCTCGAGTACGCACCTGCGCGACATGAGAGCGTGCAGCCCGGGTTCATGGGAGTCGCAGCACCCCGTTATCGTGAGGTCAGCGTGATTCAAGAGCCGTATGATGATCGACGTTTCACATACGCTGCGCCGGCACGGGTTCCCGCCCCAGTTGGCTTGCGATATGTGGAAGAACCAGCAACGGAGGGATTGATCGATGCACCAGGAGATCTGTACGGCGGTGCAGAACCACGGCGAGTGAGCTATCGCTACTAGGTAACACTGTTCTTGTAATTTTCAAACAAAAGTAATTGGAGGAAGCTGGCGATCCTCGTTGGGTTAATTTGGAGTAGGATTTGGTTGTTCTGGGGTAAGCAAAACCTCTTGAATTGCAAAAGATTGATTGAATGGTCAAAGGCCCAAGTTGGACACCTAACCATCTGTCATGAGCATTAAGGAGAGCTCCCACCGGTCAACCCACATTGAATGTACCATATGTAGTCACAAGTATAATAGAGAAACCATCAAAAGCCTCTGTATTATAACTGTCATCACCAAATCAATGCCACCCGTGTGACCGAATGTGAGATTCTCGAGCAGTAACGATTGAAGCTCATGGAGACCTCGTTGATATGCTTGTCTGCTTTTTCTTCTCCTGTGCGAAAATGCTGTTTTGCAGCCAGGAGACGTACACTTTTGGCCCATGGTCAATCGACAAGATGCAGGATCTCGACCCAGCGAGCGAATTACTGTACTTGGGTATCACTCATAGAACCCTCAATTGAACCTCACGAGCACTTGAATCAACAACAAACCCAAACTCCCCCTCTTCCCAATCCCGTCCACATCTCCCCAGTACTAAACACTCGAACAACCTCCCCTACGTAACGAACCCCCGTAGTCCCCTCCCAGCCTTAGCATCTCGGAAGACGGCTGCACACCCCTCCGCGCGCGAGCGATACGCCCCAATACGCGCAATCAACCGGGCCTCCACATCCAGCCTAGCCCTGTCCGGCCTTAACCTCCCCTCCCTCAAGCTGAACGAACCTGTGCCATACATACCTAGGTTTGTATGTATGCATATGCATTATTGTCCGCCCTGTGGAGCTGCTGCTCGTCGTCGATCTGAACTATAACGATAACCATCAATCAATCAATCGACCAGATCCCTGGACGTAGGGTAGGTAGTGTATTAGGGCGTCTGTAATTAGGTGCATTACGCAATTCGTCAACTATTGAATATCTACCTAGAGCGGTTACTCGATGGTATGGTATAATTACGACGTATGTACGTTGAGCACGGATGGACTAACTACCCAGGCCAGGTACCTAACCCAGGTAGTTACTGGGACGTGCGATGTTGATGCTTTTTTGCACAGCCTTACGCTACAGAACGCTTTGATCTCGTCCCCAGGCCGAGTCCAGGCAGGTGTACGAGGGGGGGTTTGGTGTTTCTAGGTGTCTAGGTAGGTAGGTACAGACGCTCGGGACGGGTCGGTCGCCAACGTTGGGTGACGGACGTATGTGGGTAGCTACCTAAGTATGATTTTGTTGACGCGGCGGCGGATCAGGGGGGCCAGGGGGGACTTGAAAGGGAGCGGCCGGTTTGATTTGCAGTGCGGTTCTGCGGTTTAGGTAGGCAGTTTACTTGGGAATGGATGAGTTTTGTTGTTGTTTGTTTTTCTATTTTTACTCGGGGGTAAGAGGGTTGATAAGGGGAGAGGGAGAGGGAGAGGAGAAGTTGATCGATGCAAGGTGTAGGTACATACACGTTAGACTTTCAACACGATGTACGGAGGACGCGGGAAAGGTAGAAAGGCAATTGGTGGGTGTGTTTACCCTCCTGTCCAACGTGTTTTTTACCCTTTACGTGGTGGTGGTTCGTTCGACGTGAGATGCGGTGATGATGATGCTTACTTGCTTTCCCGCGTGCGGAGTTTAGAGCCGTGTGACGGGAGAGGAGAAGAGGGGAGGAATTGGGCCTTACGGCAACTTCCTGTCTGGGGAATGAGGTACGCAGTTTACGGCCCTTTCAGAGCTGAAGTCATTGTTATTATTAGTAGTAGTTATTGGTGAATGGTTAATGAGTAATGGTCTACGTAGGTCGTTTCATGGTTCACGTAGCTATTCATGGTCAGTTAGCTGTTGAGGAAGAACAACTGAGAAAGCAGTTGAGTCGTGCGATCTGTCGGCGGTGGTGCCGAGTCAACAAGCTTTTTGGACAGGGCCGAGCGGCAACCAGCATACTCGTAGCAACGTAAGAGACGGTATGAGCATGTGCCACGAGCATGAGCATGAGCATGCAGATGCAATATGGGTGCATTGTCATAGGAGGGCAACGGAATGGGGCGGTAGCAATGCAGGGGGTGAGTTTAGGGAGGGAGAGAGGTATGGCTGGATTTTTCTGCAATAATGTAGGGCGTTTGTTTGCGGAATGAATGGGGAGTATCGATTCCCTAATCCCTAATCCCTATGAATGGAATAAGGGGGGTGGGTGAGACGGAGGTGGGCAGGGGAGTCCTACCAACATGACCGTCGACGTCGATGTGTATCTCTATGTGATGCAGGACATGTCCCGGGTAAGTACAAGTGGGTGTCTTAACGCCTTGAAGAGTAGCAGGAGAGTGGAAGAGAGACAAAATGGACAGAAACAGCTGTTGTGGATGTGGTGGTGGTCAAACAGGTACGGTTGCAGTATCGAAACTGTTTTTATTGTGTGAAACGGAGAATGGGTGGGGCTTATCTCGGAGTAGATGAGATGGGGTACTCGGGCAGTTCGTGTAGAAGAAGCGCTGGAGATCTAGCTGTGGAATAGAGAGATGTATGAGTAGGGAAGTGTTGATGTGGATAGTATTTCTTTAGATATAATAATCGTCACTTGCAATGTCTTCATCATGGAAGCTGTAGATTACTAGTGGTAATAAAAAGCTAAGTAGAGGGTACTCGGTAGGTGGGGTTTACCAATACATAGTTACAACTTACAAGAAGCCTATGGTCATCCCGTCCAGTTAAAATCCCAACAAGACGGCAAGCGAATAGCCAATCCTTACAAGTACAAGTACCCCGATGCAGCGGAAAACGAGTTGTCTTTCCCTTGCTCTTAGAGATTCACAGTTGTGCCGTGTAGGTATCAGTTACATATGAGATACTTTGATGCTCCGAATAGATCAGCAGCAAAAGCCAAAACATCATACGAACATATATGGTCATGATGGACGGATGTTGTAGGATGAAGATGAAATCTGAATCCATCATCGTCACTGTACTCATAGGTAGAACGACTCACTAGTTATAGGGTTCGGAGTAAGATGTGGTAAGATACTTTGTGTTAGTCATATGCTTGTAGTGTAAGGTATGAGGAGAGAACCCGGGCGCGGCCAAGGAAAGTTGGCCAGTTCCAGTCCAGTTCCAGTCCAGTTCCCAGTCCCAAGTCAGTTCTAGTTGTCGAATCCCCCCCAGTAATCCGGCTAACTTACTGACTGGCTGGCTGGCTGGCTACTCACCTACTATTAGTATTACCTGACCTGGTAGGCTGGGCTGGCTGGTTCTAAACGGATTGCTGCTAGTCACTTGTGTAGTCTAGTCGAGGTTATTACTGACTACCCTACCACCTTCAACCTCAACCTCGACCTCTTTCCTCTTCCCTCCCTCTCCCTCCCTCCCCCCGCCCATCACCTCCCCAAGCCCGATCCATCACGAGGGCTTCCCCCATACTAACCCCGTCATGCACAAAATATCAAACTTCACCGGCCAGGCACGTCACGGCTGGGAGAAGATGACCCCCTCCGCCGGCTTTTCATTTTCCTCCTCGAGAACCCACGATCTGAACGTCACAACCGCGCCCATAAAACGTCCCTCGACCGCAAATGCCGCCCCGCCCGTCATTCCTCCCGGCACACAGGTCAATCTGTCCTTCAATGTCCCCTTCTCCTCCACTCTGCCTGGTCCCGATGTCGACGACATCATGTATGCCAGCCCGGGGGCAAAGGCTCGCTGGATACATCCGGAAGGCACGGCTACGGCTACGGCTGCGGCTGACGCTGTTCCACCACCACACAAATTGCCCGTACACGCTCAGAATGTCGAAAACCTCCGCAACTTCTGCAAGGACATTACCGACTCGAGCGATGGCCGCCTCGCTGCCACCGTCGTCTCTGCCGAGTCCAAGCCCTTGCCCGGTTTACAGCGGGGTCCCCTACGGGCCTTGGTCACAAATGTCTGCTTGTCAGGAGAGCTCGAGATCGTGAATCAGATGCGCTGCAAGATCCTCAACTCGACGCCCATCTCAATGGTAGGCCTTCCAGCTTGACAGTCACAGAGCATCGAGGTCGATCAGAATTAGAATCAGATCACTAACCTTTGCCGTAGCGCTCCTCATTCGTCGATATCGATTCCGATCTCATCATCGATAGAGCCTCGCAGAACCTCAAGGCACCCGTGTTGTCTCAGCTCGATCTCATTGCAAAGTCCACCAAGGCCGACATTTTCGTCTTGATGCCGAAGCAGCCTGATATCGAGTCCGCCAGCTTCAATGGCAATCTCGAGACCGGAGTCGACTCGCGACTACGCTGTGCAATCTACGGCGACATGGAGACCATGGAACACGCGAAGACGCGTGTCTTGATCATGATCGACCAGATCGTAAGTTCTTTTGCCCCGCAGCTGATAGCTGATTGCACTAGCGCACAAACTAATTTGATCAATAGCTCAAGAGGCTTGTGGACTCGATGAGGCTCGAGCTAACCATGCATACCTTGATCTGCGGACGAGGACGTAAGAACATCAAATTGATCGAGTCCGCTACTGGGACAGCCATTTACTTCCCGCCGCCGTTCCCGCGTCTGTACAACTATACGCCCCCAGGTGCCACTCGCCGACCAGAGGACCAGATCTTCATCACTGGCGAGAACCAGGAGAGTATCTTGCTCGCAAAGCGCAGGCTTCAAGAGTTGGTTGTCAACACCAAGGTCTTCGTCAAGCCCGTCATGGTGACAGACACGAAATTGGACGCCATTCTGCTCGAGCGCCTTGATAAGGTCCGCAAGATCATTGAGACCAATGGATCGTACATTCTCATGCCTCCGTTGGGAATGCAGCGCGGTGTTGTTCGCGTCCAAGGCACAGACGTCTTGCATGTCGAGCGCACCGTGCGTGAATTGATGGCCCTCGTAAGTTTTTCCAGGCCTCTCTCAATCTCTATTTTCCATACTAATCGCAACAGGCTGGTCAATTCTACAGTGCCTCGTGGTTCATTACTCATCCGGACCCTACTCAGCGCCCGCCTACTCCAGCTGATGTTCGCGCCATGTTGTCCGATATTTGCATCAATTCCGGTGCAGAGATCAGCTTCGAGAAGCTCAACTTCCATATTTACGGATCCGATGACGCTGTCAAGGCTGCCATGATGGTCATCAACAACATCCCATTCGTGAAGAAGTCTCAGTACAATATGAGTGTCAAGATCGAGCTTGCTAATGAGCATAAAGAGTTTGTGAGCGGCAAGAAGAATGGAAAGATCAACAAGATCATGAGCCATAGCAGCGTCCAGATTGTCTTCGACGGTTTCAACGAGTACAACTTCTACATCGTCGTCCGTGGCGCCCAATACGATGCAACCAAGAGCGGCCTTGATCTCGTCGAGCAGGAAATGCCTGCCGCCATCTCGTTCCACGTCCCAGACCAGTACCACAAGCGCATCATTGGTATCGGCGGCCAGCATATCCAGCGTATCATGAAGAAATACTCCGTGTTCGTCAAGTTCTCCAACGCCATGGATCGTGGGGGCTTCGGTAAAGAGGAAGATGATATTAAGGTTGATAATGTCATCTGCCGCACGCCAGCTCGCAATGCCCAGAATCTTGACCTCGTCAAGCAAGAGATCATGGATATGGTTGAGAAGGCCGACGCGGAGTTCGTGAGCGAGACAATCAACATCAACCGCCTCTACCACCGTGAATTGATCGCCCGCATGGACAAGATTGATGAGTTGGAGAAGAAGTTCAACTGCAAGATTACCTTCCCGAGCACGGAAGAAGCAAGCGATATTGTTACTGTCTCTGGCCCTGAGTACCAGGTGCCTTTGGCAGTTGACGAGTTCTTGGTACGCGCCTGCAATAGTTTTGGATTCTTAGACGACATGCTAACTGTATACAGGGAATGGTCCCCGAGGCACATGATCTTTCTTTCCCTGTCTCCACCGAGCTCGGCGAGCATATGCGATCTCCTGAGTTCAAGACTGATATCCTTGACAAGCTGAAAGATCAGCACGTTGTCGAGGCTCACTTGGGAGAGCCTCAGAAGGAGACGGTCGATGACAAAGAACAACAGATCGAAACCATCCATCTGAGCTTCACCAGGAACAATGCTGGCGGGCTCAAGGATGCCCTTGACTTCCTCATCAACCACTTGGTTATGCACGGGCTTGATACCAACACCATCCGTGGCGCTCTGCCCCGCCCCAAGTCCGACTCTTTCGAAGACTCGCTTCCCTTCTTCGAGTCCAAGCTCCTCCAACAAGCCCAACCCCTGGTCGAGAGTACCGACTCTCCCACTCGCTCTCACTTCGGTGATAGTGAGGAGCGACCCGCTGCAGGCATGTTGGATCGTCTCCGCAAGCCTGGTAGCATGTCCTCTTTCACCTCGATCTTCAATGGTCGAAAGAACGGATCCAACTCTCCCGGATCCTTGTTCAAGCATGCTTCCAGCAATGCTTCCAAAGCCTCTCTTGCTAGTCTCGAGTCTCAGGGAAGCGGCTATCGTAACCCCTGGAATGACAGTGGCATTAATCTTGCTGACGACGAGCACCACACCAATGGTTGGTCCATGCCAACCCCTCGTTTCGAGAGCAAGTTTCCTTTCGGTTCCCATTCGGCGGCGTCTGGGGATATAACCCCTAGGTACGACCCGCGGGGCTCCGTCGACAGCGGACGTCCCAGTACTTCTCATTCTGCATCTGGATACCCGGCCCCTATTGGGCCTCCTCGTTAAAACGATACACCATTTCCCACTTGATATACCCGGTTATGACGAAACAATACCCCCTCCGGTGCTATGCGACGAACTATACCAAAAAGAATTATACCCCACATGGCGAAAGTTCAAAAGCCTCCGGCTGTTTTGCGCAATGCTGTTTTACGTTGTTTTCCCTTCTTTTCCGTGTTTTCCTGCTTCTTCAGTTTGGCTTGGTTCTAGTTTTCTGTTTTCTTGTTCGTCTCTCTCTTGCCTTTATTTGAGGGCGTTCCTTTGAAATGATTCCCCCGGCGCAAAGAATATACCAATTTGCTGCTTTGTGGTTCTGCACCTTCGTCTGCATGGTCTTGACTCCGTGACCGGAAGGATAGTGCTAGTGACCGTGTTGCAGTGACCTCTTTCTCTCTCTCCTCTCTACTTCCTGTATCCTTCCGTACTGTGTAATGTCAAACCTCTCACGACTATAACGCAACGACCCGGTGGCGGAGAGTCTGAAGTTGGTACTGTGTGCACGGCTGTGTTTGGAAATATACCTAAAATCTACAATAGAGCAACAATACCCGAAATGATCATTTCCATCTTGCGTAATGTGCCTGACTGACAAATATATGTGGAATGCTGCTAGGGAGGCACGTCCCCATTTTTTGTAAGAGGTGAATGTCGGCGATAAATAGCTTAGTTCCGAAGGTCGCGACCCCAAATTAGTGAGCTCATAATAGTTCGATGTTGCGCAGAGCTAACTGCGTTCCCGCAATCACCACAACCTCTAGGGTAACCAATTGCTATCACAATGGCTTCCAGACGTGCAATTCAGACCTTGACTCTACGGTCTTCATACTCACTACTCCGATCACAATGCACTGCACCCCGGCGAGCAACCCCCTCCATCGTTGCAGCTCGGAATGGGTTCGCCAGACCCTCAGTCGCAACGGCAGCGGGACAACAGCAGCGATGGCACTCTGGCTTCCCCAGCGACAAGAGAAGCAAGATGTATGAGTTCGAAGACGTATGTACTCACCACCACCAACTTCTTACCCATCACCACTTTCCCTCTATCCCCTCCATCGACCCCGCCACCCGATCACCCGATACCCTCCATCACCCCCTCTATACAACCAAAGCTAACCCGCTCGCCCGCTTCCACCCACAGATCAAACAACTAATCGAGAACCCGAACGAAAACACGCTGCTGGTCGACGTGCGGGAGCCCAGCGAGTTCGACGCCAACTCGATCCCGACCGCGCTCAACATCCCCATCGCCTCGCAGCCGGACTCGTTGCTGCTGCCCGCAGAGGAGTTCGAGGACCGCTACGGCTTCGCGAAGCCCCCGCTCGACAAGGAGATCGTGTTCTTCTGCAAGGCGGGCGTGCGGAGCAGCGCGGCGGCGCAGATCGCGAAGCAGGGTGGGTATCTGAATGTGGGAGAGTACCGGGGCAGCTGGTTGGATTGGGAGAAGAGGGGTGGGGTTGGGACGAGGACGGGGCCGCCTGAGTAGTGGGTGAGGATGCTGCTGCGACGATGGAGGAGAGAAGAGGGAAGAGAGATCAAAGAATGATATGGCATGAGGGAATTGGGGAGAGGAGGAGAGACGATGTTGGGGGGGATGTAGGATGGATCAGGTAGTGGGGCTATGGAGACGGTAGCACTGGCTTTATGTGTGAGAGACACTTTCTGGGTGGCTTTTTGTGTTTCGTTGTCAAGGCGATAACTAGGTGGTGGCAGGCATATATGGCTCAGGGGCTTGTATGAATTGTACGAATCTATACGGTTTTTTTCATGTGGATGATTCTGGGGTGACAGGACTGGGCAGCATATGTCGCGCAACATCAAGTGAGCTAGGTGCATGCTGAGGGAATTAACAGTGACTGTCAAGCCATGGCGATCTAGATCTACGCGGTTCAGCAATGGCGAAAGTTCGCCGGTTCCATAGACCACAAGATAGTTGAGAATGTAGGGGTGTGAATTACATGATTCTACACCATCATCAAAAGTCCAGGTTCTAGCTATCCCAGTCTGACCCCGCTTTGTGAAGCCCTGGGTTTAGTATACTACTATTCTCCCAAGCGCCTCTTACCAGCTGCTTCTTAAAAGATACTGAGACACTGATGAATGGTTTGGAAGTTTCTGGAAAAGAAATTGTGGAAGAAGAAAAATAAGATGTGAGATATGTGCAAATACAGTTGCCTAGAAATCTCGCGACCTGCATCGAACCGCCAATGACCCCCGTGTCTTCCCCTCTCTGCTGGTAGGGGCCACCACCAGAACCACCCACTATGACAGCACATAGGCATGGGCAGAATTTACTCTTACACAGTAAGGTTAAACCATGACTGGCACATACCATACTGATTCGGTCCAAAGAGAAGCGATAAGATGATCCTGTTCGCGAGCGCACGGAGATGAAAATGTTCACTGTGTTTATTGCCTTTTATTTTTGTTTCACAGCGTAAGGAGGCGGCTTGCTATCATTGCCTTTAGTTACTAGTGAGACGCAGTGCGGCGTTGTGAAGCAAAGGATAGGATGGGAGAGGTGCGTAGTTAGAAGTTAGGGCGTGTTTTAGTGGGTGGGTTAGTGTGTGTTTTGTTATGTTTTCCGTCGCCAAGGGGGCCTGCACAGTTACTGCGGAGTTGGGAGCGGGTGGGCTCAAACAAACACATACACATACACACACACACACATACACCCCCCCCCCCAAAAGACTAACCACCACCACAACAACGCCAACCACAATACACCAACTTACTCTCTTTACATTATCGACCTCCCCTCCTACTCCTCTCTCCTCCTGATGCTCCTCATGTACCCCGCGTCCCCTATTCTCTCACCACAATAGACCTCCTGTCTTCCTCCAGTACAATGGAGGCGCAATCTGCCGCCCTCCTTGCGGCCCTCAAGAAGCCCTCCACCGTCGTTGACCAGAAATTAGAACTGTTCAATGTCCTTAAGTCCGGCATTAAACACAATCGCGTCCCCGACGACAGCCAGGCTACCATAGTCGAATGCATTCGCATTGCCATCAGCACCACCACTTCTGCCTCCCTCGTTTCGGCTGCCTTCTCCACCCTCAGCCATCTAATCAAGCGTCTGGCTCTCCAGAACCAGACCAGCACTATCACATCCCAGTTCCATATCATACTGCCTATACTCCTGGAGCGGTTCGGCGATGCGCGTGAAAGCCACCGCCATGCTGCCTCTCAGATCCTCTCAGATCTCTGGCCGCTGAGCCATACTGAGATAGAAACACTCGTTCGCGAGAATGCCATGAAAGGGACCAACCCACGCGCCAAAGAAGCATCCATGCAATGGGTCGTCAAGGTCCGTCATGCTTCTGTGGTCCGCCTGCGATTGTGACAATCATCTAACATGTATTGCCTGTGCTAGATGAACAAGAACGAACAACTCCCCTTCCGCGCCTACGTTCCCCTGCTCGTTGCCAATCTCGAGGATGCCGACGCAGGCGTTCGCGAGACTGCAAAGACCTCCGTAGTGGAACTGTTCCGGTGCGCATTTGCCATCCCCGAGCGACTCCGTCAATAACAGCTTGGCTAATGAATAAACGTAGTAATGCGCCCGAGCACGGAAAGGCGAATCTAAAGAAACAGCTCGTACACTTCAACGTTCGCAAAACCATAGCTAACTACATAATATCACACCTCGAGGAATCGCCCGAGGCAGAGATGCCACCTCCTCCTGCGCCGGCGCCCACAGCGCGCCCCATCTCCGCAGCGCGAGCCCAGTCGCTACAGCCAGATACCGGATTTGCCGACAGCATGTTGTCGGAGATAGCACCGCCAGCGGAGGTCATTAGCATGGATGCTCTTCACATTTATACCCAGAGGGAGCTGGATGACATTTTCAGGGATATGGCACCGCATTTTGAAGGGAAAGAGTCGGAGCAGAACTGGATGGCAAGAGACAAGAGTGTTTTGAAGCTTCGGAGGATTACCAAGGGAAATGCGCCCACGGAATTTCACTATCCTTTCATATCAGGTATCAAATCGCTTCTGGACGGTATCTTGAAAGTTGCGAATACCCTGCGAACGACCATGGCTACGAACGGCTGTCAACTGGTCCAGGAACTTGCGAAGACTCTGGGTCCTGCCATGGACCCATGGGTGGAGATCCTGTTACAGAGTTTCATCAAGATGTGCGCAGCGACCAAGAACATCGCCGCACAGAACGGTAGCACCACAGTGGAGGCCATTATCTCGAATGTCTCCTACACCCACCGCATCATGCAACATGTTGCCTTTGCCTCCCAGGATAAGAACGTACAACCTCGTACACACTCAGCAAATTGGGTCAAGACTCTGATCCGCAAACACAAGGCACACATTGAACACTCCGGAGGCCTGGAACAGGTGGAAAAGATCCTCAAGAAGGGGCTGACAGATGCTAACCCGAAAGTAAGAGAGTCTTTCAGGAGCACTTACTGGACGTTTGCACTGGTGTGGCCCCAAAAGGCAGAGGCGTAAGTATTTTGATATCACCACATTGAAAACCGTCACTAAAAATAGTAGCATCTACGAGACGCTCGAGAAGAGAGAGAAGAACGGCCTCGACAAAGACCCCAACAACCCCAATGCTTCCCTCGCCTCATCGCAAAGTACCGCTCCCTCCTCGTTCTCGAAATCAGTCGGAGCAGGCGGCGGTGCAGCTCGAAGTACCTTGAAGGAGAAGATTGCGGAGCAAAGAAGGGCCAAGTTGGCTGCTACCAAAGGACTTCCGGACCGTCCCAATTCCGCTCAGGCAGCTTACACACCTGCGAAGTCGCAATCATCACGGTCACTAGGTCCACGGACTAATTCGAATACTTCAGTCACGTCATCTGGCAACAGGCCTCCTTCGGCCTTGGGAGGCACGACAAAATCGGCCGTGGGTTCGAACTCGTCAGGCTCACTTCTTGGAGGAACCGTCCGACGACCAACGCGTCCTCGGCCAGAATTGACTCGTCCAGCAACCGCAGATCCTTATGCCAGCCGGCGGGTTGCAAAAACGACGACACCTTCCATGACACCCGAAAAGACGCCTGCTGCTGCAACCACGAAGAAATCTACTGTTGCTAAGAGCACAGCCAGATCTCGAGCGAATACTCAAAACAGCCCGAACATCAGCCCCATCCGGAGTAAATCCAGGTTAGGGGAAGCCGGACCCACGCATCGCAAGACACCTAGTGGGAGCTCGCGACATGGAAGTCCAGCTGTAGGTTCTGGTAAGGACGAAGACCTAACATTGGTGAAGCCATTCGTCCGGTCACAGAGTCATCACGAGCCAAGTAGTATCCCGTTCAGGCAACGAGTCGGTATGGAACAGCCGACCAATGTGGACAGTGACGTTGATATGGGCGATGACGACAACTTCACCATGGTCATTCCAAATCTCGCACGCCCTGCAGACCACCCTGCCCTGCGTAGTCCTCCAAAACCCAGCCCTTCACCCGGCCGGTTAGCCGCCGATAGTCCTCGACTGGGCGCACTCAAGAGTCCTAGGTCCATGGGAGACATTGGTACAGCCCTGGGTACGCGCAGCCCTCGTATGAGGTCGCCGGATCGCCCCAGCACGCGCGGCACTGATACACAAGAGGAGGTCCAGGTCTACGAAGATCCATTCGTTGGCGATGAGCCTGTCAGTTCATCACAGGACTCGGGCAAGCCCGTATTGGAAGAGCTGCCACTGAATGAGAAGAGCATTGACCGCAGACAGAGCACAGAGAGTTCTGACAGCAACACGATCATGGGCAATGGCTCAGAAGAGCAGTTCCGGGGCCATCACAAGACGACTTCCACCGGAAGCGTAATGCATTCGGAGTCGACTGAAAGCAACCGCGCTGAAGTCATGAAGAACAAGCAGCTACTTGTGAGCGGGATCAACAAGATCAGGACCCGCACTGTCGAGGCACACATGTTCCGCCGCCTCCAGGACATGATCAAGTCTAACCAGGACATCTGGGGGATTGATGATGAGAAGTTTGGCGAGCTGCTTTTGGCATCGCTCGAGTACCTTGAGGCGCCGGCTGAGTCGCTGAAGACGTCTGCGATGAAGGCAGCTAATCTGAAGGTCCAAGCCCTAGCGACCATCCGCGCCATGCTGTCACTGTACCGTAAGGAGACGGCTCGATACTTCTCGCGTGTCCTCTGCTCGGTCCTACGAACGAAAGGGCAATATGAGAACACATCTCACATCGCCATCGACCTCGAGGCAACCGCAGACGAGATTGTCAAGTACGGCCAGACATCCGACTGTCTCGACGCTGTCCTCCTCCTCGTAGAGGAAGCACCCATATCCACCCCAACCTCCTCTCCCAAGTCCAAATCCTCCGAGAATTCCGTCGCCCCCGTCTCCAACCGCACCATGACGATGGCCCTCACCACGCTCTCCACCCTGATCCAAATCTCCGGCGCAAAGAACGTCGCACTCACGCCCGAACAGACCGCCCGCCTAGGCAAGCTCGCCGTCCGCTGCCTCGAAGACACCGACCCAGACGTCCGCAAGGCCGATGTTGAAGTCTGCGTCTCGCTGCACGAGAGGATCGGCGGCGAGAAGGAGGCATTCTGGAAGGCGGTCGCGGGCGCCAGAGAACAGCACTTGAACCTTCTGACATACTATCTTGCAAAGAGAATGAGGGCGTGAAGAAGCATGTCCCGCCTTCAACATTGCATTTTGTTTTTGCTTCTTCTTTTACTTCTGATTCTGGGGGGCCGGGCGCTTGTTTTTTCTTCTTGGAGGAGGGGAAAACCTCCCGGGTCTTGCTTTGGCAGGGGCAGACTCGAAGTGTATAGGGATATAAACCTGGCGTTTTTCTTTTCATGGTTTTCCTTTCCCCATCGAATAAAACTGGTGGGAAGAGGGCGGAGCAGGGAGTCACAGGCAAACCTTTTCTTCTCCCTTCTTCTCTTTCAAATATCAAATCTTCACAGTTCGTCTTTTTCTCATTCTATCCAATTGTTGAAAAAGGACTTGCTTCTATCCTACTTACTCGCAAGCTTACCTGTGCCCCCTACCCCCATTTTCTCCTTGAGCTTACACTTCGTTGATACTCTCTGTATAGTCGTCAACTTCACTCCCTTTGCCTGTGATCTTTCTTCATACCCTTCTAACTCTATGGGGGTGGGGGTTTTCTTTACAGTGTGAATTAATAGGGTAGGCGGCGGGGGTATAGTTATATATCTTTTGTAATCTATGAAACACCAGTTTATAATGTAATTTCTCAGGCTTGGTTGTGGAATCTTTCCAACTTGTCACTGTCTGATGGGCTCCAGTGACTCAGCGGGATGGGAAGTCCCAACGGCCATCACTAGTGTACATTGACGTTGATAGGACAGGAGGAGAGGGATGTTGGATTGAGGTAATTAATCACTTTAGCATGACATCCAATGCTGCACGCTATAACGAAATAGGCTTGCTTGATCAACAGCCCATCTCACAGGATAAGACACTGGCTAATTACTTCCGGGCTTGTCTTGCGTTGAGGAGCAGACGAAGAGGAGGGGAGGGGTCGAGTCCATTCAGATGTCACCCCCGCGGAGCAAACCTCCGATCGATCGGTCATCCCATGCTTGCTTTGCCTGCATTCTACGAGGTACTGCCTACCCGAGACATTGTCAAATCTTCAGTCATCATCTTTACGTTCTCCCCAACGAGATCAGCATGTCGTTTTGGACTAATCAATTCGACTTGTCGTCTTGTGATTGGACCGGGGTCCACTCCTCAGGATGGTTGTGATGGCGTATCACGCATGTATGGGCAGTTATCGTGAGCTTGGAGGTCGCTTGGAGGAGGGGCGGGATGAGTGGTTTTGATCAATTGACGGGAGCGTCGAATCGGAAGTTGGGTATTGAGCATACGTAGTGGAGAAATGCGTCACGTAGGTAACTCGGAATTGTCTAGTGATAGTGATGGCTGGCTACTGGACCGTACCGTGTTGTACCGCACTGCGTACCAATGTACTCGTACCCCGCCTGAGCTAGACGTTCTTGTGGTGGGGGTTCGGAGGGGCATCAACAAGACCTTTGACCCAATTGACTGTCAAGTGAGTGAGTGAGTAATTACTGGATCCAACGTATATAAAAAGGCTCTTACAGCCCCTCATTCCTCTTGTTCTTTTCTCTTCTTCTTTTCCACCATCCCCGTACGACATCGTTCCAGTTCCATCAATTGCAATCGGAAATCGCTAGGACAGTTGCTATATAAACTTTTTCGTACTCATCCACCCCTTTCCTTTTACCAACTGTGTAAATGGCTGTTGGAGAGGACTGCTAACCACCCACATAGGAACCCAAAAAAGTAAAAAACCCGCGTCCTTGCACAAAATCATGTAGTCGCATGATGTGAACCCAACGCGGGGTGGTTGCGTCCAAGGGCATTCAAGTTTTTTCGAACGTTCAAGGTATATCTTCAAAATGAAAATAAGTATACTGAGCTTCATGAACCGGTGTTCGTTTCCACGTTCGCTCCCCTTCCCCCCCACCGAACCGAAGACCCTGTCCGACGAAATCGCCATTTCAATGGGTCAGGGGGGAACGGGAGCACTGGATTCGTTCTGAGATTATACGGTGACAACTTGACCTGGATTCAAAACCAGCGGAAGGATCATGCTTCTCTAATCCCCCTCCCTCCCCCCTTTCCTTTCCACCGTCCGCGGTGGGACGATGTAGGGCAAACTTAACTGTTTTGCAGAACTTGAATAACCCGAACTCACAACTCCCCGTGACGGAAAATTGAAAATATGTCTCCTCCTGCTGCTACCTACGACATCCCAACCTCGACTACCGCTGGCAATGGCCTGTCCGTCAAGAAGGACCTCGGCGTCAAGCCTGCTGCGTTCAATGGGCAGAGCAAGACTCTGGCTGAGTTGGAGGATAAGTGGGAGTCGTTCACTTTCGCTCCCATCCGTGAGTCTCAGGTCTCGCGTGCCATGAGTGAGTACAACCCCTCTACGTGTGTCCATATTTACTTGATCAAGCATACTGACGACGTACAACCAGCTCGCCGCTACTTCAACGACCTCGACTCCTACGCCGAGTCCGACATCGTGATCGTGGGCGCCGGATCCTGCGGCCTCAGCACCGCCTACATGCTCGGCAAGAAGCGTCCGGACCTCAAGATCGCCATCGTGGAAGCCGGCGTGGCCCCGGGCGGAGGAGCCTGGCTCGGCGGCCAACTCTTCAGCGCAATGGTGATGCGCAAACCCGCCGACTTGTTCCTCACCGACCTCAACATCCCCTTCGACGACGAAGGCGACTTCGTAGTCGTAAAGCACGCCGCACTCTTCACCTCGACCCTCCTCTCCCGCGTCCTGCAGTTCCCCAACATCAAGCTCTTCAACGCCACCACCGTCGAAGACCTCATCACGCGCCCGGCCCCGACCCCCACGGACCCAAAGGCCGTCCGCATCGCCGGCGTCGTCACCAACTGGACCCTCGTCTCCATGCACCACGACGACCAGTCCTGCATGGACCCCAACACCATCAACGCGCCGCTCGTCATCTCGACGACCGGCCACGACGGGCCCTTCGGCGCCTTCTGCGTAAAGCGCCTCGTCAGCATGCAGCAGATCGAGAAGCTGGGCGGCATGCGCGGCCTCGATATGAGGACTGCGGAGGACGCGATCGTGAAGGGTACTCGCGAGATCGTGCCGGGGCTGATTGTGGGCGGGATGGAGTTGAGTGAGGTGGATGGCGCGAATCGGATGGGTCCGACGTTTGGTGCTATGGCGCTTTCGGGCGTCAAGGCGGCGGAGGAGGCGCTTGCTGTTGTTGATGAGCGTAGGGCTCAGAATATGGAGTAAGTAGCTAGGTTACTTGAAGGTGGGAATGGGGGTGACGCCAAATTGATGTAGTTGGTCGTCGTTTCGTGGCTTACGTGCCTGTCTTGTCTGTCTTTACCAGATATATGAATAATTGAAACCAGTCACTCACTTACTCACCCGTTCAACGAATCTTGTCTCGTCTCATATTTATACTCGCACTGCATACATGTGACGGAAGTTCGCGGGAGGAAAGGGGCATTTGCTGCCAAATTTCGATCTCTGTCCTTAAGCTCTTGATGACTTCAATCGTTGAAGTGAGTAGGTGGTAGCTTAGGTACGGTACGGTACGGTACACATGTCGTCCTATGTTTGTCGTGATAGAGTTTCGACATGAAACAGCCTAGACATTTGTAGTATCGAAGTGTGAGATTCGTTGAGGAATGAGCTGATGTTGGCAACAAGCAGTTTCTTGCTCGTGACCGGCTGGTAGCAGCAGTACCAAAGACCACGGAGTGTCAAAAGTCAGGGGCACTGGTACAAAGTTCAAGGGTACTATATCATTTATATTTACATGGAATCAAACTTGCACGAGAAAAAAAAGGTTATTATCATGCAAAACTAAATCCACGCCAAATAAGAGCTGAGACAATGATGTTTGCCTGCCTTGCCGTTTCGTACACCGTAAACATGGACCCGCCCTACAAAAAAGCAAGGGAGAGCGTTTGGAAAATATCGAAAAGGAGAGGGGGGAATCGTAGACAGGAGAGATTGAGCTGCTGTAGAAATAGGAATCTATCGTTAAAGGCCCTTCATGGATTGGAAGTGGGACGTCGTCGGCAGCTTGAGACGTTGCTGGGTCGTCGCTTATTTCTTGGTGGGGTACCTCTTGAAGAAGTATCTACGACAAATTAGTACGAACTCTTATCGGACGGATAACTGGGGTGATAATCAACGTACTGGCTCACGTAGTAGTCGCCAACAGCAAACAGGCCGACGAATCCAGCCCAAGCTCCAACGACCTTCCAGGTCAACTCATCCTTCACGTATTTCCTGTACGCACCAACACCAAGTGCGGTTCCGAGGATACCCACGGCAAGGGTGTTGCCTAGGATAACTGGGTTATCGGCGTTCTCCTTGGCGTAGTTCTTGCCCTTCTGGCTCTTCGACTTCGCCTTCTCCTTGGCCTCTGCGGCCCGCTGCTTCGCGCGCTCCTCGAGTTCGATGCGCTCGGCTTGAGTGTCAGTCTTCACGGACTGGGACTCGAAGTCTGAGGGGACAGAGGAGACGTGTGGGGAATCGACATCGACGAGAGAGTGCACAGAGTCGTCAGAGTTCTCGACTTCAGGAATGGCTGGGGCGCGACTAGATGAGATGTGTCAGATTGCCATAGTTACTTCAAATATCGCCAAAGTTACGGTCGATTGAATGACGTGACTAGCGTCCGACCTGGAGACTTTGACAATGACTGCAGGAGTGACTTACGCCTGTTCATACAGTTAGTACATTAAACTTTGAATACAAGTATATTATCAGTGTTTACCTCTTCAGGGCTCTGCTTGGGTCCCTTTGCTGCGACGTCTGCGTAGGACATGATGACGACTTATGAGGTGATGAGGGGGATGTATTGAGGAGATAGAGAGAGTTTGTGTGAGGGTACGATGGGTACCAGAGAGGGAGTCAGAGGTGGTGAGTGACAAGAATTGACAGTGCAAATTGGCAGATGAGGTGCTGTGGGCGTCGCGTGATAAAGAAGTGTGAGGATGTAGGAGGAAGAACTGGGACGATCGATCACATGTGGGAAGGGATTTGCGTCAGGAACGAAGCTTGAATTTCGATACGTCAGCCAAGACTTTTGTATCGTGTGTGGTCCTCCATGATTGCTGCTGGGTTTAGCGCAAGGTCTAGAAACAACCACCAGACCCACCACGAACCATTAGATACCCATGGAACATCATCGTTCATCTTGCATTTGGGCGATAAGTATTAACAAGATTGGTTATGCGGTACATTCATTGTATAGTACATTTTACCTATTACAGGTGTAGTAGTAGAGAGTCTAAACGCCACAGATATGCGTCCAAAGTCCACGATAAGTTCACCATCCAGCTCCACTAATGCCACAGAGGAAATGTACATGCCACAAGGGGTTTTATCCCTCTTGTCGCCGATTTTGATTGCTCCCCAAGAGATGCAAATGAGCCTCTTAACCGTCAAGGTCATCGGTCAGACGGACTCCAGAATGGTTCCAAGCCCTTATTTCTTCTCCTTGTTGTCTTCCCTTGTGTCGTAGGATGCCGTTGGTTCGACAGGCGCAGGGGCTTCAGAAGCCGACGAGGAAGCGCTCGCAGTCGAGTTAGCAGCAGTGTCGGCAGCTGCCTGGTCTTGCTCAGCCAACTGCTTGTCAACCTCTTCCTGTTCCAGCTCTGAACCGTAGATCTCTGGGTACTGTCGGAAGCAATTTTGCATGTCCCTAAATGATGTTAGTTGTTGTCAGGATAATCAGAGATATGCCACCCACTTGAACTTGTCGATGCAATCGATACCCTTCTCCTCCTCGGTAGAGTACACAAAGCAACTGAACGCCGCTTTGAATTCCTCACCACAGGGGCCGTGAGCCATTCCACCCAGACATGGGCAGTCCCAGTTGATCTCGCCAGTCTCAGGATTGAATGCGCCTTGTTGGCCTGCCTCCTCTTCCAATGCCTCTACACCACCCGCACCATCTCCATTTGACCCCTCCAGTTCCTTCTCAGCGGATGCCACCAGCGCCGCCGTTTCGGCTGCAGCAGCTTCCTCGGCTCTACGCTTCTGTCTCTCCTTTGTGATGGCCTCGATGGTAGGTAACTCTTCGCCATTATCCTCGGTAATTGGTAGCGTAGCAGGAGAGTCTATCGTCACGGTTAGCTGAGCTCGAGTCCCCGCATCGGAGCTGGACTATGACCTACATCTAGGTTCCTCCGCGAAAACATTAGTTGTATTATAGTAATAAATGATGGTTCCTGCAATGCCGATACGCGCAGCTAAACTCTTCCAGCTTCTTGACTTCTGTGTCGGAGGAGCGGTGCTAAGGAATCGCCTGGCGGGCGCAGATGCGCGTGGAAGTGCGCGAAGCACCGTAGGGCGCGCAATTACTCGTGACGCCGACTGAAACATGATGCGTAAAAGGCAAAGGACAGAAAGGGAATGAAGGAGTGTGGTGATGTCGTTGATGTCGATGATGGACGAATTGGCGGACAAAAAAACGTTTCCAGAAGCGGTTAGCCAGAACAGCAAGGATCCAACTGACAGTCGATGGATTTGAAAGCAGAACAGACGTTGATTAGAAACAAAAATCGGAGCAAGAATTCTGCATGGATAGAATATATTGACCATAGACAAACGCATTCCTGAACAATCACGACTACTCTACTACTCTAGTAGAGAAATGTAGAACAAGCATTAGCTAGTACTGTTGCCGTGAAATTATTGCTACTGTACATATAAAACCTATTCGACTTGCAGTACCGACAATGATGGAGACGATGGACATTTCGTAGTCCGCTTGCACGTGAAGTAAAGAACATTTCAAAGAAACGGGCCTCTATGGGCCGCAGATATCTGCACGCCTGAACACCCAATTGTCAAACCCTAAACCTCCGCGACCTTGTCAGTTGAGTCGGGTCGCATCGTAAAACATACATCTGCTCAAACCTCTAATCTAGCAAAGCCGTCACCCCCCTCGCCGATCGGCTGAATGCCTTCGTCGATGCTTGATCGTTTCGTTCCCATGCCATCTTCACCCTTTCCAACACCAAATTTGCTTATGGCCTCCGTCAATCCGCTAATCGCTTCTTCGGGAGTTACAGATCCAGGTAGACCAGCTCCGCCGAGGTTGCTCTTAATCTTGTTTGTTGCCTGTTCAAGCCCGCGCACACGTCTTTGGAAGGCAAGTCGATCCATGAATAGCTGCTGACGTCTTCGCTGAAGGTCACGTCGTTCAGCGGAGAGCAACTTCTCAAAGTCGTTGAAGTGATTTAGCTTCATCTGGAGTTTTTGAAGCTCCAAATTGACTGCACCAGAGACAAGACGAGTGATGTGTCGCTCCTCGTGTGATGCGAGTGCTGATGAGCGTGCAGCCGAGAGAGCAAATGGTAGGGTGACGAGAGGATTGCTGCTTTCGGTCGCAGTGGCAGCTCCCTCTTGTGCGGCATCGACATCCATAGCATCCTCGTTCTTAACCTCAGAGGTTTCCGCTGCGGGAGTCTTCTCCTTCTCCTTGCCCTTCTCCGGTGCTGGCGCCGTTGGTGCCTTCTCGATCTTCTCTTGCAAGATGCGTTTCATTTCACCAACACTACGTCCCGATGCGACAGCCGCTTCGGTAACGTTGGCCGGAGACAAGGAAGCCATGAAGCTTACAACGCTCAAGATAGGGTTGTCGGCGTTGAAAATCGGTGTTCGTCCCTCGCTGAGATATTGGAGATCTTTAAGGAATTTGTAGGCTGGGTTTGCTGCCTCTGCTTGCGTTGTGTCCGCTTCGAGGTATTTGTCTTCAATCTCTAGCTGAAGGAACTTCATCACACACTGTTCCCGGGTCTTCGACACGACATGGTCGGCAACCTTGTTCCAGTCGTCATCAAACTCCTCCAAGCCCTCAAGAAGGAGGAGAACTTCATCATCCGTCCATTTATCTTCAGTTGGTGAGTCCTCGTACGCGGGGTTTTCCTGCTTCACGAAGTCACTCTTCTTCTGTGAGCTTGGAATGTGGGAATCCAAGAAGCATCTAGGACAAACGTCACGGAAGACAGTTCCATTGGCTTTTGCCTCTGCGCCATTGGTGGTCTTGACATTGTGGTAGTGAACGCGCGTGCAGTCTACACCACAGCTGTTGCAGTGGACAACGTTGGATGGTTCTTTCTGGGCGGCTTCGAGATCCTTGACATCTGCTGAGGCAGTTGCTCCGTTGGAAGCGCCCTCGCTGCTCGCAGGCTTATCCTTGGGCTCTGCGGATGCCTCCTTGCCGTTAGGCTCGTAGATATTTCGACCGACCAACGTCTTCGTTTCCGACTTTGGCTGTTGGCTTGCGGCACGCTCGGTGCCTGCATGGGGCTTTCCGGGCGTTGTTTGGGAGCCAGGGCCTGGCTGGAACAACTGCAGACCGCGTGGGGTATCTGCTATTATCCTGTAGTGGCTAGTGTTTGGTGGCCCGATATTGGATGGTCGCTCCTGTGGGTCAACCTGGGGTTGTTAGTCGCATCAGTCAGTGTAAATGCACCAGAGAGTATTACCTGGTAATTAATCAATCCCCATTGCTCAAGGAAAGCGTGCACACGCATGATAGCGCACACGTCTCCAGCCAAGTTGCGCCGGCAAGCGGTAACTGTGAGATACTCATCAGGATTCAGGCGGTAGGTGTTAATCATGAAGTCTCGGTAATCGCGGTACACGGCAGGCGTCTTGCTGCGGTTGCGCTCGTTGAAGAACTCGGGAAGAGCTTTTCGCTCGCGGTAATCAATGTAGCGCATATCGAACCATTGCGCGTAACTTGGGATGATCGTCGCGTATGTCTGTTCTACGAAGTGTGATCGCGCTGATGACTCCAGAGCAGCTTTTGCTTGCGCATCAGCATCGACAGCTTCGCCTCCTCCTTCCTTGTCCTTGTCCTTCTCTTTTTCCTTCTCTTTCTTGTTATCATCTACGCCAGTCATTTCCTCGTCGGCTTGACCATCAGCGTCTTCAGCCTCGGGACGAGGTGCATCGGGTGCATCAATTGGATTATCCGAAACTGCTACAGGCGTGTTTGTAGATGGTTCTCGAGAGCCCTGCTTGATAGGAGTGCTGTCGGTCATTGCTGCATCTACGTCAAATCGTTAGTAGTTGTCGCAAAACTGGTAACATCGACCGGATGTTACACGGAAGAGAATCCGCGAGTGTCAGTTGCCGTATGTTCATCGACGCCCGTTTCGCAAAAGTTCGATGAAATGATCGTGATTCGAAATCGGCCATCGTTCTGACTGACTTGAATGGGTGGTGAATTCAGGGCTTCATCATACCTTGATCGCCTGCACCAGTGGCTCCTTCTGTACCTGCCGTAGAGGTGGTGGGATCGTTTGCGGGTGCTTTCGCGTCGTCCGCCATGCTGTCGCGAGTGGTCAAGACTAGGTGTGGAGAATTAGGATGTAGCGCCGGTAGCGGGTGCGCGCGCGTCGCTGTTACGTGGCGAGATTCAGTCTAGAGTAAAAGAGACTGATTGAGAAATGCGTAATTGTAATGAGTGTGGAGATGAGGGGGATGCGATAGCTGAGGTTGCAGAGTCCGTCCGGCGCGTCGTTCGCGATAGAAACTCAGAAGGAGAGGACAGGGATCCGTGCTGACATAATTAACATGCGCTAGAATTGATTAGGCAAGCGTTTCACATCTATTAATTGCAGCTGTGCAATAGCAAAATCATCATCATGCGAGAATTGGGAAAAAGAATACCGGGTGTAAATCGTAGTCTTTGAATCGTAGCAGAATAGCAGCATTTCCTGGGAGTTGTCGTTGATTCGATCACGTGACTATACTGGTAGGGAACTCCACGCTTGAAGCGACAATGGCCGAACGTCGGGCGGGTGAAGCCAACCAAGCAGGCCGAGGTCTTCGGATTCTTCCGATCTGAGTGCAGCTTCAAGTTTAAACATCCTACCCCACCCACTCGACTTGTGCGTTTCCTGGTCTACAATTCACATTTGGACCTCAATTACCAGGCACCATGTTCTCCGTTGCGCGACAGTCCGTCCTCCGCCATGCCCGAACGCAGTTTCGATCAACCACACAATACTCAGGCCTCTCCCGACTACTCTCCACATTGGCAGTGCTTGAACAAAGAGATGGAAAGCTCAATGTCGCATCATTAGCGGCAGTTACAGCAGGACAAAAGCTTGGAGGTTCCGTGACCGCTTTTCTTGCTGGCAGCGGCGTCAAGTCGGTTGCAGAGGAGGCAGCAAAGACCAAGGGAATTGAGAAGATAATCTACGTGGAGAACGGCGCGTATGATCGGGTACGAAGGACTCAAACTTGAATGGGATATAAGCAGTCTAACATAGACGACACAGGGTCTTCCAGAGAACTGGGCACCTCTCCTCGAGGAGAACATTAAGAAAGGCGGATTCACACACATTCTCACTGGCCATTCTGCCTTTGGCAAGAGCTTGATGCCTCGACTCGCAGCTCTTCTCGACACCCAGCAGATTTCAGACATCACAGCAATTGAGAGCGAAGACAGTAAGTCCGAACTCGGATATTTGTCCTGCGCGGTATCATCTAACCAGCGACAGCCTTCGTACGACCCATCTACGCCGGAAACGCCATTTTGACCGTGCAATCGACAGACAACACCAAAGTGATTACAGTTCGAGGCACCGCTTTTCCCGCACCTGAGACGGAGGGAGGTTCCGCAGCGTTGGAGGAGGGCGCGGATCCCAAAACTGAAAGCCCTACGGAATGGATTTCCGAGGACTTGGCCAAGTCTGACCGACCCGACCTTGGCTCGGCAGACAAGGTCGTCTCCGGCGGTCGTGGACTAAAGTCCAAGGAGGAATTCGACAGAGTCATGACTCCTCTCGCAGATGCTCTTGGTGCAGCTATCGGAGCTTCAAGAGCGGCCGTTGACAGTGGTTTCGCCGACAACAGTCTGCAGGTCGGACAAACCGGCAAGAATGTCGCACCCCAGCTCTACCTATGCGCCGGTATCTCTGGAGCTATTCAGCATTTGGCTGGTATGAAGGATAGCAAGGTCATCGCCGCTATCAACAAAGATGCCGATGCACCAATTTTCCAGGTCGCTGACGTCGGCCTCGTGGGAGATCTATTCGAGAAGGTCCCAGAGTTGACCGAGAAGCTTAAGTCGCAGTAAGTGATGTTATGAGTAAAATAAGTTACCATATTGTATATACTAGACTGTAGAGCTTCAATGCAATCAGAGGCTTTCAAATGATCTTGGTATCATCAATGATTCAGTGGTATGCCACCCTCGGACTTGTTTTGTGCATGAATCGATATGAAAACATAGCCTGCGATGTATGAACGAAGTCGATTAATATAGGGCGGTGGCAACTCGTTTTCTCTGCAAGCGAATCATATAACTATCACAATCGACACTCTGCTGTAGACAGCCGGCTAGTTGGCTGCTCTTGCTTTTGAATACGATAGTTTCTTAGAAGGAACCAGATTTCAAACACCTTAGAGTACATACCCGATGTCATTGACTACGCCAATGTCAACAGGGACAATATGCAGTGCCATGACAAACTCCCATCCTCACATATCCCGTAGATCGTTCGTGGCACTGCGCAATCATCACTTTCCAAGCATTCAGCGATTTGAAGATCCATTGAATCGTAGTAGTGTTATGATACATGAGCGCTTCAACGCAATTTCTTTCTAGTTCTGGCCACTTCTGCTTGGTTTCCTGCCACCCGACGCGTGAATCTTTCCTAAGGAGGTCATAAGTTGCCATAACTTCCCCAAAGCACTGCGCAGCTTCTCAACGTTAGATAAACATAACAAACTCTCTTTCCTCCTACTGAAAGCTCGCACCCCTACCAACGCCCATGGTATTTAAAATCTGCCTCTCTTGAAGCTTTTCGTGCTTCCTACATCACCACACACCACATCTGCGATACACTTCCATCGGCTCCCGCACGACACTGCCCTTCCTCGCCTCAGCACATTGCAGCCTACCTACAGATGCATGGAACAGAAATGTATCAAAGCAACTCAAAGGCAGGTGGGATGATGAACATCTGTTGAAACCTCTGAGGCTTCGCGGCCAGTGATGAAACTTCGGATCTGACCATAAAAGATGCCCTGCATCAGCTTTGCTGACCCTGCGCGTTGTACAGGCACCCCTTTTGATTTCGAAGATGACCTCAGTCATTGCCTTTTAGTAAGTCTCGATGTTAGCGAGTCTCCCTTTTGGCATGTCTGCCTTTCGGCGACTATTTCATCATTGGTCAAGCATCCGTTGAAACCTGTGGGCGCCCTGGATTTCGTTTTCAGGGGGGCCGGAGTGAGCCTTTTATCTACCTAGAGGAATGGTTTTGCCAGGATTTGTTGAGGGATTAGGGCAATGGGTGACCGGGAGGTTGGTAAATTGGTTTTCTGTTTTGGTACATCAATATATTGTTCAAAGTTTGAGGCAAGACGATCCGTGGTTGTATGTCATGGGCCTGTGCAATACTTCAGTGACTAGTCTTTTTGTTTCTACTTCCCGCCTCTTAATTTTCTCTCGAGAGAAACCCCGATCAGCGGTAACAAGTAATCGTGTGTTTTTGTAGGCGACTTAGTCTGAATTTCGCTCATTCGGGAATCTCTGGTGAAGATGTTGGCAATGTAGGCATAAGACCCAAAACAAGAGTTTCTGTGGCATAATGAGAGTAACTTGAACGCTATCTATGCTAATACAAAGCGCTGTCACAATATACCCCCCAAAAATGTAATTCCTTCTATTCTACGTCTTTGATTCCCATTCGTAAAGTATCCGAGGCTGAAACGAAGCAGCTACCTAGAACAATCATGATCGTGACCCACAATGCATTATTGCAATAGTCATGAGAATATATACTGTCACGTCGCATACAGAAACAACGCACTACCCTTGGTATTGAGCAACGTATATTGTCATGCAATCCAACGACAGAGATTGTGAGAGGCGGCAGAGCAGCCCAGTCACACGTACCCACCAACCAAAATCCCGGAGTCCTATGATTGCTTTTTCTTCTCAATAAAAGCTTCCAATACTCCGTACCATGGCTCTTAACAAATGCGTCCCGTTCTTTGTCTAAGGTTAGCCCCGCTTAATCAGCACCTCTAATGGTCGATCTACCCCAGATCTCCAACACTTGGAACGAGCAAACACAAGTACACTCAAGGTCGCGGGTCAGCTTTAGGCAGTAAGTCGCTATCCAAGTCGTCATAATATCATCCTTGGGGTGTTATTTTCCAGGCGACTTTCATCGGAGGCTTTAGAAGGCGTGATCGACATCCTTTCCACGTATTCGCAGTGCTATCTAGTACTTACACAAGAGCATGGGACTTTATAGGCGATGATGCCGGACTTCAGGCGAGATACATATATACATGAAAGAGTACATACGACATGACATCTGGATCCGCGCCGTCTAGCTCTGTAGATGCTGGTGCTGAGAAACCGGAGAAGCCGTCACCGCCATCCAACCTCGCCGACGCAGCAACAATACGCCTACCGGAGATTCAAAAAGCATCGAGCGAAACTCCCCCAACACTTGATACCCGCCCGGATAGTAGGCGCAAAAGCCTCTCATTAAAGAGATGGATCAGCAGGCATGACCCCTCCTCCCCACGCTGGTGGTTCGCATCGACCGCGATCCCGCTCCTCGCAGCGACCATCGGGCCCCTCGCCAACGTGCTCTCCATCGCCGCGCTGGTGACCTACTGGCGGGAGACGATCTTTATCGACGGGCAGTTTGTGTCCGAGTTCGACGGCGTCACGTTTGCGGACCCGCCATGGTGTTTCTGGCTGAACGTCGCGTCACTGATCCTCGGGTTCCTGGGGAACCTGTTCCTCCTATTGAACTTCACACAGCGCATCCGATACATCATCGCGCTGCCACTGACCATTATCCTCTGGTACATCGCCACGGGTCTCCTGATCGGCATCATCGCGAGCCTGCACATCTATGCGCCGGCCGTCCCACCGAACGAGATCTACTCCCAGGGTTTCTGGTACGCGGTCATGGCCGCGACATGCTACCTCATCTGCTCGATGATCCTGATGGTGAACATGCTGGGCTACTTCATGGGGAGGTATCCAGACACGTTTGCGCTTACGGACGCGCAGAGGACGCTGATCTTGCAGAGCATGCTGTTCTTCATCTGGCTGGCTGGGGGTGCGGGCGTGTTCATGAGGATTGAGACAGACGCCGGGGAGCAGGGGTGGGAGTATGCCGATGCGTTATACTTCTGCGACGTAACCATCCTGACCGTCGGCTTTGGCGACTTGTATCCAACGACGGACGTGGGGCGCGGCATCGTGTTCCCCTATTCCGTCATCGGCATCGTGATGCTAGGTCTTGTGATTTCGTCCATCTACAAATTCATGAGACAGATCGGCGAGGAGAATATCATCAACCGACACATCGAGCGCATGCGGGAGCGCACACTCGAACTCACCGTAACCAATTCGATCGACCTCGTGGAGGGCAACCACGGCGGAACTCATCGATGGGGTGTAGGAGCAGCCAGGAAGCGATTCGGCAAGACGCCCAAGAAGATTGGAAAAGAAGGGATCGGGGCGCCGAAGGAGGGGAGACAATTCGCACCCACCGTAGACGCAACATCGAAAAGTTCCCGCATGAGGAACCCCAACATCCCCTTTCCCGGGCTCGGAAAGCGGAAATCCAAGATGCTCCTCCTGCGCGAGGAGAAGGACCGCTTCGACGCGATGCGCAACATCCAGGAAAGCACAGCCAAGTTCAAGAAGTGGTGGGCGTTGTCCGGGGCCGTCACCGCGTTCGCGATCCTCTGGTGCGCCGGTGCGGTCGTCTTCTGGCGCACCGAGCACGACGCCCAGGGCATGTCGTACTTCCAGGCGCTGTACTTCTGCTACATCTCGCTGCTGACGATCGGGTACGGCGACCTGGCGCCCAAGACAAACGCGGGCCGCTGCTTCTTCGTCGTCTGGAGCCTCATCGCCGTGCCCACCATGACCATCCTCGTGTCGAACCTCGGCGACACCCTCGTCGCGAAGTTCAAGGCCTGGGCGAGCCGCGTCGCGGACTTCACGGTCCTCCCGCAGGACGGCATCTGGCGCTCGTTCATCGACAACAACCCGTGGCTCGCGAACTGCATACAGATGCGTATCGTGAAGAAGCGTGTTGAACACGGCTTCGACGTCGCAGACCCGGAGGAAGCCCTCCCCGACGACCCTGCTGGCCACAGCATCACAAGTCCTACTATCGGCAACGAGGACCCAGAGGAGGCAGCCGACATGGCGGCCACGATGACGCCGACGCTGCCTGAGCTCGCGAGGGAAGCCAACGGCCCGCTACCTACCCAACACGCGCTGTCCCGCCGCCTGGCGCTGGAGATCCGACGCGTGGCGGCCGACCTGCGACTCGGCACGCCGAAACGCTACGAGTATGAGGACTGGGTGGAGTTCACGCGGCTGATTCGGTCTTCGAGCCGCGCGCAGACGGAGCAGAAAGACGGGGCGGGGGAAGACGACGAAGAGGACGAGGAGGGCCTGGTCGAGTGGGATTGGATCGGACATAACAGCCCGCTTGTCAGTGGGATGAGCGAGAGCGAGTTCATTCTGCAGCGTCTGTGTGAGAGCCTCGTTAGGGTGGAGAGGAGGAAGGCGAAGGCATTTTACGATAGAGATGTTGCGGAGTTGAAGAGGATCGAGGTGGTGCATATCCCTGAGCGACCTGGCGATGAGAGGGTTAGACGGAATTCGCAGTGATCGCAGGCCGTGGGTGCATATGGTCAGGATGGACGTCCTCGAGGGATTGCCCGATCGACGAGATATGGCTTTTACAACTAGTTCCATCAGGAAGAACTCTGAAGGCGGATGATCAAAGTCTCGAATTGACGAAGGCATGAATTACTACGGCGTGCCAAAGGCCATATAACATTCGAGAACCACCGGCCACTGTTACATTTCCAAGGAATTCACACACGTCGACTTATACACTATAAGTACCATCTTATCTTCCAACCCACGAACTCAACATCAAACCCCTTCAACACCCTTCTCTCACTCCCGCAATCCGCAGCCCAGACTCCCAAACCAGCCGTACCGTCCCGCAGAACCGCCCGTCCGTTATACGTAGATCCTGATATACGACGGGAGCCATGGTACCTGACTCAACTCAAACGGGTAGGTAGATCATAACTACCCGGCATATCAAGATTGATATCGATATCGGCATCGGATATCGGGGCGTACGGGAAAAACGGCCTTGTCTCACAGACCACCGTCGTGCCGTTGCGTGGGGAATCGGTCGTAGGTGGGATCTGCGTGCGGTTGATGGGTGGTGCTTTTTCTTTTTTGTATTGGACGTGGCGCCACGTTCGACACTGAACGAGATGGGAAGATTATGGGTTTGGTCACGATGGTGGGGAAGTAGGGTACTTGGGATATGGGATGCATGAGGGGATTAGATAGTTGTAAGTAGACGATAAATGTCACCACGGTTCCACGCTCGACTGGTCGTTTCGAACGTGGGATAAACTCGCTCGTTGGTTTCGACATGCTATTTCTCACGCCTATACAATTTCGTTCTGTGTACTATGGAAGGGGAGAAAGGTTCTAGGCTACTTGCCTTTTCTTCCTCGCCCGTAGAACGATCAAAGAATCATGAACACGTTCTCCCCTCTTCTAGTGCGGACAAAGGTATCTTCGAGAAGGCGGGCTGGTCGTCCGCGAGTAATTACCAAAATGAACCATCCGTCTAGTAGCCATCTAGAGAAGCGGTGAAGCTAAGGGGCGATGATATACTCAAAGCAATTAACTAGCAGCATATACCGGTATTCTTTCATAATAAACTAAAGGAAGGGAAGTGTGGGATGTTTGTCTTCTAGGCATGTGGAGGCGGATCTAGCGTGTGCCGCTTGTTCCTGCCCAGAGGAGCGGGATGGGCCGGTCGCGGACTGGTCTCTTGAAGAAGAGAGGAAGAAGGGCACGACGGCAGATGCATGTGCGGTTAGTGCAAATGTGGATTTAGTCAGGCACGGGGGTGTTTTTGTGGTTGTGGCGACTTGGACGAGAGACTGGGAATAGGAGGGCGAGATTTGATGGGGTTGTTTTAGTTTACTGCCGTGGAAATCGAGACCTGCGAAATGATGAGATGAGATGGTGAGCCTTTGAACATCCCAAACGAAGCACCGTCGAGGGTCTTTGGTGATTACACTTATGTATTGTGTAGAGTCGTCCTTTTAGAGGGGCATAGGGTTAACTTGAGAATTGATTGATAAGCGGATAGGGAGTTTACTCGTTCTATGGATATGTATTTCCCGATATGCGGAGACTCGATGCAGTGCATGTCTCCTTGCATCGCAGGAGCGTTACCTGTAGACTGAGGTGTATGTCAGCGTCTATGTTAGGCCGTGCAGATCAGAGCTCAATTGATTGATGGGTCCCAAACGGTCCAGACGCAAATCAAACATTCTGACACCACCTAGTTCCTGTCCGAAGACGATCAATATCTCACTTTGGATGTCGGAAGGATCGATTTCTTCGGTTCCGAGCCGACAGAGATTGGAGCCTTCTGAAAGTATCCTCACCGCAATTTGAGATCATATTCTTCAGCCGCCGAGGCACAGGCACCGGCACAAACATAAGAGACTTGTCGTTGATGATGTTTCTGCAGTCAGGGGCTGTGGTGGCTCATTTGCTGCTTCACGGAAGCAGATGGTGAAGAATTGGTGGAGAGGTCTAGAGTCCACGAGCCGAGACAGTGCGACAAGCAAGTGGGGCGGACGCGGAACGGGCGCGGCAGTCCTCGCGAGCTGGACTTGTACAAAGCTACCTTGACCTCTAGGTACGTTACAGAAGCCGTCCTCTGTGCGCGCGATTGAAGACAACGACTGATGACAGCTCTGTTGCCAATGCTGCGTGTCGTTCCATGTCGAAGAGGTACAAGAACCGCATTATCGAATCTCCTTCAAGCCGAGCGAAAGAAGCGGAAGTAACCAAGAGGTCGAATAAAATTCCTGGGAATTCCGAGTGGCCGGAACAACACTGATGTTGTACTGTGCTGCTCGGAACGATGAAACAAAATGGTGACCCTGAATTCTGTCGCTTGTGTCAGGATCTCGCCTCTCCAGGAAAGACCACAGGTCACAACCCCGGATAGCGAAGCAAATTAAAAGTAATCATGCTGGTTTCTTCCAAGATTGAGCATGCAATGGCCCGCGTAGCACATGTATTGTGTGCATATGAGCGACCGCCTCCCAAACAGCGGGGATTGTGTGGAACGTGGTTGATTGGAGGTTATTGCGGGAATAGTCAACGAACGAAAGACATCGCTAGTTGCGGAAAGGGAATACAGCCCCGGAGTTGTTCTGTGACGAACAAGTTGCTCGATGCCCTTCAATTTCCCGCTTATCTCATTCTTAAATACGGATGCTGATGACGAGTATCTCATAGAGTGAGGGCGAGGACGTGTGGCAGGCATGCATTATCATTGCCATGAGTTATTCTTGGTTGACAAAAGGAGAGAGGCATCAGATTGGACCCCTTTGATGCCCAGATATACCCATGAACGAACGTACCTGCACAGTGTTACATGATAAATGGTTTCTGGAGAGCGAGGATGATTTTTGCAGCCGTTTGCCGGGTCTATTTCAGGAAGCTTGTCTGAGAGTGCCGTCCGTCTCGCCGAATGATGGTCACAGCGTGTTTACAACAATAATTACGATGATTAAAAAGGTATGGCCTCGAGCTTGCGTATCCAAAGTGCGCGGCGGCCGGCTGGTGGTTCAGTACACAGTATCATTATGTACTCCATAGGTCTTGGGAGTCTGGCTCTTGTGCCTGAGCTAACGCTGCCGCGCCCATCGCCGCGCTTTTTGATGTGAATTGCGTGCAGGATGCGTGAAGGATGTGTTGCTGCACGCGCGCAAAGAGTTGCTAGTTTAGTGGTGGTGGTGGTGGCAAGCCTATGGAGAGTATACAATCGCCCCGCCACTTATTCAACTTGCGATTGGAAAGACTGCCTGCTGTGGAGGTGGTGTGCAATGGTTCAATCCGAGTCATCCATGACGGCGTGAATGGCTCTGAGACTATGATTGAATGGAAGCGTGACTCGTAGGGTTTTGTTTGTAGTTAATTACCTGTAACTATTACGGAGTAGAAGAGTAGAGAAACGTAGGTATGTAACCAGCCCAGCTAGGGGCGGAATAATTAAGTAGCGAGGGGACATTGGCAAGGGGTCAGGGTGTAACTGCCTATGATCTTCGGTTGGATGTGGAGAGCAACAGGCGCGCTCCGTGAATCTCTTCTTGCCATGGACATTTGTCTTTATTAGAGCACATCCTGCTCGGATGCATTGATTCAAGTTGGGCTACTCGTACCTCGTAGTTTTGACTAATTATTTTAGTTATCACCATGATTGGTATCTTGGGGGGAAGAGGGGGCGATGAATGGGCGTATTTTAGTGTGGGTTTCAGGAAGCCGGCACTGGTGTTGGCAGTAATAGACTACTTGTAATAGTGCTACCCTTTCTTACCCTACCCGTATTATCTAGAGGGAGGCTAGAAGTCATTAGAGGTATTATTAGAGGCATTGTCGTTTGGTGCGGCTGAGAGAGCTAATTATCTATCATCTGTCTTGTTTCGTGGATTGATTACTACTTTCTTCCTGGACTGGAAGAGAGGAGATGGGAGGACGGGGGACGGAGGACGAGGAAGGGGACGGAATGATGGATGGCGGTTGGCTGCTTGATGGATCTACGATCATGTACTAATCGCTGCTGCTGGATCGACTGGCGTCCTCCATCCTCTTTTTTCTTCCATTCACATGGCGACTTCGACGGCGACCTGGCATACTGCCACCCACCCATCCACACCGTATTGTATGCGTCCAGTAACAGAACGCAGACAGTGATCATGTATGTGTAGGTGGGTTCATCATGTAGGTGCGGACAAGCATCCGACGTCCAGAACCATACATAATACACAATCCCAGTAAGGTCTAGATACCGTGCGGCGTGTATTATATGGCTTCCTCCAACCTATAGTGACCTATGGTCCTATACTATTGTTTACTATGACCATCACCACACCACATCGACACCACAAGATCACCTTAACGATTCAGCAAACGATAGATCGATCAGAACGAACGATAATCACACATAAGTACTAAAGATAGGGAGCGCCACCATCTAGATTTTGATGGCCATGACATGTTCCCGTTCATCTCTTTCTGAGTAGGGAGTAAGGAGGGGAAGGTTGAGGGTCTGTGCAGCAAAATGGACCCCTACTTGTACTTGTAATGTACATACATTCACCCAACTGCAACATTCACTACAAGTCTACCACTACTCGGTACAAGTCTATAACTAATATCAGGTACACTACGCCGTAGTCCGTACACTACACTACAAATACAAAAGGTACAAGACTACAAGTACACTACTGTGGACACTGCCCGCACTGCTAATAATAATAATATAGCAATATCACTCCTGATTTCTAACACTAGTTAGCAGGTAGTGCTTCTACTACCACTATGTGCTGATCAACAGAGAGAAACTCTGGCTAACCTTTTGTCTGCATGTCTGTCTTTTGAAAGAGAGAAGGGGATTCGAGGTAGAGGGAATTAAGTGTCGTGATGAACAAACCCAAGCAACTACGAGATGTAGTTGCAAGTATATACATGTATCAATCCTTAAATCTAGTAATTAATTATTACTCCGTACAGCAGATTAGGATGCTTCTACCCGCATTCGCCAATGGCTGTCGACTTGGCTGGGCTAGGTCGACGATTTGCCCATCCCATACCCATACCCATCCTCGTATCGTATCCATACCCTTACCCATATCCATACCATTACGGCTCATACCCATGCCAAAACCAAACCCATATCCAGAACCATACCGCCAGACCCGCCGTCCATCCGCTATCCAGCATTATTTCTCCTACAGAGCCGTCCCGCCTTCCAATCCAGGTTTACCTGGTGGAGCATCACAGAACGAGCGAGGTACATACTACAGGCAGACAGACAGCTGTTGCAGAAGGGGAGAGAAAGACTCGACCTACACAGTAGCAGAAAGAGGGAATGAGGGCTGAAGATTGTCAGAACCAAGAACCTAGATCTCAGAATCCCAGCATCGACTCTTGTTCACCACGGCTCTAGTTTACTTACATACAACCAACTCGAAGTTCGAGCTTCGTATCTGCCCAAACCAGTTCCTAGGTTATTCACCCTCAAGCGCCCACTCACACTCACACTCAGACTTGCACTCACATACACATGAAAATTCTAATCACATCGAGTATTCCTGTGACTTGAACTAATTCCTTCGAGTTACAGGACACTGCAGTAATTGGGAGATTTCGCTTGTCGTTCTGCTGGCGTTGTGCTCTTCTGCCGCTGCTGACGCTTCTCCTACTTTTGACCCCCCGTACCTGACCGCCGCCCCACCCCATACACACGCACACACACACCACGCAAGCTGGGCACCACTCGAACCTATCCTACTTACTTTACCTGCACACACACACACACATTCACTCTCACACGGCATTACACATACTCTCTCGCTCTCTACTGCATTTGCACCCACAATCCATCCCATCCATACATGTTGCCGTTGCACACAGAGCACGTTGCTGTGTAAAGCTCAACTTCTCCTCTTCCCCTTCTTCTCCTCCACCCTCTAACATTTCATCACCAACACCATTACCTTTACTTTACCTCCTCCCCCCTCCTCCTCCGCCCCCAGTCCGTTCGCCAACAGCCCACCCCCCCCGGTGACAATCCTACTACCATCGCTCTCTTCTCTCGCCATTCGCTCACCTCCGACCGCTCTCGTCGTCTGCCGCCAACTGCGTCTCAGAGTCGAACCCTCCGCTCCACAAGCCACTCCACCGCTTCCTCAACCCTGCTTCAGTCTCTCGACCTTCACTATCATCCCTGGGCCGCCGTCCTCTTTCCCAGCAACAAAAGTAATATCCTCTCACCACCTTACGCCCTCAACATCGCATCGTATCTCGATTCGACCATACTGCTGCCGCCCTCGACTCCTCGTGGGCATCTACACCTCCTGAGATGGAGTCGCCCGGTGGATACCCAGAGTCGCCGCTGGATCAGGACGACGTAGTATATCCGTGCAAAGGCTGCGGAGAGGTATGGCCGATACCAAGTAGACAATCGTCTTGCCCTTCAGATAGACTGACAAGTGAATACAGATCCTCGAGGAAGGAAAAGCATTTGAGTTGGGTATGCATCCTCCCATATTCAGAATGCGGGCGTCCCTCGCGCGCACCATCACAATTCGCTCTCCCGCTCTCCCCTCTCCCTCTACCGCCTCGAACCTCACTTTACTTTCGTAGAAGCAGTGCTAACATATAACTAGCTGGCAACCGATGGCATATTGACTGCTTCCGCTGCAACACATGCGGCACCCTCCTCGACTCCGATGCCAACCTACTCCTCCTCGGCGACGGTTCCTTGATATGTAACAACTGCACCTACAGCTGCAACCACTGCGGCAACAAGATTGAGGATCTCGCCATTCTCACTGGCGATCAAGCCTTCTGTGCCAATTGCTTCCGCTGCAGGAACTGCAAGCGCAAGATCGAGAACCTTCGCTATGCTCGCACATCGCAAGGTATCTTTTGCATGTCTTGCCATGAATCTCTCATGGCTCGACGACGCAAGAAATCAAAAAAACCACCCTCTTCTTCTGCAAAAGTGGACAAGTCGCTCCCTGCGCTGCCCCCAAGCGCATCCACGACGTTCACACCGGACATCGACACCCCCTCCGACGTTTTCTCGGAGCCAAACACTACGGACGTTTCGCCTCGACCTCCGCACCCAAAGAGAAACGATTCTTCCCCTGCCAACTTCCGGCGCGATGCATCTCCTGCTTCCCTTGAAGACACTCGTAAAGGTACGTCTTACTCTCAATCCTCTCTTCAGTTATCAAAATGTTTCTAACCCGACTTTTCGTCACAGAGACCCTTACTCTTCCCTCGACTACCTACAAAGAACCTTCCCATTCCGAGTCTTTAGACGCCGGCGACGATGGCATTCTACTTCCCTTCGCACTCGACCCCAACACTGCGCCAGGGCCCTCGCCGCTCGGAAAGTCAAGAGAGGCAGCACAGAGTCGCAACAATGACAGCAAGACCGGGCGCGATTACTTCAACCGGTCGGGCAATCACAGGGAAATGCTCAAGGAGAACCGCTCGCGCTCTGCGTCGGCGGAGCGAAACCAGAGTCCACATATCGCATATCAGGAGAAGGGTCGACAGCCATCCGATGGCCTGAACGACTCGAAGCGCCCCTCGGGTGGAGATCGACCCACCCGCAGCCAGCTTGCTTCGCCGGCCGGTTCCTCCTCCACAGAAGCTTTCAAACTACAAGATGTACCGAAGAACAAGAAGGCAGAGTCAAGGAAACAGTCAGATGCAAGGTCGCCATCCTACAGCTCTCCGGCTCCGGATATGGTCGCCCGTCTGACGAGCCCCCCGCCAGATTCGCTACATACATCTCCCTTAGATTCAGAGACTTCGCCAGCAACCTCGGGATCCTCTTACAGCTCTACGCAGCAAGTGGAACGTCCTGCCAGGGGCGATTCACTGGGACACACACAGCTCAAGCCCAATGCCAGGAGTCAGAACACCGCACCCTCGCCGACGACACCGACCGCAGCCCGACCCGAACGAAAGGGATCCTCTACATCTGCCGGAGCAAACGGTGGTCTCGTCATCTCTACTCCGATGGAATCGCCAGCGTCGAGGTCTATGATGGATCCCCCCATTCCCCAACGCTCTGCCGGCCGTCCTCCACCACCCTCCACTGACAACTTCACCTCTCCAAGAGCCCCCCCACACCCGCCGCCAGTTCCTCCCACTCACAAAGCTAATGAGTCTATTAGCACAGTCACAAGTGATTCATCCAAAGATGTGGTCTCCCCAGGAAGTGGTCTGCCTCGTTACAGTGCGCAGGGTGATTTCTCCATGGATGAAGATTTCGCACGCCTCTTGTCAAACCAGGAGCAAGAGAAAGATAATGGCGTTTTGCGACGTGTCTCGAATGCAATGTCTAAGCATGGCCGAAGCTTTAGCGATCGGGGTTCTGTGAATTCCCGCGGACACAAGAAGTGGCCGACAAACGGCTCCATTGACATCAGTAGCCCTACGGTTGCATCACCCGATTCGCGAGAGGAAAGCATCAATCTACGCAATGAGCTTCGCAGAGCACAGCAGCGGATTACAGAGCTGGAGACTGAAAAGAATGGCCTCCAGGAGACCGTGCACAGCGCAGCCGACATCAAACAAGCAAACACCATGCTACGCGAGAAGCGAAACACTATGGCTGTCTTAGACACCCAGCGCGAGATGGTGATCCGTGAATTGGAGATAATGACCGAGCATCTGCACCGCGCCAAAGACAACAACAAGGCCGTAGACATCAGCGAGCTGAAGTCGGACATTCTCAAAGACTTTGCAGGCTCCTTACAGAAGCTCAAGGACCAACTAGGTGGCCAAATCGAGGATCTAATCTCAAAGAGGACAGAGCTCACTGACGAGATCTCGAGCTTGATCCAGATGAAAGACAAAGGATTCCAAGAGTATGAATCACTTAGCGCCCAGAACACTAAACTGTCGAACATGAATCGTGACCTCGTCGAATCGATTCAAAGGACGCTCAAAGACAATAAACATCAAAACGGCGGCGCTGGCCTCGATGTCGGTCGTTCTCCTGCGAGCGGCTTGGGCATTTATCACACTCACTCTAAAGGCGGAAAGTCCGACCTTTCGATTGATCTACAGGCCCTTGCACATGAGCCATCCTTCTCTAACCTCCACGAAACCGAGAGCGAAGCCACACTGGTGCAGCCACACGTTGTCAACATTCGCAAGACGGGCAAACCCACCAAATTCAATTGGAAGAAGGGTGGCCAAGCCATTACGAAGAACGTGACGAAGGGATTCAAGGGCGCCTTTGGACCCTCAGATTCGAGACGCGAGGACGAATACAACAACAGCATCAAAGTCATTGGCACGCCATACGGCTCAGTGCACCACACCCAGCCCGACATCTCATCCATGCAGAATGCCATCAAACCGAAGGAACTCGAGCCAAATGCAAATGCACGGGGATGGTTCAGTAACAAAGCCAACAACAACGGCAAGCCTACGAACGACCGTTTCAAGCAACAGAACACCAGCAGCACGAATTTGGCCGTCGACAGCAGCACCACGCTCTTTGGTTCTGATCTGACTGCTCGCACTGAGTTTGAGAAGCGGGTCATCCCAGCAATCGTCAGCAGATGTATTGAAGAAGTTGAGCTACGAGGTAAGATAAATCCGATCAATCGTCGAACCATACTGACAATATGAAGGCATGGACGTCGAGGGCATTTACCGTAAGAGCGGTGGATCCTCTCAGGTCAACCAAGTGAGGAATGGGTTCGAGAAGAACGAGAACTATGATATTTCGGATCCCGATCTGGATATCCATGCAGTGACGTCCGCGTTGAAACAGTACTTCCGCAGATTGCCTGTGCCACTGATCACGTTCGATGTCTATGATCAATTCCTGGAAGCAGGCCGTAAGTTGCAGCCCATACAGATTTGCAAACAGCAGGAACTAATGGATGTTCAGAAATCGAAGACCAGGAGAAGAAGGCTCGCGCTTTGACTGCGGCCGTTAATGAGATACCTCGCGCTCACCGTGACTGTCTCCAATTTTTGGTGTTCCACTTGTCGCGAGTCATCCAGCATGCCAACGACAACCTCGTACGTCCCGGACTGATCCTCTATATTTGTATATAATACTGACAGCTCATAGATGACTCCTCTCAACCTCGCTGTCGTGTTCGCGCCCACGATCATGCGTCCCATGGAAATCCAGCGCGAATTGACCGACGTCCAGTCCCAGCGAGTTGCCGTGCAGGCGCTGTTTGAGAACCATCGCCACGTTTTTGGCAGCGAAGACTAAAAGGAGGATGGAACTCTTATCGAATACCCACGACCACGTTTACCCCATTCCAATCTCGCCAGTCACTTTCTACGACTTGTAATGCCCCCTTTCGCCCTCGGATCTCCGTACATACCCTCGGAAGCCGGCCTTTCTTGTCTTCATTTCTCTTCGCTTCTTTGTAAATGCGCGCAGTGGAAAGCTTTCGACTATACCCCCGCTTTCTCTTGATTCGACAAGAAAAAAATTGCAAGCTTCAGGCATCAGCGAACGACCTTTTTCCCTTGGTTCTATTACAGCGCCAACTGAGCTATGAATCTTTCCGATTTTCCCCATTTTGTCCTTTTTCTTCTCCTTCTCACGATCCTTCTTGGACTTTGCTCCATGCACGAACCGGCATGAAGTCTCGATTGGAGCACTCTGGATGTTTCCAAGGTCTTTTGGTTATATCTACTTTGTATGATATGGTTCACCTTTGCCGCATTGTCCTCGCTTCGCACATCTCGCCAGGGACGTGTTGGAGCAGGACTTGTGTGAGGCGTACTTTTGGCGCGCATCATCTATGTGTCCTTGCTGTTTAGTTATACCCTTTGGGTTGAGCGCGCATCGGGAGGTGTATGAATGAACGCATTTCCTTCGCCACGAGACTTTGCCATGACAATTTGTGTGCAGTCGCTAATGAACAAGGACAGACTCGAAGCCATTGTATGTGCATGAATAACACGATCTACGATATTGCCAGCCTTTCGAAAACCTGACTCACCCAAAGCAGTCCTTCTAATCGAAACGCCTCGTAAAAATGACATGTATGTACAGGGCACCAAACAACCGCAATCGTAACCATATCCTCAACCCCTACCATCACCACCTTACACTTTCACCCCAACCCTCCTCAGACCTTCAACCCATTTCTCTTCGCCTTCGCCTTCCCCTCCCTCTCCAACATAGGAACATACCCCTCAGGCCACCAAACCATCGGCCAACACCTAACCCCCTCCCCCTTCTCCTTCCTCTCCCCATCCATCCCACACTCCCCCTTCCCCAGCAAAATCCCCTCCCCGCCCTCCACATCCCTAAACCCACACCTCGCATACACCCTCCTACTCCCCTCTGAACTCGCCTCCAACCAAACCGGCGTGCCATCCCTCCCCGCCCTCTCCAACACCCCCTTCATAACCATCGGACACAACCCCCTGCCCCGCCGCGAACTCAGCGTGCCCACCTGCGCCACGTAGTAGTACCTCTCATCCCTATGCAGCACGCGCTTTTTACACGCCGTCGCCTGCGGTATGTACGATCCATTGTATATCGTGTACGGCCTCGGCCCAGCGCGCACGAGAGCCGGTATGATGCCCGCGCGAAGCAGCGGGACGATTGATTTCGGAGACACGGTCGGCGGGTGCGCGGATAGCGTCGTGGGCGGGAGGACGACGATCGTGCTGTCGAAGGCTGCTGCTTCTCCCCCTGCTGCGGGCTTTTCGTCGTCGTCGCCCAGGGTGAGACCCCAGATCTCGGCGCCGCGGAGCCAGGCGTCGAGGACGACGAGTTCGATTAGTTTGCTGCGCACGGCGTCGCGTTTGGGGCCTGGCGGGAGGGCGTTTACGAGGTAGGTGTACACGGCGTCGGTTTGGAAGGCTTCGATTAGGGTGGCGACGCTGTGGGTGTAGGAGGGTTTGGAGGTGCTGGTTGTGATGGTGATGTTGGGGTTGGGTGGGGGAGGGGTGGTTGTTGTTGTTGTGGTTGTGGTGGTCATTGTTGGCGGTGATGCTTGTGCTGTGATTTGATGGATGAGTTGGGTTGGAAGTCGTGATCTTTCGTTGTGTATCCTTGTCGTCGTGGTCGGGAAGATTGGACTGTGTTTCTGGACGAAAGCACAAGGTGGATGGTGACCTCCGTCTTCTCCCTTACTATCAAGCAAACACTGTTCTGACGTATGGAATCCTGTACCTTTTCCTCTCTTCCTCGCTCTTATAAACAAGCGCAATGGGTTTCAGGAAGAGGAAAAGGAAGAGGAAAAGGAAAAGGAAACGGAAAGGGAATAGACAACGTGGTTTGAGTTCGAAGGTATAATATATAGGATGTCGAATAGAAGTTAAAAAGACGAAAGATGCTTATGTTGATGTCTGTTTATCTATCTCTGCGTATCAGAAATGGAGATTTGAAATTCGTTGATCGTGAGTGATATCGCAAAATTCTAAATTCAATCTCAACTATCCATCACAAGTTATATATATCTACTCCGTAATTGACTAATTACCTATATATCGTACAGTCTGATGACTCTGATCTACCGAAACACTCGCCCCTCGCCCCTCACCCGGTCCCCACCCACGGCACTGAACATACGAAACCCACCGCATCAACATTCGCATTTTCAAGTTTCGCGGCATCCGCGTGCTGCGGCCAGCGAGGCGAATGAGCAAGGTGAGGTGATGTGGTGGGGGAATAGTTCATCCGAAGCACGAACGACGAGGGACTAAGGATGAAGACCGAAGGCCGTGGGTTGTGCTGATTGGATGGCGGGGCGGTGCGCTAGGCTGGATTTGGGTTGTAGGGGCAGGGGCAGGGGGAAGATGTAGTGCGCGGGTGCGAGGCGCGGTGGGGAGGAGATGGGGGGGAGGGGTGATATCATGGTTGAAGCTTGGGAGCTTGTCTGGATGAGGGTTTGGTTGCGAGGGTGCGTGGTTGTGTAGGGAGGGGAGGGGAGGGGAGAATGTATGTATAGATGTACTGTGCTGGTGGATGGTGCCAGCCTGTGAAACTTTATACCGTTGCTTGAAGACTGCATGAGCTATCATTGACCCTTCAAAATATGGGAAGATGTTCGATTCACTGAATTAGGAGCGATATCATCGAGCCAGTACTCTAAAATAATTGAAGACTGGTTAATCTGTATATTGAAATTTGGGTATCATTACAAGCATGTCTATAATTCGATTCTTTACAAGATGCTTTGTGTCATGTTCATCTGGCACCATCTCCTAACAACCTCACCTCGTGTCTGCTCAGGCGCCTGCTGGTATTCCATCTCTCCATGATCCTTGAAGATTGTGCTCGTGTCATCTTTGCTGGCTGGTCTTAGGTTTTGCAAAGATTTGTAAACGCCGACTGAACTGTAACCAACGAGCCCGACAATACCTGATAAAATCATTAGCAACGGTTCTGGCAATGTCGAACAACTAAATATCTTACCTGCGGAAGGTTTGCAGACCAAATTTCCCACTCCTTTTCCAAATCCTTTCACGAAGCCTTTGCCTCCTTCCTTCTGAGCACCAATGATAGGCTGTACGAAGAAGTCCCGCAGGCCATCACCAATGCCATGGCCGAAATTCTTCGCACTGACCTCGATGCCACTCCTCAAATCAGTGATGTTCTCGGTTTCCCTGACCTCATCACCGTACAACTTGGGAAGATTATGGAAACCTCGAGTGATTCCATGTGTGAACGTCATCGGCGCCTTGAGACCCGCTCCAACAATGCGACCAAATCCCTTTCCTGTGCTGATTGCCACCTCTTTCGCCGCGTTGGGTGCGGCTTCGAGGACAGGATTGCCGGGCTTCTGCTCGGCATCGGACCATACTCTCGGTTGCCATGATTCGGTCTCGTCCGCTTGAGGTGGCGTCCACGTCTGTTGATGTCCAGAGGCAGGCCTGCCATCGTGATCATTCTGGTGCATGAGTGGGCTGGACTCTTGTCGGACGGAGTATCGGATTGTTGGTGGCTCGCCCTTTCGCCTCTGCTCAGCTTTGGCGAGCATTGGTGACACTTGTTTGGCGGCTTGGACGGGGCCTTCTATCAAGCCGAGGAGGATGTCGCCGACGGTGTCGAAGGTTGCGAAAGCGATGCCGCTGAGTGGGTCGTTGGGATCTCTCTTCACACCAGCAGACGTGGAGATGCTATATAGGTCAGCTGATCTGCCTAGATACTATAGTATGTGTGGTCTTACAGTTCTAAATCTTTGCTCTTGATGATGCCCTCTTTAAGCAGCACTGTAGCCGCAAGAGGGGAAAGTGCAAAGTCTTTCTTCTTCATCAACCAGACAGCAGGTCGGTTGGGGAGAATGGCACAACGCTTGATAGACGCAATCGCCGCCTCCCTCGTCAACTCCTCGAAGTAGACAGGAGGAAGCTCGTTCGGTAAGACTGCAGGCATCGAAGGAGGCCCTGCCGTGAGTGTGGCTAGTGCCATATGTCCGTCATGGACAGTGTCATCTGCCGAGCTATGAGAGGGGGCATAACGCTGTCCTGGCATTCCAAGCTTCTCATCTTGCATCGCTTCCGCGTCGACTGTCGTCTCATTGTCGGCTGCTGATTGGGCATAGGCGGGAGGTGTCATGCTGTAGAGATCATGATTGGACATGGTTTCTAAGAACAGTGAGTGAATGTCGGGATAGGCATTTCAGGAATTCTTACCCCGCCGGTCATCCTCAGAGATATCTGGTTGGGTAATGGCAGTCATATTTCCAGGATAAAGAATGAGTACCGACGACTATGTTAAGGCACTAGTTCGGGGTATGTATTTTCGGCTGCAATGATTTAATTGTCAATTCAAACTTCTTCGATCGTAGAGAAGTAAAGCACAAACAACCTCACAAAATATCAGGCTGCACACCAACATCTTTGCGGGGTTCCGATATCTTAAGTAGGCAACCCCGACTCTCTCCAGGTCCGATCAAACATACTTACGCGTCCATCAGGTCGGACAAGGACATTGCTGGTGCTATATTAGGGAGACGCTAAACCGTATCGAGCATACACAGCCTGGGGTCCAACTCAGCCCTGGGCAAAGCCCTTATGTCGCGCTTCGTAGTATCGCGGTTCGCGTAGATTTTAACTGGTAGGAAACTCTGGAGTGTGCATCGTGCTAATGCATGGCCTTTTGCCTGCAATTATGTCGTAGTTTTCCTCGTTGGTTGTTGTGATCTTTGGACATGGGCTGTCGGGGGCAGTTATCCTCAAGAAACCCCGCGACAGAGCCAGCACAGGATTCGGAACCTCGCCATAGCTACGCATAGGGAAGCAGCGCCATTCTACCTACGAGTATCATGTATGCTGACGCGTTGGAGAACGGTAGGTCGCAAGCATCTACTATTACAGACATGGCTTGTCCCTGTTTTGGTTAGTCTCACAATTAGGCACTCGCATACTGCACCTCTTTCGTCTCAGGTGGTGAATGATGTTTCGAGCGTTCAATTTGTAGGATCAGACTTGAACATCCTAGTGGATTCTTTGCTGTAGTTGAGGCCTGTGTGTTAAAGTGAAAGCCATCTCGCTCGGTGTAAACGGCAAGTCCCTCAAGAACGGATCAGACATTGCAGATGCGATCTACATTTCACTGGAGCGGAAGGTGGAAATCCCACCAACTAATTGAATGGTGATGGACTGCAAAGTTCCCTTATCGATACGATTACACTACAGTGATCTCCTGCTTTTCACCGCTGAGTAACCAATCGCGTTGTGGCCAGAAGTTTGTTATGTGCTGTCTACTACTCGTACCGTACCGCCTAGGACCAGCACTAGCCTCATGAGTGAAGACTCCAACCCGGGCATATTGATCGTTGGCTAATTTCTTCAATATTAGGCCCCTCGTTTCGAGAGGAATGTCTTCAGGCGGGTTTTTCTCTAAGGGGTGGTCCATGCGATACGATTCGTCCTTGAGGAACTTTTGACGATCGAGGCCTCTATCTCTGGTGCTGGCACAGATTGGCATCAAATACACCTCATTAAGTGGCTCTATATTTTCGTGTAAATAATCCATGTGGCTCTTGGCGAGAAGTTGCTCAAGATCTCCTGTGCGAGACGCGGTAAGTAGTTTTACCACCGGACGCAAGCGGCCACCAGGAGCTTCTTGTCTGCCCAAATCTCCCGAATAGACTGTATCTTCCTCTATATCCTCAGGTATGTATACGAAGGTCTCTTCGCTCGTCTCTGTGCCGTTCCCATGCCCCGGGCGCTGGGCTGTTACGCGATCGAGTAAATCGTTGGCACGCCGTTGTGCTCCATCTAACTCATTTACTGCTGGCAGAGCCCAATAAGCACGCTTCAGGAGGCCTCTCAATGTTAAAGTTGCAGATTTCAGGGTACCGAGTGGCGCATCCTTACGCAAAGGCACGGTTTCCCACCGAATGACTGAAGCGTAAATTTTACAGTCAAGCAGCGCCGCGAACATTATATCGAAATCATATTCGACTTGACCCCTTACCGAAAGCCACGACCATGATGGGGCCCAGTATGAGGAAGGTTTGGGCCAGACTTTGTTTATCAGCCTCCACAACAGAAATGTTGGAAACTGATCAGGCCAAAATCCTGCAACGAAGTCGAGTTTCAATTGGTCCTGGTACACACGAGAAAGTGCAGACAAGGCAGGAAGACGGTCTTTGTCGGGGAATGAATGAAGCCGCGCGGAATACTCTTCTATTAAGCGGCCCCAATTTGAGGGATATCGTTTCGTGATGGAGTTCCTTGAGTAGAGACGAGAGTAATAGAGAAGCCTTGGGAACCTAACAAGCTTGTTGTTGATGGCTGCCGTTCGTGGTGTCCTTTTGGCCGTATCGTTGAATGTGATGACGGATTTAGTGGTACTCATGCCTTGGAATCGGGTCAGATAGCGTGGCGGTTGCCATCCGTCTATCCACCAGTTTTCTTTTTTGGAAGTTTGAAGCTCTTCACAGATCCATGTAGTCACCAGCCCACGATAATCGATGATTCGGGCGGAAAGGAGTCGTTCTTGTAAGCTCCACGCTCTATCGTCAAGCGGTTCGAAGTAATGATATTTATTCATGAGGCTCTTGCTGGGTTGATGAGGTATCAAGAACACGGAACCACCGACATGCTTTGGGGAAGGTAGTTCGAATCCTTTGATCGCTCCCTCAGGTCTTTCATGGAGAAACCCTTCGTGGACAGATGATGGCCTGGTGGCGACTAGAGTCACCAAGGCGTTTCGGTAGATTTGTGGCATTCTGGTGATCTCGACGGCTTTGTCTTTGTCATCATCTTGGAAGATGCATAGAGCATCTACCCACAGACGATGTAATCCGAGATTTAACGTCGCCTGGACTGCATCTTGTATTGTTCTTGGTAAGCTCTCTACCGGTATGTCTTGTTGTAATTGTGAGACGGAAGATGCAGTCAATTTCAAGGGCTGGTCTCCACCCCAGCAGTACGACAATGCGGCGTATTGATCCTCGTGGAAGTAATCATCTGATATATTCAAACTGACGTGCGTACCCTTTTCATCCCGGGATAACATGAGGAACCGCTTTGGAACGTAGAAACTAGGCTTTGGGCACTTTTTATGTGTTTTGAGGCATTTCTCAAGCCAAGATTTTGTGAGCGCAAAAGACTCGGTAGATGCTGGAGTCGCGTTAATGGGACTTATTTCGTCCTCATCTCTAACTTGGTAATTTGTGGCTTGGTTGGTGCATTAGAACTATGAGACGACTCATTGCAACTTGAGCTTACACACCTGGTAGAGAACACATATAGTATTGTGCGATGTCATAACCTGGCATAAGGTCGACGAGAGACGACCTTTCTATTGCCCACTTGCGCCACTCAGCCCACTTTTGCAAATCGTACAGTCGGAAGAGAAGCTCATCCACGTTGCTTGAGGTAGATCTGCATACACCAAGGACGTGATTGCTACCCCAGTGTAGGCCTTTGAGGGCTTTGCGGGAGCCATCTAATATGGACGCTGCAAACGTGCACTGAACGCTCGCTGTAATCAAAGTTGGCTCATCCAAGTCAAAGAAAACAATGCTGGAAAATATGACGTGGAAGAATCTTCGTTCCGCATCGGACACAGCGCTCGCACCACTCTCCGACCACAATTTCATGAGCTTGGAAAGGCATTTTTGCTGCGATTCATTCAAGGTTGCAAGACCGGGCTTGTCGACCTCGCGAAATACGTACAGTGCGGGGGGAATATTGTCGAGGAGAAACACTCTTCGACAGAAATCGCAGGAGTGATGTAACTTCCGAAGGGTTTCAAGACTAGTCGCCATGAGTATGTATAGTAAGGTCTGCTGGAACGAAGTAGACATAAGTTTTGGGTCGAAACAGTCGATGCCTAAGAGCAGCTGAAAAGAACCTCGGGGGTGCGCTAATCCATTTAGGGATTCTGTAATATTATGCTTCATTAATTCTTATGTAGACCCGAGTATGAACATGGAAGTCTTCGGTCTTCCTGCGTTGATACAACACTGATACACAGTTTTATGGGCATCGACAGGTCTAATCAGTGCTCAGATGGAGTTATCAAGAATCTTCCAGTCTCCAAAGCAAAACACCCGTAAGAAGCACAACGATCAGGGAAGACCGGATCCAAGAGACACACATTATCCCGGAACATGGTGTGCCACGATGGTGTGCCACGATCTGAGCCTGTAGAGATACATAAAATGCGATCATCTACGCTGCTGTCAGAAGGAGTGGTGAGTAGAGAAGTCCATGGAGTTCAGTGAAAGTTAAGGTTTCGCGCTAGCCCCACGTAACCACGTGGAGATAGCATTCATCGGCGCGTCATCGGTCCTAATCATCCTTCCTAAGTTCACCCACAGCCCAATGTGCAGCATAACCCCCCATTTTTTGCCGTACGTCAGAATGCCACAGCGCATAGTTGACCGCTAGGTCAGGGCGAATCTTCTCTACCCTAAAGTGTTTGCACCTCAGGCTCTGCTAGGCATCTATGTCATCGTTGACCGCCTAGCACCATCTCCACCGCGCACAGCTCCCAAGGAGTACAATATCTACGTAGATTCCAGCCCGACCCATACGTCCGAAATGCCACCAGATGTCTCTGCTCTCCCGCCAGAGCTCTGGATCCGAATCCTCTCGCATCACCCTGACCCCGTCCATCTATGGTCCACATGTCGCATTCTCTCGCGGACATGGCAGTCCTACGTCGAGACAGTTGTCAGCACCGTATACCTGCGCTATTTCGCCTCCATATGCTTCTCGCTAGAAAAATACAATCTGGGAGGAAAGACAGCCAGGCCTGAAATCTCCTGTACATTCGACAGGTTCGAGGACGAAAGCGCGGACAAAGATGGGACGGGTAGCGACAAGGACCAGAGCAATGGGAGGGAGAGTAGAAAAGGGAACAGGATGAAGAGAGTGTGGTTCAAGGACAAACGCAGCGTTGACGAAGTCGTTGAAAGTGTTTTGGAAACATCGGGTCTTGGTGGCAAGGCCAGCAAAGGAAAGGGCAAAGCGAAAAGGGGATCGTCAAAAAGTGTACAGAACCTAGAATTCGCCAAGGTCATGGACAGATGGGAAGAGCGCGTGGCGACATCCAAACCAGAGACTCCGCATTACACCATTCGCATTGGGAGATTAATCAACGATACGGCGTTGCCTGGTCTTGTGTTCAGCAAGGAGAGGCGAGAGATCGGATTTTCCTGGCTCCCGATGATACGACTCTTCTTCAGAGAGCAGGAGCGACTAAGGACTCTAAAATCGAAATACCACCTCGACGTCCGAAGAACCCTCGAAAGCAACCGCAAGAAACTGGCGAAAGGCGAGGCGCTATCGCCAGAGGAACTCCCCAAATCTTGGGCCTCGCTAGAACCAGACGTTCGGAAGAGCATCAGACGCGTAAGGCTCAAGGAAGCATACAGTGACAACGAAGAGATGCAATGGGCGATAGGAAGCCTGAAAGTGTATGAGAGCAGCAAGGGTTCGGACGGCAAGGTTGTCAAAGCCTTATCCGAGATCCCCGGGGCCGGAATGGGCGAGAGATGGTTCGGCAGCACATATTTAATCCAGGCACTGTACCTAGACGAGTGGTCCTGCCTGCATGGCATCGATACGAAATCGGAACATCTGGCCCATGAGGCTGGATGAATGGCAGACTGCGACCCCAGCTACACCCGACCCTTCGCGACTGATTCCCTACTCGTTACTCGTTCACACACTGGCCCTCGAAGAACCCCAGAACGATCAACCTCCCGATTGAAGGAAGTCCAGTACATCTCAGGCGACTATCATGGCCACAATGTTGCGAACAGATGACCCCAACGCCATCTAATACTTCGCCATGAGGAATCTCCGAAAGTTCCGCCACATCTCGCCCATTCCTTCCGAGACCCTTCACGCCACGTACATACGTCCACCAAACTCCGTATTACCACGAATCAAACAGACACATGTGTATCCAAAAGCCACAACGCGTTCTCTCCTCCTTCATCCTTCCGAATCTCTTTATGATACCCCCTGCTCGCGCTTTTGACGACCACATCGCCCTAACGCAACGAAATATTACGAACATATTAGTTGTTGTATTTACATTCACGTACAGTTTTTCCTATCACGTTTGTATAGTCCGATAGCGAAGATAGAAACAACCCAAAAGTAACAACCATTCAATCGTCCACGAACGTGAACGTGAATTAGAATGTGAATGTGAGGATACACACGACATCACTGCAGCCAACATAAAAAAAAGCCAAAGCCTTATTTTGAATTTCGAATGTTCGATTCCTCTCAGACGCATTGTCGTCATCCATCATCTCCTCTAATGTACATTATTAAGATCCCTCCCGATTCCTCGGGAATCCTTTTCTCATCCCCCCTTTTTACCTTCGCGATGAAATGATCGCCTAGGATCGCCTCCTCCTAGGCGCGGGTAGTAGTTGGTATACAGAACGAAAAAACAAGAAAAGGAAAGAGTGGTTCGTGCAAGTTTCAGATGCATTTTGGACAACGCCTGTTTCCCTATGCAGACATGTAGTGCTATGCCAATGTGTCCCCGAAAAGGGCTCTTGATATGAAAAAAAGAAAGGAAAAGTGCTAACTATGTTGTGAGGTAACGGCGGAAGCACGTTGGAATTGTGCTCCTGACATGCCCCAGTGGTACGTTCCATCAACCGAACGTTGCCGGACTTTTGGTATATGTGCGTTATGAAATGGTACACAAGAGAAGAAAAGAAACACTCTAGATTTGTCGTGGATAAGGGCAAGGCTGTAGAAACTTCCGGATGGAAGGGCTACAGATTGCCTATTTCCCGGTTCCAGGAGGGCTCTTCGTGAGACGCCGCCTCTTCTTCTTCTCAGAGTCGCGGGAGTCGCTCCTCTCGTGGCTGGGCTGAGGTTGTTCCTCTTGAGGCGTTGTGGCGGAAGAAGGGGACGTTTCGCGGAGCTGACTTCGTTGTTGCTGTTGTGCCGGCTGCATCTCGATGCCCAAGTCCTGTGTGGATCTCGTGTAGCTCTGTCGCGCAAGCGGACTGCGTCCTTGACGGGCTTGTGAACTCTGGGCGCCAGACGTATCGCGCTGGCCGTCACGTGTATGGACACCCTTAGGGACTTCTAGGCCGTCCTTTCCCTGAATCGGGGTGGGCGGCGAGGCAGTGCGTTGTCCGGAAGCGCTCTTATCACTGTTGCTACGAGCGTGTGCGGGACGTTGAGGGAGTTTTCCTGACTGTCCTTGGTAGGTGGAGTCATCCGAAAGCGAGCCTACTGATTCCTGGTACGGAGTTTTGGCCATACCTGCAGAATATTGATATGGCGAACTGTCCGGGTTTCGCCCCGACTCGAAGTAAGCGCCTCCAGCAGGTTTCTGGCTCGCCTGAGTCTTATGGTAGATCCGAGCATCCTCTGGGTCCATGAAACTCTCGACACGACGAGGCAAGTAAATGGAATTATTGTTTGAGTTTGATGAGTAGAGAGAGTCGATAGAAGTACGAGGGTCGTGGGGATGGAGGGGGACGCGAGGAACGTTGGCATCTCTCGGCATCATGTTGGGCAGAGTAAGACCAGAGTCGTTTGCTTGCTGGTACCAACCGCCTGGAAGTCGCTGTGCAGCTGAGAAACGGCCATCCATCTGGTCCGACGGCTGGAGTGGAACGGGTGCCGGGCGGCCCTTCTGAGCTTCTGCGGCTGGCTTGAACGTTTCGGGAACAACATTCAGATCGTCTCCAGTGGCTTCGGCGTTCTCGATGGCTTGTTGAGGAGTGGTATTAGAATCGGCAGTGCCTGCGTCGGCGCGAGGACCTCCCCAAGTACGTTGGCCTGCAGTGAAGATACCGTAAACCATGTAGCACCAATTGAAGAACGGATTGACGATAAACATGAGGGGGTAAAGCATGATCTTATAGCGACCGAGCTTGGCGCCAAAGTACAACATAAGAACCCAATTAAGACCAAGTGAGATGGCGATGAATCCCACGGGAAGGTTGCCGATCTTCTGTGATGTGGTGATGATGGAAATGACAAGGATGAAAAATAGCAAAGCCGTCGTTCGGATCGTGTTTTGCATGAATCGGACCAGACACAAAATAGTGTATCGCTTCCAAAGACGAATATCAGTCAACATACAAACTTCGTTGGTGATGAAACCCAGGAACCAACGGCGACGCTGCTTTAGGAGAGAACGATAGGTTTGCACAGCTTCAGTCTTGCAGAAAGCTCCGGTGTTCATCTGGATCTGATATCTTTCTTTGGCGCCAATCATGAACAAGTGGGTAAGCCAGCGGTCCTCGCCTAGATGGCATTTGCCATAGTCGAACAGATCGTCGCACTGTTCCGCTTTATCGGCGAAATAATACTTTGACATGCGCCGGAAGGCGGAAAAGCGAAGGATGGTGAGAGCACCAGGTAAGCAGGTGACGGCACCGCAGCCTGACTCGACGGAACGCTCGAAAAGCTGACCATGAATGTACTCCATATCCTGCAAGACCGTGATGAGGGAGTTCTTCTCTGTGGTAGAGGTAATAACACCAGTCATAGCCAACATATTCTTCTTGCTTCCTGGCTTGAGTTCCATCTCGTACATGAAGTTCTGTATACAGACCTTATCCAGAATACAGTCGGAATCGATGAAAAGCATAAAGAGATTGTCGTTGCGCTTGAGATACTCGGTGTAAATCTTGTCGATGAGCTTGAAGGTTCTCTTCTGGCAATGGCGCTTACCACCGTGAGGGAAACGCGAAACGGTGATACGGCAGCTCCGGTAGGTGACGTCAATGGACTTGGGGTACGAGTCGAGGGTGAGGGGCACACCCAGCTTTTCGATAGTGTTTAGGTAGAGCTCGTCTTCCTGGTCTCCATCGAAGGAAAGGAAAATGTGCAAGCAAGATGGCGGATAATCGCAATCAACCAGCGAATCAATCGTACGCATTAGCACGTCAGGGACTTCTTTGTAGCAAGGCATGACGATGACAACCTTGGGGGCAGAGGACTCGTCAAGAACAGTCTTAATCCTCTTCTGTCGACCGACGGAGTGCGTTACAAGCTGATAGACGCAAAACAGCCAGGGAACAGTCAGGAGACCAGCAAAAGACCAGAAGGCGAACCATTGCAGAAAAGAGACCATGACTTCGGGGAAGTATTTGGTCACTTGAGGAGGAAGCGGGAGTGTGACGACCATTATAGGTAGGAAAATGGCACGCAGACAGAAGAAGAGAATACCGACGATCACGGCAAGTATCCGAACACTGATGGTCTCTGCCTTTTGGAAGACCTTGACCAAGCAATACAGGAAAGCAGCGACCCACAGAAACCACTCGAGCAAGGCCGCGAGCATTACAGAGCCAACGATAGAGACATAGATGATCTAGTCAAAAGTTAGCAGGATACGCGTTCGATAATTCTGTCGACACTGACATCTTTCGTTGGCCAGGGCTCGTCAATATTTATAATGCCATTGGCATCCTTTCTGGCTACCAGAGCCAGATCTTCCCACATAATGGCCTCTGTTGTGGAAAACTGCCGCAGTGGATCAGTTCAGTCTTGTACTTGGACTGATTGAAATGGAGCGATGAGAGCTAGAATTATGGAATGGGGCCCTAATCTAGATCAAAGACATCGATTGCGCTTTAATGGTGAATAAGATATCAGCGTAGGCAGGCCGTATATAGAAGGACAGTGTCTATTAGGCTCGGGCAGGCCTTGTCGATAGAAAGCAGAAGAGCTGGGGGACAATGGCAGATATTCCCGCAGCGGTGGAGAGCTGGTCTGGTGATACACGGAGCAGGCTTTCAGCGTTACACAGCGCTAGAGAACCGACGAGAGCTTCGGCTGAAGTGAAGCACGAGATGTGAGAACAAGGTGAGAAGCTGTAGCGAAGCCAAGGGCTATATTGAGGAGATGGTCGGAATGGGTGTGGAGGAAGCGCAAAGCAGATTGGTCGAAGGTTTCGATATATCGACGAAAAGTGTGCGGTCGTACCCGAGGAGAGAGATCGGTAAGTGTAAACGAGTGTCGTGTGAATGCAGAGTGATTCAGGTAAGAAGCATTAATGTAGTGTGATGGTATAGGAAGACAAAGAAGCACACAGGACGCAGTACAGCAGACCAAAAAGAAGGGTTCGAAGGGAGAGAGGATGACAGTCTGGAGAGACGTCTGGTCTGAGGAAAGCGAATGAAGGAGAGAAGATACAAAGAGAAAGAGAAGTTGCAACGAGGAGGGGACCTCCGGGAGGTTTGTACGAGTCTGTACGGTACCACGGTATGGGATGTGGGATCGGAACGCTATAAGGCGGCCAGCAACGAGAGGGAAGAACCAAAGTGGGCGAATACCAGAGAGGGCAAAGCGTAGTTGGGGAGGTTTTACTTTGGTCTTACCGGAACGTTTACTAGATGTTGTTCGATCGTCGCAGGGGGAATACAATCTCCTTTCGTGTGGTGAACTAAGGAATCGCCTTACAGCGAATATCGTCGTGGGTTGTGAGTGGTCCGAGGTGAGGGAGGACAGGGAAGGCTGTCAGACGACTGGCATCCAAGGACTACCCTAGAACTTCAGAAAACTCCAAGCAGGGTGTGAATATATTTTGGGATAGACCTGAACTGCCGGGGGACTGCAAGTGGAACGGGACAGGCATGTTGTGAGTTGTTTTCCTCACAGGAGCACAGGAGAGCCATGTAATGTATGTATGTACATGGGCGGAGGGAGCAGTGTCCTGTCCTATTCTGGCCTGTTCTGTCCACATACGCACGAACGTACACTTGGTATCTGCAGTCGCTATCCATGGCATGTCCAAGCTGGGAAAGTTTGCTATACTTTTGAAACCAGCCCAGTAGTCATAGACCTCCCACTCAACAGGTCATGAGGGTTTAGGTAAGTACGGAGCAGATATTCAACCCACTAATGACTCCTGCTGCCACGCACCCCAAACTATAGGACGGGCGGGCGTATCGTAAACCTTCGGTTGTTGAATTGTGGAAGAGACACATTGTTCGTTACCGGTCCACCCCTCCAACCGATCGTAAAAAACACATCGAGGGAACAATTGCGCCATAATTACAGATTACCATACGTCTAGGCGTAGACGCCGCACACATGTTCCCAATACAAGAGACACGATTGCGCGAACCTGGCGCAGACATCGAATCCCTCATTCCCTCCATCCTTCTCGATTGATCCCTGCATTCCGCCCGACCACATGGCCTTTAGACGTGCTGAGGCGAGGTAAGATGGTAGATTGCATCATGGCTAAGAATATTGGGATTGCACTTGGCGAATACTGACAGCGCTCCGGAGTTGTCGAGAGGGTTTTCGTTTCGTACGCCATGACTGGTTGGATAGAGAGGACAGCATATGTGGTGGTGGTGTCCAGAGAACAGAACAAGGTTCTTTGGTAGAAAACTTGTAAGAGTTAGACTTCAGCCAAGCGAATACGAGAAGAGCTCGGGAAGCCTAGTCAGGTTTCAATGAAAGGTAAAACAGAACCCGTACAAATGCAAGCCACAATTCAAGTGTCTGAAGATCTCCCCCTCGTTACTACATATTGTGAAGGATACCGACCTGCCGACGCGCTGCGCTGTATGTGCATGTACAAGATTCCGAACAGTGTATCCTGAGGCACACGATGGTATGTACTACTCCATAGACTTTACGGAGGAAATGTTTATTAGCTCATCACCTATGAATAATATCTATCTTTCTACCGACCGTTCCCAATAAAGCTCTACACGTCCCTCCCTGGCAACGAAGCGCCAGGCGCCGTCGCCGCATCCTCCACACACGTCGTCGCGCCATTCCGATCTGCCCTGTGCTGGCTTCGTTTTGTTTCTTTGATATTGACGAAGCCCCTCCTTAAACTGATGGTTCTGTCCAGCCCGAGTTTTCTAATGTTCTAAAAATTTCTCTTACCATTGAACCCCTATTGCTCCATTGAAATCTTATGCGAGGCATCACCAACGATCTCCTCTACCGAACACGAACACGAACACGACCCTTGGGGAGGAGGTTGGAGAGAAAAGAGGGAGAGGCGTGCGGGGAGGGACGGACACCATCGTATCGAACGGGGAGCGCGGCCGTACAAGAGACTCTTACTGGCACGGGTGCTGCGCGCCACCAGGAGATCGACGCTGCAAGGAGTATCCACCCGGTGCATCATCTCTTTAGATTCTAGATCGGGACCTTATTGCTATCATACTACGAGTAGCCTACTCCGTACCCCATCAACGCAGCATTGCCATCATCGTGATTGCTGCCTACGAGGAATGATGGAGTTTTGTTGAACTGCAGACACATTGCAGTACGGAGTACGGAGTACGGAGTTTTACGTAGATAGATGAATACGATTAGGGGAATCAGCAGAACAGGAACAGGAACGGGAAGAGTAGATCAGCCCGAGTGTGACTTGGAGGCCAGCGCATCGCGGCGCCACAAATCATTGTCAAACCGTTTCACGACGTTGGGAGCCGCATCCACATACCTACGAGGTATCTATTCCTGGCCCTCGCTTTCTCGGCCTCTCCTCCTTTTGCCCTTTCGCCTCCCAGATCTTTCGCTCTCTTGCAGCTGCTGTATAGATACTGTCGTGTTCCACTTACTCGCATGCGCTGCTTGCGTACCGCGCACAAAGTATACAACATCCTCTATTTCCAGCTCTGATTGATCATCTCAGCAGCAAGCGAAATATTGATTTTTCCATATTATTCCAGAATCGCTTATACGCCTCGGCCATTCTGTCCGTCTATTACGGCACGATCATTGAGGGCGGCACCATGCATGACTCAAAAAAACGTCTCTATTCTCGTCTTTTCGTTCTTGTCTCCGTCCGAACTCAATCAATCGAAACTCGGAGGTTCCACTTGCCCCCATAGCGCATTATTAACATTATCGGAACTCTATACCGAGTTACTAGGCTGGCACTGTTATTACTGTACTGGCTCTGGCTGGGCATAACACCTGCTACTCAGTTTCCTCCTTTGGGTCATATGCTCCATCCTGGGACCTGGACTAACCCCTTAGCATGACCATTCCATTACTGTTTTATCCCCCATTCGATTGTATCGTGAACTGATCCCCGAATGCGTACTTGTTTATTGTCTCGGCATTGCCTATTGTGATGGCTTGTCACACCGCACAGAAGTATCACCTCCTTTCGAAACCCTGCCTGCAGTTGTTATCATCCCAACTGCATCGCATGCTGGCTCTTCAACGGATAAAATGTACTCCCATCACCAGTGCATCCCTCAGTCTCTCCTCTTCTTTGCATCGAGCTACACCAATTATATTTTCGTTAGCTTCCCTTCACTTCACGAAAGACCAGATCCCTAATGCCCATTCCACCCTCTCCTCACTCATACCATCTTCCCCATGCACGAACAATCCAGACAGATCCGGCAAAGCATCAATATCTCCATGAAACAACCCATCAAACCTTGTCTCAACCTAGCCTATTCTCCCTCTAAATGCAAAACCCCCGCGCCCGTGCCCATAACGCTCCCTTTCTTAAACTCGCAGCCCCACATCTTGGCTTTCACGTCCAAAACACCCTAAACCCACGCTACCTGCACAAATCGATAGCGTGGGAGATCGGAAGGAGAAAAGGTCCCTGAGGCACCAACATTTCAGGTAAGGCTCGGAGGGGAGAGAATAGAATGGAGAGCAGGCATGACGGTGGTATCGGAGGTTTCGCCATGGATAGACCAGAGGGGTGGTTCGTCTGCCGGAATGCGGCGAGGGTGGATGATTTGCATGGGTGGCGCGGAAGCTTATTGTGAGTGGTGTTGTCTATTTACAGGAACTTTATAGGAGCGCATGGGAACATTGTTTGTTCATTTTTCGAGTCAAGTCCCTGCGTACAGGTAGTACGTTGGAGTCTCTCCTGAATCAATACATGACCGGAATTTTCTTTCAACACCGCGAGTGCATCCAGCATCATTGGAATCGAAGTTTTGTCCGAGAAATTTGTCTCTACTTTTTCTTTCAAGGGCCCTAACAACATACACTCGAGTTCGTTGTATGCGACTTGTCCTAAGAGATCGCATTCACAACTGCATAAATTATCAAGAGACCACCTGCACGGCACCAATGTCATCAGTATCATCTTACCGACATGACAAGCTGTCATCGCCGTACATCAGCTGCCAAAGTATGCAGAGAATCCACACGCCTTACTCGCAGCCCATTGATCGGGTTCAAACCCACTCCCACGTTTCTCCTTCGTAGCGGGTGGGTAGTCCAAATCCACTTCGTATCGGGGCACACGCCGGCGAGATACTTCCCTCGCCTGTCCATCACGCTACTTACTCCACCTATGTACCCGCCTCCTCGTATGTTTGTTTCAACATCGATTGTTTAGACGCAAAGGCGCCGATATCGAACCGAACACGAGGTCGAGCTGGACTATACCTCGAGCGGCTTGTGGGACGCTGAAAATGTAAATATTGAGGTTAGTGCCATGTGATTTTGCTCATGCGTTTGTGCTGGTTCAAGTGTTGCTTGTATGCTAACATTGTGGAGGGCTGCTGGCCTGTCGGATCGATGACACTTGAAGGCAGCATGTGCTGAACCCAATGCCTGGGAGAATACAAGAAGCTCGGAATACATGTGAAGAACCTCACCATGCTATCCATCTTCATCCCGTTACGGAGTACAAAACGCATAGGTTCACCTCATAAATAATACTAAGTGCAATTTCACCTACACTATTACTCAAATAAGACTGACTGATGAGAAGAACTTCGGATCTTTGCATAAGCCAATAGTAGTGCCCGATGTCTTGACATCTCATCCTGCAATACTGTTCCTCGTCAAACTCACAGTGAATCCCTAATCACTACCTGACAGACATATCGTTCTTTGGCCCTGGCAGTGCGCAACCTGAGCTGTCAATGTCATGTTCGACTTACAAAAATTCCGCTAGAAATGGTAAAATCGTATCACTTCCATCACAATTTCTCAAAGACTAGCTGATGACGTCAAGTATATTCCATTTCCAATGGATTTACTCGTTTGAAGCACGCAACTGGCCGGCGAGTTCACGATCGCAAATACCTGGCAACATGGCACTCGCCGCAGATACCATCAATACCTCCGCCTTGTATTGCGGTGTGACACGATTCATTGTCCTCGCTCTATCTCCTGCTAATATTCCTCTATGCTTTGGTGTGGGTTTACTGGACAAGTGCAATGGGATGATCACGTCTGTCGAGACGAATCATCGGTTCCTAGTGTAGCAGCTGTATGCGGCCTTCTTTTCGATTATAATGGCCTTAGCCGAGCTCGACGGGCACGGATCATGTTCAAATGCTGGTGTATTTGTATATACATACAGAAACTGCTTATACGAATGATGGCGACTCCGGAGTGGTAGTGACAGCCCTGGGTATCAAGAACGAGGAGAAGAGATGCCTTCCCTAGAGCATTGAGGGCGGTAATTGAATATGTCGAATTTTTCACAGTATTCGTTCATATTGGTAGGGAAATATTTCTGGAGCGCTGCATCGAAAGTCGCTGATGTTTTATTGATTCACACGAAGGGTGGAATTGCGGTGACAAAGATGGGAATTCGGTGAGTTCGGTTGGTTCATTTTTTTACTAAAACCGATGTCCAAGAAGTATCCTTTGTATCATCAAGAGCTGTTCACGTTTAATATGTAATACTGATCGTTTGAGCACCGACCCCCTTTGTATATCGTTCACGAGCAGACCTCGGCTGTTGTCATTTATCACATACAAGCCCCAAGGACGCAACCCGCCCATTCCGTGCCATAGTTTCACAAGGGTAAACTGATGTCATATCTTCATCATGCCATCTACCTCTTATTCGACATGCTAATGTACAGGTTTCATGAGATTCTTTCTTCTAGATTGCGGATCCTACTATATACCTGAGCCTATTACCATCCGCTTTGCCTCCTCATACCTCACGCCACGACAACCACCCCTGCACCTCCAAACCACCAACCTGTTTCCCCACCAGCAAAACCGGCCATCACATACGCAAAGAAGTTAAACGTCCCAAGATCTCCTCCAACTGCACGATAAATTTCCCTGCATACATTCGCGCGGACCGTCGACCCAGGATATTTGCCAGCCCGCCAAGGCCACCCCAGAACCGCGTATATTAAGACTCCCCTGTCATGGAACAATTCACCAGTCCTCTGACCACTCACGTCGAACCTTGGCAGGTACGCTAGGAGAATCTCTAGGAAACGGGGATCGCAATATACACTACGCTATTACACTACGAGCCGCCGCCGCCGTTATGGTTTGTTCGCTCGCCACAGCTCCCTCCGTGTCGAAAAGGGTAATGGTTTGATTTACTTCGAGATGGAATTGAATTTCGAGGACTTTATATTCGAGGCTTTTGCCTGCAATTTTCGAGTTTGATTTCTGTAGCAATCTCAATTGTCAATTACTGAGGTCGAAGAATCATGCTGTTTGATCTGCCAACTTTCATCTCTTTGGCCCTTGTGGCAAGCCAGGGTACGTCGGCTGCTGCTGTCATCGGCAAGAGACAGCAATCGTCAAGTGGATTCGTCACTACGGATGGAAACAAGTTCTTGCTTGATGGGAAGGACTTCTACTTCGCCGGTAGCAATGCCTACTATTTCCCTTTCAACGACGTAAGTCCGGTTTGAAACATCTTACAATGTATATAATATACTAAACTACTATTATAGAAGGCAGAAGACGTTGAAGCCGGCCTCACTGCCGCAAAGGAAGCAGGTCTGAGTGTATTCAGAACTTGGGGATTCAACGATAAGAACAAGACTTATGTCCCAGGTGGTTTGCCCCAGTATGGAGGCGAAGGTGCGGGAGATACCTCGAATGTGTTGCAGCTGTGGGAGAATGGCACTTCGACTATCAACCTCAAGCCATTTGACAAAGTTGTTGCTGCAGCCGAGAAGACTGGCATCAAGCTTGTCGTTGCTCTGACCAACAGTGAGTTCCTACTTCTAAATGAAATCTTGCATAAGCTAACAACTTCTCAGACTGGGCGGACTACGGTGGTATGGATGTTTACACCGTACAACTAGGTGGCAGATATCACGATGATGTGAGTCAGTCCCCCTATTGGATAGCCCACCACTAACACTCCTAAAAGTTCTACCGCCTACCGGCGATCAAGACCGCATTCAAGAGATACGTCAAGGAGATCGTAACCCGCTACTCCAACTCCAGCGCGATCATGGCCTGGGAACTCGGCAACGAGCCCCGCTGCGGCGCCGACGGCACGCGCAACCTCCCGCGCTCCGACGACTGCAAGCCCGAGCTCCTGACCGCCTGGACGGACGAAATGAGCACGTACATCAAGAGCCTCGACAAGAACCACCTCGTGACCTGGGGCGGCGAGGGCGGCTTCAACATCCAAGGCCACGAGGACGGGTTCTACAACGGCTGGGACGGCGGCGACTTCGACGTCGAGCTCGCGCTCGAGAACATCGACTTCGGCACTTTCCATTCGTATCCGGATTGGTGGTCGAAGACGGTGGAGTGGACGGATCAGTGGATCAAGGACCACGCTGCGTCGGGTCGAAAGGTCGGAAAGCCTGTCGTTCACGAAGAATACGGTAAGTCCAACTCTACCCAATCCACCTTTCAAACTTGCAACAAATCGCTAACAGAATGAATCCAGGATGGCTCACCGACGACAAGCGCCAGGAATACCTCGGCAAGACGTCCAACATCACTCGCATCGAGGCGCTCGGCCTCTGGCAAGCAACCTCCATCGCCGAGAAGATGCCAGACATGTACTGGCAGTTCGGCTTCTCCAACTACTCGTACGGAAGGAATCACGACGATGGGTTCACCATCTTCCTTGACGACGCGGAGGCTCAGACTTTGATCTACGACCATGCTAAGAAGGTTAATGCTTTGAATGGGAACTCGACGCTGCGTAGGTAGGACGTTTTTGAGTTAGCATGCTCGAGTGAGGCCTTTGAGAATGATAGAATGTCGATATAGAATCTTGAGTGTACATAAATCCTCCAAAAATGATAATGTTTCCGTGCTCAAAACCATCAAGCTCCCACATCCATCATGAATTTGATACATAGAACTCCCCAACAAAACCATACCTAGTTCATGCAATCAATCACACGTGAGATGCCCCGCCCCTTCATTTGCGCTTTCATCAAACAAATAAGTCTCCACAAACGCCTCCGAGTTTGATCTACAAGATCTATGTACTTTCTAGCCCTAGACGAGGGGGATATCAAAACGCCTTATAGTGCGACCAGCCCATGAAATGAGAGAGTGATAAGTCGTAGTGAACCAACGCCACGCCATCCTGCTATGCCATTCCATGCCATGCGTCCGTTCCGCTCCCGAACAACCGAAAACGCCAGAAACCAAAATGATACTCCGTCTATATGCCAGGAAAAACAAAACGCTATGCTTCTAAATCCCCAAAACGACCCTAGAAAAGAAAGAAGATTATGTAAACTTCAAAACGAACCCAACCCCACCATCGACGACTCCACTTTCGCCAGAACGACAAAAGCGCAAAGCAAACCCCTCACACATCATCCCACACGCCGGCCAAAAACTCGCTCGGACCCCCCGCATACACCGTCCCCTCCGCATAATTCACCAACTCACCCGGAAACCCAATCTTCTGCTCGTCCGCAATGCGCTCCAAGTTCCTCACACACCACCGCAGACGCTCGGTGTCGCCCTGGCGCTTATAAAACGCCGCGACCATGAAGATGGGCGTGAGCATGTTCTCCGTGGCCGCGAAGCTGCGGTTCTGGGTGCAGAACTGGAACGAGCGGCAGATGAGGGAGGCGTACTCTGCGATCTGCACGGGGTCCGGGTGCGTGTGGTAGGGGGGGATGTGGTGGGTGGGGATGGAGGAGAGGAGGGAGCGACGAGTGTCGAGGATGAGGAGCTGCGACATCCAGTAGAGGTTGTAGATTGTGCAGGCTTCGATGGAGATGAATTGGAGGGGAAAGGGAACGACGTCCCGCCCGGTTTGGGCCGTCGGGAACGTCCACGCGCCTGCGATCGTGGCTTTCACGTTCTCGTACCAGGAGAACATGGTTTGTTCTAGGACGGTCAGGTCGTCGAGCATGGCGAGGATGGACGCGCCGGGCGTCGCGGAAGAGACTCCATCGGCTGAGTAGAGGATGCTTGGGAGAGGGAGCATCATCTCAGTCCAGCGGAAGTAGTGGTCGTTGGTGTATGTGCGGGGGATGGAGAAGAGCTGGCGGACCTGGGATCGGTATTCGGGCCTGCCGAATGCGAAGCGGGAGCGGGTCGCAAGAGCGACGAAGAAGCCTTGACTGAGTATGTACAAGTGAAGCTCTTCGAAGGTTTGCTGTGTAAAAGCGAAGTATAAAAGCCGCGCGGCTCCCTCGATGTGCGTAAGCTGACTAGCAGCACCACCATTCCCCATGAAGATCTCTATCGAACTCATTACGAGCGTCGTCGCCAGTACATCCCTCCGCGTTGCTGAATTCTGCTCTGGTAGTACTTGCTGCACCTGCTGTAGCGCAGAGAGATATAGGTTTCGTGATTGGTATAGGAGGTTCTGGTCATGGTACTGAGTCGCAATGAAGCATGACGCCAATGCTCTGATAGCCGTATCCAGTATTGGAGACTGTCCAATTAATTGAGGTAAGAGCGAACGCCAACCTCCACACTCTGAGCCAGGTCGCAGAGGCTCTGTGGACGCCTTATCCGGACCGACACGGCGATAGTAGAGTTCGAGAAATAGTTCGGTCATCCCGTGAATGCTGCCTGAGTTAGCATCCAGGGGTGGGGGAGAAGCCATGGCAGCCCCTGAAGCCTCTTCATCTTGATCATCTGACTGGGACGCCCAATCCAGGACCAAGTACTTCTGAGCATTTTGAGATCTACTCCAGACAGGAGGTGGGCCCGCAGAGTTCATGTTGATGAAGATATTACCGAGATCGTAACCGCCACAAGCCATGTTCTTAGCTACGCATTCGCTGCACCTTGGCCTCTTCTTGTCGCACTTTGTAGTATCAGCAGCTGTATCAATTGAGATCGTTCCATGGGATCACTTACTTCTGAGTTCGACTCCCGACAGGCCTTGCAGCTGCCTTTCCTCGCTGGTATTGGAAGCATGGTTGAAGATTCGTTCATGCGAAGATAAGCAAATCTAGAACCGCCAGAGAAAGCAGAGCGCTTGCAGACCGATTGCTGCAGCTATCTTGTTGAATATCGAATTGAAAGTACCTGTACACTTAAAGTCAGCCTTGTCCAGGAAGCCCCTCAAGCCCTATAAAGCTGAGAAAGCTGGATGTGTGGCCCCACAATCTATAGCGGTGTAGGCAGACGCAAGCGTTCTGTAGATCGCCAGGATGGAGCTCGAGTACTAGCTCAGGAAAACTCGACAGTTTGTAGGCAATGAAAAAGTGGACGTTGAACTATGCTTTCGAGATTAACGTCAAACGAAATAGCATCGACACCGGCATCGGAAGGGGTTGGTTGATGAATGTGTATGTACGTCCTCGAGCTATGTGTTGGCGTCAATGGCGATTCCACCTTTTCTTTAAGTGTGCTATCAAAGCTAAGAAGTAGAGGGAATAGGTATACAACTTTAGGGTTATACATAGCAGAGACGACGCAATCCCACCATCCTGTCCCTGGGAACCCGTTCGAAGCTTAGTCCAGCGATCCTTCTCGTAGTGGAAAAAGGAATGCCTAAAGGGTCTAGAAAAGAGATACTTGGCCTGTTGTTGGCCTGAGCAGCGAAGCTAAGCTGAGATTTAGGGCCCTGCGAAGAGCGGGATTGGGAAAGGGCCCATGGCGAATTGTCTGGGTATGGTTGTCGTTTAGGCGGGCCGTGTCTCTTCGATCCCATTGCTGTTCGTTTTGCACATCTCATTCTCATGCTGTGTATCTTGCTTGGATGCGGATATCAGCAGCAAGGCCGGAGACATGGAGGTCAGGAAAGATAGCCGGCTTGGATGAGCCAGAGCCTCAATAGCCACTGCTAGTGATTGTGGGGGCCAATGTGTGAATCAGAAACAGTGGGCCTGACCCGCTGGTCGACCCAATGACTTAAGAACTTTGCACATTGAGATCGAGTGCTGAGGCTACAGCTGTGGCAACATATGGCGAAGGGACTGGGCATATGCTCTGATTGTATGTCCGACCGCCAGTTGCTCGTCGTTCCCAACCTTATTGAAGTGCGGCTCAGCAGTTGCGATCCGAGACCAATGTTAGTGGTATTCTCAGCAAACCGAGGCACAGGAGATGCCGCTGAGATATTGGGCTGGATCGAAATGTATCTGATGGAGCGACTCGAGCGGAGCAATTGCGATCGCACGCGATGACAATGGATGTCCTTTGACTAGGAAGATGCTCGGCCCATAGTGTATGAACGATAGGAGAGGATGGATCCATTGCATTCACACCCACTTAACCATGTCGTCACCCATTCTCCACCGAGCTTTCTTGCACTTCCTGGGCGAACGCACCCATCGAATTTCCTCATTCCCACATACAGTTCAATAAAGGCCTCCAGCGAGATTCTCAGCCGTTCGATTCCTTTCGTCGGAGAGATCGACTTTCGGGTTCTATGATTAGACGTCGCCGGTCAGAGGGGGTTCGAGCTCTGCCCTCCAATCACACCTCAGCAATAGGCAAGGCTGAGCAAGCCTAGCAACCCAACACCGCCCTGTGATTCGCCCATCGACGTCTAACGCGGAGGAAGGATCCTCTGGATTGACAGGAAGGAAAAAAAAGGCCTCCAACATCTCATCCCGCAACACAATCTTTCTCAAACCGTCACCGGTTCTGGTGTGGCTTTTTGTCTGTGTGCTCCTCGCTCATTCGAGAAGCCAGAGGCTGGGTCTGAGATTGGACAGCCCCCAGGGCTTGCTTGCTTCACAGCCACTCTTTGTCAGGGTGCGAGTGTGCGAGTCCGAGTCAAGACACAGATTTGGTATTTTGCTTGCGAACAATGTCGGCATTGGCAGCTGCCGTCGGCGCGACCGAACAATTATACGATCGTCGAATAGGGAGGCAGAAGTAGCGTTCGCATGCTGTAGCAGATGACTGCTCTTGAATTGACTGCTTATTCGATACTAGGGCAGTATTACTTACCCCGACCGAGGGGTTACATTCTCAAGATCGAATTGAAAGTATTACAGCTTCGCGCGGGTAGCGATTATGCATGATCGGCTGCATGCACGCTTGGTCCAGAAACATTTGCAATGATTCAAAGCTAACATAGTGTAAGGTGCAGGGATCCTTCTACACAGGTCGGAACCCTTTACGTCACGAATGGATCCTCTGCCATGTGTCAGAAGCAAGGCATTGATTGCCCGGCACTTAGCGAGCGTTCGGAAGGATTCCGTCGACTATGAAACCGTAAAACGCAATGTGCAAGTAGCTATTCATAGATGCTGTCATGATTGTCGGAGTTTGACAATCGCATAGTTATCAGCGAGGTTGGTAAGACTACATAGATGTGATGTGGCCACGGCCTATGGAGCAGTTGTCTCAATTTGCAACCCGTCAATATATGTTGGCTTTTCGATAGTCTTCTACGAAGAAGATACGCATTGCATATTCTGGCTGATTTGGGCGTCGAGATTGCTGCCTATTTCTAGGTTTACGACCAAATATACCTAATGTCAAGGAACAGTACCGGGTAGATATGTTACACCTACTCTGACCACTGACCACCAATGATGGACCATCGACAATGCGAAGATTTACATAGAACATATCCTCTCCATTTCACATCGAGAATTAATGCATATTATAGTATAGCGTGGCAAGGCATGCCCATTCAGAGAGTCCACAAATCCGAAAATGCACGAAGATAATGATAGGACTATAGATCAGGAATCCTCCGAAGATGTAGGTATCGTTTCCTAACCTTACCAAGAGAACTCATCTGATCATCATTCTATCCTCACACCCTACTACCTCCGCATTTTTCAAAGCGTGTTCCCTAGTTTGGAGGCGTGTACAGACAACTGCATCCCCTCCAAACACGTTCTCTCCAAACCAACAAACCACCAAGCCAGTGCCATCACGTCGTTGGGCGAGCCCAACGTCTTGTTATCTTCACAGAGATAAATTACTATTAGACACATCTTGATCCCCTTATTGTTCATTTTCCTGGGTAAAAGTAAACAGCCGGCGCCTCTAGTCAACCTCCTCACCTCCCTCCCTAACCCCTTCTCAGATACCATGTAGATAGGTACCGTACCTAGGGTTATAAAACCCTCCCTCCTATCCGTCCGCCAACAACGACTTGTCCCCACAGTACCACCGCTGTCCACTCCGCTTCATACGTACGTACCGACAAAACCACGCCGTCCATCTCTCCCTCCCTCCCTCCCTCTCCCTACACATACATGGCGTCGCGTATAGACCGCCTCTGTAGTAGCCAGCATCCCAGGCACGACCCGCATGTACGTCAAGTAGATATTTACCTCTGTCGATAGGCCTCTGTCGGTAGGTGGATGATGCCTCGATCTCTCTCGGCAGCCCTGATCGATCTATATATGCCCTGCCTAACACGTGATCCCCGAATAACCTCATCTATCCTGCTATACCACACACGCATACAGCACATGACACAAGCCAGCTATATCCAAACCCCCATCCCTTCCAGAATAGCGTGAGTACGCAAAGCAATCATCCATCCATCTAACCCCAAAATTAAACCCCTCGGGTCACGTATATGATATATGTAAGAGAAAAACCAACATAAGGGAGGGGAGGGAAAGGGTCGTCAAATTGAGATGAGGCTAGGTGGGTTGAGGATGTTGGCGTTAGGCGCTAGGGGTGAGTAAATGTATGGGAGGAAAGGAGGGGAGGGAAGACGATGTGTGTGGTAAGTCAAGTTTAGAAGCGCACTGAAAAAAAAGTACCCAAGTTAGTTGAGTTGGAAGTATAATGTGGCTGTATGATTAAGACGTGAACATGTGTAGCAGTCGGATTGTTGTATTTGATCGTCTGCCTCCCTGCCCATGATCCAAACACCGAATCACGTAGACCGCTACTCTAACACAGAGAAAAACAACACCGCACAACCACGCTCTTATTTTTAATTATAAAGTGACGAGAATTCGGGAGGATTCGAATTGAATTACAATTAAATTATCTATTTACGTACGCGTACTGTATAGCGTTATGATTTTTCCATTCCGCGTCCCTCGAAACAACGCCGCCCCTTGTGTGGGTATGGGAAAAAGAAGGCCTTGATCGCTTGAAAAAGACCGGCCCATCCTCTCGGATTGCGAGAAGAGAAAGAGAAATATAGTAGAAAAGACCATGCCCCTCCCTGATTGGAAAGAAAAGAAGGTGGATTTTCCCGCATCCGGAAATCTGCTGGAAGGAAAAAAACGGGACCAGGGTATATTCACTTTCCCCGTTCGAAACATGACTGCTTATACATGTTGATAAGGGAAGAAACAGGATAACGCCAACCACTGTGGGGTGTATGCTGAAAACTGATCCAATGACTTCTTCATTGCGTGGTCCCGCCCATTTGCGCCGTCGTTGGATGATGCTGATACAACGCAAGAACATAGAGAGAGGGAAAAACAAAATCATACATCGAAAAGCATTCAATGAATGCATCGGTCGGCCGTGACTAAAAAGGCGTAGTCTGAGGTGATGAATGAAAGTAGGGTAGATGTTTCGAGATGTGGATGCTATTGACCCAAATGGAAGCTGGTAGCTTCCCAAAAGTTATTGCCAACTCATTTATCGATGTGACAGGTAGTTGCTTGCTTGCAATTCCTGGGGATACCCGATCGTCGCTGTGATTGGAACATTCGGTGAATTCTGTGTTAGCAATCGGTATTGAGTTTATGCTTGGGAACACCATAGCCAGTCTGATCCCATTTCTTCGAACAAAAACATTAGCTCGGCATTTCAGGCAGGCTCGACCTACTTACGGTCAGGTTTGGATTCGTATAAGCCAACATATGATCCTTGATGTACTCGGTGGTCTCGAAACCCGGAGGATCGCAAGTTACCATATGTTGGCCTTTCTTCTGATACCATCGCACATAGTCGATTCGCATAACTGCTGGGAATACAAGCTTCTCCCAGTTAATGAACGTCCACGCCTCACTGATACCAAGATTGAGAATCATGGACATGGGCTCCTCTGATACTTGGCGTGACTTGATGTTGCCATTCGGCCCGATGGCACGTCCATCCATCATGAAAGTGGTCTGCCCACCAACCTTCCATACGATGTGGGCATCTTCGCCTTCGCCCGGTGCATATTCGAAAGAGTACCTCTGGTAAGCCTTGCCGTCGTACCAATCCTTATTGAGATTGGTGGTAGCGGAGATGGCCTGCTGGAACGGCCCGCCGGTGTATCCATTCGTGTAACTAAGGGAGTAGTCCGGGAATGCAGTGAAGTCGTAATCCGGGTACCACCATATATCAAAGGGCGCCACTTGATAACTCTGTGTTGCGATGGGCAGTCCTCCCCAACTTGCACCTGCCTCTAGAATGTCGATCTCGGGTGCTCCCCGCCCTGTGCCCGGGGTAGGGTGATCTTCACCACGGCAAGTGCAGGAGTTCAGTCGCTGTCCTGGTAGCTTTGAAAGGCCGTCGGTGCTCGACTGATTCGGAGTAATACCAACGTCACAAGCCTGATAGGTGTATGGCCACAGGCCTTCTGTTGTGGCCAGGTAGCCGGGCCGTCCAAGATTTCCCATTGTCCATGCTCCTGGCCAGAGTCCCGGAATGGCAGCTGGCCCGGGGAGGGACACGGAAACCTCAAAGATTCCGCCTTTGAAGCATACGTGATTCCAGCTGTGCAGCATGCCCGACCGGAAGTTAACGCCATGATTTACAAATTTATCCAAGCGGAGCTCAAGTACACCATCATAGGTAGTAACGGCGTCTGGATCGAACCACTCAAGATCCTGAGTTGCACCATACCAGATGTCAGGCGCATACCAGTACGGATCGTCGCCCTCATAGAAAGTGCGGTTATTGTCATTGAACTCGTCACTGAAAACTAGTTCAAATTCGTCTCCAAACTCGCCGGTCAGTTTCATCGCGCTGTCCGGTGTGTCGGGATCGATCAAAGTTCTTCGGAAATTTTGCAGCAGCGGATAGTCTCGCAAGTTCACTGTGGCCCAGGTCTCCTCATGAGGAAAATAGTGTGGCATCTGATCTATCGGCGTTCCATACATGGAGTTGTAGTCAATAATGCCGACAGAGCTCATCACCGGAAGAGCGACGAAGATGAAGAGAAGCCCCAGAACCATGAGAAAAAGTCCAACAGTGGAGCAAATGGTTGCTCTGGTGAAATGGTCTCTCAGCTTTGGCTTGAACTTTATATCGTCGTCTGGAAGGGGCATGTGCATGTCGTCATCGTCTTCGGGCCCATCAGTAATGAGCGGCCAGCTCGGCGTTCCCTTCTCGTCGTACGGCGCAGTAAGTCGGTCATTGACGAGGGCGCCATTCTTCTCGGCATCGTAGTTTTCGTTCACTTTTGTGGTGGACGCGTTCGGTGTGGTGAAGGGGTTGACCGGTACTGCAGCGACAATGGCGGCGGATCTCTTGGGACTGTTCACATGGTTTTGAGAGGATGGGGTTTTGGGAGGGTTGTCGTAGAAGGAGCTCCTCCGACTGTCGGAGAACGGATTGTAGTAACGTGTGTAATCGGTCCCCAAGTCATGCACAGTGAGGGCGCCGGAAGAGTTGCGATGCTCGAGGCCCAGTCCTGGTGTACTTCTGTTAATCGGGCCCCTTGGACCAGGGCGAGGTATGGGTCGACTGCTAGGTGGAGGTAAGAGCCTTGCGCCTTGGACTTGCGATCGGTCAGGGACATTTTCTGATCCATCACTAGTTCTTCTCGAGACATCAGTCTGCGATTCGCCCAGGATCAAATCATCGGAAGAGCTGGCGAGGAGCGGAGACGAGACAGAGGGGACGTGCGAGGAGTGGGGTCGCGGTTGGTTGGCCAGAGGCGGTGGAGCCGCTGCAGCTGCTATACCTAAGTCGACATCTGAGGATTTGGAGGATACTGAAGTTGAGGTTTTTGTGAGGGCTGTGGAATTTGGAGATGTCGACGCAGGCGCGACAGCCTCTGGAAGGCTAGCGGCGGCCCGCTCCGCGTTCAAAGACGATGGCAGGCGCCCGAATTGCTGCGACTGGTCGGATTCTGCGCTGGATGATCGTATACTTGAGTGACGCGAAACAGCTTTCGGCGGAGGATCCATTGCGGCGCGTTCGGGTCAAGAAATATATTGAAATAGTCAAACACGTCCTTTACTTCAGTCGCCTTGCTGGGCAAGGGAAGGAGAAAGACTGATAGTGGACAGTATTGGACAGACTGGACAGACTATGACATATTCAGTGAATGTCGGCGCGAATACGATGATAACCAGTGATTAGAGCCTGAAGCGATTGAATTGTCGTGCAGGAAGGTGGATTTCCTCCCAGACAGAAGGAAAGAGTTGAGCCAGGTGGGAAAAAAGGTGAAGGGAGCTTGGACGCGGTGGGGGAGAGATCGGAGCTGGCGGGCCCGCGAACCAAACACTGAAGTATGCAACGCGGCGCGGTCGGAGGAGGGCGTGCGGCGAGTGAGAGAAGGACAGAGAGTGAGTGTGGAATGAAGAGGAGTGAAGTACAGAGGTCGTGGGTGAGGTATATGTGACAAGGGAGAGTTTGTAGTTAAGAGTGAGTGAGTGGGTAGGTAAGTAGCGAGTGTGTGGTTGTCACGAGGAGTGAGTGTGTTGTAGGCGTGTAGGTTTGTCGTAGGTTTAGTAGATGTAGCTAGTAGGTGTAGCCAGTGTGTATGGGCGAGGAAGTGAAGTCGTTGAAGTAGAGGGAAGGGAAGGAGCGAGCGACGAAAGGGAAGGGAGAGAGGGAAGGAAGTGATGATGGTGTATAGGTAGTAGTAACTAGTAGAGGAGATCAGAGCAAGAGCAAGAGCAAGAGCAAGAGCAAGAGAGAGAGATGGTCTTCCACTCTCGGTCTAGCGTATCAAAAACCTGAAGTACGAGAACTGGGAATTGACCGCATTGGGGATGGGGATAACCGTTGTGATGGGACTTTTGCGTGCCATCCGTCTTTCCCTTCCCTTTCTTTCCATTTCCCTTGTCCTATTCCATCCCATCCCATGGTTTTGCTTAGTTAGTAATTGTATGGAGTAATTAACCCCTCTCTTTACAAATCTTCACATGTGGGAGTTCCATCAATTCGTTATTGCGGCGTAGGCAGTTCTACAAAGCAGGACATGGACAAGCTCTGAGTTTGCTTGGTTGTTATCGCCCCGTAATGTGCAACCCAAGGTACCCCTCGCTGGACCAATCCCACCAGGCCATGGCCCCCCCTTTACCCGCGCTATCGCAGCACAGGATAGGTTACAGTGTATAGTAGTTAGTGTGTAGTGTACTCCGTACTACAGACGATAATAAATATGGGGATCGCGCAATATAATTGGAATCAATTCCTCTTCGTACCTTGAGTAGTACCCGCACCTACATACACAATACGCAGCACAGACAGGAACAGGAATAGGGAAAAGGGAAAGCCTAAACGCGATCACAGTGTAACAGTATACTTAACAGTCCATCACCGACTAAATTCACTCGTACATTTGCTCTGCTCGTATTGGCGGCGCTGATTAATCGCGGCTCAAGTCCTCATACGGCATTAGCTCCATCGAAAAATCAGTTCAACGATGGAAGTTTTCGAATCCTTTATCGCGGAACCGAAATTGGCATCTTCCATATTTATCTAATTAACCATCCCGTCTACGCTATCGTTTGATCTTATCTCTATCGTCGATTTGCCTGCCCCCTTCCCTCAACATTTGCATAAACCTGGTATTTTCCATCTTTTGCCTTGTTTATTTGTTTATTTGTTTGTTTGGTGTCCGAAGATGACGTTCGTTCACTCCTTCAAGCATCACTATCATTGAGACCAAGAACGAAATACACACAACGAGAACTTAAGCTCCAGAGTAAGCTTTTCTCGGAGGCAGGCCCGTGGCCATTAACGTGCAGGGTCGCCCACATGTCCAAGCAGCCGCTCCTGTTTCGTGCAAAAACTTACAGTAGCGCCGGCAGATCAGCAAAAAGTAACTGCAGCCGCCATTCAACAAACAAAAATTGAAACAAAAACAAAGAAACACACATCGATGCAGTTATCATCTTATGCTCCCTATTCTTTCCTGCTCTGCTCTGCTCTGCTCTGCTCTGCTCTGCTCTGCTCTGCCCTATCTTGAACTCTTGTTTCTCTTTTCATCTCCACGTTTTCTTGCCATGCGCACACGAACACGAGCTCTCCTTCTTTCACATGCTCCGTGCAAATCGGAATCGGAAGCGATGTCGCAGTCGTAGTCGCAAGAATGAATCGCGATCGTAGCATGGCGTCCACGAGTCAAGCACAGAAAGCAATCCACTATCATGCTCGATCATCCCATCAATACGAGTGACTTCCCCTTCTCTTCGTGTCTATTCGTGTCTATTTTCAACACTCCCCTTTTTGGTCGCTACCTCCAAGCGATTGACCATACGAATGATTGACGTAAAAAATATCCCTTTGCCCAGCGCACTTGCATGCCGTGAAGTTGCTGTCTCTTTGATTCTCTGGATGTTGGACTGTAGTATGAGTATATTATTGAACGTCCTTCAAATCGCTTAGGCACGACACGCATAGTTATTCACACCGGGTATGCGTCTACCTAGTTCTACCAACCCCTCCGACTCCAGACCATCGTCATCGGCGCCATTATTGCGTTAATCCCCGACGACATGATAATCCAACGTGCTATACCTAGACAACAGCGATCAGCCATTGCAAAGGACGATTGCATTTGCGTCTGCATCGCCATGGACTTGCCTCAAGGCCCACGAATCTGAAATGTGTCGCACCCGTTCGTTGGTTATAGGCGGCCAACAAGGATACCTAATTCCCTGGCTCTTTGATTGGTACATTTATTCTCTTCCCTATCGTAGCATAGCCCTCTTGGTTTCCCCTCCCGTTGCTCGCCTGATTTAATATACCTGATAGCAAGTTACTTGTATTTCTGCCCTTCCCGAGGTGACGAGCAGTGCAGAAGGGTAGATCCCGTTCGAGACGGAACGGCTTGAGGAAATGATATGCAGACATGCTCTCCTCTTCACCACCACCAAACAAGGGTTTGTACATCCATCCATACAGTACATGGATCATGTACCTCCATCTGCATCGAAGTAGATACTGTATTCTGTCGTTTGATAGCTCTTGTACATAAACCCTTCCCACGCTAAGCCAACGGTTCCCGCTCAACGGTAAACAACACCGGTGCAGTCGTCTGCACATAGATATCATCATCCACCGTATGATTATTCGTACTGACCTGGTCCCCCATGCGTGTCGGCCAGTCCTTAACGTCCCACTCGAACCCAGACGTCGTGACGACCGCGGGACCGTAAATGGGCAGAATCCCGCTATGCTTCTTGAACAACCCATGCCTCTTCATCCCGCGGACGACGCTCCTCCCCGCCCTCACGATCACCGTGATGTTGGTCTCGGTCACCAGCGTGAACCGCACATGCGGATCCTGCGTCTCCTCCCGCAGCATCTCGTGCAGCAGGCCGATTCCCTGGTCGACCCTGCCGCCCAGCGAACTCAACACCAGCACCTCTCGCGGCGAGGAGGACGGCGCACGATGCAGCGACTTGATCTTCAGCATCACTTTGCCGAAATCGGTGGTCAACTGTCCCGGGTCCCTCTCCACCTCTGCCCCCTGGGCAATGTAATAGCTCTTAACATCCTCTCTCAATGAATCAAAATCCCCATGGACGCAAGTCGGTATCTTTAGAAAACAAAAAGAAAATTCGTCAGCCACTTGATCATGCCTGCCTGCTTGCAGCACGGCTGGGGGAGGGAGGGGGGGGGCGAATGCGAATGCAAGATGGGGGAGGGGAATATCAAAATCACGCGGTGGGGGGAAATTATTATCTCACAAACTCAGCCCTCCTCGCTTCCAGCAGCGGTCCTCCCCCAGAAAAAAGGTCGTACAGTCTATTCGCGCCGCCGTCGGCGCAGATGCGGTATCGCGAGCGCGCCCAGAGCCTGCTGAGCAGGTCGACGCTCGCGATGGGTTGGTTCAGGATGAGGAGATCTGGTTGGTTGGATCCTGTCGGAGCAGGTGCAGATGGAGAGGTAGAGGTATCATCACCATCATCATCCAAGAGGAAGAGCCCGGGATTGTACTCCTGCGTTTCAGTCCCGCCCATAACCTCCTATAGGAATCGAGCGGAAGGGGGGAAACAAAACGAGGGGGAATAATAAATAAAGATGTATATGTTTTAAGACGTTTTGCGATGAGGATTTTGGGGACAATGTCCCACGTGTTGATGGATAGAATGTTCGGCCGCCCCGGAATGAGAGAGCTCTCTCTCTTCCTATCAAACGCGGGGCAGATAGGGAAGCTCTTCGCAATGAGGAAAAAAAAGAATGAAAGATGGTGCACTAAACCACATGCGGGTTGAACCTATGCGAAGTAGCTGTCCCGCCTTTCCTCTCCCCTCCTCTAGTTCCTCTCTCTCTGTGTGTCTCTGTCATCATGTCTGGTTAATTTATTGATATTCTATTTACATACCACAACCACGATACACGCAGGGCACTCAGCCTCCTCCATCACTCTACCACAAGTGACATTCAATATTTCCAGATGACGAGATCTCGCAGCACAAACCCAGAACATGACCTTCGATGAATTAATCAACGCACATGTGCCGCTTGCCGAAAGATGTTCGGTAGCTACGTCACCCAAAATACCTCCCAAATCTCCGCGTGCAAAGCCGAACCTGGAGAGCATGATTTCTATCATTAGAAGCTGCCACAAGCAGTCAAGAGGCAGTGCCTATCTATCTGCCATTAAACAATCTGCAGGGAATTCTACGCCATATTATTCTCCGCGGTATTATCCCTTATCTTGTAAATTAGGGACTCATTAGGCATACAGTCGTTCAACGGTAATACACAAAAAGTAACTATAGTTAATGGTACATACCGTGAGCTGGCTGCGCACGTCCGCACCGGTGGGTAGACGACCTGCAGAGGACGTCCCCGAGAGAATGGGCTTGCTGGGCAGCCTAACAACGCCAAAACCCACCCCCATTCCCAC